CAAACATGGTTCGATTGACGGATGGGCGTATTCATGAAGTTACCAACCTAGATGAGTCTAGCCTCCGACGGGCGTGGAATGGGAGGCTGTGGGCGAATGATGGGGCAGACTCCCTGATGTGACGGATTTCCTCTGGGAGAACGCTCGTGTTGTGGCAGCGCTTGTAGAGAGTTCAGAGCTCGAAAACAGAGATCGTCTCTGGTATTGACTCTTTATTAGAATGATAACAACAAGCTTAGGTGATCAGTATGTAATAACAATAAGAAGGAGGAGATAACGCAAGGTTAGTATCTTGGAAATGCTGGTGCCTACGGCTTTTGCCAACCATCAGACACCTGCAAAAACATTTCATTGGTTGAATGGAGTGGCTGGAGATAGTACAAGCCCAATCATTGCTGATCACGCACGTGCATTGTCAACAGTGTTGTAGATGGTCTTTAAATTCCTGATCTTGAGACCATACTGTATAGGTCGTGATCAGCAGACCTTTGAAACGATTGCACCTAAATCAGTCAGCATCTCGCATACTACCGGGACTGATGGCCAGTCGTCAGGACAGACAAATAGCAAGGCTGAGGGCGGGAAACTATATCTCCGGATACCCTGCCAGGACTGACATATTTGGGCTGAGGTTGACCGCCCCAAGAGCTTGCTTTTCCCCAGCCAATTGCAGAGAAACCCGTCAATTCATAACTTGATGTACAAGAAACGTACAACTAACTACTATTGTTACGACAAAAAAACTCCAGCATTGACTACTTCTGGAAGAAGCGCGCCTTGAACGTACGAATATACGCCGCCACATTGTCATGATCATATAACCGCAGCCTGTATCACTTCATTATAGAAAATGAATGGGAATCGTCCTTTCCTTAGGCCGAAATGAATGACAGTTCTGACGTTGGTAAGTAACTGGAACATCGTGACGTTACACATAACAGGAAGAAGCTTAGTGAGAAAGATTTCAGGTCTCCCCCAATGTTAGTTATCACTCGCGTTGTTTTCAAGATCAGCCAGCATTATAAGTAGGGAACGATGTTAATTCCTGAGCTTTTAGTGGAGATTCTAGAATGCTGCTTCAATGTTCGTCCCACTCTTACACACTCCAAACCATTCTGGATGTGTATGTAACCATCGCGATATATGTCGAGAAGAACATTGATGTACGGAGTATTGAAACCTTCACTAGCGACATAAACAGCGCACTATACATAATAAACCCACCTTGGAGGAATGATGGACCCCACGTCCCGTACGAGCAGGCACCACGGCACCACGGTGGCTGGTCAAAGTGGCTGCTGAACAGCCAACATCGCGCACGTCCACTCAATTTCTCACCGGTCCCTGCGGAGATTTTTGTGTAACAGAACTAACAACACAGAAATGACTTATTTCCCACTGACCGATCAACCCCACCCACAGAGAGCCCGTGATTCAGCCACAGAACGTTAATCGTATGCGTTGCTGTCACAACGGGTACGATGCATAAACCAAGAATTGCGGCTGTGACAGGGGTGCCATTTTTCTAAGACATGTAGACCAATCGCCAGTATATTACCTGCAGCTTCAACTAGAAAAGGGCATCACCAAACAGCAGTGATATGTAGGTACGAGTTGCTTTATGTACCAATCAATTTTCGGAGAGATTCATGCAGACCTCCTCGCTACAAGCTCCTTAAGATCTTGGTGGGTAGTCAGAAACCAATCATCGCTATCCTAACCATCATGATTGCCTATGAACTATGAGCCATACTCCCACCGCGGATGTTTACCGTGCATCCGAACACTTGGCGACTAGATAGATGAACGCGCTTCGAAGGCAATTTTAGTAGATGCATCTCCAAGAGACTCTTTCCAGCCTCCAGCCTCCAGTCTCGTAGAAAGTGATGTCTCAGGGCCAGTGTTCGTTGCTCCTTGGTGTGTTTGCGTACAAACAGTTAGCCTCGTTCAGACCAATCACATTCTCTGCCTCACTCAGTTCTCAATAAATGACTCTTGGTGACATAAAGTTCACTGTTAGGATCAATTTTCGGTGTATATAAGGTTCAAAAATCAGCAATCTCTCATTAAGAAAAAAGAAACGTATGGTAAAGTTGTGTGGATGGTCAGACCACAACTACTACCTAGCTTTCCCTGGCTAGGAGCTGTGCGTTCGAGTCTCGGTTTGGCCATTTACGAGCTCAAAAAGAAATGTAGGGTCAAGTTGTGTGGATGGTCAGACCACAACTACTAACTAGCTTTCCCGGGCTAGGAGCGCTACATTCGAGTCTCGGTTTGGCCAATTACGAGCTCATTTTTTTTGCCAATTTTTTTTGCCAATTTTTATTTGCCAATTTTATTTTCTCTCTTATTGCGCTCCTCAGAAGCCCGGTCTAGTGGCTGAACTGACGAAGTGATACCAATTGTTGTTGTATTGTGATAGTCACGAAGAGCATCAGTGATAAGTACCTAGGTAGGTTGGAGGGAAGGGAAGCTGGTAGATGGCGGGTAAGCAATCTTTAGAGTAGCGCGACCTTATTGATGGCATACGACTACACCTTTCCCTCCCTACTACTAACGTAATAGGATCGATGATTTATGCTTATCCATTTTATAGTACCATCAGTAATGAATTTAATCAGAGAATAAGCACGGAGCTGTGATTGCAAGAGAGAAGAGAGTAAGAAGAGTGTGGGCCACACTATCACTGCAACATATTCGTGATGAATAGCATTATATTTGGTCTTCCTGAAACATTAGACAGACGTTCATTATGAATCTGACGTAGGGATTCGTACTGTCTATTCTTCTGTGAGGATGTATACACATGCGATAACTAAGCATTGTCTGCCTCAATCTCTAGATAGTATTTTTCAACGCATTGCGGGCCTTGTCCAGCATATCATACCTGTGCTCATGAATCCCCTACCTGTTTTTATGACATGGGACAAGGCCGATGTCTATCTGTTGAGCGCATCGATGTATTGAGATGCGTTTACCCAGCTCGACACAAATAACATAAGACTTGTACTGATGCACTTTGGATGGTCTCTACTAACATGCCATACACGCCTACGAGACCCTGCCCCATCGCCTCCATCATTGTAGAGATCGCTAATCAAGCTTGAATGCACCGGAAAGAGACAGAGCAAAGTATGATTTGGTTGGGGGTAAACGATTGTTCAATTCTACCTATCCTAATGTAGGGCTAAGAGGAGTGGGGGAGGGACCGTTGCTTGCATAAAGAGTGACGAAAGCGAACTTTTCGATTTAACGAGAGACCAAAACAGCCTATTCTCGATTGTAACGAGTGATTTTCCGACTCTCAATACCTTGACGACAAATATTCTGTTCCTGTCCACTTTGATGCTCCTCCAATCTAAGACGGTGAAAGAAGACTAGCGCGTCTGGGTGGTATGAACCGAGAATGAGCGTGGGAAGGTTGTAGGTTGTTCGACCGGACGCGGACACGCGTCGAGGTGTTGGGTCGAGGTGTTGGGTCGACGTTGCTGAATAGATCTGGCAATACTGGGATCAAACGTGTTTTTATCGGGCGACGAAAGGAGGTCTAGAGAGCGTGAAGTCTTGAGATGTTTGAGCGCGAAAGAATGTTCCCAGAGTTGAGATAAGCGTGCTTGGATGGTTCATGCCCCCAACTTCATGTACCGATAATTTGACTCTGCGGCACACACTGTGCAGGGCACGTTCTAATTTGACGTTCGACCCGTACCATACGTCCTTAGTCTTCGAGCCAGTTGAGCAGCGTTCTGCCTGTAGGCTGAGCATAGCAGCATAAGGTGTCAAGCGTTACGGCTTTGTATTTGCGTGGGAGAAGTCGTCGTCGTTGGAGGTGTAGAATCAGCCGGCTTGAAGCAGACGTAGCATGGGCAATCGGGCTTGGGATCACCGAGTATACAAGCGACACCCGAGGGATTGCTGCCATATCCTGCTTGTTGTGAGCGTTTCTTCCAGTATTCTCTGGCTTTCTTGTTGACCGTACGCGTAGTATCCAGTCGCACCGGGTAGCGGAAGTAGCTGTCTGGCATCCTGGTGAGAGACGGTCGTATAGAGCTAATGTTGGACGCGTTCATCCAAGGATTCCAATGAAGAATGAAGAATACAATTGTTCGTAACTAACACTCTTTCGTGTGACTCTGGAGAGGTCGTCACAGAGGGGTGTCAGTCGTGGGCAGAGCTCGCCATCCATGTTGGCGCTAGTCCGTTTTTGACGGGTTAACAGTCCAGTATCCATCACCGCCCAGCCTCGCCGACAACTCGTCTCAAGATCAGGATGAGGTTTCAAAGACAATTGAGTGTATTGGGAACATTGGAAGGCGTGGTGCGGTTTACCCGGCCGGTGCAGACAAGTGTGTCCCAGGAAAGACTCCCGTAGTTGACCTGTCCATGGCGCATCCTCGGAATTCCTCTTGATAAGTCGATATTTTTGGCGATCCTCCCGTGCAGTCCCTTTTTACTACCAGTGAATAACTCTTGAATGATCAGATAGGTTGGTCCGTATATGCTTCCATGGCCTTGAGGAGTGTCTGGCCTGGGTTTCTTAGAAGCATGCCAGCGACGTGTGTGCGGTACATTCACTGCTCGTCGGCATCAATGGTGAATCGATAGATTTTCCACAGCTATAATGTTTAGTAGACTAATCCGAGATGGGGAGGAGCCGCCATCGACTGAAGAAAAGAAAATAGTCGCAAGAAGGAAAAGTTTCATGAAGGCGAAGGATATAAGCGTGGAAAGATGGTGCAATCAAGGAGAGGTCGAACATTAACTAACGAGATTGAGATGACTTAAGGGAAAGGGGTAACTAGTTAGTTGGCGCAGTAGCAAAGAGCACGTGAAATGATTCAGTAGACGGTGTATGATCGGATAGAAAAATGCAACTCGAATGTCCAGGTAGACAAGTGGAGGACGTTTGGCAACCAGCATGACCCTACCCTCACGGCAAAAGAATAGTTACGCTGGTCATCTAGAAGCGGTCATAAGACATGACGTAATTGAGATCTGATCTGTTTGACGACACCAGAGTCGCAGTCACAGCCCAAAACCTGTTACTTTCTTAGCCGCATCAATGACAAAAGGAACGAACTTACGCTGCGCAAAGCATGAAAAATCGCATGGCTTTCTCACTGAGGAACAAGACCGTGAATGGGAAGAGTAGACTCATCGCGGACATGGCAATAATCCTTTCCATTTGGCCGGAGAGTTTCACAGAGAGGAGCACTGCTCCCGCGAGATAAGCAACTGATAAAGTGCATTCCAGACCTCCGACTATAACCTCGACTGCTCGGCTGCTGATGTCCTGGGCCTCGCTCTGTTCTTCAAAATTGAACACACGCGCTAGACGATTGTATAAACGGTAGTACATCCGTGCCAGAACGTTGAGGACGATCTGGCGGAAGAAGTTGGGCTCGCTCTGTCGCAACGCGAAAAGGGACAACGGAGCAGGACTGCCAAAGACCCCATAGAAGCCTACCGGTTGTCCATTAGGCGCATGAGTCGCGTTCGGGTTGATATTGTGTCTGACGACATTATCGAGATTGTATTTGTCGACAGAATGTGCCTGAGCCGCCAACTGATCCTGTTCATGGATTCGGCCTAATAGACACGATCAGAGACATCGCGCGAAATATTAAAATTCCAAACGTACTGTAATGATCCAGCTCTGTGAGTAATGCTTCCAAGGCTTGCTCATATGAGGCTTGAGTGGCCTTATCATCTGGTTTGAAATCGCCCCTAATCGCCTTGTCGCCGAGCGCGTAGATTTGCGACCGGAGATTTAGAAGGTTATTCTCAAACCATTTCGCTCGAATGTAGCGTAGATCAGGGAATCTGGGCCTGATGTCCCCATCGTAATGATGATCGTTTATGTCGTTGATGAGGAAAGGGTGTGAGAATACCGATCTGAAGAAGTGGGCGGGGTCAGATCTATGACTGTCTTCGCCAAGCGGAACGTATGGGTTTTGATCGGACATATTCGACATCCTCGTTCCGATGTATGAGATAAAGTCTTCAAGAGCTTAGCAGAAAAAATCAACCATCAATTTGTTGACTCCAGTCACTTTGATTTTTGCGATGAAGATCCGGCAACTTATATATTCATCTTCTGCCGTATTCATACTTGATCAAGGACAATCTTGTTGAACGAATCACCTAACTTTCGTGCTTGAGGGCTACAGAAGGGTTAGGCTGACGAGGTACACCAGGCGCTATGTGCACGCCCGCTTCCCCCAGGAGATGGGGTAACACAAAGCGCGTACGTACATGCAATTGTCTTGCATCACAGGGTTAGAAGTGTTGCTGTATTTTCTCGCAGATAGGCCACGGGGTACAGGGTACCCTGTCTGTGTAAAGATATGCATCGAACGTGGCATGATCGTGAGTTGTAGAAGACCGGTCAAGTCGAGAAGATTGATGTGCAATTTTTGGAGGACGTTCTGTCGTAAGTGAACAGGGTAGACATGTGTGTTGGTGCATGGCCGAGCGACGGAAGATGCAACTGTCGAAGAAGGACAGCTAACCTCGTATTGTAGACGGGACTGGCGAGCCAGCTTTCCCGGAACATCAATATTGTCAAGCAGCATGAGCATGGTCAGCCGGTTGTCGGTTATACCCGTGAAACATGACTCTGGCTTAGCAAGTACACGTTTCGCAGGGGCTACAGTAGTTTTGAAAATTTGGGATGAGAAAATGAAGAACAAATGTTGATTTAACAGAATATTTTGCCATCTCTTACAATGAATAGTTTGCCGTGTCCTGCGCAATTTCGTAGTCAACAATCAGTCGCTAACAGTACGAGTGTTGAATAGTGGCCACATTCGGCATCAATATCTCAGTTCCTCTCTCCTAAGAAGGCCAATAAATCTCAAAATAAATTCCAGTGTCAGCTATTCAAACCTCTACAGCGAAACAAAACGTGTCCTCCCTAATGCAGTCCAAATAATGCTCAGTTGCTGAAGTGAGACTGATGAGAAACTCGGTCACTGGCAAAACCGACGCCATTACGTGCATCTGCTCGACAAACTGATTTGCAGTGCCCGACAGGGTTGACTAGCATCATCGAACGCTGCAAGCAGCGCCTGTTACGGCTGACAGGCATTATCCTGCGTTCAAATGGCGATTTCCTTCTCGGCGGCCATCTATGAGGCACAGTCGAGCTAGCGAAAAGGAGGGGCATATATTGGAGTTGATAAGACTTTGCCTAGTCCAATCAAGAAAGCTAACTTTGCCGCAGGAGCGCTATACTTTATGACCTTGCTTTTGAATCGGACACGTGGAGAGGCCAACACTGAAGTAAAACTGCAAATAGCAGTGACTGGTGTTGTCGTTCAATGTCACTTCCACAATATCGTTGACATGCTAATTCGGGTGTAACAACTTGATTTCTCGGACTGTATACGGAGTACTCTAAGTCTCCACTCCCCAAGACGGAGTGCCACAAACACATGAGCTGCTGTGGAAGTCCAATGCATGCTCAATCGATCTCTGTAGAATGACACTCTCGGACCGCAGATTTGTGTGCAACATCGGCTTGGTCTTGTATAACATAGACGCACATGATGACCAAGGATCCCTGGTCTTGGTCTAAGGCAGTGCAACGTACTTAGGAGTAGGGGGGAATACTCCGTATGTTGTGGTATTGGCATTGGTACTCGTAGATACAACTTTTCACAACAGTACGGACTTCTCTGTAATATTGTACGCAGTGATCCGTAGTGCTACGGAGTACTGTAGTTGAACAACACGAGGATGGTCTGTTCACTGGTTATGGATCTTCAATGAAAGATGGTGTCCAGGGACGTCGGACAAGCGGTACCACGCAGCCATCATGTTGCTTCTTACACCGCTTGTATGCGACGGCTCTCATATCTTCGCAACATCACTTATGCGGTTTTGATGTTCTTCACTGGCTGTGCATATTTGCACCCATGTTGATTCACGCGAATTGCTCCTCTAGCTTAGCGGATTGGTGCGCCAACCCATAATAACCATGCTAACATGGAGAACATGAATGCATAGTTTACGGAGTATTTGCTCCATACTTTACGCATCGTTGTCATGTAGCAACCCTAGAGGAAATCTGAGCCGATACGGTTGTTACAGTTTTGGAACTTTTTGCAGTGCTCAAGAGTAAGTGAACAGTTTGGTAGGTTTATCATGTTTTGCCCGTTTCAGTCAATTCTGAAAAGTTTTACGAAATGCATAGAAGGAACATGGGATCAGTTGAATTGGCTGTAAGACCTCGGTATTTGACCCTTAGCGATCAAAGTGGGGAGTAGTGGCTACGGTCCCTCAAAGTGAGAGCTCGGCTCTTGGGCATTCGCATGTTCACCCCCGGAACAGTGTATCAGCAGTCTAATTATCCATGTTTCGTGGGTCAATACATTGATTAGTGTAATTCAGAAATCTGAGAAGATAGCACTGAACTTGTATGTTGAATGCAATTTATGTCACACCTCTAAGCCAATCACGAAAGCGTGAGAAAACAAAAGACTGCGTACTCTGCTTTGCATTTTCGCGAACATGGTTTTTCAAGTAGCTAGCAACCTCAGAAAGCAATGATAGCTTTTGGCAGTACAATCGTAATGTATACAAGAACTGTCTTCAAACTTGAGTCATCTTTGTATTCGACAACCATGATCAAGAAAACCAATCACCAATGATCAATGGGAAATCTCGAAGAGTGGCTTGCCTAGAACTTTCGACCCAAAGAATACGAGCCTTATGTAGTATCTGTATCGATGCTGGTCGTTTACAACCCTTGTTTCTATTATCAGCACACTTTGAATGAGACTTCATTCACAATCTCAACAGCACGACAACAAGACAATAGGTTAGGTTTCACTTCCATATATCGAAAAGCCTTGACAGATGTCATTCTCTGAAATCCCAAGAAACATGCCAACTCAATTGCTTCACCGCCTGTCGAGCGCCACTGCTGTTCAGCCTTGTGTCTTTCTATCGTTGATATGCGTAGATCTCCGGAACATCGTCATCGATGAATGGCTTCCCAGCAATCTTGTCGGTGACTCTGTAATTTGAATGGTCCAGTATACCTCATTAACCCTGTGCAATGCATGCAACTGCTGCCTCGCGCTTCTGCTTGCGCCATCGGACGAACGTCAAATATGACACTGCCTTCACGAGGCTATCTCCACCCACCCTTGGCCTGCAGGTATTCTTCTACTGCGAACCACTCAGGGCTGCAGCATACCAGGTCATCCTGGCTGTATCGCCCGAACCCACTTTACGCGTCCTCCATGAATATAGCGTCTCACGCGCGCGGTCACGAGCTCGTTTATGGGTGCTGCAGATTGTCAAGGGTGAAAGTGCCTATTCACCTCACCCTCCAATTCAAGAAGTCTTCTGGGCCTACCAATTTTTGGACAACTCGTCAACGTTGAGGCCAAGAGGTCCGGTCAAATAAATGCATATTCCTATTCTGGACGGAAATGACTCCAATCTAGGGGATTGTATATTATTCTCTCCGGAAAGACGGCATTCCGCTGTCCAAGCCTCAAAATACCTCAGGAGCGGTGACCTTTGTCTCAAAGCTCATCTAGCTTGCCTGCAAGGTAGCAACTCAGTGTCCACCTTGACGTTGATTGAAACTCTTCCATGTGCTGGGTTTTACGTTATAGTGCATCTGCATTAGTGACAGCCACAGACTCACAGTACAGTCAGGCAATTTCCTTGCCCCAAGTTTGGGACTACAATTGGGTGTAATTCCAAAGTAGTGCACATGGTGGACTCACCGGTCATTGTTATTTTCAGATGCAGAATCTGTTCTCAAGTCGGAAAATCTGAGTTCATTGACTTCCACATATCGAACCAAATCTGCCTTGTGAAGTACTGTTAATTCTCATGTCACCGTTCACGAATTTCAGGGTCAAACGTAGCCCCCATACCATCTATCTTCATGAACATTCGTAGTGCTTCTTCACTAGTCTTTGAACTGATTTGTATTTTCCAACCCCTCTGAGTCTAAAACAACAGATTCACTCCTTCTATTGTACGTGCTCTCCTCAATTATTGTAATCATTGCTTATCACTGCGGTGCTTGATTAGCCTGTAGTCCCTAGGAGTCATTATGGTGTTTGCTAGCCAAGGTCCTTGAACACTTTCTGGGGACTGATACCTTTTACTGATCGGGCCTGTCTCTATCGGTGGAAATAGTCGGTTGCATCACTCAATAAACACCTTAGTCTTGATCTTGGACTTTTAAAACTACAAGTTGCGTACACCAAGGCCCTTGAAGCTAACATTGCTGCAACACTGACCAAAATTAGCATATCACACAACCCCAAATTTTCTCCCAAGGTTCAGAGCCTCCCTTAATTGATTTAATCATCTATAAACATTAGCCTTAGTTTGTTGCAAAACTCATCACAACTCCAGAACTCATTCCATTTGACTAAGCCGGACAGGCGGGATCTGATGGCTAACCGTTATCCTGTCGTCGGTCGGTATTGGTTATCTACTTTTAGCTGCAGTATGAGTTGAATTGGCGTTTAAAGCTTTTATCAAACCTGAACATCCTGCTTGAAGATTATCGCAGGGGCGTTGCGGCATAGTATATTGAAAGTGCAAAAGAATAGTGTTAAGGCTTGGAATCCGACAACCTGGGCGTCAAGAAGGTTCAACATTTCCATTGAGCCAGTGCTCCAGTGCTGTGGATTCCGTATGACCTCTCAACCACGGAAAAAGTCCCATCCCCTCAACAACAAATTCAACGAACACGTAGAGCATAGAAACGAAATACAATAACCCTTCTTCCTTCTCCCACACATCATCATCCACAGCCAGAATGGTCTCGCCATCCCTCGTCCCCTTCATCACCCAATGTCTCATCTCCCTCCTCTCCGTCCTCATCACCAACTTCATTCTACCACATAGAAGTAACAGCATCGCCACGACGAGTCTCGGTACTGCGATCCTAGGCGTGATAATCTACACAACAAGCCGCTTCTCCAACCTGACGGAACTCCGTCTCTCTCCCACATCGAGCGCATTCCTCTCCGCAGTCTTACTATCTCTTCACGACACGATTCCCTACCTCTTAAAGGTCATGGTTTTCTTAACGAATGAACCGTACGCTTTAGACTCGTCTCAAGCGTCCTTCATACATTTCCTCCTTGCATATCTCGTCCTCGATGATCTAGATTTCTACCAAAAATACGCGCTCCACCTCTCTAAGAAGCGGGAGAGAAACGGCGGAGCGCAAAGACAGGAAGTCGAGGGACAGGAGGAAACTATAGAAGAAGAAGGAAGAATGTGGTGCATATCATGGTTCCTCATGATCTTTCACGCGAATACTGATCCCTCTTTCCAGCACTCTCGAGACCCGCTCGCGTACCATTGTGGACCACTGGCGGTGGGGGAAACACCAGTGATGGATCGTTTCGACGAGCGGATTGGAGGAAGCAAGTGCCGTGATGATGTCAATGGGAGGGGGAGTTTGGAGAAGAATGGGAGAGGAAAGACTGTCGCGAGATTGCTGTGCAGAAACTCAATTGTGAGACGGATGGGGTTTCTAGCCATGTATTACGGCATGCAGGTGCTCGTTATGTATTTCATCAAAGCAGGAACCAACCCTCCATCCGGTGGTTGTAAGGAGAGCATTTGGGAAATACTTGTTGGGGTGGGCGTGTTATTTGATACGCCAAATCTGTGGACATGGTGGGTTGAAGTGTTGTTGTTAAGAGTCGTTAGGATGGGAAGTTGCGTGGTTGTTTGGAAGGGAATCGATGCGTGGAGGGCTGTGAGGAGGCGAAGAGGCCCCAAAATTGTTCAAGGTAGACTAGAAGGGTGGTGTAAAGATGGGAGGTGGATGGAGTGAGGTCGTATGCGATGAGAGGCAGCTCTAAGTCCAATTAAAAAGCAACTATCTCGAATTCTCGATTTACTTTTTAGTCTACTGAATACCTCATGCTCTCGGGTGCAGCATGCCAGCTAAGTAGCATATTGGGACAGATACATCTCATCTTTATTTTCAGTTCCAGCGCCATACTAAGATTCCCTCCCAACCAAATGTCCCGTGGGGGCAGCTATGGTGATCGAATATCTACAGGAAACAAAGTACTTCTGGGAAGCGATTCTTTCCCCAGGTTTGCTTTCTTAGTATCACTTCCACGAGAGTGTTGCCACGTAACAAGGTTGCCTATTGACTCAACTGACAAAGCGTCTCACTCGCGCACGGAGGGCTAAAGTGAAATCTGTACCTATTGTATCCAAAGCTACCCGTGAAGATACACTTCATGGTGCGCTCATCCTGGATTAGCGCACCCAAATCAGGTTGGCTTTGTTTCACTCTCATTGTACTCAGGCACAGTCCTACTTTGGGCGATTAATTTGAAAGCAAACATTCGCATTCGCCAAAATTGAGAAACATACATGACCAAAAACAAAAGCAATTCACTGCCATGGCACCCAAAGCGATAGACATGCACTGCTCCTTTTCAGTCTCCCTTGTGTCATCTTCATCCCCATCTTCTTACGACCACCCTACGCACGAATCGCCTCACCTAACTCGACAGAAGCGTAACCATTCAGTTCAACAAAGGGAAGGCCCAGTCATAGCGAAATGCAGGATAACCAGCAATCTTAACAACCCCCTAACGCCTCCCGCTTTCTGGGACAATCTACCAACAGTCTACTTAACCAAGCGAGCTTTGCGAGAACTCAATAGAAGGAACGTCGAAGCTGCTCAAAGCCCAGTTTACCCACCACATCAACACGCCCACCGGTCAGTTACCCGGAAAGGCACAGCTAAGAGGCGGAACAGCTGCGTGTCAGTCCAATCCACAAGCGACTTTCTTTCCACCTGCACTGCGACGACTTTGAAAAGCTTGAAGGTATTTTCTAGACAAGGCGGACCGGACCTTTCAGATCTAAGGAGTGTACGTACTGCAAGAAAACATATGGAGTGAAATCTGACTATGCTGAACAGTCTCCTGCCTGGATTGGTCTTTTGGCCAACGATATGAACCCAGAACGAGCGAGAGGTCGGCCGAGGGGAGGGCCGAGGGGACAACCAAGGGGACGATCAAGAGGTCGAGCCCAAGTCCAGAGTCTTGCAATCCCCGCGAGTACCCATACGAGTACAGATATATCCAAGAGTACAGGGGTCTACGATCGCAACTTCCGGCTGCACCTCATTTACAATGGAATCTACCCCTTCGGATATACACACCCAAATGACGCATCTCCTACAATGCCGTCAGACTCGGATGAAATTTGCCGGATGATAGACAAGCCTCGGCCTTCTATTTCACACTCTACTTTTGGAAATGAAGCCTATGCGAGGTTCTGGCAAGTGGATGCCAAAGCCTCGAAAGAAAAGCACATCTCAGAGTTGGTGCTTCCCTTCATCGAAGGCGATATTCCGGGCACTAGATGTCGCTCAGGGGGAATTCCATTCACCAACCTCGATCCCCTAACGGATGGCACCCTGAAACCCGGTAACCCGGATGTTTACTATGGTGCTTGCCCAGAACTGCTCAGTAGAACGATCCGCGACAAACTAAGCGGGAAAATTGTTCCTTCAACACAAGAGGACCTCCCTATGGTACCCAATTTGTTTCTAGCAGTGAAAGGGCCGGATGGATCGCTAGATGTAGCTAATCGACAAGCATGCTACGATGGGGCGTTGGGAGCAAGAGGCATGCACAGTTTGCAGTCATATGGACAAAGCGAGCCCATTTATGACGGTCGTGTTTCTGCAATAACGTGCACATACCAACAAGGAACACTCCGGATATTTACTATCCACATAAATCCACCGCGAACTGTTGGAGGCCAACCAGAGTATTATATGAACCTAGTGAGAGGTTATCTTTTGAATACTTCTGCTGAAACCTTCCGACAAGGGCTTCAAGCTTTCTTGAACGCGAGGGATTGGGCAAAAGAGCAGAGAGATCAGGCGATCATGAATGCGAACAATCGGGAGCGTTTCGGGGATGCCGAAGCATTAAATCAGGACGCGGATCCAGATTTAAGCTCTGTCACTGCTATGACAGGCCCAGAGACAGGTCCCCGAACCATGAGTCACGAATCTCACACCTCCGTGAAGAAAGACACGAGTATCGCTGAGGCAACTGGCAGATCAGCGGAAGCAACTATAGACTCGATTCCGGCGAAGTGTCGCAATAAGCTATCCAGCGATCTATACACACGATTTGCGAACGATTCAGAATACTTCAAGAGAAGAAGGACAACTTAACGACATTTCTCTCGAGACTTGACTGGGCTGTTCGTCAATTAGCTCCTTGGGATCAAATATGTGCGTGGCATGTCAGCCAGCTATTTACGCTTGCCTGGTGCTGCATATTGATGGTTTGAATGGGTAGTTATAATGTCCTAACCGCCGTATGGGTAGTATTAATGCAGTATATCAGGACAGGATGAGGTTATCCGGAGATCATGTAAGATAATCAGGAATATATAGATCGGAAATCCCAAGAAAATCCCACAACAGTCTGGGCATTGCACCACAAACCTCCCAAAGAGTGCCATCGGGTAGAGTGGCTATTTATTAAACTTGTCAATCGATTGCGGCTCAAGCTTGCTAAGGCTCCCCATACGTGTCTATGCCACGTCCCAGATCATTCGCACGAATATTTACTAGGTTGGAGAACATGATGAAACTTTGCTGATGAAATTATATGTAATAAATCACTCGGATTCGCTTGTGAGATAGTACTCTACATCTTGTTTGTTCGACGTGGGTCTATGGACAGATATCGTGTACTAGTCTTGACCTAAACGGAGGTCCAGAGGTAACTATAGGTATGTGTACCACTCATAGTCGCATTTTTCTAAATTGAAATTTCATGTTTCATGTACAAGACGTGTAGAAGAGCAAATGCAAGCATGCGCCAATGTGTAAGGTAGGGTCAGCATTGCGATTACACATCCTGAGCGTTTGTGGGGAATCCTGCATGAGTGTACCATTTGCAGGAGAAAGCCAGAAGGCATCTTAATTTTACGCATCCGGTAAATGATATAGGTATTTAGAGTACAAATCAATTCATTGAGGTCTGGGAGCATCTTCTAGCGTCGGTGTGTACGGATTCTATTCTATGCCTGAAGCAATTCGTGACATGGATCGAGACAGAGCACAATGGATCGACCTGGCATAGGAGAATGGTGGCTTGATTTTGTCTATACTAATAATTTTCTCATAATACACACATCCATCTATAGAAGAGCCGATCATTGACTATCACGTATAGACAGTGCCGATACTATGTTTTGTAAGTAAAGCTCGCAACGCCCCGCTCACTTAGTTCAGATTTCTGTGCCATTCGCATCCTAGAATCTGCCTTGCCTAGCTACGCCTCCCGCCTGCCTAATGCTAGTGAACAACCTCAGGGATTTAAATCTCTCACGCCTGCACTTTTCTCCCCATCGAACCAACGTTCAATTACTCTACCTATATCCTACAAAGTGATTTTCTCCATCGCCACTTACAATACTTTCAACCCTAAAATTCACTTGCTATATCCATTCCAAAGCAAGTACGGCGTCATCTCGAAATCCACCCAATCAGCCATCACCTAAAACCACACAAACAAGCATGTTCGAGCATTTCGCACTCAGACACATCCCACCCCTCCTCCTCGCCACCATCTGGACTCTCGGTGGCACAATGTCCCTGACATCCGGCCCCGAGAGCGCCCTCCTCGCCTATGGCTTTTCCTCAAACATCGCATCGTCAAAGGGCGCCTGGCCTGTCATCAAGGTTGAAGGTTCTCGAGTTACTACTATTGGCCTGGCCATCTGGACTATCTACCTGGGAGGACATATCGAGGCTGTGGACACGCTACTGGCTTGTGTCGGGTGGATGGCGGTCGTGGATGGGCTTGTGTGTTCAAAGTATGGGGCGCCGGGATCTGTGAGGATGCGCGCGGGATACCAGAGCGTGGTTGCGGTTTGGGGGTTGCTGGGTATGACGTCGGGGAAGTACTTTTAGAGAGGGTCTGCAAATGTGTTTATTGGATATGGTCATCAGTGCGAATCAACAATGTGTGCGCCTTTCCAGCCGACAGATTAAGATTCACTGTTGGAGAGCTTAGAGTATAGTCATCAGGTTTATTGGATTCCATAAAATCGTTATACATCGCCACCCTGTATGTAATCAAGTAAACCTTACGTCGCTGACCAGGTACCCAATTGATGCTTATGCTATGCTCATGCTCATGCTAAATTTTCGTTGGACGTTATCATCATTTACTTCACTGGGGAAACAATCCCATGAACCCATTGTAGACTAGACTCCTGTCCTTTTGCGTATGCTGGCATACATCGCCCGTTCCAGTCCAGTAGAAAAGCCCAGCCAGGCCGTTCTGCTGTACATATCTTGCCTTCATATGTACCGTCTGCGGATTGTCATAGGTGACGAACCCACCGTCTCCGCCAACACAGTAAGCCGCTCCAACCTGCTCATCCACATGTTCTGTAGCTCCAGGTCTGGGGAGATCCCGGTACTCGAACGTACCTTCTTCTCCAGCCTGGCCCTCAAAACTGTGACCCACGCCTTGCGTGCCAGTGAAGGAGCGCCCATAAGCAGGGATTCCAAGGAGTATCTTACTGGGTGGAACACCTTGTCGAACCATGTATGACACGGCGGAATGAGACGAGATCGCTGCCTCGGGGCTGTGGGGTATTTGGGGGGTGAACAGTTGCGCTTGGTGGCCAGTCTTTTGCACCCAGGGACCAGAGTAATCGTAGGACATGAGATTGATGAGGTCGAGATATTGCGCAGCATGGCCTAGGTTGATATGCTGGAGAGCCCACTCGCCTGCTGGTAGCGCCGACGTGAGCGTGTACCGTGGTCCTGGAAGGTAGTGTCGTAGTGTGGCTAATAGCGCAATGTAGTGCTGGCCTTGTGCCTGGTCTGATGGATGTTCCCAATCGACTATATCAACCGTAAGTCTTGTGAAGCAACAGTTGTACCAAAAAAAGACTTACTGTCTATTCCATCGAGGTTGAACTGTTGACAAAGAGCCAATGATGTTTGCGCAAACGTTTCTCTAGCAGTCGGATTCCTGGCAACTTCTGCGAATGGTTCACTTCCTTTTCCACCTCCACCCACAGAAAGAACGATACGAAGCTTGGTATACTTTTTCTTCAAGAGTGCAAAAGAGTTCAAGCAACCTTTAGTTGCTGGCACGTCGTCAGTCCCCGCCACTTCTATCTGTGTGTCTGCCCATTCATCGCTCAACTATAATAATTTAGCATCATGTATGGTCCTATGAAGGTCCGTAAGAAATGAATCATACATAAACAGTTCCATCTGTCTTCACCCTATTTCAAAAGTCAGATCATCAAAAATGGAAGGGTAGGCTGGAAGAATATTATGTACCAAGCAAAAGCATAGAATGCATGAGAAATCACATCAAAATTGAGTGAAGACGGGGGTTGATCCCGATAGATCCGCCAATTGGGATAGTAAATGCCGTTCCAGTACATTTTCAGTAAAGGCGTCGAGAATGTGTTATGTTCTTCGAAGGAGGATGAAGTTGTTGAAATAGGTGGGGGATACATTGTCTCCGGATAGTCGGCGCACCACGTGTTCGGCCTAGACGGCTAGTCGAGCTGCTTACTTCCGTAGGGCCCTGCACGTCAGTTGATATGCATGTACCAGGGGAGGATGACCCGAGTATTATATTCGTGTTGTGTACTATGCGGATAGAATATAAAGACTGGTCAGGAGTCGCTAATGCTAGAAGGAATGTTGAATTTCGACTCAGAGAGATCGGAAATGGATGGTAAATTAAGGTTCAGTAGCTTCAGTAGCTACTGTCCCCACGCTGTATTGTCCGTACAAGTCCGGAGAAAAGAAATTCAGAAAAGGCTTGGACTAGAAAGGGACTTGGAGAAGTGCACCATAGCCTTCTATATGTATTCGGATCTAGCCTCGTATCAACGACGCCATCACAAGTAACGCTTGATGATCATCGTGGAGCCGTTCTCAACTTGTAGTGTGAGTAACTTGAAAAGGGAAAGGCTCCCTAAAACGGAGACACCATGCCACTTACAAGGTAGAAATGGCGGCTTGTCAGATCAATGTAGACTGCAGGACGAGTACTAGTGGACGACCTAAGGGCCGCCTGCAATGCATTCGTCTAAAATAGACGATTGAATTGCGTGTAATGTTTTCACATTGTATAACTAGCAAAGTTCGGCAGTGCTCTCACATGCTCTTCCAAATGTTGAGATAATTTGATATGCTTGAAACAACACTCATCAGTGATCAGAAAGGAAGATGTGCCTGAATCTCGTTTCTGCGGCACTCGGATTGCCCACAATGCGTAAAAGAAATTCAAAGGCTCGGTTGTATGAGGGTGTGAGGGGCAGAAACATGTTGACCTATGGGACCATTACGTTTCAAAGGCCTTCGCATCGACCAGGGTGCGTAGAATTACGGGATTGCGCCCAACCCATGTGTTTCCTGCATGTGCCGTGCCGAAGATTTCGTCTAGATACTGGGATTTGGAAGACTGTAGGGATATAGGGTGGGCAATGCCGACACCCCACAGTACACATTGCTCTACGAGTCAATCGGACAGAATGAGGAATTGAAGTACTTATCAGACAACAGGCACAGAATCAAGTACTACAAGACACCGCTTCTCTCAGTGAGAGGCCAAGAGTTAAACCAAAGGCATAGGCATGAGAATGGATCAAGTGCTAAAATGATTTTGCTATGAGGAATTGGGCCTTCTGAAGACTGTTCACAGCACTACCAAGGGCCATTGAAGAGCAACACCCTGGCTTGGACACCAACAGACTGTCTGTCTACTTCATTCCGTACTTATCGTAGTATTACTGCAAATGTAAATGGAACTCGGGCATGAAGTCCCTGGTGCATGAAATTGGCGACCAGTCACGCTGGTGTAGCAGCAACATCTGGAACCATCAAAAGCCGCATCGAAGATACCAGAGCGGCATGCGGCATACAGTATTCCAAAAAGAAAAGAATGCAGCAATCCCAACCCGATCCTGGTGCCGCATCGAACAAAGTGCATTGTTGATGAAGAACGGGGGATCGCCGCTATTCATGACATGCATGAGAATTGCGCACGGGCCTCTTCGAAGCAGCTCCGACTCCAAGAATGATCGCATACTCTCTGTCAACCTCCCCGTCACGATCGACTGCACGGCTTTTGCATGTTCTGCGCCCTTCAGATCAGTTGATCTACCGACACAGACACCACGTCTTCATTCAACACTAGTCTCGTTCTAGCTTGCGCAAGGCGTGACGACCGTTGCCAACTCGCCACCACTGCATAGCTCGCCCCCATCGCATCTATCCATCCGGCCTGTAGCTTATACGGAGCTCCAAAGGTCTTCGACGACGATCCTTTGACACAATCTTCACGACGAACGTACTCGTAACACCTTTTCACTATGACGGCTGAAATCCAGCGGTCTCTGGCGCCAGATCAGGCTGGATCTGCCCTGAAATCGAGCTATAACTTCGCTTTCGCGAACTTCCTCAAGCGCGAATACCGCTTTGGTCTTGATCCAGAGAGACCAGTATGCAAGGCATATATGCAAGGACATTGTCCCATGGGCAACAACTGTCAAGATAAGCATCAAGTATCTTCGTCTTTCAACAAGTGCGTTCCATTCTGACTATGCTCACGTTGCTTCTGCTAACCATTACGAAGTCTCGTTTGCAAACATTGGCTGCGTGGGCTTTGCAAAAAGGGCGAGACCTGCGAATTCTTACACGAGTACAACCTCCGCCGTATGCCTGAATGTTCCTACTACGCAAGAACCTTAACGTGCTCAAATGGCGACGACTGTCTCTACCTTCATATCGATCCGGAATCGAAACGCCCCCCCTGCCCTCACTACGACAGAGGCTTTTGTCCCCTCGGTCCCCACTGCGCTCTGAAACACAACAAGAAAGATAAGCTCTGTCCCTACTACCTCGCGGGTTTTTGTCCGGAAGGCAAATCTTGCAAGAACGGCGCACATCCTCGCTTTCCCCTCGACCTGAAGAAACCCGAAGTGCGAGTAGAGAAAACGGCAGAAGAATTAGAGGCAGAAAGGCTGGAGAGGGAACGGGAACGCGAGAGAGAGGAGGAATTGAGTCATGATCGTGACGGAGCAACACACCATGGATCTCACAGAGGTCGTGGTAACTGGCATGGAGCCGACCGCAAGAAGAGAGGAGGAGGGGGAGGAAGAGGAGGCCCAAGGCGCCGCGGCGGCTTTTGAGTGGTGCGAGCATGCCACTGACTAGTGAAACTACAAAACAAGCATCATCGCGGCGGAAACCATGCATGGAAGTGAACACGGAGACCTTGGTATTCCCGACTCTTTGCCTATTGCGATGCTCTTAGGGATGGTGCACTGCATCTAGAGAGTCATCATGATACTCTACCCATCCTCCACAACGGTGTTCGGAGATGCGGTGCGATGCACTTGCCAAGAGCTAGATTGGGCTGTTTTTCCCATGCCAAATGCAAGCTGGGCACTCAAACTGTTAAACATTAGAACGCGCCCATTCGATCGTACTGGCAGGCTCTGAAATTATGGACCTGGTCATGAATGACGATAGCCATAAAGAGCATCCACCATCTAGGAAACCATCTCGTATCTTTAGTCGCCGGAGGAAAATCATCAACCGGCGAAGACGACGGTTAGATGATGTAATGATACCCTGTCGAATATCCAGCCTCATAATGTAACTACGTACTTAGCTACTAATTCGACAGCGTCCCCTGGGGGCTGAAGTAGACTACTTAGAAATGAATTCTTCTTCACATCTGCCCGTATAACTTCCGCTTGTGCTGCGTATTCACCTGCGTTCCCAATATCGTCTAAGCTTCCTCTCACAATGTGACACGTCTTCTCCTTCCTCTCTTCTAAGGACTTGTATCTCGCGCGAATGTAACTATACTATACCCGTAAGATGATCGTATTATATCACGAAATTAACACGCCGCTTCAGGCATATATCTAGGGGCCCATCGGTAATCAACACAATGTCACAAGTGAAACTTGTAGTGAATCCGGAGAGGAATCATCTATAGCCCGATCACACTTGTGCTAGTATGCTATTCTATTCTCATATAACACTGTAAAATTGCAGTCGATTTCTCTTACTCTTGCGCAATCCATACTTCAAATCAAAATGCATCCTGGAGTACAAGGGAGATCACAGACGGCATGACGTCCCCGTGATACGTCACAGTCGACTTCCTTCCTATTTTAAGAACCCACGATATTTGGCATGCGCGTCTAGCTATTTCGAGGTTGGTCTGCAAGTTTATTTCAATAGGTACCAGCAAACTTTAATTTGACTTCAGCATTGCAGGTTGGTGGGCGGATGGCATGCACTGCTGCGATTCATCTCTCCCTGGGAGCGGAAAGACGTATGTGGTGTTTTGGTCGTATACGGTTCCGAGAATGCGCTACTGCTTTGCATCCATCGCAACGTGCTACACGGTCGATCCAAAAAGTGCATTTAGGAACGTAGAAAGTTTATCATACTGTCATTACTGAGGCTGGTAGATTGTTAGAATTGCTCGAGTGATCAGAAGCTGCCTTGCTTGCCCATGTTATGAACACCTCAACACTCATTCATCCCCTCACGCCCCTTTCCTTACAGCATTACTCTATCCTAGCGAGGGACGAAAACTGACCATGTCAAGGCTGAGACCACAACATGCTGTACCTGCCTGTCATCGATGGCGTGCATGCGGTGCATCAGATTCCACGTGTATGCAACCGAGTTGATCGGGCTTGCTAGAAGACCAAGAAACGTCCCTGGTTGTGGCTGCTGTAAGACGAGTCCCTGCATCCCGAGGAAGGATGTTCCCTCGAAAGAATCCACGGGGATGATCGATGTATCCCGCCGCTATTCAGACCCAATCCAGAACGTAATATCTGTCTGATCGTCGGTACTGAAAGACGAGTCTGGCGATATCACTGTTCGAGCGCCATTGGATCTATATGCGTCATTTTGAATATTCTTCCCTCTTAATTCAATGGTATCCTCCCCCTGAGACCTGCGACTATGCCGGTTTCTATTCGCGTTCGATCCTCTACCAATCAATTCAGAATTACAACCGTTAGCCAATAGATATGCTGGAACACCCACCATCGGCTTACGTAGGAACGTTTGTAGTTATCTCAACCAACGTCTTGTTTCCAGGTCGCTGAATTATTTGACGATGCATGCTAGAAAGGTCCTCGCCAGCTTGGTTGGCATGTAATCGTATGCGATTTCTTGATGAGGTCGTCTTGTTCGAATTGCCGACAACGACGTTGTTTCTCAAGTCGAAGCTTGGGAGACTTTACCAGCCTCATTGTGAATGTTTGTTGAAGACCTGAAGCAGACATTAAATATGCACATTTATCAATCGTGAACATGGGCAACAGTAGAAGAAGGTAGCTCACCAAGTAGTGCATGTACCGAACCTCGAAACAGGACGTGAAAGAGTCAGCCAATATCGACCCAGTGAATTGGGTCGCAAAACCTAGTAATGGAAGGATACAAAGATTATTAGTACGCAATTCAAGTCAGAGTCATAGGGGACTGAGAACATCATAGTCCTTTTGGGACGACGTTAAACGATGACGTCCATTGTCATGCCTGGAGAATTTGCTGCCTGATAATTATGGCATTCAAATCCTACGTCATTTCATAGAGAAGAGAGTCGTTGCCATACTTGTACTACGAGTAGCTCGTATTCTCGTAGTTAGTAGATATACATGCCTGTTCCACGCTACATATTTACTGTATTACACCCTCACCGGATCGATTCGTTATTAGTCTTTGGGTCTTGCATCTTATCCCATTTACGAAGGTTAGCTATTTTTCGATGCAGCGTTTACCACACACAGTTAAACGAGTCGGCGGTTCCCACACCTTTCCGCCAAACGAAGGGAGACCCACCATGCCCACAAACTACTCCTAAGAATCAAATTTTGTCATTCACCTACCCCTGTCTCCACCACATCCTCTTGTAATTTCTTCCCTCCACCATCCCAATTCATAAACCAATTTTTCATAGGTATATCATCTTAATACTTTTGAACTCATCTCATCAATCGATTAGTCATCAATCAGCATCGGTGGTTTAGTGGTAAAATTAGCCGTTGCCATCAAGAGATTCCTTCTTCTTCAACTCCCCAAAACGAATTGAAGTCATCTGGTTTCTCGCAAGGTTCGGCTAGCCCCGGGTTCGATTCCCGGCCGATGCAATGAATGAATTGATTCTTTTTTGAAGGTTTTTTTTATGCTTCAAAGGGTGGTGGTGGTGGATCGCGGAAAATTGTAAGCGGGTTGTGGGTACGGCTAAAAATTAGACTGTCAGGAAGGGAAACGGGCCGCTAGTCATCTATCAAACAACAACAAACTCCATCAAGTCAGACTGACACTATTAATGTCGTTGAAATTTCTTTTGCTTTTGCATTTGGCCAATGCACGAGAGGGACAATGGCTCACCGGTGAACTAAGCTCGGAGCATCTGCGATTCTGGTCGGTTTTTCCAAGTATGAGGCGTTATCAATGACGAGCCATCAGACCGTCTAGGCTGTAAATGCAGTGGAAGCGGATCAGAAAGAGCGACAACCATGTCCAATGAATTGTTATTCCGTCCGTATTGTACAACGTTATGCAATACTTATCTTGGAGATATACTTATTGCATAAGAAGCGAGCACATAGCAAGTGCAACTTTGTGTATCCTGTCCATAATTAGATGTTCGGAGCCAATGACTCGGTCACCAAAGGATGGCGTTGGGCGTTGAAGTCTCCAATCCCATCGGTCTGGATGTGCATGATGCAGAAGCATCACTAGCTGGTAGATGATCATCCTGGACGATGATCTCGTCGTGGCATTGGTTGACGTATCCCAGGGAAGTGTATCCTTGCCTCCCAGCCCTCGTATTGCGTACCACTGTTCAAATGCGGACGCCGACGCCCGCCATCGCAGAATCAATTAGAGATGTATAGAGCTGGTCGCAGTGTATCAGCAAAGATTACAGTCCAGCTAAGAGGAGGAAAGCACGTTGAGTAAGTTAGCGGCAGATCTGAGCGCTGCAACAGGGGCCGTTTGGGAACCCAATGCATGTCCAAGGGCGCCCCAATTCATTTGCAGTGTTCTGAGACTTTGTCATTGAATGGCCATTTGTTCCGACAGGTCGAGGTGTTCCGCGGACCTTAACGTTGAGCTGCACAATCAATGACCACGGCTCGCAAAGCATCGTCCGCCTTGGTTTCTGTAGGAGAATCTTGACCCAAACATGGGTATCCAGTTGGGCACAGGGAAGTTCAGTCGCCCTAAATGGTACAGCAGGAATCCGCGTCCTTGACAGAGGGAAGATCTAATTATCTTGGGAAGGGGACTCACCGATCATCAGACAGCAAACCTACGGATTATGCCAGTCGCTATCGTGTTAATTTTGTACAAAAGTGCCTTCAATTATAACATGTTACACCAAAAGCCATAAAGGAACAAGATATGGAGCATCTTGTCTGGGATCGTGGGCCTGGGCGTTCCGAGACACCTTCTTGACATTTCTGCGTGATGGTACGGAAGAGGAGAAACGGAGCAAGGTGGATGTCGTTCTAGGCCTTGGAAACGGGGGTTCCAGTGAACAAGACTGGCGCGACTGACCCTGAAAACCTATGGTTGGCAGCAATGGTTTCGAGATATCACATCTTCAACTGCTTGACTACACAGTATGGTATGGCATTATCAGTGAGACTGCTATCTCCGCCAATACCACAACCATGCAAATCGTTTCCTTCGTTAGCAAGCTAAATAATCAACAGAACGTCTCGGAACTTTCTAACCGCGCGCTGCCAACTCGCACCCTCTAAACATCTTCACCCACGCCAACCTCATCAACCTAGCAATCGGGCCGATCTTGCGAGTCTGTACGCCTGTGTAGGATGGGAGTTGATGTAAGATCGAATCTATACTCCGTAATTAATCGAGAATAGGACCATAGAAACGTAGAAACACAATACTTTTGTCATAGGTATACAATCGCCTCACACAGGTACCTTTATGGTCCATGCTGCGGCATAGCCTTGGCTTGAACTACACTACACCTCCCTATTTATTACAATAGTCAGCCGAGCCCGTCTTGAGAATGGTTCCGCGCTCTCCTTGACACTACTGCTAACATTATAGCAGTTCCATACCTCATTCACACTATGGGTCAAATCTGCTTCTTGGTCAGTACATATCAGTTTCGCTCTCTCTTCGGCGCGCACTGCTCGTCTATCTGCGTCTGTCTCGTCTAGTGAACTAATCAGAATATTGTCCGGCATTAGGTCTAGCGTTCAGCATTAAGATCGCTGCTATCGAGTAGCCATTCTTCTCCGAATCATGGTCTGCGGGATTTCTCCACTCATCAGGGCCAACTCCTACCACTATCATCGACGGACCGACTCCCGAATACGATTTATAGTAGGACAGGGTATATGGCACGATTCGCGACACACGCTATGTACCTCGTACTGTTGAGAAAGACGGGGAAATTGTGGAGAATCCTGAGCGCTTGTTCTAACGTCTCTGATCGCTTTGCACGATGGCAATTGTCGGACAATCATAAGACAGTCACTACCCAATGGTACTCTAAGCTCTTGAACATTGAAGCCCGTACTAGAATGTCTGGCAGAGCTGTTTGAATAAGGAAACTTGTCGGGATTTCCTGTGATCAGCGACTTCGTCATCTGGGATCCACTTTGGAGGCATATTGAATGGTGTAAGATAGGCAGCTCTACGGCTCGCACAGGAAAGAAAATCGGGGTGGCGGAGCGCAGGAAAAGTGCTTATGCGCCATACACCTCTATTGGTTGGACAACAAGAATGGAGTATCTGTAGCGCATTGAGTATTGCTTGTGGCTTATGTGGAGGGCGTACTTATGACACTGGAATTCAAAAAAATTTCGCCCTTATAAGTTGTACAAGGCAATTCGCAGATTGCGTCGCTAGTTGTTGCGAGGAAGCAGGTCCCAACATGACGCGATGAAGAACGGTGCGCGGATGCCTGGTTGGAGGCCCTGTCCAGCCAGGCAACAGAACCAATTAGTCTACAGATGTCGTGGTCGTCTCGAAGCTGTCTGGCCGTGACACAAACAAGTACTTCGTAGCAAGACAAGGCTAGCTGCGCACATCCCATTGAGTTGACAGTTTGGATGCACTGCATATGCATTGAGACCAGCACAGGTATACTTTATACCTCACGAAGAGGTTGGCCAGTTGAATTGCAGCAATCCACTTTTAATTATGCCATTAGCTGCCCGGATCGGATGGGTGCATCATCTGGTATTTGAGAGGGAAGCTTACGAAATACATGGTTTGTACTCCGTACAGGTCGCCCACCAAGAAGCCGCAATTTGCCTCTGGCAGTGAATGAAAGGGTACATCTTTTTATTTCCTCAATTCGACGAAGTTTGAAGCTTCAGTTTCCGCTGACCCAGCTTTTCACCCTGGTACTATATGGGTTGTGACGTGTAACTCTAGGTCATGCGAACGCTTCCCTCGTACGTTGGGGGCGCGATCGTTTCATTAACGCAATCAGAATTGCATTCGACTGTTGGCGAGCACGAGCAAGATCACTACGAGATGTTACACAGAAGGAGGTCGGTTAAAAGGGGGGCCTCTGTGAGTTGGTAGTGATCGGCGATGGCGGAAATTAGAAGAGAATCGTCCAGAAAGTAAAAGATGTCTCCGATTCTTGATGGTCAGCCGTTGGCCAGAGGATACGATCGATAGTGTACTGAGCCATTGGATAGCATGCTCCTTTTGCTTGTTTCAACCCTGATACAACTTGCTTACTGCGATACTTAATTCACAATAGGCCATGGCCACAGCTTCAATTGGGATATGTTTGAGCGTACGTTGAGAACTTTAATGTTGTCGTTTTCCTTGGCAAACCGCTTCCGCGTGAAATGGGGGATGTTGTTCGCTTTGGCTGGAGCCTGTATGTTCTGCGCCCTCTCCCCTTTGCATCCCCCACACAACCTTTTCCAACGCGCACAACAATTTTTCATCTTCCAAACATCTTTCTTCAACTCTTTAGTGTATCTCATTCCCCTTCGACACGCATGCGGCTCGCCCCAGATGTCTCATGATTATCTCTCGTATTTCGCGGCTTCTCGTCAACAGTGGATCTCGCATACAAGCCGGAACCTACAGGTCGCTTGTCAGGTCGGTTCCAAGCCTCCAAAGTGATAGCCCTCTCTTCACAGCTCTTTACAGCGTGCGTAGGTAGGTATACAGTGAAGTGGAACAGGGAACAGAGGTGAACAACAGCGATCAGAGAACTATCATACTCTCAACAACAACGCGAGATATCTGACCAGTCGTGAGACAACACCAGAAAACACAGCAACAGGAATGAAAAGAGGGAAGAACGCGGTCAAGGAATACTGAATGTAGGCATGTCCCATTTTTTACCTCCCATCAGCGAATTCAAACAGCGATATCGGCTCTAATTATCTTTCCACAGGGGATTAATCCACCCGATCTAGCCCGGACAAACGGCCGAAGCATCCCTTCTTGGAAGGAGCGTGGGGAGACCGACGTATGGCTATCCGCCTCCCACGATGACCCTACGGCCACGATGGCTACGGTATTCGAGTCACAAAGGGTCCAGGAAAATCAATCCAAGGGCTGATGGTATGTGTTCTGGTGAATAGTACTTGGTCTGAAAGTCAATCTTTCGCTGGGCAGTCTTGTCAAGATAGATCCAGTCAGCGCTACGGTATGGGTCTCCTGGTTGGGACAAGCAGGCATGCCCCAAACACCGAGTGCTGTGGGATTATGCTGCATGGAAGGAGAATTGTTGACGAATCACAACAATAGCTTCTAACCACTGGCAGACGTCCCTCTTTCGCTAGTCTAATGGTAATCACACCAGTCCTTGAACAACTTGGGGACAGGACAAAGCTCTGTAATATGAGTGTTCTGGACAAGACATTTTGAGTTAGCCAATAGTGCTACCAACAGACACAGAATTTCTCCCAGGTCGGTATTTAGTCCTCTCGCATATGTAGCGCTTTCCTGGAAGATCAATGAAAGATGCAAAACTAACGCTACATACCTCTGCAGCAGAGTCAAATCGAATATCCTACGGACTATTTTAGCCATCGGGCAATCACACAACCCATAGGTACGAAAGGCAATCAGAATATCGCAGCAGTCGGGGTTTTCTCGACACAATGTTCGATAGCAGGGTAGTTGTTCCTACAGCCGAAAAGCAATATAACATTACAAGGCAAACCACCAGAATTCCGGTCTACACCACATAAACACATGACGTTCCGCTTCAAGGAGACTCCATTTTTCTATACTACGGATTGAAAAAACTTTTGTCTTGAGAAAATCTGAAACCATTTTGTATCTAGGATTTGTTTTTTTCTTTTCTGCCATGTGGAGCATCTTGTACATCTTTGGAAAGATAATTGATACTTTGGTAAGGCTCGGACATTGTGAGGAGGATATTTAAGCGAGTGTTGAGCTAAAGTTGAAGTTCAGAAGTGCTTTTGGTGGATGGGAGGAACCGCGTTCAACATAATAATTAGCGTCAGGGGTCGTTCGGGCTCTGATGGTACAGTACAATGTCAGACTTGTTTTGCGTCTCTAGGGATTGGTGTGTACTTACAATACTGGTCTTAAGGGCGACCAGAACGCCACGAGAAAATGATCAGCTTGAGAGACATGACCTTGCTCGCACGCGGCGTTGCGTACTGGAACCACATAATCATGGGTAGAATGATTTCCCCCAATGCCTAGCGAGTGTTGGAAAGCGGTGGGGACGGCGATGGGGAAGATTCCGCTGAAGAACTCTTAGAAGATCCCTTCGAAGATCTTTTCGAAGATCGTCTTTTTCGACGTTCTTCGGGGGGTGGCGCTGGGAACGTTTAGCAACTGTAGAGGAATATAGACGTACTACTCCACTCACTTGGTTCTAATGAATATTAGCACATGTAGAGAAATGCGAGGGTTGTACAGCACTGACTTGGTTCCGGAGGAAAGGTCGGGATGGGTATATTCCTTCTCGTCATATTTGGAGGGATCTCCAATTCCACAATGCTAGAAAGCAATGAAAGACCAGGTTAAAGATGCCCGCCTTTCTGTGAGATGAGCATTGGATTTTCTGCCTTTGATACGAGGGAGGAAAAGGGAACTGGCTGGCTTTAAATGGAGCTGTACGGCACTAATTCAGTCGCCTACGGATAGACGCGAGCTGTCATCTCCAAGAAGCGGACAGGGAGGTGGTATGAGAGTTGCTTAAACAGATAAGAAGTGGTAACTAGGGGGGGGATGGCGTACAACACGTTGGGATGGGGACTGGAGCCGGTACCGCACTAGTATCATAACCCCAGTGATCCACGTCCAAACAATCGGGGAGACGGGATGGAGACATGATGAACACTAGGGGCCAGGGTATCACGGTAGACAGTGTTAGGACGCGTTTATATCTGCTCGATAATATGCACGCCTCCCTTTTAAGCCAAGGTTGAAAACACCGTGCAACAGGTGAATTGTTGTGCGTGCGTGTGCCTGCAGTCAGATCCTTTCTTGGACGGCAGACGCCAGGCACGGCGACGAGTAGAAGAACATGGTCCCAGGTCTGTGTTTCTTCATCGCTCTCGGTGTTGAAAGACAGCTTGAAATGGTGATTCGGTGTGCAGTAATCGAATCCGGTCGAGGTATGTTGCAAGGTTGTAGTGAATGAGCCGTTGTGATATAGACCACGAAGATAAAATGAATGAGAGTAAAATTGGGCATGAATTCTCTTACTACTTGACGCGATAGCGGTGAAAGGGTAGGCCGCCATGTTGTGGGCCTTCTGCCCATTATCAGCATTGTTTACAGGATTGGCATAGAGTAGGCGGTCAGAGCCGAGGGCCGTACCAACCTTCCATCCACATCGTAACAACCAAATGTGCTCCCCCGCAACCAAACCACCATTATCTTGTACTATCAGTCGTAACCCCTACGAAGACAGCTACGACCGCGAAAAAGGCGGCTGTATAGTTAAACATTTCTGAGCGAGAATGCTGCTGTGAGAGGACGATTGCAGCAAAGGCAAAGACCCAGCCTATTCCCCCCGAAACAGCGATGCGGGGCTTGAGAGACCGGATGCTTGTCAATACAAACATGGTTACCATCATCAAAATTGGTATGAATGTACAGACGATGAAATCCACGGTCATGCGTATTGTATCGAGACCGACACTTGTTTCCATAGTCCCTTTGGCTGCGCCACGACGGAAGAAGCTCCAGATGTGATTCTCGAACCATTTACTATGGTTGATATAGAAGTTGGTGAGAACATCATTCTTACCCGTATCCAGGATCGAGCAAAAGTCTTCGGCTGTCTTGTCCTCGTAGTCTTTGGACGATTCACCCGTTGGACGATACACACCGCTTTTGTCGAAAAGGGAACGATAATACGTCAAGAATTCGCCAAAGTAAGGATGCTGTGCTGGTAGCCTGTATATTTCACCAACCAAGCATAGATCTTGCGCTGACACCATGAGTCAGCTATATTCAAAGAGTCCATTTGCAGTCCTCCCCTGGATGGTTTACTAGTCAGACTTACCATATTCACGAAGACTTCCGTCATACTCTTTCCATGCGTTTTCTACACGCTGCCATAACAGACCAAGTCCATCTTTGTTCTCCTTTATCTTCTTTCTCACATCACGCCTAGGACAAGTGAACGTGGTCAAGCTCTTGGACCCATTCACCGAGAGACATACCAAAGCCTCGTCGACGGCCTTTTGTCGCTCAAGGACTTCGGCCACGTGATCATGCAATCTTTTCGCCCACTGAGCCCCAAACAGACGGAATTTTGGAATCGCGGGATAGTTTGCAACGTTCTTATAGAACTTCTCGTGCAACTCGAGGAGACTTTCGGCGTTTTCGATGTCCGGCATAGTGTGTTGTTGTTGTACCCAGCTCTGCCCCAAAAAGATAATTAGCGTACGTATTTTCCCCAGTCGAAAAGCAATAAAAACTAACTTAGTCTATAGTTCTGTCTGTTTCCAAAGTGGAATCATATACGACAGAGAGACAGTTCTGGCTGCTTATATATTCTCTTCTTCGGGGTCTACTTCAGCCTTCCCCTCGGGTGTCTTCATCGAATGACATTTTTCGCCAATCCCACTATACGTCTGTCCGCACGATGATTTCAAGCATTTCGGCAGAGCAAGAATCAGGCAAACGTATGCCTGGGAATCTCCATAGGGCTTTCCAAAAGGCTAACTGAAATCTGGGGCTTAGTATCGTTGGAGGCCAGGTCGTCGATGTACGAGACATGCGACTTCACCCCAAATCGCCATTAGTAACCACTTGCAACCCTCCACCAACACGCTTGTGGCCCGATAAGACTGTAGGACGTGAGCTCGTGAGCAGAAGGATACGAATATGCGCAGAAGGACGCCAAAATGCGCCCGACAAGAGCCTCTCGCAACCCTCCAAAAACCTCGAAATCTCACGATGTACGATCGCGGCACAGCCTCAGCCTGATGACTACATGGATTGCCATTTCGTGCATAAGGCGACGCGGAGTCTGAGGAAAATTGGGACCACGGTGTCGAGCCATGACCCACCATCAACGCTGGAGGACGCATCGATCCGTCCCGGATACCGGGCGGGCCGTAGTCGGTGAGTGCCATCGTCTGACCGGAATGACGTTGCTGGTATGCTGCTATTCGTACATGCCGAGTGAATTGACTGATGGAAGGGGGCCGCTTGAAAAGGTCGAGGAGAGAGCCAATACTTGAATGCCAGGGTCGACAGAAATTACGACTTCCAACCACTCAGAAATCAGCACAGATGGATAGTCGGATCTGTATGGCGAAGCCCCTGTCACAACGCCACATATCAACATCGAAATGCCGTGATGGAAGAGTTGAAACCGTGGGAAAGCCAGGGAAGTACGAGAGAAGGTACCCCAACAACATAACCGAGGATCGAGGGGCGATCATCCGTACATCCGCAAATTCTTCCCGTCTTCATGTTTTCAAATCAAAACTACATTCTTGGAGGCCAGTTTACGCACGCTAAAGCGACAAAACATAATTGGATATCAAAACCATTGTCACATCTATGGTATTGGTGGTAGGTGCTGTATCAATGTGACAGTCGTCACTCGCTGCTAGCTCTCAATTCGTCATCCAGTTCTGCATACCCTGGTTGTGTATGACAGCTTTCAGCAGGATTGGATAGATGTAGCGCCAATGTATAACTACTGGCTGGAATGGGAACTTTAGGGGCTGGGATGATCAGGTAATACCCCCCACCAGCCAGCACGCAGTAGCCACGAAAGCGAACGGCTATGGGACTAGATTCCAGGGAGCATCAGTATGCCATTAGTTTCCCATTTTTTGTAACATTTGGTCCAGTACTACTATCTAATAAGTGCCAGACCGTGATCCGACGAGACAACTACGAGGTACGTTGGAACAATGGCATGCTATGGTTAAGACTAAGCCTACGATGGACAGAGGGATCTTCTAAAAAGCAGAGCGGCGTAGCCTCCTCGGCAATGGGCTTACAACAACAAGCCACTCACATGTAAAGCCCGAAAAGAGAGTATACAGGACGTTGCCACGTCGGGTTGTTGGCCTGCGAATTACCTTGATTCGCAGCATCGTTGCTGTGAGCGAAGTGCTTCAAGAGCCTAAAGATTGCACGGATTCTTCCTTGTTGTAAAGAGGTTTGGCACGCCGGGTTTTACACCTGCTAGTATCAAGTACAATTTAACTTCAACCAGCTCTTTGTAGAAAATGAGAGGCTATGGATACACGATCTCCTGTATCTGCTGAAACCTCTGTACACACTGAAAACACTACCGGTCGCGGGCGGACAACTTAACGTGATTACCCCCCGTGCCTCTCTACAGAAGAGGATGAAATGACAGATGCCGATTGATATTATGGCAATATATTTCAATGTAATATGCATCGCTTCCATAGCGAAGGTCCACTTCGTTTTTCATTGTGCAGAAGTAAGGCGCATCCATATTGAATAAGTAGATCGAATAACTAGCTCTGGACATATAATTCCCGGTGATTTGTAGAGTTCATTCATGGGACAACGTACTGTGTTCAGCTGTTGGAGGTCAATGAAGGAGTGAAAGGGTCTTTCACGTGCCGAAGCATGGGACCGAATTGGCAGAGCAGACGTTGATTGGTGGAGGATGCCAAGATGACAACTACCTAAAGAGGAAAGGTCTCCCGAGCCATGCCGAAACATGCGAGGGCGCGTCAGACGCTGTCAAACGCAAATCGTTGACTGACTTGTCTGCTCTGCCTTTACACAATAACCACTTTACCACTTTATACTTCCCGCTTCTCGTTTCCTGCTGCACCTCAATTCCAGAACTCAATTTTCCATATACCCCACCTGCGGTACACATGGACCGTTGCTGCTTCGCATCGCTGTAAATTTATTCCGAATCCGCTCGCCCCTCCTACGAGTCGTTAAATTCTCCCCCAAAACTCTCGCCTCCTATGTCGCTCCCATCTCCCGCGACTCATCCAACAATGCCGAGCGCAAGTAAGAGCCCCAGCCCGCCTTTTGAAGCACGTCGCGGAGACCTGTTGCATCTAATGACACATGCGCTAACATTCCTTCTACCTCTCAGAGACTGCTGCTCACGAATGCGTTTCCGAAGATGCCCTGCAACACCTACGGACCTATAAATATTCCAGCGTCGACAAATCTTTCATCTCACGATACATCCTAAAGCACTACGTACGGCGCCCCTAACTCCTGTACAACCTTCACGACGACTCCTCATACTAATGCATACGGCACAGTGGAATGCGTTTGTGGAGCTGCTTCCGCTCTGGCTTGCGCCGAACCTCGTCACCCTTCTAGGTTTCTTCTTCATATTAGGAAATGTGGTTCTGTTAGAGGTCTACGTACCTGACTTGGTTGGACCGGTATATCCGGAACCTGAAAAGCCTTTAGAGAAAGCGTAGGATACTGACTCTCGTGACAGGCGCCATCCTGGGTATACTTTAGTTTCGCTTTTGGCTTGTGGATGTAAGTCGGTTCAACGAGCGCATCGTGGATCTCAGACTGATGAATGTGCCATTCAGGTACTCAACTATGGACAACGTAGACGGCAAGCAAGCGCGACGAACTGGGACATCAAGCCCTCTAGGCGAGTTGTTCGAGTATGTTATTATCCATTGTAACCACTTCAGCAGCCAGGAGCTAACAAATTTAGTCACGGAATTGACTCTTTGAATTGCACATTGGCAAGTTTGCTTGAGACTGCAGCAGTAGGGTACGGTTCGGGCTACATTGGCGCATTCACTGCTCTTGTCCCGGTTCTTCCTATGTTCTTTTCGACCTGGGAAACATATCACACCCATACCCTCTACCTAGGATACTTCAATGGACCCACCGGTATGTGCAAATGATTGTTCAATGACTCCGTAAGTACTAATTGTAAACAGAGGGCTTGATTCTTGCATGCACATTCATGATTATGTCGGGCATCTATGGACCCGAAATATGGTCCACGCCACTGATCAAGTATTTCCCGTCTTATGAAGAGTACCTCGGTGTCATTTCCTTCAAGGATCTGTGGGTACCAATAATTCTCGTCACATTCTTCATTGCACATTTGCCAGCGTGCGTTGTGAATGTTGCGCGGGCTCGTCGCGCTCAGAATTTGCCCATCGCGCCAGTGTTCAAGGAGTGGACGCCCTTGATCATCTTCTCGGTAGCCACCATCGCGTGGCTAGGTTCACCATACTCGTTCATCCTAAAGGATAACCACTTGGTACTTTACTGTGTCACCATGTCCTTGGTTTTCGGCAGGATGACAACGAAGATAATTCTTGCTCACCTCACGCGTCAATCGTTCCCGTACTGGACTGTAATGCTTGTCCCCATGATTGGAGGCGCACTCCTTGTCAACCACCCGTATTTCACCATCACCGGGACGACTTTTGGTCCAGTTTCTGCCAAGTTCGAATTGTGGTACTTGCGTGCTTATCTCGTTTTTGCCGCAGTGGTATATGGCAAATGGGCGCATTTGGTCATCACAAGCATTTGCGATTTCCTGGGCATCAATTGCTTGACCATTCCCTCAGCCCCTAAGAACGGTGAGAAGGGTGGCCGAGCGAATGGTGCTGCCAACGGCATCCGACCAGACAAGGGACGAATGGACTAAGTGAGCACATACTTCATCGTCAGCGACTTCTTACATTAGAAGACCAACCCTCCAGCACCATCGTGCTACCTCAACCTCACGACATCTTTGAATTCTTGCATATACATGCATCAGCGGACCGGATTCGCTTATAGAACCTCCTTTTTGGCGGACACCTATCTCACTACGACGACGGCCTTGATTACATAATGTTTTATACCTGTGAGAGAGAGCAAAAGCAATTCGGCAGCATTCATACATTGTTCACGCGCTTGGATAGTAGGCGCCACAGCTTCAACAGCAACGACGGCCTCCATCTCGCGCATTCTTCTTAAACCCTTTGATCGATTAGCATAGCATTATTTGCATCATTAGACCCTACCATTACTGGCAACAGTGCCATTTCAAGCAACTGGAATTATAGCATATGCAGGCTAGTTGTTGCAACATTAATATATGAGATCTGGGCAATTTTTGATTATGTTATAATATGCGTGCGTGTGCTTCAACCATAATATCTATGTTCACGGCTACCGCCTTGCTGTACCCGCCTCGCATTCTTTACTTATCAGCAAACCTTGAATTCATGGCATTCTTCCGTTATTATCTGCCTTATACTGATGTCACTAGAGTCCGCCTTGCCATTGTTTGCATCGTCTGCCCGCACTAAATCGCAACAACTGCGCACAACGCAACCCAATCCGCCAAAAGGGGAAAATATATCGGCAGGTGTTACCATCTAGAGCAGGCAAATGTCACATGGGATGGTTAGGCAGGCTAGAGTTACATCATAGCCAGGCAAATTCTAGCAGAACAGAGCACCAGACGGGACAGAATTGTTGCACGAACACCAGCGAAACGATTGCTTATCGGTGTACATGTACATCTAGTCCTCCCAACCGTCAGCTGTAACGATATCTTGGTAGCTATATCTTAACCACCAGTCTCCCCTCCCATCCCCCATCTCACATCACGCATGTTCCAGCTACCTACCCAACGAAAATGAAACTTTCCCTACTCATGTCCATCGCCATCCTCGCTCCCTCCCTCCTAGCGATGCCCTCGTCCCTAACTCAACGGAAAGAAAAATGCACGCTGAAGTGCTGCCACAAGTGGAGATCAATCTGCCTGATGGGCTGCGTCGCAGGGCCTGAGCATGCGATTTGTGTGAGCAAGTAAGTCATAGGGCGACGAATCATGTGGGGGTTTTTGCTGATGGGTGTGGAGTTGCTCTTCGTTTGGGGCGATGTCGTGTAATTGTAAGAACAAACGTGGGATGTGCAAGGATTGAAGGGAGTGGGTTGGTGTTGGGAGGGTATACGTAGGCTGTGGGCGGTAACTTGGGGGGAAAGGGGGTTGGCATGTAATCATGGCGAGGGTTTGCGTTTATCACCTGTTTTGGTTTGTCTTGTGTCTCTGAGGTGTTGGCAGTCGTGGTTCGGGTAATTGAAGATGTTAAAGAACTACGTCAATCAGTGCGTGAAGTTTTGCAGGTTGATTCGATGCTCACTGCAGTAGCTGGCTGGATCATGGGTCCTGCAGCTGATTTTAGAGAGAGAGAGAGAGAGAGAGAGAGAGAGAGAGAAACGGTGCTTTGCAAGTCAAGTGCGTTGGAGAGAAGAAACTTATGAAGAACAAATGAGTACATTGTCAGATATCATGTCCCTTGCTGATAGCCATGATTTCGGAAGATCTATCCGACGACTCGGAATCTTTGCTCGGGTCAACTGTCTACCTGATCATTCTTGTTTTCCACATTTCTGAACCGAATTAATAAAAATTTCTTTATCGTGAAAGTAACAGTTGATTTTACGTACCAACAAGAAGAGTGCCTAGGACGCAGCTGTGTACACTGACATGCCGCGCCTGAGATGAAGCCTTCGGAAGGTTTCCGGCGGATTGCAACGCAATGTGGAAAATGAAAATTTGTGTATATTGGAGTTTGTCAACCACATTTACTACATAACAATCTCTTGCCGTGAAAATAGCTTCAACTTTAGAAAATTAACAAAGCGATGCTGACCATTTGAATGATTAGCTATAATAAAGTAATACATTGTTGTAGAATGCATTCATACTTCAATGCTGCAGGTCGTTCCGACCTGGTCCGTGCCGTTATGTATATTGAGAAAAATGTTCCGAAATCCCTACGAGAACTATCCAAATGCCACTCACACCTGGCTTTTCGCTCGTTGGTGGTGCTTCATCATCACTCACCTTTTCAATTGTGTAGTCTGCATACAGAATTTTTGTGCTATGTCCAGCGAATCAGACCGTTCGAGGAGACGGGCAGCGTGTGATGAATGCCGTAAGTCGCTTTCCGTTTTTGGGCATGCTGTTCTTCTACTTAGTCCAACCTTCGAAATATCGTCAAAGCTCAACTCCCACAGGTTTTCGAAAAGTGAAATGTTCAGGGTCTGAACCGTGTGTTAACTGCCAAAACGATCAATGTCCTTGCATTTACTCGAGTCCCAAACCACCAGGCCGGCCGCGAAAGAGGACCCGGACAACGGGTGAGGCTTGTTTTCCAACCGAGGATACCCCTTCTGCTTCAACCGCAACGCCCTTCGATTATAGTGAATTATATGGGCAAGATTCATTCTTGGACATCGCAACAGACTACCTACCGGAAGTTCAGTCAAGTATGTATCCTACCCGGATCATTTAGTCCAACTGACGCTTAATCAGACATACCACCGCCGCCGAACACGGCCATCTTTCCACACGTGACAATACCTGTCACAACACCATGCACTTGTCTTTCACTGGCATATTTGACGATAACTCGGATTCAATTCCCTAGTCCAACACTTAATGATCTATCGTCATCTCTGGCCGACCTCCACTCAGCACTTATCTCTGCCCTCACTATCCTAAGATGCACCCAATGCCCCAGGCAGATGGCGACCGCGATGCAGAACCTCTACCAGCTTTCAACACTTCTCCACAGCATAGTAGGTCGAATCCAGACCATACTCGTGCACGTCGACGCGTCCGCAAACCCACGGGCCTCATCACCGCATGCCCAAGCCCCAGAACAACCCAACCACCGTGACCAACAACATCAGTCACAGCCCTCACCATTCCCACCCCCTCCCTCTCCTTCAATCCTCTTTCCAGGCCACGACACCACCACGATGACGCGCCACCAATTCCGCGTCTTCTTCCGCAAGTTCCTCCGAGACACGGTGCTCGGTCCGCCCACAGACACTGGTGACACGACGCTGATGGGAATCATGCACCAGTTCGAGAAGCGGCAGGAGCGGTGGCACGAGGACCCGCACATGTACGAGGAGCAGGCGAAGATGTTCGGGAAGAGGACGGCAACGGTTAACGCGCACGACTGCCAGAGTAGGGTCTGCTATGTGCTTATTGAGAGGATCAAGGTGGCGATTAATGAGTTGGATCTGTGAAGGGGGTTGGGGGGATTGATTAGTGCAAAATATCGATGTCAGGGCTGGAAAAAGGGGTAACGAATATAATAATCAAAATGGTATTTATTGTTCACAGGTCTAACAACTTTTCTCCCGTGTCTTTTACAAGATTCTTTTCTTACATAGCGAGCACAGGCCCTGGTATCTTCCGAATCTTTTCCTCACAGCCCAAAAATCAAGCAATCCAGAACCAAATCCTCTGCCAGACGTTCTTCGGGATTGGTGCATGGTCGTTAGCGCACAGCTCGTCCATCTCCCTCTTTCCGCTGATGACATCGATGTCAGGGATTGGGATGGCGAAGCGCGTCCTGTAGAAGATCTTGTGTCCAGCGTAGAGCACAAAGAAGATTGGAAGCGTGATGTAGGCGGCCAAAAAGTCGGATACGTTCCAATTCTCGGGGAAGAAGACTTGGAATCCATTGGTGAGGGTGAGGATGATGAGGACGACAAGGGTGAAGTACGCCAAGTATGGCTGGAGGGGGGTCCTGTAGGGGAGAGTGTGGAGGAGGTTTTGGTAGACCATGGCCTTGCGGAAGCGGATGTAGGTGATGATGCAGACGATCCAAGCGATAAGGCCAGAGATGGTGGAGATGTTGGCGAACCAGGTGAACACCTGCGCACCGGTGTTGGAGGCGTTCAGATAAGCGAGAAGGCCGATTGCCCAGGTTGCAAGAACGGCAGCCCATGGGACACCCTTCTTGGATGTTCGACCGAAGAATTTTGGCGCGTTGCCATCGAGAGCCATACCGTAGAGGATACGCGAACCGGAGAACAGGAAGGCATTTCCGGCAGACCAGGCAGAGGTCAAAATGGCAGCGTTGATGACATGGTTGAGACCAGAGATTCCAGCACGCTGGATACCAATGACAAAGGGCGATGCCGAGGCATTGGAATCAGGGCTCAGAAGTTTGCCATCGTTGGAGGGAACAATGACGCCGATGATGAAGGAGCCGAGTCCGTAGAAGACAGCCAAACGCCAGACGAAACGGCCAGCAGCCTTGGGAATGTTGCGGCGGGGAGCAACAGTCTCTCCAGCGGAAAGCGCAATCAGCTCGGGAGAGGTGATGAAGGCAAAACCAGCCCTCACGAAGGCCGTCCAGAAGGCTAGAAATTTGCCGGTATTGCCCGGGACAAGGTATTCTTTGAATGCTCCAGGGTCATTCCAATATCTGAAGCCGAGTCTTCCTTGGTCGTTTGGACTACCTCCGAGCATGATAACGAATCCGAGGATGATAAGTCCCATGATAGTAATGAATTTGATGCTGGCGAACCAAAACTCCGACTCTCCGAAGACCTCAACAGCCACAATGTTGAGGAACAAGACGAGGACGAGGAAGATAGTGGTCCATACTGCATTGTTGACATTAGGCGCCCAATAAGCCAACAGGATACCACCAGCGGATGCTTCAGCAGCGACAAGAATTGCGTACGCATACCTTGAATATTTGTTAACAAAACCCATTGCAGGTACTTATGCAGACTATTTGATACTTACCAATAATTCCATCCAGCTGCGAAGGCCAAACTCGGGTCTACGAATCGCTTGACAAAGTAGGGGATGGTAATACCACTCATTGGCAGATACGTGACGATTTCCGCCAGATTATTCATAACATTGTAGACGATGAGCATCATGGACAAATAAGCCATGAACAAGGGAGCGGGGCCTGTGGTTGCGAGGATGCCTCCCGAACCAACGAACAGACCCGTGCCAATAGCACCACCGAGTGCCCTGTCAGCATGTTAGTTAAGATGTACCTGTAGGACGTCACGGGTGGCGAAATGCAACGCAGCGGAAGATTGATCCCACGTACAAGAATTGGATATGTCGACTCTTCAGTCCTCTATGTGTTTCTCCACCTCTCTGGGCTTCCCCAGCGACGGTGGCCGACCCGATTTGATTCTCTCCAGTCTCATAGTCGTGCGCCTTCTCGGCGTCATAGTTGTTGTAGTGACTGTCCATCTTGGCGTCTCGCAACTCGGTCATCGCGACAGTCCTGGCTGGCTGAAGGGAATGAAACAAATCTGGGGAAGCTGGGGGAGAAGTCTTTATAGCCAGAGCGGCCACCCCCGATGACGGGACATGAAAAGGGAAATTTTGCAGTGCACGGTCTTGGGTTGCAAAAGGAAGGGAACTGTGGTATCACACGCAACCATCCAGCAACTCCAACACCCCAACACCCAAGACATCCACTCATGGGCACTTAGCATCGGGAGGGCGAAATAAGGAGAGCGGAATAGGTGGGCCAAGAACGCTATCAGGACCACAAGGGCCAAGGGTCATCACTAAAGGCCGGACGATCGTCGCTATGGTCCTTGCTTCGGATGCTTGATGAAGCCAATCAACTCCTTGTCGGCGTTGCGGGGAACGATACCATCTGGGAGGCTTGCAAAAAGCCGCTGTCACCGGTACGCCTGATTTTTTTGCGCATGGCAACGGCTCAAGAATCGAGCTATGTAAGCCCAGGACAGACCATGGGAAGCCAGGGCAACAGGCACAGGGCAAGATGTTCTTTGTTCCCACGAGTTCAACGTTCCTCACTATAAAATGTCTGTCCGAAGTAGGCCCTCACACTACTTGTGCTAGCAAATGCTAGCATAGTGAATCTTTGAGCCGCAAAAAGCCGAGCATCTGTGTGGGGGGCGTAACTAGTTGAGGCTATTTTTCTCCACAGTGGCTTCTTCCATCATTCATTCTAGAAGCAAATATCAATGGTTGCGTCCATTTCTACTGGACAGTAGACACCAGTCCTGCAGCTTCTGCTCGAGATGCGCCTTTTGAAATCGTTGGTCGGTATGAAATTGTAGCAGATGTGTTGCAACATACAAATTGTCAGCTTGGCCGAGGTTCTTCTGTGCCTCGTACCAATGGACTTCGCCCACGCTCTGTAATATTAGATTGAGAAGCTCTTTTCTTGACACCCTTGGCTCTAGCATTGGCGCGCCAATATCAAAATTTTCCTCATCCAACTTCAACAATGCCCCCTTTCGTTCATCAGCACTTCGTCATCAGAATCCCCACTTCATGATCCCTACACTGAAACAATCTATCAAACAATAGAGATCCGTTGACCCGGATAAGATATCTTTCTACACTAATTCAATACAATGCTAATGGCGTTACGTAGAACTCCCCCTTGGATTTACTGTCGCGCCATAAGTTTTTCCTTCTTAGGCTAGATCATATCATTGCGCGATAAAAATAAATGGAGAATACATTATAAACCTAGATAAAACACCAAGATCAATATCTTGATTCAGGAACATAGCATGCAGAATCACTTATGTTTTGGTATCAAGGAAAGCTCCACACTGCAAGACCCTCATTGGAAAAATCCATCGGACCACCGACAAACCTTCCGATAAATGATTCCACTGATACGCACAGAGGATGTCGCAGAAAACATCTCTCCACAAAGATAAGATAAGATAGTTATTATTGCATGTAATTGAAGAAGCAATATTTCCATCGCACCGTTGTCGTACTTTTCCTCATCACCTCACAATAGCTTGATGTTTTTACCGCAGCCACCAGCCCCCTCCGAAACATAACAAACAATCCGGCATAACTCGTATGCTCGAGCCTACACTCTACCAATGCTTTGCGGAATTCCTTTCCACGTCTCCATAAGTGGAAATGTTCGCCAATCACCATATTAATCAAGATGCCGAACATCGCTATGTCGCAATCGCCTACCTGACTAAGCTCATTGAAAGAATGATTATCTATCTCGCCGCTCAAGGTACAGACATCAGGCCACATAATGTCAAGCAGTCATCTCAAGACAGTGGTTTTCAGCTTTATTTCTTTGTCGAGGAAGACATTATAACTGCCAGGTTGTAGATCCGTCCTCTCCGACATGACATATTCTATCGAGTCGCGTTGCTGACAGCCACATCTGCGCCTTGCGCCCTACGGCTTGTCGAAAGGCGCGCGTCAAACGAATACGACTCCCTAGGCATTGACAACACGCCATTGTAGGCTCCTACTTGTTGTTCGACTCGTCAATAAGACTATGTTCAAATTTTGCCCTCCCTGCCTACCAAATGTCATCCGGAGCCTATGCATTTGTAAGCCCACAATGCCGTGAGCACCTCGAGCGCCCTGGCAACGAATACTTCTACAAAGGGTATTCATAAGCGATGCTGTAAGATGTATGCTTCTGGGAGAGGGTTGTAGCACTGGCTGGGTATATCTGGGGACCACTCACACTATAACCCCCTTCGCACTCCACCAGCTACCCCATCACTGTCATTAATGGTACACTTACACTGCAGGAAGTTCTGGGGTGGCTTAGAGAGTGTGTGGAGAAGGGAGCCGAAAGAAACCAAGGTCTTGGAGATTTGGTCGAACAGAAAACATGGGGTGCGACGGCGGAGTGACCTGGACGCAACAATATGTTTACGATTCAGAAGCTGGGGTATGGTGGTGTGATCAAGGGGTTAATGGGAACTGGCTTGTGGGGTTCGTGCAAGAGATGGCGGATATTGAAAGAGCGCATTCTACGAGAAGTTTTCTTGGGATCTTGGAGATGAGAGCGTAATGGTCACAGCTTTTTTCTTTCAGACGGGTCGTTGATGAGGGCAGATCATCACGATTTGATCGATTGCAGAGCTGTTGATCACCAAAAGGCGCATATGAAGAGGCTCAATTTGCAGATCAGAGTGTATTTGCAGGCAGAGCCGACATGTTGGCAGACGTCGCGGCTCGTACCGATTTGTTAGGCGGATGGAAACTACTTGACACTATTTGTCAAGGAAATTCTACTGTACCTGGATTTTATAATCATATTGCATGCCCTCAGGAAAGAATTGCAGGGAAGATGCAGACATCAGTCCGCGAAAGGAATCAATCTGGACCACCACCACAGCTCCGTTCTCGCTCCAAGCATGAAACCTCCGACCTCCGCTCCTCCGCCTCCAAACATATTCGGAGAGTGGAGTACGATGCCTCATCATTGGGGGCTGGAATTGCATAGTCTCGTCCAAGTGTAAGAGCATATGGAGGCCGTGCAGCTAGCTCCAATTTGCACACCGACGCTGGCCGAACTGCATTGTTCACCAGGGTCCTCCACGCCACTCTCTAGACATCTAGTATCATAAAAGTTGGTGATTATTAGTGCTTGTGCTATTCACGCTTCATCTGCTCCACACTCGAAGAGTTTCTTCGATCTAATGAAGAAATTGTCTGTGGTCTGAATATTTCTCCTCAATTCCCCACATTGACTATTGAAGCCACTCCCCAGACAATGCAAACTTACCCCAGAGGTTACTGCAATCTACAAAAAGCGGCAAGGCAAGACACAATTTCAGATGATACCTTCTAAAATTCTTTCTTATTTTCGATCCAATTAAATGCACTGAATGTGTGCTAGAGGCTCAACTCTGTTACAGTGGCGTGCAAGAATCAACTACGCCAGATAGCCACATACATAGATACTCCAAGAATAGGAACAGAAAGATTTCAGACAACGAGAACCTCTTGTTGAAGCTCAATTCTGCACATTTTCCTTGTCTTCAAGGCTGAAAAATGTCTCGATGCAAACAAAACCCTCTGGTTTACCCACCCAGAGGTGGACCATGAGGTGGTTGCTGTAACAGTCCAAGTGATCCCCTTCAGCCCTCCTCCCGGTTTTGAGATGTTAATTAGACATCAATTCCCTCCGAATTGGCTTCCTAAACTTGTAGCAGTGTTCTACTTCGAGCTACACTGATTTGTATCCTCATCTTTTCCAATTACCCACTATAGCTTAAGTGTTGTTGTTCAAGGTCCATCGAGATTATACCCTTGCGTCGCCTTTCTAATCGAACAAATACACCATAGGTCGTACATTGAGGAATTATCTAGCTTTGCGATTTCAGGACTTCTGTTATCAACACCCTTCACCTGCGCATATTAACACGTCAGACCCCAAAATCCCCTCCTTTCTATAGAGATCAACATTCGCAAGTAAACCACAGTATCCTTCAAGAACACAAATAAATCATTGTAAGAAGTATTGACATCTCGATCAAGGAATAATAAGACTGCTCAAGACAGAAAGCTTCGAGATGCCTTAACGATCCATCGGGCCGAGACCCTAGCACCTTTTGACGTCAGACGTCGAATCTCAAAATTTGTCACCACGTTCACTTCTCTTGCAGGCAATTGCTCTTGGGAGAGAGCTTATGTTTATGAATGCATATGTCAGTCGAACACTCCACTTTAATCGACGAGATGCCTAAAACAGCTATACGCATACAAACGGACCATCTACAATCCGCAATACCCCAGAGTGGCAAATTACAACATTAGGATCGTAGATCCCAAACAAATTTCTAATCCAGGGTCGCAAAGCGAAAACCAATCATCTACTCGGCGCATCCGAATAGTAAGACAAGCTATCTAACTAGTCGATCGTTTCCGACAAAACAGTAAGAGAACCATGGTACGTCGTACCGCAGGCTTGGTTTTCAGACAAAGGCTAGCTTTTGATCTACTCTACGAAGAGGCGTAACTGCGCGTTTGGTTATTTGCTATGATTTGAAGGGTGAAAGGAAATGGTTGCAACCTGTCAGACGGTGCTCATAGTGTCAATGTGGGTGGGAGGGATAGTCAACCCATCAGCGATAATGCGGGATGCTGTATAGCTCCTCAGGTAGCTTTTGTAGAAGACACTCACGCGCTGCCATAGGTGAGATGGAAAACAAACAGTATCAAAGTGCTGCAAAGTATTGTGGTTGTATTCAATACTCTACCAACTCCTTATGTGTATTGTGGCATAGTCAAAAGTGCGTCCCCCTAGGATTGGAAATCTATCAAGCAACGGCGTTCCTTACTACCGATTACACAAATTGGTAGCCAAACGGGAAATTTTGGCAACTAATTCTTCAGTTCAAGGCTGAGGGTTGTTCTTTTCGATTGTTACTTACCCTTTCGTCGTGTGGAAAACTTCATCAACAAGTTAATCGGTATCATTATTGCGCTTCAATTCAGTCCATTGCTTCCAATACTCAGAGCTTGATGAATCTTACCATATCTTACATGAACCCATATGGTGCACATGAAGAATACAGTTCTTCAAGCGACTCAAATGAAGAGTTGAATTTCCCGTTAAAAAGACTCCAAAGGAAATAATGCGGTACTAATATTTCGTGCGAAATTTTATCAGCTTTATGTACTCCATAACCCTTCAATTTAGATGCCATTATAGTAGTAGCCGTGTGCTTCATAAACGTCGAGCGAATCTCGCTCCACATGAGCGCTTTTCGCTCCAGCGCATTACGTTACGCCCCATACACCCTACACGCAATCCGCAGTAAGCTTTCCAATCCTTTCCAGGTCTGCTTGCGAGGTAACAATGCAAGAAATGTACGAATAGTATTTTAGTCCTAGTACGCTGGCTGTGAATGGTTGCTTCTCGCTTTGAAACACAGAGTTTCGGCCAATAACATCGGGGTTGTCGATCAATTTGAGCATCAAAAACTTAGTAGACGAGGGTGCCATGCAAAAATCATAGCGCATTGTGATTTCGCACTCAGGAGCGAAGTTGCTCAGCCCTGGATGTAGAGTATGTAAGGATGAATGCCAAAAGCTCAAGGTCAGAGTGCTATACAAATACCATATCACGGCTTCCTTAGAGAAGAGCGGATACCAAATAACTTTTCTTGAGTTTATTGTGTACATTTCACTTCCTATATACCTACCGTATTTGATCAAAATGGAACCTTACAAAAACGAAACACCAAAAATTACTTATACCGATACCGAATACAAGCCACATCCACTTCGAACAAATGAGGGACCAGCGTCACCAACAAAGTCTGCACACATCAGAGGGGATTCGGAGTCAGGCTTCGCTGCACCAAGCCATGTAGCAACACACCCATTACTGTCCGACGACACCTCGTCATTGCCAGAGACAACTACCTCCGATGAGAACATGCCTCTATTTCAGGCAATCAAGAGATACTCCAAGCTTGTTGGATGGATATTCTTCATGGCCACAGCGATCCTCTACTGGGGCTATGACTCCGTCATTCTGGGTACAATAACAGCCGTGCCCGCATTCCAAGAAGACTTTGGCGAAAAGAGCGAGGAGGACAAATGGATCATACCTGCACTATGGCTGGCATTATGGTCATCACTGGGTCCAGTCGGTCAAGCTGCCGGAGCGCTGACGGGTGGCTATCTACAAGACCGTATTGGGAGGCGAAAATGTCTATTGATCGGAAGCATTGCTGCAGCCATCAGTGTTGGGTTCTTGTTCATTGCGAACCGGCCGGCCAACCTAGAGGCACGAAGGGGTTTGATTCTCGCCGGCAAGATACTTCAGGGGTATGGTCTTGCGTTCATCAAGATCCAATCACTGACGTATGTGTCTGAGAATATCCCCACGGCACTGAGAGGCGCGTCGATGGCCCTGTTTCCAGCGTTCACGCTACTTGGTCAGTTGATTGGGGGTATCGTCATCTTCGTCGTCACTGACGTTCCGTCGGATATGGGTTACCTCGTTGCTCTCGGATCTCAGTGGATCTTAGCAGTGCCTCCCTTTGTCCTTTCATTCGTGCTCCCAGAGAGCCCTGCCTACCTCGTTAGAAAGGGAAACATCTCAGCAGCAACAAAATCCCTCACTCGACTCTTCGGACCGAAAAACGACCCAGAGAAATTACTACACAAGTTGCAAACATCTATCGAAGACGAAGAAAAGAATGCATCCAAGATCTCCTACGCCGAATGCTTCAACTCCCACAACCGCCGCCGAACCTGGATCGTGATATACGCGAACCAACTCCCCAACTTCTTTGGCCTCCCACTCCTATCATCCGTATCCTACTTCCTCCAACAAGTCGGCATGAAGCCCTCCCATAGCGTGATCTTCCTGATCGGCGGCATCGTCCTCGGCCTCCTCTCAAACGCCGCATCAACCTGGACGCTTTCCAACATCGGCCGGCGCAAACTCACCATCACGACGCTCCTCATCGCGGGCGGCATCTGGCTCGCCATGGGGATGATCGGCATAAAACGCAGCGCCATAACCCCGTGGCTCACGGCAGCCTGCTCGACCCTCGTCGTCGTGACGTGCGGCCTCGGCGCCTGGCCCGCCTCCTACACCATCATGAGCGAATCGTCCTCGCTGCGCCTGCGCGCAAAGTCCCAGGCCATCGGCGGCATCTCAAACTACATCTCCACCGTCGCCGTCAACTTCGCGCTGCCGTACGTGTACAACCCCGACGCCGCGAACCTGGGCGCGAAGACGGGGTTTGTGTTCGCGGCGCTGTGTGCAGGAGGTGCGGTCCTGATGTGGTGGCTTGTTCCGGAGATGAGGGGGAGGAGCGTGGTGGAGATTGATAGGTTGTTTGAGCAAGGTGTTGGGGCGAGGGGGAGTAGTAGGTGGAAGGATAGGAGTGGGGAGGTTGTTTTGGAGGAGGTTCGTGTGTGACTTTTCCATGTATCTATGTATACACATTCATCGAAGAGGCTGTGGTTGGTTATCTTGGATATTCTCTGGCTCAATTGAGATGGACGATACTTGGATAGATATATGGTAGAGAAGCAATCTACCTTTTCATCCTTCCAGAAACAAACCCCCACATCTCGAAAAAATATCCTTACACCATTCCCTCATCCTCCAATACTCCTCCACGAGCCCCCCTAACCCCAGAAATGTATACAAATCCCATCGCCCAAACGACATCAAAACAAGCTTTCCGCCGATCCCTCCACCCGCAAGCCTCCCGATCTCCCCTAAAAGCCCACCCTCCCATCGCTTACACCCGCCTTCCCTTTCTCCTTCTATCCTAATTCCCACGTTGTATTAAAAAAAAAGGGTGCCAGGGGGGCGGGTCTGGGGTGATGGATATCTCGGGAGGGCTGCCGTAGCGTGGTTTCGCTGCACGGATGCTCCACTGCGTGGTGACATATTACCTAAAAGTTTCCAGTCGCTGTAATTTTCTATGTTTATTCTGTGTTTTTTATTAGTTCTTGCAAAAGGCGGGCTTATTTGGGGGGTTTTGGGTCACTTAGGAGGTGTGTTGTTGTGCGTGGTAGGGTTTAGTGGAGTGGTGTCGTATTGGAGTTTACTTCTGTGCTACGATGAAGGTGATTGGTATGGAGAGTATCTGGATAGTATGAAGGGATGGTTTATGACAAGATGGTTTATTAAGATGGTTGATGGTAGTATGGTTTATGATAAGATGATTCAAGGAGACAATAAGGGGATACATTCTAGAAAAACGGTCCATGAGAGGCCAATTCGCTATAGAAACATTCACACCTACCCTCCTCGTCTCTTTCTTCCTCCAACTTGATGTTAAAGGTAGTGACGTTTTTAGTACAGATGCGTGTCAATGCAAGTGATTAAACCGGAGGCAGATACAGGACTCTGTACTGAGCATGCCCTATCTCCGATTATTCTGCTCTATAAAATAAGTAACTACACTATTGATTTTGTGGAAAAGCTCAAGAGGATTACGCCAGTTTGTGATACACAAAAAGTTCTCTTTCGATCTGTGTTTATTCAAGAGTACAACATCATATTCTTCCCTGAAGATGAGGTTCTACTTCGGCGGTCGTTAGATAGGAAAGACTTACCTGAGGTCCTGAGGTCTGAACGGTTGAAGATCGTAGCAGTAATCATCTCGTCGCCTCCGAGCCATGAAAGCATTACGCTCTACCCGCCCCAGCAACGTACGTAGCGACGGATCAACATTCTACGAATAACGACCATACTCTATGAAACTGCATAGACATGAACGGCGTAAAGGAACCCAAAACTGAAGACCAGCGAGGCACAAGGATAGAGAGCGCAGACCTAGTGGCTCATTTGACAGACCCGAACAAAAAGGACCAAGGCGGGTGGCATGGCACAGGCTAGGCACAGGGCTATGTGTGGGGTAGCACGCGCCTAGTCTGGACGCACGAACGAGATTGAGGGGTGCTGAAGGATTACAGGATGCTGTTCTTCGTGATGGGGAGGAATGGATGGAGATTTTGGTTGAAGCGTTGGGTGCTTATAGGGTGATGGAAGATATCGGTGGAGGGGAGGCCAGGGGGGAAAGGGGTATGGGGAGTGTGAAGCAGTTTGCAATCATGTGCATAAAAACCGACTCAGAAAGAAGAAGACATCGACGTTAGGCCAAGACGATTATGATGATGATTTTCCCAGGGCAAAGGGAGCGATGATGATGCAGTAAGGTGGGTGGTATGAGACACTGAAAGGGTCCATGGAAGCCTGATTGGTCCCCATTATTGACGGGTACCTACCTGTACGACTAGGAAAGGTTGATGGTATTGTATTGACGGAGGGAGGCGGAAACCCAAACATAAGAGTATACGTATGACAATGCATAGTGGTATTACCGTTTCGGGACAAAAGTGAGCAACCATTATAATTTGTTGAATGTCCGTTTTCCCATACGAGATGCTGTGCCTCAGCAAAGAGATAATACTGTGTAAGGGCAGCACAAGGGTGAAAGCGCCAAGGCAGATTCACTCGTTCGCTAAGGCTGTTTTCTGACGACGACAACGAAAAGACGACGATGTCTTTGGTTGGGGGATTACCGGTACTCGTAGTTACTGCCCGTTTGGAGATCAATGCCGCGAACTTCTATCGGTTCTAGGTGATGGCGCGTTCCGCTAATGTGAGCACTGATGTCATAGTGCGAAGTTGATTCATTGTGGTTAAGTATACGATGATGGTCGGCCACAAACAGATTGTAACAACAGTCATGGTGCACTCTAGAGGTAGATCCAAAACAAGCGGGTTATGCGCCAATCTGACCATGGCCCCCAATGCAGCCTTGTTGCAATACTGTGTACATACTGCAAATGAAAGGATGCTGAGCTGACGCGGAGAAAGGAGAGTTCGTGCGAGGCCAGATGGTTGGGATCGATGATCGGTTAGCGCAGTACGAGAGAGGATCAGTGCAATTGATTTGAATTGACTGGTAGTCATAAATGGGGCGCAGCGACTGTCTGTCTGTCTATCTAGATCCGAAAACCTTGCGAGACTGTCTGTTCTGTGGAACTATTGTTCTTGTGTGAAAGTATCGAGTAGTTGCAAGAGTTAATGGGAGATGGGACGGAGCACTCGGGCCAATAGGAGAACCGGAAAGAAGAGCTCAGCCTCACCTCAGCCGCATTTTGACAGACGGATAACAGCAGATCAAGAACCAACGTACGAGATGGGAAAGGAAGGAGGATTATTACAGTAGAGGAACAGATGAGGGATCATACATATCCATGCAGTATTATACATGAAAGGAATAAAACCATCCAGGGTTCGTCGGCGAAATCAAGCTCTAAATAAATAAAATAAAACTTCATCCCCATAAAGAAGCTCTGACCTGTCCCTCGTCAATCTCCGCCTCCTCCTTCATACACCGTTGCCTTTTCCTCTGATCATCCTTTTTCTTTTTCCCTTTCCTTTGCTCCTATTCTTTTCTACTTCTACCCTGTTCCCTTTCCTTTTACATATCCTAGAACAAGAACGCATTTCGTTGCAGCCTCACCTCGACCTTAATTGCCTGTCTACCTTCCAGCTACCTACTACCTACCCCTCACTCAGTCCATACATCCACAACCACACATACGGCCCCCACCAGGTCCAGACGCCAGCTGCACCAACAACCTACACCTCCGGTTCACCTCCTACCCAACTTCTTCCACCCTCCTACTCCTACTCCTCAGAATCCTTCTCTTCCAATCTCTCACACAAAACTACCTCTGAAGAGACGGCGCAGCATCCCTGTGCGCTGCCTATCCCATCTCTCCACAACATGAGTTGTAAGTTTATCTCCCCACACGCTCAGCTAGTACTACCTCCTAGCGGCATGCTGACAAGCTTGCCTTTCTTCGCAGTCACGAATATGCTCAACAAGCTGAATGGTCAGCCCGATAGCTACGATCGAAAGTATGTCTAACCCATCCCTCTCGACCCTCGACCCCCGCGAGTCCTGTCCGATCCTCATACTGACTACGTCCCGCGCAGATCACGATACCGCTTCGGAAAGACTCTGGGTGCCGGCACCTATGGCATTGTCCGCGAGGCAGACTGCCCCGAGGGCAAGGTCGCGGTCAAGATCATCCTGAAGAAGAACGTCCGCGGCAACGAGCAGATGGTGTACGACGAGCTGAAGATGCTCCAAAACATGAAACATCCTCACATTGTCAAGTTCCACGATTGGTTCGAGTCCAGGGTGAGTCGAGGAATTCTTGAAGATACAATCACGCATGGGACTGATTCCAAGTACAGGATAAATACTATATTGTTACCCAATTGGCGACTGGAGGAGAGTTGTTCGACAGGATCTGCGAGAAGGGAAAGTTCACAGAAAAGGACGCCGCAGAGACAATCCGACAGGTCCTCGAGGCTGTCAACTACCTCCACGACAACAACGTCGTCCACAGAGGTCAGACAATACTTTCTCCAAAGTTCAAAAGTAGACCTAGTTCCTAACAAGATTGCAGATCTCAAACCAGAGAATCTACTCTATCTTTCCACCGACGCCGATTCCTCTCTCGTCCTTGCCGATTTCGGTATCGCAAAAATGCTCGATTCCAAGAATGAAGTCCTGACCACCATGGCTGGATCTTTCGGATACGCCGCGCCGGAGGTCATGCTGAAGAAGGGACACGGAAAGCCTGTGGATTTGTGGTCTATGGGAGTCATTACCTACACGCTTCTCTGTGGTTACTCTCCCTTCCGGTCGGAAAACCTCCAGGATTTGATCGAGGAGTGCAAGAACGGCCGAGTCATCTTCCACGAGCGCTACTGGAAGGACGTCAGCAAGGACGCAAAGGACTTCATCACGCTCTTGCTCAACCCGGATCCTGCCAAGAGGCCGGACAGTGGAGTACGTTATATCATCTCCGTTCAATCCCTTCTTAAACTAATCCCGATCACAGGAATCTCTCAAGCACATCTGGCTCAGCGGATCCACCGCCTCCGACCACAATTTGTTGCCCGAAATCCGTGCTTACGTCGCCAAGGCTCGTCTCCGGCGCGGTATCGAGCTTGTCAAGCTTGCAAACCGCATCGAGGCTCTCAAAATCCAAGAAGACGAGGAGGGAGAGGTGCCAGGCGAGGCGGATGTCCCGGCGGGCGCAGGTCAGGCGGCTGGTGAGGCACTCGCGGCTCACAGCACAGAGAAGGGACTGAATACAACGGAAACGAGCAAGCAGCGCCTGGGCAGGGTCGCAAAGAGTGCAATCTTCAAGGAGGTGGTACTGGCCAAGGTGCGCCAGATGAAGGAGGAAGAGGCGCAGAAGGAGTTCGAGAAGAACCTGACCGAGGGCAAGAAGAGCTAATGAAGTGGCATATGGCACCTTCTTTTCTTCTTCATCCTTCAATCATTTGTTCATTCGCAGGGACTCGACGAAATTGTCCTCATCCCATCTCATATATTCTTGTTCCCCACTTTCTCGTTTGGCTGGATATGGTTCTGTCGCGACGGGCTGCTGGTTGCTCTTTATAGGATACCCTGGATAGTAGCGAAGACCAGGGATGGTTGCTTACCTTGATGGGTACCTTTTTTTCTCTTTGGGCGTACGCCTTACCGATGATGCAGCAGCGTAGCCTTGGAAGAAAAGTTGATACGAAAGTGTTGTTGTCCTCCATGTAGATGTACAGACAATTAGTCACAAACGACAAGAACAACAGAAAAGTGCCATGTCATATCTTATTGATGTCATCGAGACAAACGCAGATGCACTCATACGTAGAAAACCAGCGAGCTGTGATTGCAATGGGGCACGTGACCGATGGTGCACAGGCCAGGCCTTCTCTCCATGTAAACCCTTGCTTGCGTAGGACGGACGCGCTCTCAGTGTTGAGGCTCGAGATCAACAATCGCACCATCGCTGCACCAACACTCCGCCAGATATATCGCAAGCCAATTCCCAGAAGTTTCACTAATCATCTACGCGACTGCAGATCCTGCGCGACATGGAGAGCGCCGCAAAGCGCAAAGCTGCCACTGCAGCGTCGCCCGAAAACGAAGGTCGCCCATCGAAGCGCCAGAAAGTGCCGGTGAGTTTACGACCCCTCCAGATATCGACGCATTGGTGCAGGGTAGATGTCTGCGGCCGCGCTGGGAGAGGATGGAGGATGCGCTTGGTTGGAGATGGAGATGCGGGATGGGCACTGCAGACGGAGCGCGACACCTCTGTGGTTCCATCGAGCTCGCCCTTTCAACACCAACACCAACAACGGATACACTCCACACCATTGTACACTACACACTACCACCCGCGTACCATCTTCACCTCCGCTACTCGCATCCACGCCCGCCGCCGCCGACGAAACAGACACATACAATGCGCGGGGGGAAACATGTTGCAAAGCACAGCGATTGTTAACGCTGCAGTGCATAGGAATCACCAGCATCCCCCACCACGGGGGAGACTGTGGAATCTACAACGGCTGCGGGCCTGAAATTCCTAGAGAGCTTGAGATCAGCAAAGGACAAGACGTAAGTGCCCTGCATTCTTGCTATTGCACCTTGGATAGGTCCAATATTTGAAAAATATATGAATGCATTCACTAACCGTGTATACAGTGGCCGTCCGATCGCGACGCATTTCCTCGAGCTCCCAGACAAGGTACGAGCTCCGCCTCGAAGCAACCCTTCTGCACGCGAAAACCCCCGCTAAACATACTGTACAGAATGAGATTCCCGAATACTATGAAGTCATCAAGCTTCCCTTCTCGATTGAATCTATGGAGGTACGTTGCGACGATCCCTGCGATAATCCACCCTCCATACCTACAAACGGCATTTATACTGCCACTGCAACGCCCACTCATACTTCAGTGTCCGCATTGAACGGTCTTCCATCCCCGCACCGATATCACGCACATAATACTGGCGGATTTATACTAATGCCATGCACAGGAGAAGCTGAATGCTGGAGGATATTCTACTCTGGCGGAATTGGAGAGTGACTGTAAACGGCTGGTTAACAATGCGAAGGTATACAACGATAAGAAATCTCCCCTCTACGAGGATGCAGAGCGATTACGAAAGACGGCGTCAAACTGGATGGTCAGGAACAATCCCGCATACAAGAAGCCAGGTTACACTGCGATGGCTACTCCGGTGCCAGGAGAAGATCCTCTCCCACCTGGCAGGCCTCTACCACGGGTTTCGTTGACCCCCTCCAAGATTCACACACCGACTCCAGATACTACAGAGCGGCCACGACGAGCTGCAGCCGCTACCCAGCCTACAACGCCCGCGCCGTCAAAGCTCAAGAAATCAGCGCCGCCGGTCGCGCAGGATGAGGGCACCGACTTTACAGGCAAGACCTTCCAGCAAGCTCAGGAGCAGCTCATTACAGATATGATTGAGTACACAGAGTCAGTGCAGTTCCCCGTTCATAAGGATAGGCGTAGCAGCTAATTCCCCCATAGCCAAGATTTGCAGATTTTCCAGCCCTTTGTCAATCTGCCTAGCCGGGCGCTGAAGGATTACTATCAAGCAATCAAACATCCCATGTGTCTTTCTTTGGTCAGGAAGAGGGTACAGGGTGTGGTTGGCCGCGGCCCACCGACTGGCACGACCTCCTACAAGACTTGGTCTGCTCTGGAGAGTGATGTTGCCTTGGTTTGGGAGAACGCAAAAGAGTACAATGAGGATGGTAGTGACATCTACAACCTTGCCCTTGAGTTCGAGGTATGGAATCTTGTTCTTTCTAAAAAGAACATTGCTCATCACTGTCATAGGGAATATTCAAGATGCGACTTGCAAAAGCCAAAGCCAAAGTCGAGGAACCGCCGCAGCCGACGAAGCTGAAGCTCAACATGTCTACGGCTCCTAATCCTACTCCAAAGCAGACCATGAAGCTCAAGTTGGGCAGTCGCCAGAGTCCCATTTCAGATCCAAACACTCCCGCTGCTCGCAGCTCAGCGACCCCAGGTGTCGCCGTGGACTCTGAAGCTCTCTCGCGCCAATCGCGGCATGTGCAGGAAAGTGTAGCTGGTAGCCGGTCATCGCGGCCTTCGTCAGCCGGCAAAAACACGCCCTCTGCTACACCAAATCCGATCAGTAGCACCCGCGGTGCCTCTGCCTCGATACCTGCGCCGAGTAACCCCGTCGCGAAGACGGTGGCGGCATCATCGCCGGCTCCCAATGGCATAAAGACTGATGTCCAGTCCCCAGCGTTGAACGCAATCAGGCCAGCCAGCACCGCATCGGACAATCAAAGCCAGAGACTCAGCGTTCCCGCTCCAAATCCTCAAGTCGCCGGCGCTACGCCATCACAGAATGCATCACGGCCTGCAAGCGGCAGTCCTCATCCTAACGGCGTTGCCAACCAGCCAGGCCAACCAGGCGCGGTCCAACCTCCACAACCCCAAGTCCCTGTCGCTCCCTACGTCCCGCCACCCGTAGCTCCGAACTACGACAACTTCCGCCGTACCCCCCTCAAATGTAAGCTGCCATCCCTACGTTATTCCAAGTTCAGAGTACTAACCGTCCAAACCAGCCCTCGACGAAGCCCTCATCCCCAAGATCACCCTCTCCACGCCCCCGTCCCTCCCAGTCGCCCAGCCCTTCCGCAAGACCCTCACCGCCCACCCCAAGAAAATCACAATATCCTACACCCTGAACCTCGCCCCCGGAAACTCCTACCTACACATCGTGCCGTCCCTCCCCGTCGCCCTGACCGGCCGCCCCTACCGCGCCTTCGTCTCCATAAACGGCAACCGCATCATGGAGTCCTCGCGCCTGCCCCAAAACCTCAACGGCATGCCCCCCAACTTCGACGCCTCGGCCGGCAAAAAGAAAGGCGAGCCCCTCTACGAAGCGAAACTCATGCTCGGCCTCAACCGCATCGAGATCGAAGTCATCGCCGAACGCGAGCGTTCACGCGGAAAGGAGAAAGAGAAAGACGGCCCCGCAAGCGTCGTCGCGTCCAAGGAAACGCAAGCGATCAAGGACGGCGGAGAGGAGAGCGACGCTGCTGCCAACGGCGCAGACGCCACGCCAGCGGGGCTGAAGAAGGAGAAGGAGCTCGTGGACGTGGAGAAGTGCGTCATCTTCGCTAACCTGAGACGATGATCTCCAAGCCTACCACCACCAGCCTCAGCAGTGGCAGTAGCAAATGGAGTAAAATGGGACTTGGTGAACCGGGTAGAAATTGGCGAAAACGGTAGTTTGCGGTGCGGAAGGCTTGCACGGTGCTTTGTATTTCTGATGTTCTGCTTCTGGTCTTCAGGGAACCCTTTTTTCATATCTTTTCTCTTTTTCTTTTCCTTTACTTTTCTGTGCGTCTTTGGGCGTTTTCTTTCATCTGGCTATCTTGTCTTAACCCCCTTTGACAGGAGAGAGAGAGACATAACCTTTTTTTCTGTTCGCGTTCTCTCGAACGTACGTGTATGGTACGGCATGGTAGCGTGTAGCAACGGCATTGGGAAATTGGGAAAACGACGGCCAAGGGTTGGGCTTTAGTGGAGTTGCATTTTCTGGGGGTCTTGTCGTGGGAAGAGTGGATGAGTGGACGAGATGAGGGGTTCGAGGAGATGTAAAATCACAATTGAAATATTATATGTATTATCATGTTTTGCGGAATTAGTGCCTGGTGGGGGGGGGGGGGGGGGGGGGGGGGGGGGTGTGTGTGATGTGAAGTTTAGCTGGAGTGTGATTAAACAGGTGTGCGGATACTACAAGTCTCTGTCTTTGTTCCCTTTCGTTTTCCTGGCTGGTAATGAGGAAGGTGAGGTATGCAGTGATATAATGTTATTTATGGTATAAATATCTTGCGTTAAGATTTTAACTATATAACAATGATTTGATGATGTACTATTTATTAAACTCAATCTTCCATTATTATTTTTCAATTGTAGTTGAGGTAATAATGTACGACTAATAGTAAATAAAGCGTCTTTACCTTTCTACCTTTTGACCTTTTTATTTTTGACTCTGCTACTACATACATTATTCAAAATATTACACCAACCCTCCCATCTTACATTCGATCCCATATATCTATCTCAAATGTAGGTAACCAGCATCCTTTAAGTAAAATAAAATAAAGTAACCAAAGAGAAGAATAACGTATGTTAATAGAGCGAGTGTATGTATCATTCACCTACCCGCGCACGCTCATGCGGTCAACAGATAAACGCAGGGTCAGGGGAGTAGGTACATATCTTAAACACGATGCTCGAACACCTATGAACGTATTCTTATATTTTTACTGTGAGGAGAGAGGGAGGATTGAATCATTGTAGATATTTGATCGATGTAGGGCTGCGCAGATGGCAGGGGGAGGCAGAGTCGACAATGACGTCGTCACGTAGATAGACGAAATGGGCGATCAAAGTTGGACCCTTTCTACGCTGGAGCAATATGTATGTCATAGCACAGTAGCCAGTTGCTTGGTGGTTCTTTTTTTTTTTCGTAGAGAATTACAAAGTGGATGTGGTTGTGGGACTTAGTCGTTTCCCCCTCCAGCTTACTGACCACACAGCCCGCACACGATGGCGATATGGATATTCGCCACCAAGTTACTGACAGATATGACGTAGCAGAGGGGACAAGATCCAGATTTTGGTTTGAAGACAGCTTCAGAGAAAGAATTAGTAGGCATTTCGCAAGCGTGTGTGTCTTTTGTGTTAGCAGTCCCGTATCGTCTCCACAAGAAATCCACAACCCCCTTTTAGCTCCGTCGTCTAAAATTTTCAACACCACAGTGTACCCACACGCACGAACGAACGTACACAGTATGCAAATGCTGGCAGTAACTAAACCAAAGCCAGTCTACATCCTCACTCACAAGAATCCCTTTTACTGAGTATAAGACAACAACAAATTCAAAATCCATCACGTGCACTACAATCCCACCCATCAGCACCCTCAGATATCATGTCATATCTCGACTCTCACCGGCTCGGTGGTGTAGTTGGTTATCACGTCAGTCTAACAAATCACTGTTAGAGTGCACTGAAGGTCCCGAGTTCAAACCTCGGCTGAGTCAAATCGAGTTTTGAGTTGACTTTGAACATCTGAGCGAAATGGGTGCAAGACGGGTTGGTTGGTAGTGATATCGAGGCGTGGTGGCGGAGTGGTTATCGCGCAAGACTAGAAATCTTGTTCCTTCGGGAGCGTCAGTTCGAATCTGGCCCACGTCGAGTTCTTTTTTTTTGCTGTTGTTTGGGGGTGAGGCTGTTGGGGATTTTCTTTTTAGTGTATAGGAGGAGCCTCGAGGAGGTAGATAGACGGACATAGTTGTTGGTTGGCAGTAGTCATAGATTTGGTAGTGTGAGGCTAGGGAGCAGAAAGTTTAGCGTTGCGTACACTTTGATAGAAAGACACTAAGAACAAGTAAAACAATAGTCCAATTGTAAGAATAGATAGCATTATTGTTTGACCTATTTATTTTTTTGTCTGAGTGAGTGCACAGAGCTGGACGTCCTGTTTGGAATATTGAATATTATTTTCTACTGTCGCACTCGTTCAGGGGCATTGCGTGTGTTCGTTGAGAACTTTAAGAAGATTTAGCTACTTGTTGTGTGTATGGTGTTCTATACAATTAATTACTTAACCTGCTGTAGACACAGAGTACATGTACGTACGTACGTACATGCTTCAAATATATAAATCAAGTCTTCCAAGAAGCAAAAACGAACGGAGGTCACTGAAGAATAGGAGTAATTGAAGACCAGGGAGATATACACCTGACTTGTTAGGGACTTAGATTGCACACACATTACAAGTAGATTATACACTAAAAGCTACCCTTCCATCACCGTCCAACATCTCCAGGTTTCGCTCAGGGGGAATCGCACGGGAATAAAACACAAAATCAGCAACAACAAACAATACTACAGATGCGCAAAGCATGAACACGTAACGTAGCGGCATATAGATAATAATGACAAGATGTACAGCACTTTATACAAGTGTGTAGACCGACAATGGACATGGTTGATTTGATTGATCGATCGTTACAGGGGCCGGATGAGCTGGTTGGTATAAACAAAGATCCAGACAGACAGTTAGAAATATTTCCCTTGTTCCATGACTATTCCTATTTTCCTTCTCTTTGATTCCGTGATTGCTTGCATTCTTCACGTTTCGTAGTGAATGGATAACCAAAGGTCATATCATCATCTACAAAGCGTCAGAGCAACCCCAGCTCTGCTCAACACCGTAAGCACCGGGCTCCTTCCACCTGTCGTCGTGGAATGAGAAGAGGCAGGCCTCGGTACCGACGACCTCGAGGATGTTCTTGATGGCCTCCTTCTGCTCGCCGTAGCCGGGGACAGCGTTTCCGTTGGTCTGTCCCTGCTTGGGCCAGCCGATCTCGGTGATGTACTTGCCCTTGGCGGCGGCCTCGGGGCAGACCTTGGCGGCCATCTCGAGCTGCTCGAGGGCGAAAGTACCGGCCTCGGAGGCGTAGACCTTGGAGGTGAAGAAGGGGTGGACCTGGACACCGAAGACGTCGATGTGGCTGCAGAGGGCGGCGCCCTTGTTCTGCCAGACGTCGACGGGCTCGGTGGTGGTGATGGCAATGTCGGAGGGGAATCCAGCGGAGGTGAGCTGCTCACGGACGTAGTCGATGTAGGCACCGAGCTCCTCGGCGGTGGTGTAGCCGTTGAAGAGGGCCTCGTTACCGACGATGATCAGGGCGATGGAGTCCTTGGGGGTGTTCTTGATGATGTCCTGTAGCTGCTGGTTGGCGTAGTCGGAGAAAGGTCCCTTTCCGCCCTTGCCGCCGGCCTCGAGGAAGATACCGTAGATGATCTTCAAGCTGTGCTGCTGGCAGGTGGGGACGACGTTCTCGAAAACAAAGCAGTCGGTGCTGTAGACACGGATGGTGGTGAAGCCCTTTTCTGCGATCTCGGCGACATCCTTTTGGACCTCAGCGAGGCTCTTGCACTGTCCCTCGGAGGTGTAAGGAGTGTAGGTGATGGCCCACTTGTTGCCGTTGGTCACAATGCGACCAGAGTCGGAGTATCCACCGTGGCTGGCGGGCTTGCTGGGCTTGGGCTTCTCCTCGACCTTGGATGGCTTAGGCTTGGGGGTGCTGGAAGGAACAACGGGGTACTCCTGCTTGCTGGGCTTTGGCTCTGGCTTGGGTTCAACAGGCTCCGGCTTTGGTTCAGGCTTGGGCTCCGGCTTTGGCTCAGGGGTGTGGGCTGGGACAGTGGGATACTCCTCCTTGCTGGGCTTAGGTGCCGGCGAGGACGATGCTGGTGGAGGAGCAGGAGGGTAACCCTCCTGAGGGGTGGTTGGGGCAGGAGGATGAGGGACAACTGCGGAGGTGCTCTCAGTGCATGGGGTGGACTCAGGCGTGGGCACAACGTAGACGGTGGAGTTAGCAACGGGCTGAGGGATGTCTGTCATATCATGTTAGCCTTTGCCAATCCGAGAGATTCATCGTTGATCATTGACAAATCGCAAATCCAAAAACATACCAGACTCGTAGACATAGACAGTCGTGTATGCCGTGCAAGCCTCCTCAACAGGCTTGTACCTCCTGAGATGGAAACCGGCGTGAGCCTGGTGGGCAGCGGCAACAGAGCCGATGATTGCGGCCGAAGCAGCAATGATGGAACCCTTCATCTTTGTCAATTGATTATTTTCTTATATATTAAGATCGAGAGAGCGTATTAGTGAGTGTAAAGCGATTGGAAACGAGTGACTGTGGCACAAAGGCCTTAGGACTTGACTTTGGACACGAACGCGACGTCGATAGAGCCTTGCAAAGCAAACAAAAGAAGAAGAACAGAACAACACGGGCGATGGGGGAGTTTTGACAGCTCGCGCATGGCCATCCACAGGCGAGTAGATGGGCAACCAGGAGCAAGCGGGCCTGCAGTCCCCAGTTGGCTTGCCCAGAGTGCGCTTAGGGGACCCTGTCCGCAAATTGAACATTGGCGACGAAGAGACGCAAGAGGATTAACTTCATGGTCAGGCACTTAGGTAGGCAGTGATGGGCAAAGACCGGGCCAGAGTGGAAATGAGACGTCTGGGGAAGAGACGGAGTCGAGGCTGTATCGGTTGAGGCGTCGTCTAAAGGAGGTTTAGCTCCAGGAACAACCAATTTCCCCTGACCACCTATCCTCGTCACGGCACATTTCCTCACCGCGCGCTATGAGGATCGAATCGTCTTGTGTTTGTGTTGGCGTTTATGGTCCAGTGGAAGCACTGGAAGGTAGTCGTTGAGACTAGTTATTGCGTTCATCATGGAGGTGCACCATCACCATCTCAAGGCTGGTCATCGTCAACCACCAATATCAAGACGTTCAACTCACGATTGGCGCTTTCAACGGCGCTTCTCCCAAGTGTGTATGCAGACAAATTTCCCGTACGATTAGCGGCCAAGTCCAGCCTCGTATTCATTCAAGACCCAATCAGCGGCACGGTCTTGGTTCTTCTCATCATCTTCGTAGATATAATTACCGTTGTGCTGTTCTCGCGAATGGTTGCTCGTGCTGCATATAATTGCGATTCAATTTAAACTTGAATAAAATCGTATCTGACTCCTTCCCATCCCCTCCTGTTTCCTGTTCGTGCTGATTGTCTCCTCAGTGCTTTGTCTTGTCCGGTCATTGATCGGTTATTGGCGGGCTTCTACTGCCTGACGATAATAATGGGAACATGATATCAATTAAATTATGAACATAGTGGTTCTTGTTCTTGCAGGAAGGGTTGACGCAGGAACACTGCGCCTGTGCTCAGGGAGCAGATGCACGTTGTTTGTCCAAGAGATGGAACGCTAGGCGAGTTGGCCAGGGCAGGGCAGGTTGTTGGTCTACAAAGTACGGTCTGCCTCCAAGTTACAGGAGAAAGTTATTTCCAAACTCTAACACAGTTCGCGCTCTGGACGGTGCGTGACTAGTGTTCGCTCTACCGGTGATATTTGGGCCTGCCGTCCTACCGTTACGATCTCCCTCCATCGTCGGACCTCTCGTGTCCGGAGAAGCTTCATGTTCGGTAGGAACGAACGAGCGTAATTCAGAAAATATGTTTCAAAATTGTGCGATTGTTTGCCATGGCCAGCAGGTAAACAAGGTGACTACGGAGTCTGGTTTCGCCCCTATCACAGTCATACCAACAACTATCAATACTCTGCCCAAGCACGCCTGACTCTTGGAATCATCACTTTAGGCTACCAAGTAATGAACGAGCAGCCTTGGAGTAGGCGGTATTGCAATTTCCAGGCCGTCATGGCCCCTGGGCGTAATGGTCACGAGTGGGTATTCCCCCCAGTCCTCTCTCCAGCTGAAATTGATTCTGGGCTTTTGTCCACTTTGGCCAATCACAGTGAAGTGTCTATTTAGTTCTTTTGAATATCTTGCGCGCGTGGTATTACTCGTCGTTCTACGGAGTACCTAGTATACCTATAATCTTTGATCATCGATCGCTTCAAAGTCAAGAGATGTCCTGGTATGTGTCGCTAAGCGCTCTGAAGCAGCGCTTCCTACCAGATCAAGGTTCAATGATGTCAAATGACTTGAAAGGCTGCCTCATCGGTCGTAGGTCAACAGCGTCGCCTTTACTTGATGGTATTCTTTGGTGCGCACTGTTATTCTAAGAGCGTGGACATGCGATGTGTATCTTCAGTCGGTCCTCGTTGTCTTGCGTGTTGTGGGTGGTCTGTGGATGGCTAGACTCTGATATACTTCTCCTATTCTTGAGATCATCTGAGACTCATCTGGACAAGCCTGCGACAGGAGGAATTTATGCACGCTGCATTGCTTCAATTGTCAACTAATCGCCAGATTTCTCCTTAAATCCAACGTGGTCGAATGTAAGATAATCCGGAGGTCGATTGCAAGATGGAGATTTCTACTGAGAGATCTCATGCCTACTCTGTTGAGCGCCTAGCGCTGGATAATCCACACAGTAGATCACCTCACATGTTGCTTCGAATTCAGGAATCATCCCTAAACGTTGTTGCGGTGTTGTTCAACTTGCAAATGGGCAGTTGTGGTGTTTCGCGGAAAAGGGGTTCTCTCCGCATGTTATGCGGAGAAACTGCCCCAAGGTAAAGCCGAGATATCTGCGACAGTGCAACCTGAGGTGTCACGTTTCAACCCCAACTAGTAATATTTGTATGCCTGGCCGTACACCGTAGACAATTGAATGAATCAATCCGGGGACCTGGTATGCAGAAGTCTTTGATGCGTTCTCAGCATGCTTCTTCTCCTTTTAATGCAAAAATCGATTGGATGCTGGTAGTAATTAAGGACCCTCATCGAATCTGAAGCGCCGGAAATCTTACCGATGCACCGGTCCGAATGCATTCCCCCATGATCCTCATTCATGATACTCTCATTTGAGGATCTAGGGACGAGTATGTTTTCCGGAGATGTGGCAAATCTCACGTGATACTTCCCCGTATGATCGATCCATCAGAATAGTGATCAACACCTGTTGATCATTCCCACAGTCGGTATGGAAACAGCCTACTCCGTTCGTAGATATATGGATGTATTCCACTTTTCTTCCCCATGTTCGAAGGAACAAAGTATCAGGTGCCGCGCTGATCGTGTGCTGATCGGACAATGATTCATTATTGATCGGTTCACTCCGTCGGAGCTGTCATTGACGGAGGCAATGATTTGTGTGGATTTTCGTATGGGGGTGTGGGGTATCGGTTTAGTTCTGTTCATAGGCTGTGTTGGACTGTGACACGGGCAGGAGAAAACCTAGTGTAGGTATGGTTGCTTTTGCTGGATACGATGTCCATTCCAAATCACCTGCCATACTACACAAAACTGTACAAGAAGTTGGGAGCATTGGATGACAATGGGATAAGTAAAGCTCAATATAAAAAGATTAAAGATCAGCAAAGGAGACAGAGGTCGAGGTCGTGGTCCATTGAAAGCACATGCTACATAGTGACCAATATTGATTATCGATTTTCGATATTGGAGCATCGAACAATGTGGGGAAGCTAAACCCTGAAAGCAATGGCATCAGTGTATCACATGAACATATCTCCTGGTCTTGGAGGCTTTGCGAAAAGGGGTGGAGAGATCCCGGAGCCGAAGCCGGCAGTAGGGTCTACTAACGAACGCCTCATATGCATCTATATCAGTTGTAGAACAGAAAAAGAAAAGAAAAGAAGGTCGTGGGGGGACACCATTGAAATTCTGGTGTACCTTGATGGCAGGATGTCTACAAGTTATCACTCCACGCCCAGCCGTTGGAGGACGAACGTCTAGCATGCATGAATGTGTTGGAAAGCTCTCGTATGTGACGCACAATGTTACTTGTAAGGTATGGTATGTGTATGCTAAGCTAAAATAAGGAAGTTAGTCGACCGAATCACTGGATATCGGATGGGGTTGATTGAGGCTCTGCTTTGGTTAGTTTAGTGGGCGTCTCTCCTCTCCAAGTACTGAACAAGTTACACTCTATCTCTAAGGCTGAGGAACCCACTCTTTACGCGTCATTCCACTCCTTGATTTGCACACACAACCTTCTTCATTCGCCTTAGCATTATTAACCCCCTCCCACCTCCATAACTTGTGCCAGATCATACGTGGGCGGTATTCGGAGACTTCGTACACCGAAAAGGACGGTGACGGTACCGGCCATACAATCATGACCCTGATTTCTTATCTCCTTCTTGCCACGTGCAATGGCGCCTATTTTAGCGCGAACATATTTTCAGCATCATCTGAATTTTTTCTGACCGCCTGAGGATTTTCATTGTCCGCTACCGTCAGGAATGGCGCGCGACCGGCCGTGTCTGATTTCTAATGGATTATGTTCGGAGAAACGTGGCTCTGAGTGTGCTCCACAACTGTCTGCTCCCCTTTGTCAACCCCTTGCAAAAGTGTTGTGTTGGAAATCCATGGGCGGTGTAGAAAGATGGGTGGTGGTGACAGTTGATGCTATGCCATGCCGAGGGAAGAGGATGGCACAATATGGATTATGACTCCCATCATCAACTAGACGACTCGCCATCCGCTTCCCCGTTCTAGCCATACGAAATGGGTCGTAGGCGATGTTCCCCGGTGTCACGATGCCGCAGCGAAACCGACAGCTTCTAGTGGCCATGGGGCATGAAATACCATTCCAAACGCCATGGCAAGAGATATTCTAAGTTGCAAAAAGGTTACGACCTCCACAAATGGGGTGGGCCACGCTCCAGTTTGCATTCGGGCCATTGCCCGTAACCCCAGTTTCGGAAGTTCACGATACTTGGCTGAGGTTTCGCGACCGCACTATGAGACTAGTGGCCGTCAAAGATCAGCTCGGAACCCACAAAAATCTGGACCCTCTAGAAATTTCTGAAGCCGAGTAAGATCCACACTACTCGCCCTCTCCAGCTCTCCAGGACCGTGCTGGGCTCCACTGTTGTCCCTCTCAAAAAGGGCTGCCCGCAACAGCTGTTTGCCTCCAGATCTCTGTTCACATTCCCCTCCATCCACTCTCAAATTTTGTCCTCTGTACATACCCATACCTATACTCTCTCCTCTCCCTCCCCCCCTATCTATCGTCCCTTGTACATATCGAGGAGTAATGGCACAAAGCGCAGCTTCCGCGCTGAGGCTCAGCAACGCCAACCTTTCCAAGTTCTCGCAGGTCGAGTCGACACCTAGCTACAACCGAACAAACCTCAAGCATGGCATCGTACACGTCGGTGTGGGTGGTTTCCACCGAGCCCATCTTGCTGTCTACGTTGACAGGCTTCTCTCCAAATTCCCCGAATGGTCGATCTGCGGTGTCGGACTTACGCCATTCGACTCCGCTATGCGGGATGCATTGTCACCACAGGACTACCTGTACACTGTCATAGAGCGCTCCGCTGGAGGCAGCACCGCACATGTTATCGGATCGATCACAGACTACATTTTCGCACCCGGAAATGAAGAAGCTGTGATTGCGAAGATGGCCCACGCAGACACCCACATTGTCTCCATGACCATCACCGAGTCCGGGTACTACTACAACGAGAACACACACGAACTCGACGTGACAGACCCAAACATTGTGTTAGACCTCGCAGGCGATGGACCACCAAAGACGATCTACGGCTACTTGACTGCTGCACTGGCACGGCGATTCAAGGCTGGCCTCAAGCCTTTCACCGTCATGTCTTGCGACAACATGCAGAAGAACGGACACATCAGCCGTAACATGTTGCTTGCCTTCGCACGTCTCAAGGATCCCAACATGGCTGCATGGCTCTCCGAGAACGGAGCGTTCCCCAACAGCATGGTGGACCGAATCACCCCACGAACCGTGGATGAGGACAAGGAGAACCTGAAGAGGGAGTTCAGCGTTGAAGATGCTTGGCCCGTTGTTACCGAGCCCTTCATGCAATGGGTGCTCGAAGACAACTTCAGCGACGGAAGGCCACCATTCGAGGATGTTGCCGTCCAGGTTGTGCCCACAGTCAGAGACGTCGAACAGTTCGAGTTGATGAAGTTGAGGTTGCTCAACGGAGGACATGCTGCTATGTAAGTTGCCATGAAATTCCAATGTGTACCACAAGAAACGAGTACTAACGCTTTGAATAGGGCTTTCCTTGCCTACCTCGCTGGCTTCACCTATGTCCACGAAGTCATCGCCTCGCCCCTTTTCGCCCAATACATCAACGACCTCATGCACCTCGAAGTCAAGCCGCTCCTCCCACAAATTCCCGGCGTCGACGTAGATGACTACATCAACACCCTCCACTCCCGTTTCTCCAACCCCACATTGAAGGACGAGGTCTCTCGTATCGCCCTCGGTGGATCCGGAAAGATGCCCCAGTTCATCATTCCATCCATCGCCGAGCAGATCCAGTCTCGAGGACCGATCGGCCGCCTCACACTCTGCGTTGCCGCATGGTTCCGCTACCTCAACGGTATCGACGAGAACGGCAAGCCCTTCAAGATCGACGACCCTATGGCCGACGAGCTCCAAGCCCTCGCCCGCGAGGGTGGCGCCAGCCCCAACGCCTTGCTCGGCGTGCAGAACCTCTTCGGTGACGACCTCCGCTACGACGGTCGTTTCGTGCGTGAGATCACCATGGCGATGCGAACACTCGACCGACGAGGTGCCTACAAGACCCTCGAGAAGTACGTCGACGTGCCAGAGAGCGACAAGGTCTCTCTCGCTGGCTCCAGCGGCTCGGCCAGCGGCGTGCACACCCGCGACTCGTCCCGGACACGCGAGGACTTCAAGCAGAAGATGCAGGAGGAGGAGATCAACAGCCTCAGGCAGCAGGTCATCGACCTCACGCTCGAGAAGAAGCGTCTCGCTGCCAAGCTCAACGATATCTGGAAGCTTGCTGCTGTTTATTAGACGACACACTTCTGTGTCCTTTTGGCGTTGAAACTTTGTGTTGTGGAACTGAGATACCCGATCGCAACGTAGGCAGTTTTGCATCGTGCGGTTCTGTTGTTGCTATGGCGAACATATCGGTAACATTGGGGATGTAATGGGAATTGACCGGTGTCGCTTATTTTATCGACGATTGTATGTGTTATAGAGAAAGATTTTACGACAAAAGCAGGGGGCGTTTTCAGCGGCATACAGTAGATTTAGATTTGCATCCGCATCATTTTAATCATTTTACAATTTCTTCACACCATTCGATCCCATTGCTTGTGACTAGATCGCTCTGACTCACAATCGTTCTACCTAATATATAGCAGCATTGATTCACTGGCATTAACTCAACACTACTCATCGTAACTACATGGTAGCCCCTTCCATTTTAAAAAGCATATGAAGATTGACTCAGTACTTTAGTCTGCGATGACGTTGCAAGCTACGAGTTACCTTTAACTCGTAGATAGTTTCGCTGGTGGCAAACCGCACCGTCCGGAAAAGCGGGCGGGCTAGGCCAGGCACCAGCTCGCTAAATATGTCTCGGGTCCGACGCATACTCAGAGTCCTCAAAACACCGAGCATTCCATTACGCGGACGACAATGAAAATACAGCGACCCGAGATCATGAAAGTATATAAACAACCCAGAACAATGTTGAAGCAAACGCATTCCCATCAACAACATCAATTCACCTCAACTCATCATCCGTCTTGACAATTCCAAATTCACCACCATACAAACCACAACCACGACCACAACCCCATCCATCCCAACCAATCAAACCCCACCAAACCCTCTCTACCATTTCCAAAACAAGAAGACCCCCATCATGTCCAGCACCACCCCCAAAATCGCCATCATAGGCGCAGGCCCAACCTCCCTGACCCTCTCCTCCCTCCTCTCCACCTCCTCCATCCCCTACACAACCTACGAAGCGACACCCTCCCCGCGCCACTCCGGCGGCTCGCTGGACATCCATACCGCGACCGGGCAGGCTGCGCTCAAAGCCGCGGGGCTCCTGCCCGAGTTCCGCAAGAGAGCGCGGCCCGAGAGCGATTGCGACAAGATTGTCGTGTTGGGCACGGGGGAGGTCGTGTGGGATGAGAATGGAGATGAGAGCGTGAAGGCCGCGGAGGAAGGGGTGAAGGTTGGGGAGGATGGGACGATTGAGGGGAGGCCGGAGATTGATAGGAGGGATTTGATGGAGATTCTGAGGAGTGGGGTCGAGGATGAGAGGATTGTTTTTGGGAAGAAGCTTTTGAAGATGGAGGAGGGAAGTGGTGGAGAGAAGTATGACTTGCACTTTGCGGATGGGAGTGTGGAAAGAGGATTCGATGTCGTTATTGGGGGTGATGGCGCTTGGTCGAGAGTCAGACCCCTTTTGTCGGATGTCAAGCCGCGATATTCCGGAATCTCGGCTGCTGAACTCTGGGTCGATGATGTTGAGACGAAAGAGAAGGAGTGGCTGAGAGAATATGTCGGGGTGGGATCTTGCTTTGCTTTTGGAGAGGGTCGTGCCGTGATCTCCCAAAGACAAAGCGAGGGGGGCTTGCGAACGTATGCGGCAATCAGGGTTCCTGAGGATTTCATCGAGACTTGTGGGATCGATTGGAACGACAAGGAGACTGCGAGACATCAACTCGTCGACAAATACTTCTCTGACATTGGAGAGGACTTGAAGAGGGTGCTCTACGCCTCCGGCGATGAGCTGATTCCCCGGGCGCTGTTTGAACTGCCGGTCGACTTCAAGTGGGAGCATCGCAAAGGGGTAACTTTACTCGGAGATGCTGCGCATTTGATGACGCCGTTCGCGGGTATTGGGGTCAATGTGGGGATGACGGACGCCTTGGTGCTCTGGCAAGAGCTCGTAAAAGCGTCCAGAGGGGAGAAGAGTTACGACGAAGCGCTGAGGTCGTATGAGGAGGAACTGTTCCCACGTGCCAGGAAGGCAATGGAGAAGACAGCAAGGGGCAAGAAGAATCATTTCAGCGAGCACGGATCGAAGGAGAGGGCTGATATGATGAAGCAGCTCAAAGGACAGAGCAACTGACCGGCGACTTTTGTACTTTCACATATCATTGTTCATTGACGACGAGGGATTGGGTTACAATCATTTCAATTACTGTAGTATCAAACAAATAGATATAGAGCGCCATAAAACCATTTTCTTCCGCAACAGAACCTCATTCATGGATACACATCAGCGTCCCGATCCTTGACCGTGAAATCCACCCTTTCATCTAGTGTCGCCAGAAAATCTTTGACGTAGCCACTCTTCTTCAACTTAGCAAGAGATTGGTCCGTCTTTTCGCAGTGGTTGTACCATGCTCTTTCGAAGTTCACTTCATCATTCTCATGCTTCAAAATCACCCACTCGGGCAATGCTTTCTTCTCATCCTTGATGCGCCACCAGAACCTACCCTTGCCATGCTCCTCAGGCTCGAAATTGCGGGTCCAATCTTTGAGTGCAGACTGGAGTTCTGGGCCTCGCACAACATCGCGGTAATGGCAGACTGGATGGATGTACTCATTCGTCTGGCCATACTTGGCGACATCTTGAAGCTTGTACTCTTTACCTGCGTCTTCGTAGATCTCAGCCTGGCAGTGGCCCGGTACGCGCGGATAAACTCCTGCCAGACGGTACATGCCACTGTACGAGTCCACAATTGGTCCTGTTCCCCAGCCGTAGTCGAAATTGGAATGAACATGCGCGGGGTCTCGTTTTGGCGGAGCAAGTTCATCGTCGGCGGGGTTGATGATCGGGATGTTGGGGATCTTCTTCTTCACCCAATCGAACATGGTTTCATGGTGGTAGGTGCAATTATAGCGGACTGTGTCGAGCCAGCGCTGGTATTGCTCCATTGATGAATGGAACGCAGTTTGGTCGATTGTGAGATAAGGTGATATGCATTGCAGCATCCAGCAGAAGCTCGTCATTGCAAGATCTATCGTCCAAATTAATCCGAGATACTTGGGCGTAGAGGTTGAAACACTTACGCTCTAAATCTCCCTTCATCTCTGTAATGCAATCGTCTGATCCGCCGCCTGAGTTGATGTGCACTCCTGGGAACCAAACTTGCTTCAACTCTGGGAGCGGTTTGCCCTCTTTGATCAACTCATTAGGGATATACCACAGCGTTGGACGGAAGGCTTTTCGTTTCTCGTCCAGCGCCAGTGCATGGAAAGCATGCTCGATACCTAGTCAAAGTCAGTTTTGCAACTTCATCTGAGAACATGTACTACTTACTACCGTTGAGCTTGACATTATGAAATCCATGCTTGGTGCGAAGGTTGGAGTTGTCGAAGATTGCCACATCGGGAATACCCAAGCTGCCAACCGTATCCCAAACACCAACGACTTTGACTTTGCGGCTCTGCTCGCTCCCAGACAGGTCGCCATGGGGTGGGATTTCCCAGCTTTGGGCTCGGTTTATGGCCCCATTGTTGCGTTGGCTTGCGCTCAGGTCGTGCCCTCGTTGGCTAAGCTTGCCATTGATAAACTCTTTCCACTCGTCGGTATCCCGAAACTCTTTACCCTCCTCATTTCGCTTGTACGCTCGATAGATTGCTGGAAATACTTGCATGTCAAGCGGTTTGATGACGCCGATATCCGTCACCAAGCCCGCAACGGCTCTCGCGGTGTAGGCGCCCCTCGAGAACCCGAAACAGAAGATTTCATCGCCAGGCTCATAGTTCAAAACGATGAAGTTGTACGCTTCGATGACGTTCTCTGCTAGGCCGGCCCCCAAGCCACCTTGTCGCCTCTTTTCGGAACTTGATATGTTGCCTGTGCCGACGCCGCTGTCGTAGTAAACCAATTGATGGAATTTCTTGCTGGGGTTGTTTTTGTCGTGGCCAATGCGGGCAATGTGTCGACATAGCTTGGTGACATTGGAAGGTACGTTCTCCTTGATATCAACGCTGGACTGCCAGGTACCGTCGCAGCAGATGATGATGCGGCGGCTCCACGGTAGGTCCTGATTAGAGCCCATGTTAAACAGGGATTTCGATGTAGATTCAAAGAAGACCCCTGAGATGCGATGTCTTTAGTAAAAGTATGTAGAATGTCTAGTGTTCCTCTCAGTCAAGACTAAGTAACTAGGCGTCAGGCTGAGGAAAGGGCGGAGGCGACGTGTGTAATATAGCACCAAACGTCGAAATCGTTGCACAGGCGTAAGCGGATCGGATCGCTGAAGGACAACACAAGACCGTCCTGCACGACAAGGCAAATGCTCAATTTATCCCATCACAATCTTAATCGTTGCCTGCTTCTCATTGCACGTTGCTCGAGGACCAACATTTAGAGGGTTCAGCTTTGGGGACCCACGCTGTCAGCTTCCAGCCAATGCGCCCCTTTTAGCGGAGAAGCGAGCTGATGGGGGGCAGCCAAGCGATGCAATCTGTATAAGGCGTAGCCTAGATGATCGACGGCGGTGTGGGAGGCCTCTGAATTCTCCATTGAGACGTATTGAGACACAGCGTGGCTGGCGGATTGGGCTCATCTAGGTCACAATTGGCTTTGTGCTGCGAACTGTGGATTGCAGAAGATGGGGGATACAATGTTCACAAGATGCAACCTATTGCCAATTAGAGCGGGAGGTCGCTAGCCCGAATGGGCTCCACCATAGAATCGGAATCGACTGTCACCCTCAGGGTCATCAGCTCGGCCCCCAAATATGCGGGGTTGTGCTGTGGCTTGCGTAAGAACTAAGGGAATGAATATCATGAAAGAGCTGGAGCTTCGCCAGGCTGAACGACTCCTCATTGCTTTTTGCCTTGTCTAGACACCTGAAATACTTGCAGGCCAAAAGGAATACGGTCAATTGCTGTCTATTGTAGCGCGCACGTCGAATCAAGTCAAACGGAAATGGATTCAGCCTGTTGCTTGATCTACTTGGCACAGAATTCATCGTGTGCACTGCATGATGTGAAATCAACTGAGCACAATGCAGGATTGCACGAAGAATGTGGACTTGTTGTGGAACTTCCAATGACAACCTAGGACGATACTGGAACCGAGACCATTGATAGGGCAGCAACTATACCCATTATTCAGGCTCCTGTCCCTCATCACAGTGTTGGGAAAACTATCAACAAAGGTGACAAAAGCTTTTGATATAACTCCTTGTTACTCCTTTCCCGGAGGAGATCCTATGCAATACTTAAGATACATAATTATAGAGGAACTCGTATCCGCGAACAGTGGCTTTCCACCCTTTGGAGTCTGGGTCACTGCTCAGATCACAGATATGTGGTGCGTTCTCAATCAATACCAAATCTGCATTCGTACCCCGCTCAACCAATGCGGCATATGTATCACGACTTTGCGTCCATGGAACGAGATCATCAGCTGTGCCGTGTATCAAGAAAGTGGGGGTGTTGTAGTTGCCTTCACGGATCTGCGCAAGTGCACTGGCAGCTACGATTGTCTCGTTGTCAGGCTGAGGAAGGGCATTCCAGTCCTTCGGCTCTGAACTCTTATTGGCCTTCGTCCTGCTGGGAAGCCCACCCAGGATGATGGGAAGAGTTTGGGCTTTCCAGTTGATGTGAAGTACGACGCGACATCGAGGATCGGTAAGAATTCGGGGCTCTGAGAGTGGTTCCCAGGCGCCCACTTGATCGTAGTGAGTAATGGGTTGGTCCTGAATTGCCTCCAAGACGTCATACTTGTAACCTGTGTCTTCTGCACCGATGGGCTGGATGGGGTGTCTCCACCACTCATCTTCATAATTTGTAGGTGCATAGAACGAAAGGACAGCCTCTGGAGGACGTAATCCTCTCTTCGGGGCAGTCCACCCTAGGGACATCGCAAGCTGTCCTCCAGACGACCAACCAACCACAACGACTCTCTCTCCATCGATCTGGAGCCCAGGTCTGTGATGATCAAGGTATGGCAATGTATGGCGAGCCCAGTCAAGAGCGTCGCAAACGTCTACCATGCCGCCCTCGGAAAGGCTCACTTCGGGGCACAATCGATGATCTAGGCTGACAGGTAGAAATCCCTTTGCAAGTAGTAGACGCGTCTGTGCCGGTCTGATTTGCTTTCGAGAGAAGAGGCAATGGCTTCCCCCGTGAATCATTAAAGCTACACACAGTGAGTTAACAGATCAAGTGAGATATGATGGTTCAGTACTTACCAATTGGTAATTTCTTATTCGAGGAATGTCCTTCACCGGGATAGTAGATATCGGCGTGAATATCCAAGTTTCCGATTCTCTTATACACAACAGTTTCCACGACAGGGTTGGCAGGTTTCCTGGGTTGCAATGCTGCCCCACGTCTGATTGGATCACCGCGGGGAAATGCAGCGATTACACGAACTGTCTCGGATTCGGGCGTTGCGCCATCTGACCACAGTACCTCTTTGAAGCCGGAATTCTTCATCACACGCTCCCAATGCTTTTCATTGACCAGCGCATGCGAACGACCGTCCTCGAACAGCCACCAGCCTTCAAAAAGACCAACGACAATATCGAGCCAGAACATGTTCTTGGTAATTTCGATGAGAGTCAATGCACCATCCTCTCGAAGCATCTTCCGAAGATTCGTGAGGGAAGCTTCAAGATTCCGCGTTGCGTGGATGCAATTTGTTGCAATGATGCAATGGAAGGCTTCTTCATATTCCTGTTTGATTGGCTTTTCAATATTGACAACATCGAAGGACACTTCATCAATACCCTTGAATTTCTTCTTTGCTTCTGACACCAGAGACGAAGAAATGTCGGTAAAAACATATTCAAATGGTATGCCCTGACTTTTGAGTGCATTGACAATATATCGCGTCGTTCCCCCGGTGCCAGCGCCTACTTCGAGGATGCGAAACTTCCCATCGCCCTTTGCATTGGTGAAAGCCCTCTGTAGGAAGTTGCTGAGAACCATAGTGGGTGTTCGTAACAAAGGCCAGAACTCGTACATTGCTTCTAGAGTTGCTTTTGTCTCCTTATTGCCGAAAACTATTTGCAAGCCATCTTCATCACCCACCAAACACTCCGCCAGACGGGACCCGACTGCTCGGATTAGTTTGAGCACGTTGTCGTGTTGGGGATGAAGACCGATAATCTGTTGATAGATCGATTCAGCAGGTGTTTCATCAACTACAACATCGGTTCTGACGAATCCGTGACGGCTTGGAGAGATCAGCTTTCCGTCTTCGAGCACACGATAGAGTTGTTCCACAAGTTTTGCATGTCTATCCAGTGTTTTGACTTGGGGAATATGCTCTCCAATCCGCAGACTGGTCAAGTCGCATCCTAGGGCGGAAAATGCCTCTAAAACGTAAGCGCGGACAAGCCTTGCCTGACGTGGATATGCTTCAGTCCAAAAGCCAGCAGCTTTGTTTTCGCGGGCTATTGAGTCGAAATACCATCGCTTTTCCTCGAAAGAACCTATCGAAGATATAATCTTTGGTCTGCTGGGTTCTTGTGGGAGGACTAGCCTGGCCACATTGTTCTGTGCCGGTGTGCTCATGCCAGAGACATCGCTGTCTGCATCAGTAGTTGGCGGTGTGTCAAAGGGCTCATCATCGCTGCTGATGCCGGACGCTTCGTCGATATATGCTACAATGGCATCAATACTGGGGAAAAGTAGGAAGCTGGAAAGATCAATGTTTATTCCCAAACTTTTTCGGATGTCGTTCAAGACTTCAGTCGCCATGAGCGAATCGATTCCAAGATCTTCTAACGCAGAATCCGGACTGATCTCTTCAATCGCTACATCGGTAATATTCGATAATACTTGAATAAGCTCGCTTCTTTTGCTTGAGAGATTTGGAGGCGAAGTCCCCCGGATAGTCTGTACTGCAGGGACAGCAACCTCAGCAACAGAAGGCACCGTCTTCTGAGGTTTCGCAATCGATGCCTCAGGTTTGTTGACATTCTTGAGCAAGTTTGCAAGCTTTGCCTTTTGCATTTTCGTAAACCGCAAGCCAAATGTGGCCATGACCATATTCTTGCTTTCGGCATCGAAGACATATACATCTGATGATACGTCGCAATCACCGCCCCCGGTCATGTTCGAATAAACAACCCACTCTTTAGCATCCGGGTTGAAGCGTCCACCAAATTCGATGTGTTCGATCTCCATACACACAAATACATCTTCCAAGTTCGGATTGTTGAAGTAATTTACTAAGAATCCCGCGAATTGCATGAAACTGTCCGTCATCGGAGTATCGCAGAGACGTTGATCAGCTGGTGCAGCGAGATCTGGAGTAACAGCCACGATTCCGGCAGCTTCCTCGCCGACACATGCTACCTTTTTGATACCATGAAAGGTGGGTCCATAACTGACAACGGTACTGAATGCGCGGTAGATGTGGTTTCCTTGCATCGTCTCAGCATCGGGATTGTTGAAAATTGCTTCACATCGACGATAACCGGTCAAAGATTCGAACCGCTTGAAATGTCTCGCCGCTTGAGCGTCATCTCTCCTCTTGAGGCTTATCACACCCGTAGAATGTTCATATGGGCGTTTACGTTGCATTACCCCTCCCTGAGTGGTGATAGAGAACGACCATGAAGTCTTGTTGCCCCCTAATTTCTCCAGGGTAAGCAAGATCTCCGCTGTCGTGTCGTGACCAATTGGTGACTTCATTCGCAAATCATCAACAGTCGGAACATAGTCCGTCGCTTCTGTATCCTTCTGAAGAACTAGAGCCGCCCTGCAGATGACCTCAAGATACAGAGACGCTGGAGCAAGCGTTTGGTCCGCCATGACATGGCCCGCTAGCATTTCCTGAAAGCGATCTGACCGTGGATCTATTCGGAAAATTGCTTCTTTCTGGTGACTGTCTTTGAAATTCAAAAAGGTGAGAAGATCATGTTTGTCTTCTACCGGCTTATCTTCTTCTTTGCCGGAGTCCTGCCGTGAGCTTTGCCTTAGGAATGGAAGCCAATGCCTCGTCTTTTCAAATTGATAGAGGGGGATATCCAAGTGCTCATAAAGAGGCTTCTGGCTTCGATGGAAAGGCCAGAATTGAACGGAATACCCGAACTTCCATAGTTCAACGGTTTTGTCAACCAAAGATCTGGACGCATTCGATGAAGTCAGATGTGGCGCAATGAATAAGTGTCCCTCCGAATCTAGGAGTGCGTCTTTCGCAAGCTGTGTGATTGAAGATCCCCGACCAGCCTCTACCCAGGTAGCCTTCGAGAACTTCTTCTCTAGTCTTTCGATGGCCTGCTGAAAGAAAACCGGAGATCTTGTATGACTCGAGACTATGGTATAGCCTGGTTCGGTGAAGCTGCTGATTTCATCGCAAGTCTCGAGATGCATTGTCGGCTCCCTCCAATCCAACGTCTTCGCTAGATTCGAAAGGTGAGGCAACATGGGCTCCGTGAATTTTGAGTGAAATCCATGCGTCACTCTAAGTCTCTTGCTGCGAATCGACCCCCGCAGAGATTGTGATGTATTAATGTATTGCTCGATAGTTTCAATATCATCGGCAGTACCAACCACAACGTGGTTCCTTGGACCATTATAACAAGCTATTTCCGCGTCAAAGCCACGTCGTGAAGCCTTGAGTGATCGCAGAATTTCCTCCACAGTTCTTCGATCTGTCTGGAGAGAAAGCATGGACCCGCGCTCGGAGCCCCAATGCTTTTGCATAAGAGATGCCCTCTCAACAACAAGCGTCAAAGCGTCAGAGAGTGAGAGCGCGCCGGATATACAAAATGCAGTGAGTTGTCCAAAGCTATGTCCAACGACTGCATCAACCTTCAATCCGCAATCAATCCATGCCTTGGCTGAAGCGTATTGCACGGAAAACAGAGCAGCGTGCAAGCTTGTAAGCTTGTTGATGGGTTCATTTTGAAGCAGAGATGAATGAACGCTATCAAGACCCCTGGACAGTAAGATTCGGTCGCAATGATTGAGATGTTTGCGGAAGATTGGGGAGGATTGGTAGAGTTCTTGAGAGAGGCCAATGATATCGCTCTCTTGACCTCCAAATATCAGGACTACAGGTTGCGAACTGTTCGCTTTCTCGATGCCAGATCCGCGGGAAAGCTTTTCAAGCGAACTTTGAAGCCCCTGAATGTTGGATACCGAAGTGGAAAAGAGGAATGGAAGTGTATGGTTGGCCCTATCGGCCAAATTGAACGCCAATGATGCAAGCAATTGGTCAGGGTTGCTGTTTGGTTTTGGTAGCCACTCGAGAAGCTTAGTGGCGTACATAGAAAGACTACTCTCACTGCCGGCAGATATGAAAATAGGATATTCAGAAAGCTGTACAGGCGCTGATGGTTTCTCCAATTTTGGCTTTTCTCGAACCAACAACGTCGAGTTGCTACCCGCGGCACCATAGCTGTTGACACAAGCCACGCGTGTTGGGGCTTTCCACCACAGATTTTTCGTGGGAATTGCCATACGGTCCTTATTGAGGGCCGAAATCTTCGGATTGAGTGAGTTGAAGCTCGCTTGCTTAGGTATCATCCCATGCTTCATCATAAGCAGCACCTTGATCAGACCAGAAACGCCGGCAGACGCCTCCGTATGTCCGATGTTCCCTTTAATCGAACTGAAGTGGAGGATAGAGTCTCTGTGTGGACCACCGAGCGCATCGCGTATGCTGCGGGCTTCGACGGGGTCTCCAACCCCCGTTCCAGTTCCATGTGCTTCGACGTAAGAGACTTCCTCAGGCCTCACATTGCCGAGTTTCATCGCCTTATGGTACAACTCCACTTGCGAGCCTGAGTGTGGAACTGTGATGTGGCTGAAGTTTTGATTTTGATTCGCTGCAGATCCAACAATCACACCAAGGATATTGTTGTTTTCCTGAACGGCATCGGAGAGCTTTTTCAGAACGACAACTCCAACACCTTCGCCTCTGCAATAGCCATCGGCACCCGCGTCGAATGGCTTGCACTGTCCTGTTGGACTCAGAAATCCTGCCGCATTCAGGTTTTGGTAGTCGAATGGACTCGTAATCACATTTGTTCCGGCTGCTATGGCACGAGAACACTCGCCGGACCATATTGCCCGGCATGCAGTGTTGATGGCGACGAGCGAAGATGAACAGGCCGTGTCAATGGTTAAAGCTGGTCCTGTCCATCCGAAATGATGGCTCATGACGCCGCTAAGAAACGGCCTTGATGTTCCTGGCGTGGCGTACGCAGTCGGAGGGTGGCAGGATAGGTTGTCATAATAATTGTTCATGACTGCCCCGACATAGCAACCGTAATCGTTGGTTTCGTTTTCTGACGAAGGTCCAAAATAGCCCGCAGACTCAAGTGCCTGGTAAAGAACCTCGAGCAGAATCCTCTGCTGCGGGTCCCAGGCGACTGCCTCTCGAGAGGGCTTTTTGAAGAAACGATGGTCGAAAGCATCAGGGTCTTTGAGGAAGTTTCCCCACCACTTGGTGTCTGAATAGCTCCCGGTCTGGGGCAACTGAAGGCGCTCTACAGGAGCGGGCTTGACGACGGATTTTCCATCAAGCAGCAAATCCCATAGCTCTTCAACTGAATCTGCCTCTGGAAACTTTCCAGCCATGCCCACCACAGCAATTGAATGAGGTGGGTAGTCCGATGTATTCCATGATTCATGGGTGATGCTATCATCTGATATGTCACTATACGATCCCCCTAGGTTGTGTTCATTGTTCTCAACCGAAGAGACCTGAGTCTCCTTAGAAAACGGCATGTTTGAAATCAACCAATTCAATTAATGTCATCAGGAGGCATAGAGAAAGTTTATCCCAAATTGAAGTCAGCAGTGAGAGGAACTTCATTATTTATTTATCTGCTCTAGTGATTATTATATTTATTGATAGCGTAGAGTATGACGCTGTATCATGAATGTACGCTGTGCCGCGTGAACATGGGTACCCAGACTTCTCAACGTAAAATGATTGTGAAGGTCCGATCGCATCGGAACCTCCGTACAAGAGAAACCTGAAATCGGCGTTCAGCCTTAGCAAGCAATAAGAGAGCCAATCGTTCAGTTCTTGCTGTACGCCTACATGCGTGATTCAGTAGGATGCAGCTTTTAGCCTGCAGCAGTCGAAGCTGTAAAGGAATGCGTGGCTACCAAGAATGATTGCGTCAGACTCTTCTCCTAATACTATTCAGTGCAGCTTCTCGTAGGCGAGATATTTCGGCGGGTAGGATCCGAAAGGATACACGAAACCTGCAACGCCCACACTGACCGATTTCAGGCTTCCAGCATGACGGCTGGTGCGTTGATAAAGCTGCAAAGCCACAACAAGCACGCTAACGCAAAAGTCAGCCGTAATCCCTAAAGAAGGAGTGGTCAAGAATGATTTTTACTAGTTCGTCTGGTTCCTCGACAGATATGTAGATTAATCTACGTTCGGAGACCGAAAATCGCTGCTAAACCATCCTCAGCTTAATTGACTGTTTCGTGCATAAAACTGCGTGGGGGCGAAAGGGGAGAGGTACTAATACTTAGTGAACGCGCGGGGTAAGCTTAAAGAAGACATTTTTGGCATGGAATAGTAGAACTCTTGTATTACTTAGTTTTGTATTCATCGGTCCTACTATTTCATCAAAATATTTAATATTGTTGCTGATGTGGAATGTTGGGTTCACCCATGGCTGCCTGAATCCCTTCAAGGTTGTTGCGTTTGTGTGACCCATTCACACATCTACTCAGCGAGGACGTCATTGTCCGGGTAGTACCGGTAGATACCCCAGTCATACTTCTGTCTCTTCTCGCTCGCGAGATATGCAGCTACATTTGGGCGAGCCTTTACGTCCTCCCACAGGCGGAACACCCGATTGTATTTACCAGACTCCTTGGCCTGGCTCATGGCTTTGGGGAATGCGAATTTGCAACCATCGAGACACTACAAGTCAAGGATTAGGTTAGCAAAATAGTTTATCTTGACACCGCCTTGCATTGTGAAAAAATTAAGACAGATGTCTGGAACACGATTGAAGTGAACTTGCCTGGAATAAAACTAGATCAGCGTATGTGAAAGTCTTTCCCAATAACCAATTACCGCCTTCATCACTGGCCAGAGCTCTCTCCCAGTATCCAAGATGTTTGGGAAGACGAGTCTTGATCCATTCCTGACAACGCCTTTTGCTTTCCTCTCTCTGATCCTCATAGTAAAGCTCGACAGCAATTGGGTGGTGAGAATCGTGGACCTCATTGCTCAAGCCATCTAAAGCAGTAAGAGCCAGGGCGTTTACTCGGTACTCGTCGTTTTGATTCGCGCCCGCAAGACCCAGCTTCGAACCAAGGTACATGAGTATATTGCTGGTCTGAGATATGACTAAGTCGCCATGCTTGAAGAGTGGAGGTGCGTAGTACGGAGGATTTCCTGGACCTGGCGTCAGGTAAGAGGTTACGAATTCTCGGCATTTATCCATGGGCAGAGAAGCAGTATCCGTGTATTCGGCTCCAGCTTCTTCAAGGGCCAGCCGGATGTGCTCTCCGCGTCCTGGCACTCCAACATAGTAAATGAGCTCGTATGGCGCAGCCATGTTGCTCGGCGCCCAGTTGGTGATGAGAAATTCGTGATAGCAGGATTTTGGAGATTTTGATGGTTCGACTTCTTGATAGGGCGGTGTCCAACGCCTATCTTATGGTGTTACAAAAGCCTCCGTGTAAATTGATGTTGTGAGTTTACTTGGCCGTTCGCTTTCGATCGCTTTCGAGTAAAGTGATGGGTTAGATGACTCTTTATGCATTAAAGAACTCCCTGCTTCAACTTGATGTCACTGTCTGGTTCAGTTGGGTCATTGGACTGGGATTTCGCTGCGCCTCTGGAGTGTTTTCCAACTCCATGGTAGGCCATTGGTCATCACGTGACGGTGGACTGAGCGTCTCCCAGTCAGGGCTCTATGGGACTCCCAAGCTGGTAGTGATAGAAGTGGAGAGTAAATAATAGTGGAGTGGGGAGATCATACTCGTAAATGCACTATTGATTGAACGTGGAGAAGAATGGATATGGTTTCCGTTATGCTCATAGGTGGGTACGAAGGATGTAAGCCCCGACGCAGAGTCAGCACCAGTAGTTCAACCATGCAAACTTCCCCTCCCATGCATGCTGAACTTCCCTATCCTGCCAATGCTCGCCACCTACGTACGTACTAGATGCACAGTGGAAGAATGTCGATCTTCAAACAAGACGAACAAAGACGGGAGTGGCGCGAGCTTTGTTTGTCGCTCTTTCACTTGTGGGTCAAATAAAAGGGTCTGTTGCGGAGTAGGTATCAACAGAGGGGCTCAAACGATCGGCATCACTGTGGACGAAGTACCCTGGAAGCCGGAAGTAAGACCATAATCCTCTCCGACGAATCTTCTCCTCCGTTCCGATGATTTGTGCAGATACTTAGAACCGATTGTTCCAATCATGCTGTGCAACCTTAACCCCCGTAGGTGTGAATCCCAATCCAACGTGGGCTGAACGTGCTTTCCAACGCCACTCCTTTCGTCTAGACCTTGGGCGACATCATCATCCTCTTAACCTCGTTTCTGTCCTACTTTCCTTTTCATCAGGAATCCGTCTTTCCGCCCCATCGAGAAATCTCAGTGATTACCTCCATCGAATCCAGCATCCAATCGCGGCATCATGGCTGATTTTCTGGACATGCCAGCGATGGCGCCCCCGGCGGGCCAAACAGCAAATCTCGAAAATCCACCAAATCATAACGGTGCTGTGGTTGCAGTCTACACTGTATGCATAACCATTGTGACCATTTTTGTCGCCTTACGAGTATATGCCAAATTCATCTTCTTAAGAAACTCGCGAATTGTAGACTGTAAGGCCCTTAACATCTGGACAGTGAATGATTGACAAACTGACACGACCATAGATCTCCTCGTTCCAACTTTTGTGAGTTTGCGTTCACAACCGAGTGTTCCAGACAATTCATGAAGACCTTGTCGCTAACTAAATATTCTGTTAGGGTATCTTCATCGCACATTGCGTATTCTGGCTCAAGATGAATAGTACCACGGGTCAGTTTGTGCACATGTGGAATTTCCGCGTAGGCGGCCTTGCACCATTCTATCGTGTTAGTAACACCAATACTCAAAATCGATCTGTGAGCTGTTTCTTGAAGCTGACCATACGTGCAGAATGGCTTCTACGGCACAATCTTCTATGAGACTGTAATGATGACTATTAAACCGCTCATCCTCGTCGAATGGACGCATATATTCTGTGCGAATGGTACGCGCCCAGTCTTTAAATGGACCTGCTACATTGTAGCAGTCATCAATATCCTTTTGTACGCTATCGCAATATTGATCGATGCCGCATCATGCAAGCCGCGCGAATATTGGTGGGATAGAAGTATCGATGGCCATTGTGTTGACACAAGGAATCTTCCAATTGTCACGGGTACTTTGAACGTTGTCATCGATATGGTTATCCTACTGCTACCCCAGCCTCTCATCTGGAGGCTTCGCGTTTCTAAGAATAGGAGGATCGGCGTCTCCCTCGTATTTTGCATTGGTATAATGTAAGCTCCCCTCTGATGAACGAAACATGGTTCATATAGTCTGACCTTAAGCAAACAGATCTGTCGGTGCGGCCATTGGAAGAACAGTGCTAGCATATATTTATGCCGAATCAGCGGACGTCACCTGGAACTTTTCTCAAGTTGGAATCTTCATCCTCCTCGAGATGACAGCCGCGATTCTCGTCTTCGCAGTGCCTACTGCTCCCAAACCATCGGCGCATCTTGCCAAACGGGCTGGTAGCTCCCTCGTCTCTCTCATCAGGCCCAATCGTAGCGGAAGCGGGAGTAGTGGTCATGGCCCATTTGCCACTGGCAGTGAAAATACACAGGAACGTATTTATCGAGATCTTGAAGGTGGGATTGTGCCTCCTTTACCGAAACCTAGGTTGGCGAGATCGAAGCACTCCGCGGATGCAGACAGTCAGGCTGAGTTGACTGCGCCATCGCCCACGAGATAGATGCTCGGACTAAGAGGGCGTTCAAACGTAAAAGTTTCCTGCAACCGGACGATTCTCAGCAATGCGTATATGACCTATGAATTGAAATCACGACTATAGACTTAAGGATCATTGATGTGGCAAATCGGATACTGCTCGGATAATTGTAGACTGACTATAGAGTGCCTTCCAAGTATGCAGAATGGTTCATCTATTTCCACGTGTACACTCGTTTCATTCGTTTCAATGATGATGGCAGAGGCTGAAGAGTAGATTAACTTCACGCCACTGGCGCAATGGCCTGTGCAGATACGACGCGTACAGCGGACGGGTCGGGACGATCTTGGTATCCAGATGGGGTAATGTCCCACGCACTTCAGTTTGTTTGGGGGATGCCTCCCGCCTACTACCCACACTAACTGGACACGACTTCGCGAAGCTCGAATAGAATTAGGCTCTCTATTAAACTAATGCAAAACATGCAGAACTTTGGACTACGAGTTCTTCCAGGCGAATATTCATCCTCCCAGCCGACCTTTTTGCCCTCATAGTGCTTGTTCATCCCTCCACTTTAAGTCGTACCTCGATCAGCCCCAAGCCGATCGTGCTCTTGCGAACATTCACAATCTCTAAACGCTCGTCGGCCTTCCTGATTAGTGCGGCGAATTCCTTCTCGGTCCTCTGCTTAGCACCCAGCAGCGACATCATACAGAAATCAATTTGCCTGAGATGGTGCTCTTCATACTTCGTTATTGTGCCACTGTCGGGTAAGATAACATCGTTGATGAGCAACGGCGTGCCATGTCCACAGCGCTCCAGAGCAGGCACTACCTGACGAATGATCTTGATTGCAGCATCATCAATCTGATTGTGGAGACACTGGCGTAGAAGGAAAACCGATGCGTCTTGTACGGGTTGTGGGGTGAAGAAGTCATACTTCTGAAATGAGATCCGATGGCCTAAGTCTTCTTCTGCTTGGGAGAGCATATGTGGAGATATGTCTTGTACCACAAATTGCAACGATGGAAATGACTGTCTCACTTCGTTAGCATACTTTCAGACGGCAAAAAGGCCATCGGGGTATTGTTCTTACTCGTGCAAGTGCTACTGAGACGTGGCCATTCCCTCCCCCAATATCCACAACTTTCCCCTCATTTAGGCCTGCCCACGCAAACCCCGATCGGAGTTCACTAAATTGTCGTTCGTCTACGCCTGAATCAGGGTCTTGAAGGATTGTAAGAATTGTGGGGAATCCTAGCTTACATTGCGACCAACTGCTCATGGCCTGTGCAAACCTCCGAGCCTTGTCGGGCCTTTGCTCGTAGTACTCATACATCGTTGCCCCAAACCTCTTATGGAACGCCGAATGCGAGGCATCCGACCTGTAAGGTGAACCCGAAATTGCATTCGCTGCCTCCGATGCCGCTTTCAACATGTCGTCCATTTGCATATCGGCGCCCGCATATATCCCTGGGTCGCGAGCCAAGAGCGCCGAGCTGGCTGTATGCTCGAATGTCTCGTGTTCCTCGTCCTCGTCCTCGACTTGGGCGAAGATGCGATGGGTTGCGAGCATTTTCATGACGCGTCCCGTTCGATCCACATCCATGCCAGCCTTCTCGGCGATTTCGAATACGCTTGCCTTGCTGCCGTTGTCCACTTCTGGCGTAGCGGAACTGGAGGCAAGTGGGACATGCTTGAAGAACTGCCGGTCGAGCGCGATCTGCAGGGCCGCGAGGTCGTAGTGTCGAAAGTACATTTCTTGCAGCGTATTCTTCGGTCCATTCACCAGCCGGAGAAGGTCGAGTGCTGCATCGTTCAAGGGTGCCCGAAGAGCTTCATATTCTGCCGTTTCCGGAACCTCTTTCGTGTCCGGGCCAAATCCTGGTTCAGGAAGGGAGTTGGAACTGATATACGAGCTGATTTGTGATGAAAGCAAAGATATTCGCTCGGCAAGTGCAGCGATCGTGAGGGGCTCCTCATAGAGTGGGTTGGCTTGAATCATGGTGACTCGTAGACTTTGAGGGCGATCTGTAGAACTGTAGTGGTCAAACCTGGTCTGACCTCTTCTCGACGTGTTCAGGCTGATACAAATGTTATCACAGCTAGACCCTGTGACAGGCCTGTTATCTCACCGGTCCCTGCATACGTCATCTTCGACAATTTGAAGAAGTTGAACTCAAGTGTCGATAACCCTGTCAGAAGGGTAAATGCACTAGCACAGAAGTAGGCCGTGGACATCAGCCCTGAGAATAAGCACTACGATGGGGTACTAACAAGGTAAGCGTCGGGATTCAAGAGTCGAATTACATGGGTGTTCCCAGGTTGGGGTCATTGTGTTTGGGGTAACATGGTCTCGAATCCAGACAATAGATCCTGCATATGCACTCCCCCTGTAGTTCACAAACGTCCAGCAGATCCATCGCGCCACGTACGAAGAAGCACATGTGAATACAACAAAGGTTATTCTAAATGCACCAATTATACATGGCATGTTTGGAAAGAAGATAGTGATTGGATATCATTCAACAAGGTTCTTAATGCTTCCGAGGATCACCGAATATCGCCGTTACAATTACTGACGTGCTCTAGACTATACACAACCTACCCCATCATTAAGGAGAAGTTCTGCCGTCCAGCGGCCTGTCGTTACTCCATCTATAATCTGTGGGAAACAAATCGCCTACTCCTTACACTGATGTACATTGCTTCATACAATTCTAGAGAGATTGCTTCTGCGTGTCGTTACAGCCTGGTGACTGTTAGTAAATGATTCAAAATGTAAGAAAGTTGACACGTACTCTGAATTTTTCGATATGAAGCTTTTTTGATAAGCAATCCGTCACAAAGCTCTTGGATAGTCTTCTCCAACACATCGCAAGCAAACTCTGTGCTGTAGAAGCTTTCGTTCCACGCAGCAGAAAGAGTCATCTCATTCTCCCAGCTCCAAGGGTTAAATGTTATCATTGGTGTCGCAGTGTCACAACTAACCCAGAAATCTGTGACTTGTAGTTTTGAACTTGCGGGGCCGTCACTGTTCTTTGGATATTCGCTCTTGATCAGCGCGTCCATCTTTCCAAAGCTGCTGATCACTGGTGCCTTAGGGAATGGACAGCCAGGCAAAGAGTGCTGGGCGAAAATTTTGGAGATACCCTCCATGTATGGGCTGGCAAGCTGCAGCAAGCTAGCTGTCTTGTCGGTGTTTGATCCGGGCGTCTTGTAATGTTGGATGTCTTGCGAGTAGAAAGCACCCAGCTCGCGGGCCAGAGTGCTAAAGCTTTTCGCTGGAACACTTTCTCCATTGTTCGAGTGTTCCATGATTCCTTCGATACGTAAGGGAAGCCCTGAAACGTATGATCCTGTCGGCTGTGAACACTCTTCAGCACCAAGTGCCATCAATGGGCCGCGAAGATCGATTGGGGCGAATATAGCGTAGGCGTTTGCATCTGCATCCTGAGGAAATTGGGTTGTAGCGCGGATAATGGCTGCGTTGATCGCACTTGTCACTGAGAAGCCCTGCGCACGACATGCGCGGATGATTTCGTCCGAACTGTTAGCACTCATGCGGATGGCCGTTCGAGCAGAGTGTGTTGGCCTTCTTTTGTCAGACCCTGGCCGTGTAGGTAGAGCGATGGTACGTCCGCCATTCTCCAAGGCATCCACGAGGCTGTTGGCTTCATCTTTTCTGTTTGACTCGTTCTTGGTATATCTCTGAACAAGCTGTTCGATGCTGGGTGACAAGGAAGATGCCTGAGGAGGTCGGTTTGGGAAATCGTCGAAAGAAGCATCAAGTCCATCTTGAATCAAGGTGGATAGAATAGAGAGAAAGACATCGCTGAGCATGACTGTTCCGAAGCCATCACTTCGCCAGTGCGGCGACTTGATAATGACTTGTCCCGGAAGTGGAAGCCAGTGACATGTGGTAGCCCCATTTCTTAGGTCTGGTATCGAGAACAGCTCGTCAACATTTGAGCAATTTGGATGCACAGAGAAGGTCTGGCGGAATTCTCTGTTACTGAAGGGCCGTAAGGTGACTATTGCGTCGTAGGGTTTATGTTTGTCTGGGGTGGAAATCTCAGATCTTAAACTGGGAAACAGTCGTCCAATTGTCTCCCATGCTCTAGCAATGTACGTTTGTGGATCGACCACATGAGATGGAAAGCGAAGCTGAAGTATGGCAAAGATAGAAGCATGGTCGATTTGGGCTGAGGCACCGGCTTCTCCCAGAACCTTGAAAAATGTCTCTAGATGTCCAGCGGGACGGTTCAAAGTACTCGTGTCTGGTACTGGAGATGGTGGAACTTGTTTCCCTGGTTTATGGAATTCAAGTTCCTGTCCCAATTTCTCCTTTCGTGATTGGACTGAAGTGGCTGCCGCCCATTTGCAAGATATGATATCGAGGACCTTGTAAGTTCGGCCAGAAAGGGTGTTTGCGAGATATGAAAACATTTTCAAGTTTAAGATTGAAGTAAATCAGCCAGCTCCTAATCTATGTTTTGTAGCTACCATTCACCAAAGCATATATATGATAGACCACCATAGGTGATAACACTTCTTTACCATGGCTGGGCCGGCCATGAACGATGATCTCATCTCTATTGGGGCTGATGATCGCGCCGTTACTTCGACAGGGGCATTGCGGCAACCACACACTAAGATAACGACATTTTCTTTGTAGCCCGAGACAGATTCCGAACCGCTCTATGGAATCAAAGTCCCCGTTTGGTCGGAGGTCGCTGCTGAATTGGTACTTGGCGCTGGAGAGAGGCCACCCGTGTACCTGGCCCCCATTTGCATAGCTTAAGGCTAACTGCGCCTTGTTTTACCCAGCGCAACGTACACATTGACTACCAGGGTGTACAATTCGCAATCAGCAGCCATTTGTCAATTGGTTAATCTATTCGATTCAACTTTAGACCCTACATTCCTGTATTGCGCACTATATCCCAGCACGAGCATAAATAGCTATCTCGAGAAGACCATGAGGTCTTCGGGAAAACAGAAGGATTTTGGCAAAGCCTGTCAGCGTCCTTACTTGCGCAACGTGATGTCATTCAAAGTGCCAACGGCTGAACTTCTCATCTTGGTCTAATCGATTCGTTCTCACATATAACGATTGATGGACCACATTTTCCCTGTTTTGGGCAACGAAGCTGGCCGCAGCATGGATTCGTTTATTGCAATTCTCGCATTATTTGCGATCTATGTGTTCTACACTGCCATCTACCGCTTATACTTTGGTCCTCTAAGTCACATACCAGGGCCGCGCCTCGCAGCGCTGAGTCGCCTGTAAGCATCTGTTGTTGTATATTGATATAAGGAGAATGAAGTTTAGTCTGACGTTCGCCAGGTACGAAGCATATTACGATGTATGGCTAAACGGGCAATATACCCTGAAGATCATGGACCTTCACAAGACTTACGGTCCGATCGTTCGCGTGGCTCCACGCGAGCTTCACATATCCGACCCTGTGGGTACTCCCCGAAAGCACCGACCCTGATATTAATTTGAAATAGGATTTTTACGACACCATCTATGCCAGTTCTGCTGCGCCGCGGCGTACGGACAAAGATCCGTACTATACGAAATTTATTGGCCTAGACCTATGCGTCTTCTCTACCATTCATCATGACTTGCACCGTCAGCGCCGCTCTGCACTTAATCCCTACTTCAGTATGGCGAACGTGAGAAGGCTGCAGCCAGTCATACAGGAGAGACTCAGGGTCATGTTGAGGCGCATGGGCGAGTTCAAGGACACTGATCATGTGCTAAATGTGAGCTGCTTGTTCTCGGCTCTAGGAAATGGTAAGATGCACGGTGTCCTGGTAAGCTAGAGCTGACATAATCCCATCAAGACGTCGTGAACATCTATTCATTTGCGCGTTGCGATTACAGGCTTGGTAAGGCGTATTTCTTGACTGTGTAACTGAGATAGATCGTGAACTGAGCGTGACACAGAGTCTCCAAACTTCGACCCTTCTTCTCGGGACGCTGCCCTTGTGGGGTTGCACTCGATCCACATCATGAAACATGTGCCCTGGGTTCATTCAGTAATGAAAGCACTGCCGATGTCTGTGGTCCAGCGGATACAGCCGGCTCTTGCATCTTTCCTTGCAGAGCACGAGACGGCCAAGGCACAAGTTCAACGGATCAAGGCTGGCAAGAATGACGAATGGCGAAGCAAAGACCATCCAACTATCTTCCACGCAATATTGGATTCAAAGCTTCCACCCCAAGAGAAGACAGTGGAACGATTGGCCGAAGACGCTCAAGTGGTGGTCATGGCTGGAACGCTGACGACAGCATCCACGTTGGAACTGATCACATTCTGGCTGCTTCGTCAGCCTGAGACCCTGCGGAAGCTCAAAGATGAGTTGCGAACTATGGTTCCCTCGGTGGATGATATTGACAAGACGCCCCTCGCTACCATTGAATCTCTACCTTACCTCACGGCCGTGATCAAAGAAGGCCTACGGTTGGGTTATGGTCTGTCGACCCGGTCTCAGAGGATTGATCCCGAGAAGCCAATACTCTTCACGGACAGAACAAATGGTAAGGAATGGGTGATTCCTCCAAAGACTTCGGTCAGTATGACCAGTGTACAAGTCCATTGCAATGAAGATATATTCCCCGAGAGTCGCAAGTTTGTTGCCGAGCGCTGGCTGGGCGAAGAAGGCAAACGGTTGGACAAATATCTCACTGCATTCTCAAAAGGAAGTCGTAATTGCCTTGGAATAAACCTTGCATACGGCGAGTTATATCTGACGCTTGCGTATCTTTGGAGGAATTGGGGCAGTAGAAAGGCAACATTCGGAGATGATGTTGGTATATTGGAGTTGTTTGAGACTACGGTGCGCGATGTCGAGATGGAGGCAGATCATTTCATTCCGACACCGCAGAAAGGATCCAAAGGTATCCGGGTTAAGGCTTTTGCAAAGTAGAATAGGTATCACTCTAGACCATAAGCACTCTTCATCGGACTGCAAATGCCGGGATTATAGAAGCGGATGGTACATGAAGAAGTTCGATATGAGGAGGAAATTGGCCGTTTGTAGTAAACATCTGTCATGTGAGCGATTGATCGAATCAATCTATCTTCAAAGTTAGAGACAGAGGAAACAAGCCAGGTGATGTCAACTTGCATTGATGATGGCTATGATAGAGCATCGAGTGGATGCCCCGAAACTACCTAGCGGCGAGCCCATTGTTGATGTGCTGTGATTGGCTACTTGATTTGGGGACTGGACACCTCCACGATGCGCATCAATAGCTCCGTCAAGCATGAACATATCTCCGCCGCTGCAATAACGAACCCCACCACCCCGATAGCTGTCGCGTTATCCTTCTGCGTTCCTAGCAATCACATAAATAATTTCTGTAAATCAATTCGAACCTAATAACGCGACCGACGCGGGCCAATGCTGGGCATAGCTGGAACCTCATGCCTGCACCTCCGCCCTCTCTAGATTCTGGTATGCCCACTTGAGATAAAGCCATGATTGTATGCATACTGACACGGATATATTTTAGCTGACTACGACCCGATCGATCATCTGAACGCGCTCTTCGCCCATCCCTCATCCCTCTCCTCCGTATCTGGCGTCACCGAGACGCTCCGCAGCTACCAAGATGACCTGGACGAGGACATCGCCAACTTCGTGTCCTCACAGTCAGCCTCCGATGCGGACAGCGTGCAGCGTATACAGGCAGCTAAGGCAGAGCTCGCCGACCTGTTCAAGAAGATCGAGAGTGTTCGAGAGCGAGCCATGCAGACAGAGCGGACCATCACGGATATGACAGCGGACATTAAGCGACTGGATAACACAAAGCGTAACTTGACGCTTTCCATGACGGCTTTGAAGAGGCTGCAGATGTTGACGACTGCATATGAGCAGCTGAGGAGCTTGAGCAAAACCAGGCAGTACAGGGAATGCGCCCAGCTCCTGCAAGCTGTCATCCAGCTTGTCGCACATTTCAAGAGCTACAGGTCGATAGATCAAATCGCAACATTGAGTCGCAACGTCGCTGATCTGCAGAGCGAACTTTTGGAACAAATCTGTGAGGATTTCGAGGTTATATTCGCCAAAGGGGAGGTTGCACAACGGAAGGCGACATTGGCGGAGGCTTGCTTGGTCATGGATGCTCTCGGTGACCATGCTCGAATTCGGTTAATCAATTGGTACTGCAATACACAACTGCGAGAGTACCGACAGGTCTTCCGTGGGAATGATGAGGTACCTATCCGGTTCTACATGGGCTGTATCGCGGCTTACTAACCCAACATAGGCGGGCTCATTAGACAATATCTCTCGCCGATATAGTTGGTTCAACCGCATGATGAAGACATACGATGTGGAGCATGCAAGCATTTTCCCTTCTTATTGGAAAGTGAATGAGATGCTTGCCAACAGTTTCTGCGAAGGAACACGTGATGACTTCAAGGGAATTTTGCAGCGTTCTGTTCGACGAGGAGACGGTCAAAGTTTGGACGTCGATCTCTTACTCTCTTGCCTGCAGGAGACCCTTAATTTTGAACAAGCCCTTGAGAGACGTTTCTCCAACGAGGTAGGTTCTTTCTCAAACGGATCTCATGCTGACGATGCTGACCAAAGACAGTCTCGATCTTCAATTGATACAATGGCTTCTAAGGACGATAAGTCCCACGGATTCAGTCAAGCCATTTCCGAAGCATTCGAGCCATATATGTCGCTTTGGGTCGAATCTCAAGACAAGTACATGCCCCCTTTGCTTTGAAAGTTCATTGTGCTAAATCATCTCAGACAACTGGCTTCACTGATACCGAGCTATCGCCAGCAGCCGCTACGAAATGCCGAAGAAGAATTTTCCGCACAAGCTGTCATCCCCTCATCGACGGAGTTGTTCAACTTTTATCGCCTCACGCTTGCGCAATGTGCCAAACTCTCAACTGGATCTAGATTACTTGAACTTTCCACAACTTTTGCCAAATACCTGGATTTGTACGGCCAGCAAGTGCTCTATTACTTCTTAAGTGAGAAGTCGGGCGCATCAGGACCATCGATCGAAGATGCTGTGCTTATATTAAATACAGCGGACTACTGCTATGTTACATGCAACCAACTTGAAGAGAAAATCAGAGGCCGGATAGACGAAGAGTTTAAAGCAAAGGTCGATTTGCAAAACCAGGCAGATGCATTCATGGGAATCGCAGGTGCTTCTGTCCGCGTTTTGGTAAGGAAAATCGAGATCGCCTGTGAGCCAAGTTGGCGCGAGATGCGCAATACGCCGTGGGCAAGGCTGGAAAGTGTTGGCGACTCCAGCACCTACGTGTCTGAGTTGTTGCGCAACTTCAAAGAAAAGTCTGCAGAGATACTCAAACATCTTCAAAAGCAACAATATGCCCGAGCCTTTTGCGACAATGCTGTCGACCTCATGGCAAACACCTACATCGCCAACATTGTGCAGAGCAAGCCGATCTCCGAGGTGGGCGCCGAACAGATGCTTCTAGATTCTTATGTCCTCAAGAAAGCCTTCACTGAGCTCCCAACTTTGAACGAAGAAGCGGGCACTGCCCCTCCCGCAAGGTACGCGAAGCATGCAATACATTATCTGAACTTTAATAACAAGTCTTCAGTTTCGTCAAACGTGTCAATCAAACGATGTCACGTATCGATCCTCTTCTCAAGACCTTACAAGTCCGTCCCTCTCCGCCAGAGGCTCTAGTCCAAGCATATCTTATTCACATCGCGGACAAATCTGACACCAACTTTCGCAAAATTTTGGACCTCAAGGGTGTCCGCAAGAGCGACCAAGCCCAACTGCTCGACCTCTTCGCCGCATTCCGCGCGTCTCCCAATCACGAAAACCTCGTGCAAAATTCACCACTTTTAACACCTCTGCAGATTCAATCTGCCAACATTGGCGCCAGCATTGGAAGTCTCGGAACCTCGGCGACTAGCGGTTTGATCAGCACTCCAAGTTTGGGCGGTGGCAGGTTTGATCCTGCAGGGTTCGGAAACGCAATCATGAACGCAGCACGCGACGGTGTAGATAGATTTGGCAGCCCTGTGCCTGGTCAACTAGGCATCGACGGTCCCGCAGCCGGTGCAGGTGCCGCAGACGGCAAGACCAATCTCAACGAGAACCTTAAGAACATCGGGAAGTTTTTCAAGAGAGATGTTGGCGGGTTCAGGGGATTTGGAAGGAGTGACGAAGGTAGATAGATATGCGGTGGCGTTTTTCTGGGAGGATCAAACGGAGTTGTTTGAGTAGACATTGTCATTTTTTTAGCGACATCAGCATGGCAAAAGCGGAATTCATTCTATTTCTCGCGAAAATCTTGATTGTGTTTGTGTCTGTTGATCCGTTATCACGTCGTGCCCAATCTGTGAACGCGAGAGAATCATGTTGACAAAGAAATGACCTGATAGTTAGAGTTTCGGACGCCTTCAGATACCACAAATACTCTCACTGAGTAAGTGTATTTTAGCAATACAAGTTTCCCTTTCGCACTTGATGAAAGACTATGTTTTGCTTGCTCCACGTTATCAAAGGACAGTTGTCAAGCCGTCCAACTCAACCGCAAATATGAGTTTCCAAACAGATGGCCAACGCTGCCAGCTATATAATCAAATGATAGCTCTACAGTGCTGGAAGCATGCAGTCTATCACTTCAAGGCCTGCTCAAGGACTATACTCAAGCCTTACCACACCTTCGTCGTGCCAATCACACTTCCCAAGTCAATTCTTAATACCAAAACCCCTAACAATGGGCACTCTGAGCAACATCCGCGAAAAGATCAAAACCAAGCTGAGCAGCCACACCGAAGAGAAAGTTTCAAGCAAAGACACGCCCGGGGGTGACGGTGATGGTGGAGAGGATGCAGGCCAGGTGAAACAGGCGGAAAGCTCAACTTCTGGACAGGACACGGCGTTTGAGGGAAAGGGGAAGGAGAATGTACCGCGCCGGAAACCAGCACTGGGGGAGAAGGACGATGTCAAGAAATAGGCTGAAGAACTCAACACTCAGTGTGAGACATCGGTGCGGGTTACGGGTGAGATGGTGAAAGGGGAGAGTGTGGCGAACTGAATGGGACTGGCAATTGAAAGGATCGTTGATGATTGGCAAGGAGAAGAGGGCTCGCGCCGGAGGATCTAGGGATTTCCATGGCGCAACGAGCTCCTATATCGAAGTCTCACTTGTCAACATTTGCGCTGAGTCGGTCCATTTACAAGTCACTCCTTTCTCAATTTTGGAGGCACAACCGTCCATTTGGATATGCCAATCAGCAAAACGAAGTCATGTGGAAACATCATTACACTGCCCCCCATCCACAGTGTCTATCTTGAAACATAATATCATTGGGCTTCAAAATCAATATGACGTTACTTCTCAGATTTTGGTGTAAACTGCTTCGAAACGATTCAGAGGGTCCATCTCGGAAACATGAAGTCTGACGTCTATCCTTTCAAACTGCAGAATGTCCTGGAAGAACAGAGCAACATAAATCTGATACTTTTCTGTTTCTCAATCGGTACCCCGTGACATCCTATCTCACGCAACTGTGTACATAGAGTTTTGGTATTGCAAATTTGATAAAAGTCAAGAAAGAATGATCGTATATCTCGCACTGATGTCACCTCTTTGCGAGAGGATTGTGTGGGCATGTACTGGCCCTGCTACCTGGTAATCGGTCCTTCATGCATGTACCTATGACGAAACGGTCGCCCGTTGGTTAATTATAGCAAGTTCTTGAAAAACTCCAGATACATTCTTGGTGGGAAATTTGAAGTGTTCCGGGCCCAGTGTACTGGCCAAGTTCTGTCGGAATGAAAGCGTGTCTGATTGGCTAGCCCAGCCTAAGCAAGGGTCCATTCCGGGCAGATCGCCGTTGAGATCTGATGTCATAGGGTCTCACTGCCTCATCCAGCATCGCAAGATTTTATTTAAACCTTCATTTTTCACTCGAGGTAGGTATCTCAGCAAATACTCTTTAAGCATCTTCTTCCACGTTCCACTCAACCTATCACCTTCGCCGCTTCTTCGCCACTCCAAACAATCAACATGACAGCCACAACTCAATTCTTCACTGCCCTTGCTGGCATTTTCTTTGTTGCTGGCCTTGCTGTTTATCTCTTCGGTATTCCTCCTGAGCTGAAGCGCAAGCTCGAGCGCAGTGCACTGAAGGCCATGGGCGAGAACAAGATGTCCTACATCGCCAAAGGTCGGTGTAACACTCCGCCTCAATAGACTATATACTAATACCAGCTAGACCAAATTTCCAAGATCCCCGCCTCCGACCAGGAAGACGTCAAGCAGTTGAAGACTGGTCTGGGCAACGCTGTTGGTGGAGGAATGAAGAACCCACTAGGCGAGGCCGCCGGTGAAACTGCTGATACTTTGACCAGCCCTTTCACTGGCCGATAAGCATCTGCTTATGGTTGGAATCCCGATAGAGTTGGGGTTCCTCTCAACATATCAAATCAAATCATGATATAGGCTGTTTCAGCCGGACTTCTGGTAGAGCAGGGAAGAAGGGACGGCCGTAATGAAGTAATGAAGGATTCGGGTGATCATTTTCTTGGGTGGCATACTTGCCAGCATGGTGTTGGGGTGTTTTATTTCCTGTCTTATGATGCGTCTTTTACCAAGTAACACATCCTGAAAATGCATCCTTATACCTCATACGGAGGAAACATACCCCCATCGTCTACACTCCTTGCATTCATATACCATAACGTGGTGACCCGTGTGCCATGGAAGGTAATTCCCCACTCCTCCAAATAGCGAAGCAAGCAATTTGCCAGGCGACAATGATTCCCCAGAATCCTACCTGGAAACTCGTCTTGCTAGTCTTGTGTTGAAAGTAGTGTTGTCCGATCAAGGCTCCTGGCCAACCACCTAGCATTTCGAGTGTATGCAAGGTAGTTTCTTTGACACGCCATTGCTTGTTTTTTGCTTGGATTTTGTCGTAACCGTAGAATCCAAATGTGATGATGCTCATGAGGCCGGTCCATATGAGCGGGGACATGGAACCTGTGCGAGAATACATGCGGATCAGAGATGCGGTTGGCAGCTTGAGGGAGAACGCTCCAGCAGCCGTCGCGAAGGTTATAGGGCGATGCCTTTTAGGGCGCTGAGGAGCCATTGCGATAGTGGTTTCTGGGTTGTATTTGGTGCACACAGGTGGGTTACGTTGTGCTTAAAGAGGTGAGCTTTCACCTACTCCCACACGCGAAACTGCGTGAAGAGAGCTAAAGTTATCACGCTAAACCTATTTGGGAATCATAGAGGGCTACAATTTTGATCACATAATTTTGATCAAGATTGTAGATGAAGTCTTCCTGTTTCATAGAAAGTCAAGGAATATAATGAATGGAAACGTGCTACTTGTCTTAAATTTTACTTGAATAGGAAAGAGGTCGAGCCAGAGCACGATAATTCTTCCTGATTTTCGATGAGTGTCATTCGATTGAACAGATACTTTCTTTGCACATGTGTAGTCGCTATGGTCCCTTTCACCTTCTTAGCAGTATTTACGATATCTATGTTTCTCTCATACTAATTTATTTCATAGGTCAGAAAAACATATCGTCAAATCTCCCAAGACAGTATTTCGCCGTGGCAATCTACAGGGAAATGCATCCGTTAGTCTTAATCATCACCTGAATAACTAAACATGAGTGACCAGTCAATATATACTTTCGCATATATCTGATAAAATTCCACCTGTAGTATGGAAGAGGCAAAAAAGACACCCTTTGAAGCGGAGATGATTCGGGTTGTCCTGGAACCATTTCAGCCGAGACTCTGATTTTATAAGATGGAACCAATCGGGTCACTCTACTCCTAAATATCACCATGAAGATATTAGATCTTGTACAACTCCACCACAGAGCTTAATATACCGCTCGGAGCATTCATACCCCAGATTCGGTAGTTGGTTCCCCACAACGGAGAAGTGCCGAATGCATATCAGGTATAACATGAACGATAAAATCCTTGGTTGGTCTAGTCACAAGAATCAGTCTACTATCAGAGCACTTGAGTACAGCCATCTTCACAGAGAATAACTCCATTCTGTGTACAATTTTCAACATGCGTGCCTCCTTGCTAGTGATGGCGGGCACCGCTGTTGCTCTGACAGATATCGAGCACAAGCCCTTCATGCGCAAGAACATGGATCCTCTAGTATCACCAGGAAAATTCGTTTCTCATATGCACTCCTTCTACGGTTCTGATGCAATCACCAAAGATCTTCCAACCACGGAACAGCTTCAGAAGGGATGCCCATCTGGGGAGAACCCCAACGACTTGTCCATTTACTGCAAGTCCTGCGACGCCATTACCCATCCATTCACTGACTGATAACAGGGGCACCCACACTCTACTACGTCAATGGCGACAAATACACTGAAGTCTATCCCGCAACATTCAAAACATACTACGAAAACATCGACAAAGCCGAGATCCCCTTTCCCAAAGATCTTGCGATGATCGCTGGAAACGCATCCGCTAAGTCCCAGGCTGACATCGACGAGAAGATCAACATGATCACATGGTGGTGCGACGCCGGGCCTGAGGATCGTGATTCGCGACCTCGCGCTGCTATGCCTCGCGTTACCTGCAGTGCGCACATGCAGGCGATCCTGAGGTTCCCCGATTGTGTGGATCCGAATAATATCAAGAAGTATAGCTATGCTGCTGCAAATGGCGGGAGATGCCCCACGGGGATGAAGAGAATGCCATCGCTGAGGTTCTCGGTGAGGTATGATACTCGCAAGGCGGTTCCGCAGGGATGGAAAGGGGTACCGCCATTCAAGCTTGCGTGTGGAGAAGTAAGTGCTGTCATTCTGACTTTGATTGTAAATGAGTGACTAACTGATGGGCTGTAGATGGGTGATGGATATTGCTTCCACGGAGATTTTATCAATGGTTGGTATGAGGATGCCGCACTAAACATGTTGAAAGCGAAGGGACAAAGCTTTATGAGGATCGACGGAGCACACGGTATGGGGAAGCAGTGGCCTAAATGCAAAGCCACAGACGCAGATCCATCAAATGGCACAAATGACTATCATAAGAGTCTTGAGATGATGTCAGGCCACAACTAGTCATAGCCCGTTGAGAACTTGAGTAGTACATGTTTGTCGTAGAGTCATAATATATCCTAAATAAGGCATCCTTCTATGTGTTTATCTTGTCATAATCTCCCTCTTCTCAATTCTCCGGTATCATTATGTACTCAGCATTATCGCACAAATCTACTTGTCGGTTAACAAGGCAATCCTCGTTGTCTAAGTCTAACTAGCGCCACCTGCTGCCCAGTATGACTCCAAAGCAGCCTCGACCTTTTCTGGGTCTTTATAAGCATCGAGAAGATAGTAGTCATTGAGGCGATCTTGAATAGCGCTTTCCTGAAAGTCGGCGTCGTTCACATCTTTGGATCGGTAAGCTTTATCCATAGGATCGATAAACGAAGTCTTCTCAGAGTAACCCCAGTCTCCGAGACTAGAAATATTAAACGCTACCATCCTATTGTGTGTCAGTATCATCTCGTGCTCTCTTGAAGGATAGAGAACTCACATATCATGATCTTCGTGCACAAGGTTGTGGCAGTGAAACATATAGACACCGTCCCAAGGTGCGAATCGCGCAATCACTCGGACGGTTTCCCTTTGCCCAACTAGCACCACATCCTTTAAAGCCTCCTTCTCATATGGCAAAACGTCTCCACGACCACCACTGCGAGAGAGAACTTGGAAGTCGACAAGATGGACATGTACAGGGTGAGACCAACCACCACCTGTGGAAAATTCCCAGACCTCCACCTGACCGCGCTTTGGCTTAGCGAGGATACGATTGTTGATATCTGCGAATGTGACACCGTTGACCTGCCACACTCCATTCCTGAAGTCGAATCTAAACGAACGATCGACACTGTTCTTGTTGGGTGGGAAGGGAACGGTGCGTAGCGAAGTAGGAAGCTCGCCATTATTCTGATCACTTGTTGCACTCTGCCCAACGACGAACCGCATCACTTTGTCTGTGCTTTTATAGTCCTCATCCGCCTGCACCCTTCGGCTGTTCCGCAGTGTGATGTTCTTTCCAGCATATGCGCTGAAGTCAAAGATGATTTCCCAGCGCTCTGCCATTGAGATCGCTAGCTCTTCGCTCTGAACGGATTTTGTCATCAGTCCAGCATCAGCGGCAATGATTTCGAATGGGATCTTTTCCCCCGCATCGTCATCTACCTCAAAGTACAAATTGAACGCACGGCTAATTGAAGTGTCCAGGAGTCTAAGACGGTACTTGCGAGGTTCGACTTCGAGATACGGCCATGGTTGGCCGTTGACGTGGATCACGTCGCCATAAAGCGAGAATCGCTCGTCCTTTGGAGAGAACAGTGTTCCGTCTTGGTTGTACTGCTTTGCAGAAATAGCGAGTGGGATGTCATAATTGCCAGATGGTAGGTTCAAGGAGTCCTCGGCGGCATCATGGAGCAGGTAGAATCCAGCTTGACCGAAATAAGCATTCTCGGCGGTATGGCGAACAGCATGATCGTGATACCAAAGCGTACGAGCGCTTTGTTTATTAGGGTAATCTTCGCCGGGTTAGCTGGATACGCTGGGATTAGAGAGACGGTAGACTTACAGTAATCTTTGTATTGTCCAGGTTTTGTTACATCTTCAGCCCAGCCGTCGAATGGAGCTCGGCCTGAGGAGAATCAATTATCAGTGTTCTCAGACTTGAAACATAATTCGAGACAGGCATTCGAAGAGCGTAGCACGAAAAGGTAGGATGAGTTAAATCCTTGCTTAAATCTCACTTACTGTATGAACCATGAAGATGAACAGAGAAATCATTCGGACTCCTATTGATAAACCTTACCACACTCTCGCGCCCCTTCTCCACACGAAATGTCGGACCAGGAGACATGCCATCGTAGCCAATGAGTTTTGCGGGCTGGAGGCCTGGGTACACTTGCTGCTCGAACTCCTTGACCTCAATCTCATAGTAGTCAATCACTTGTCCCGTGGTCTCATTCTTGTAGGACCTGATGGATAATTAGCCACGCAAGTTAGGGATGGGGCTCAACGTACGTTTTGGGAGCCTTGACAGGTGGTATCGGAAGGGGATGTTGGAAGATGTCTTGATATTCAGGGCTGAGCCATTGATCCTCGGCGGCTAGACTGGGCGATGCTAGCAGGAATGCGAGAGCGAAAGAACGGATGTCAAACATCATAATTGACGATCTGGGTCTCCCTTTTCAAAAACGAGTGTGGTGGAAACTGGACTCTATGAAATACTGCCTAGAATCAAACATGACGAACATCTGAGTAGATAGCTCTTATATGGGAATCGTGACGGATCATTCTTGCTGGAGCCCTAGCAGAACGCCACAGCGTTCGGAGTTCAAGCCATGGCACAGCTATTGAAGTTCTAGATACATAGACCTAGCTGACAGAGAGAATGATATGCAGACTAAGGACTTTGGTGAGAGGTGGTCGCCGACTAGCCATAAATGCTTCTCCATTTAAGCTTAGTGATTATAGTTCAATTACTTCTCAAGGTAACAACATTCGCTTATATCCATAAAGCCACAGTACTAGCAGACCCTACAGAGCGCAAAGGTAAGCATAATGGACCAACGGAAGAAGACGCCGAAGTGTTTGTAAAGGCCAAGCCACAGGAAGCAAATCCGGCCACGGGAATTTGGGACGATCGTGAAGATCAGCAGGGACAGGATTTGAATTGAAAGTAGGAACCAGATATGTGGCTTCATAATTGGTCTCCCTTTTGAATATTTGAGGTTGCTTCATGGTATGCATTTCAATTGGAAGGGCAGCGAGAACTAGAAATTTCGAGCGGTGTTGGATTTTCGACAGACCTGAAGAAAAGATTCCCGAGCAGAGTCTGCCGAATGTTGTCTCCATCAGCAGAATGAAGCTCCAAGTCAGTTCAGCCTAGTTATTGCTATGCCTTTCAGAGTTAAGACACTGGCAACCGCGGGATTGTGCCCTACTGTTAGGGCTGGAGCTTACTTCTGTTACCAAGCGTTCAAATCCGCCCTGACTGATTGGTCGATGAAAACCTTTTTGGTAATCGTTGCGTTCTGGCTGGCTATCAACGGGAATGCAAAGTTGAGCGTCGGAATGCGGCGCCCCCAAAAAGGCCAAAGTCCCACAGAGTCAGCGTGCTGAACGTGCTGAACGTGCCTCAATTCCATACGCGGATAGTCAAGTCCCCAAACCACGGTTCCGTATCAAATCCGTTGATATCGACGTTGCCAAAAGCGATTGTACTAGTCTCTCTAATAGTATAGTGCCTACCGCCAACAAACAATTCGCACCAGTGAACTCCCTTCCAGCTTCGTAACCATATGCAAGACAGCTCCTAGGTTGCATAGGAAGCGAAGTCTCGAAGACGTGGGTCTTGGTATACATAAGAAAGTTTCTAGACACTGCCCAACTGATCAGTCGTAGTACCTGCAGGCGAGCCGGTATAGTGACCCGTGGTTGAGAGCAGCTTTAGCAGTATTGCTTCTACCAAACAGTAGTATTTCTATTTCCGGCGATTTAGGGCAGGGACGGCAAGCTAGCTTTTGTTCACGAGGTCGAAATTGCGGTTTTGGGGGAATCTAATTCTTGAAATGCCCTTCTGGCTTGCTTGAGATTTTGGTATTGCTGCTGATGGTGCATTCTTTGCGGAACCGAGATTTGAAATATGGGGCATTGTATCGAGCTAGATGTACAAGGCTCTGGAAGGCTTCTTTCATCAAGTCATGGATTCCTCTTGGTCATAGTCCAAACGCCAGATGCCCAGAAGAAATGGTAAGCCCTTGATAGACCTGAGGCTATGAAATTCTTTGCATACCCCATTGAGTCTCCCCACATCTCCAAGAATGGTAGTGGTTTATATTCAACTGCACACCGAGCTATTGCGAAATGAAGACCTGACCTAATGATCACCCACAGCAGTCTGACAGGCTTTTCCATAGTCTTAATGCATGTAAAGCATCTCATGTGGCTCCTACAACCTAGGTGTCATTATAAGATGACCTTTTCCAGAATTTAGGCACAGTTTAATGCACAGTTTTATCGTTATGACATGGGGTTGTCGTTCATCTTGTTATAGGAATAGACAAAGGGTTATAGATGGGTAGCTCCTCAGAAAACAATGGTGTTGGCGTTTAAATGTCCAGCTTTCGAATGAATTGATGCGCTGGACTTGTTGAGGATCGCATTGATTGGAGTGATGGTGGGGTTGGAGTCTAGTTAGAAGTCGTTGGGAGAAGTAGCGAAGCTGGGTTGTTTTGGAAGGTCATGGAATAGGGTGATGCGGTTTGAGCATATTTCCATTAATTGTGTTATTAAATGAGATATACTCAATGCTACACTGTAGTGTGTCATGCCAAATGATTGTCTTTCCAGGTCTGAGAAGGAAATTTCAACATTTCTCATTCCATCAGCATGTTGAATATTGCCGTTCGAAACTATTTTGTATCTCGGTTGAAATGCAGGTCATATATGCTTCCATTATTCATCTATTAACTGTTTCCATTACTTTTCCCACGCTTCAATTCTTTGGTATCGTCAAAATTTACTGGAGGGACTCGACAACGAGGGCGGAAGCACCACCTCCACCGTTGCAGATTCCGGCAACACCGATCTTGCCCTTCTGTTCCCTTAGGACACCGAGAAGGGTGGTTGTGATTCTTGCGCCAGATGCGCCCAATGGGTGGCCGAGAGCGACAGCGCCGCCGTGGATGTTGACCTTGTCTTCGGTGATGTTGAGGAGCTTCATGTTGGCCAGAGACACAACGCTGAAAGCCTCGTTGATCTCGTAGGCGTCAACGGAGCTTTGCTCAACCTTGGCGTGCTTGAGAGCCTTGGGGATGGCGAGCGCAGGGGCAGTGGTGAACTTGGATGGGTTCTGTGCGGCGTCTCCCCAACCGAGGATCTTTCCGATGGGCTTGAGGCCATATTTCTGGACGGCAGCTTCGGATGCAAGGACAAGAGCGGCAGCTCCGTCAGATAGGGGGGATGCGTTGGCAGCGGTGACGGTTCCGGTACCGGGGATGAACACGGGCTTCAGGGTGCGGGTCTTGGACTCGTTGAACTGCATGGTGATTAGTGAACAATTGTTTAGAAATTACAAACTCAGCAGATTAGTGATAACATACGTTCTTGGGCTCGTCATCCTTGGTGACCTTGATAGCGGGCTTTCCACGGCCGCCAGAGACCTCAATGGGGGCAATTTCAGCATCGAAGAGACCAGCTTCCGCTGCAGCAATTGCCTTCTTGTAGGAACGAATGCAGTAGTCGTCCTGTTGCTCACGGTTGAAGCCGTGGTCATTGGCGCACTCCTCAGCCTGGACACCCATGTGCTCCTTCTTGTATGCGTCGGTCAAGCCATCCTTCAAGACGGCGTCGACCAAGGGGGTATCACCGAATTTGGCACCAGTGCGGAGATTGGGGAGGTAGTGAGGGGCGGTGGACATGCTCTCGGCTCCGCTGGCAACAACAATGTCGGCGTTGCCAGTCATGATGGTTTGGGCACCAAGGATGATGGCTTTGATCGAGGAGGCGCAGACCTTGTTCACGGTGGTCGCGACAGTGGACTCCTGGAGGCCGGCGCCGATGGCGACCTGACGGGCGGGGTTCTGGCCGAGGCTTTGGTTTCGATTAGACTCTGTGGGATCGAGGGCATTGTGAAGGTTTCGTACTTTGCGGAGAGGACATTGCCCAAGAAGAGCTCCTCAACGTCCTCGGGCTTGACACCGGAGCGCTCAACGGCCGCTATGAAGAATTGTAAGTTACGATCACGGCGACCATGTATGCAAATTGGTATGATTTACCCTTGACGGCATGAGAACCAAGCTGAATGGCGTTCAGGCTCGAGAGAGAGCTGTGAGGAAGGATGAGTATGTTGTTTGCCCCACTCTGTTTGTATGGAGGGGAAAACTGAACTCACCCTAGAAACATACCCACAGGGGTACGGGCAGCCGAGACGATATAGACAGGGGGAAGGGAAGACATATTGAAGGATTATGTGATACCAGGTGAAAGGGGAGAAGAGTGAACAGTGGTAACAAAACTCCTTGAAGTCACGTAAGGAATCGAAAGATATAGGGCAGGGCAGTGAATGGAATTTATGGTCTTTCTCTTTCGTCCCGGCCGTTAGTCGGACATCGGACTGCGATCCTAGCCAGGGTCTGACGCGCTCTGGTTGGCTGGAGAGGAAAGACAAAGCGCGTACTCGGCGGGCTCACCGCCGGAGGCTAGGCGTTTCTATTCTCCCGGATCAATGTCGTCGCGTCTTGGCGGAACATCCGAAAGTTTCTCGAGAGCTTCCAGAGGCAATCCAAGCTCCCATAGCCCTGCCCTTTGAACGCGAATTGGCCGTTCTCCAACAACGCCAACATGGATGATCTTTATGATGAGTGAGTCGCAAAAAGCAGTTCGTCACTTCCCAATTCGTTAGAAACTAATTATCCCCCAGGTTCGGTAATTACATTGGCGAAGCTGAGTCCGACGATGATGTGCAGTCTACCGGAGACGCAGCAGACGCCTATGTTCTGGACGATGAAGCCTCCGAAGATGGCGTGCAGAACGATCAGCAGCTCATGGAGGTAGACGAAGGTCCATCGAATGCCGTCATATTACACGAAGACAAGCAATACTACCCCTCCGCGTCCGACGTCTACGGTGCCGATGTGGAAGTCCTTGTGGAAGAGGAGGATACACAGTCGCTGGCGCAGCCGATCATCGCGCCAGTCGTGAAAAAGAAGTTCACAGTGCAGGAGGCAGACCTGCCCCCGGTGCATTTCAAGAGAGATTTCTTGACAGATTTGATGAACTTCCCAGATCAAATAAGGAATATCGCGATCGCTGGACATCTACATCACGGAAAAACTGCTTTCATGGATATGCTTGTTCTGGAGACCCACGACATTCAGGATAAACTGGACAAGAAGCGCGGGCGCAAGCGGGAGGAGCAGTTGCGATACACAGACGTACACGTGCTAGAACGCGAACGAGGACTATCAATAAAGGCTGCACCCATGAGCTTGGTCCTGCAGAGCACAGCTCAAAAGTCGCATTTGTTCAACATCCTGGATACCCCTGGACACGTGAACTTTGCCGACGAGGTGGCTGCATCTTTGCGACTGGTTGACGGTGTTGTTTTGGTAGTTGACGTGGTGGAGGGTGTTCAAGTGAATACCGAACACATCATTAAGCATGCTGTGCTCGAAGATCTTCCTTTGACCTTAGTCGTCAACAAAATGGATCGTTTGATGCTCGAATTGAAGCTGCCCCCGAAGGACGCATATTTCAAGATAAAGCACGTGATCGAACAGGTCAACACTGTCATTGAGAACACCATTCCAGGCCGAGGAGAGAAGAGGCGCATCAGTCCCGAAAAAGGCAATGTGACTTTCGCATGCACTAGTATGCAATGGTGCTTCACGTTGCAATCCTTCGCGAAGATGTACACCGACTTCTACCCGGGAGCCAACAAGAAGTCAGGCTTTGGGCAGCCTAACAAGACAATCGATGCCCTGAAATTCGCGCAACGACTGTGGGGCGATATTTACTTCAACCCAGGAAGCCGGAAATTCACAAGGAAACCGCAGGAGGAGGACTCACAGCGCTCATTCGTTCATTGGGTGCTTGAACCCATCTACAAACTCTATTCACACACACTCAGTGAATCTCCAGAGGATCTGGAAGATACACTCGCTACCCTCGGCATCCACTTAAAGCCATCCCAGTATAAGACAGATGCCAAGGAGCTCATGCGTCTTGTCTGTCAGCAGTACTTCGGACCACCGAGCGGATTCGTGGACATGGTCACACAACATGTTCCTTCGCCAGAGGATGGCGCTAAGCGGCTATTGGAGAGGTACTATACTGGACCTCTGGACACCAAGACCGCAGAATCAATGCAGAAGTGCGATCAAGATGGACCCCTAGTGATCCATGTCACGAAGCTTTTCAACTCAGAGGATGCGAAGACATTCCACTGCTTGGGCCGTGTCATGAGTGGAATTGCAAAATCTCCCCAATCGGTTCGCGTTCTAGGCGAGGGTTACACGATCGAAGATGAGGAGGACATGGTTGTCGCAACTGTGACAGACACATGGATTGCAGAGTCCCGGTACAACATCCCCACAAGTGGTGTACCTGCAGGAAACTGGGTTCTTCTTGGCGGCGTGGACAACTCAATCGTGAAGACTGCGACAATTGTCGCTCCCAAGCTCCCGGATAACGAAGATGCATACATTTTCCGACCTATACGACATTTCTTCGAATCTGTTTTCAAGGTTGCGGTTGAGCCTATCAACCCCTCGGAATTACCTAAGATGTTGGACGGGCTCCGAAAGATCAACAAATCTTACCCGCTTATCACCACCAAGGTCGAAGAGTCAGGCGAGCACGTGGTTCTAGGCACAGGCGAGCTGTACATGGACTGTGTGCTGCATGATCTTCGTCGCTTGTATGCAGACATGGAGATTAAGGTGTCTGACCCAGTGACCCGGTTCTGCGAGACCGTTGTTGAGATGTCAGCCATCAAATGCTACGCCCTCACCCCCAACAAGAAAAACAAGCTTACTATGATCGCCGAGCCCCTGGACCCAGGCATCGCAGAGGACATCGAGTCCGGCAAAGTCTCGATCAAAGACCCTGTCCGCGTCGTCGGCAAGTTCTTCGAAGAAAACTATGGCTACGACCTCCTCGCCTCGCGCAACATCTGGGCCTTCGGACCGGACGACATGGGCGCCAACATCCTCCAAAACGACACTCTCCCCTCAGACGTCGACACCAAGACCCTCCGATCCGTGCGCGACACCCTCCGCCAGGGCTTCAGCTGGGCGACGCGCGAAGGACCCCTCTGCGAAGAACCAATCCGCAACACCAAATTCCGCATTACAGACGTCGACCTCGCACCGGAGCCCATCTTCCGCGGCGGCGGCCAAATCATCCCAACCTCCCGCCGCGCATGCTACTCCTCCTTCCTGATGGCGTCCCCGCGCCTCATGGAGCCTATGTATAGCTGCAACATCACGGGCCCCGCCGACGCCGTCTCCTCCCTCTACACCGTCCTCGCTCGTCGCCGCGGTCACGTCCTCCAGGAAGACCCCATCGCGGGCACCCCCCTCTACTCCGTCAAGGGCCTCATCCCCGTCATCGACTCCTTCGGCTTCGAATCAGATCTCAGGATCCACACGCAGGGCCAGGCCAGCGTCTCCCTCGTCTTCGACAAGTGGAGCATCGTCCCCGGCGACCCGCTCGACAAGGACATCCAGCTGCGCAAATTGGAGCCCGCGAGCGCGCAGGCCCTGGCTAGGGATTTCGTGCTCAAGACGAGGAGGAGGAAGGGTCTTGCTGAGGACGTCACGATTAGCAAGTTCCTCGAGCCCGAGCTGTTCAGGGGTTTGAAGGAGAGTGGCGTGCTGGACGGTTAGAAACGTAATAATAGAAGATACAGAAAGCGCGCTTGGAATGGGTGGGGATGTATGATATTTTTTTTTCTGTCTCTCGCACATGGAATGTTTTTGATCGGCGTGAGATAAGGTTGTGTGCACAATTGAATTGATTGGCACCTTTTTGGAAGGCATTGAGAACCAGCCCGGCGCTTTCTTTCAACGGATTGTATGAACGAAAAAGTTTCGCGACAAAAAAGGGCTTTTGAAATGATAATATACATTGTTCCTAAGTATGTGTGACTATTGGTCTTTTGAGTATAGTGTTGATGTTGTGACTTCCCGCATAATTGTGACAGATGCGCGTACAGTTTACAGCGATATAGTTACCACTGGCATGTATTAAACTGGAAATATCTCCTCGGCATCTAGATCTTCCACGCAGATATCGGAACTGTCGCTCAACATAGCCTGAATTCCCTCTGATAGCGTTTGTACAGTGTTTACATTTTCTTCAACTTGATACTTGCTTCTAAGTGATTTGTCGATCGAAACCGCCCATGATTGCACTTCTGTATACGTAACCGGACGCGAAAGTGCATCGTAGACCTCTTGCACAGGATCGCGCCAACTCAGGTTGTTGTTCGAGGTTGCCGAGGACAAGCCCATGCGATTCATGCTTTCACTAATGAACGATATTGGAAGCGATGTATAACAGATCAGGTCCTGTATATTGAACCCGACTGGGATACGCTCGAGAGGCAGCTTACTTGATTTGGATCGAGTAAGGTGGGAGGATGCAACCCTTCGATATGGATGTGGTTCTGAGTGGTTAGCATTCTTACTTGTACGGCCTGTTTGAAGTCCATCCTCGTGAGGTGCTGAACGGGAGCGTCTGGCGATCTTCCGGCGTGGGCGACTTGGTGGCCGTTGAAAGTCGTATTCGGATTCATCGAAGGTACCAAAGCAGTATAGGTAATCTTGCTCCGCTACTTGGGTCAGAGGATCATGATCATCATGATGACCAACCTCATCGATGGATTCAGCTAAATTGTTGAACGTCGTTGGAGACTCCGAAGCAGCCTTCATAGAAAGACTGCGCCTTGGGTATCGATGTGTTTGTTTAGGACGCGTAAGAAAAGATTCTATGCCTCTATTGTTTCCTGAAACCAGCATGGACTCTTCCTGACTATGATTCTGACCTCGATCGATTGGTATCCGCCGACTGGGTTTTCCTTGTGGAGTGGCTTTCTGACGGCCTACCTTACTCCCTCTATGGTCCATGCTGGGCATCGAGAACGGCTTGTTGACAAATGATCCCTTCAATCGCTTGGTAGGACGTGCGGTCGGTTGCATTGAAGAGAGCTCTTCAGCTACGCCATATGCCGATTCCTGTGGCAACTGACCTGGAAGGGACGTTCTAGAGGCGTTGATAGGGGTAAATTGTGATGTATGCGCTGGGAATGGATTGGACTGTGCTGGACTGTGTACTCGAGTATGAGAAATGGTACCGCTACCTTGCCCCTTGTTTCCATTCCTGAGTGAATCATTCAACACCATGCGGGGAGGGGTGCTCAGAGAAGAACGCTCCGTAGGAGAAATAGACAGAGTTGGTAGTGTGGGGACCTGGATGCACTCGGCCTTCTCAGGAACAGTCGCGCGAGGCACAATAGCCCTTCGATCAATTGATCTCGGCGTTGGGGGAAGAAAGGCGTTCCCATCCTCTTGTAGAGGCCTAGCAGCTCTGCTTGAGGCCAGCGGCGAGCTCAAGTTGCTGATTTCGTTTCTACCGTCTTTGTCTGGAGTCATGAGCGGATTCCCAGGCACCACTGACCTTTTCTTAGTGGCGCAATTCAATCTTGCAATTGTCCAGGGGTTGGAAACAGCCAAAGAATGAATACCTTCCTCTTCTTCCTCAAAGACTGCTGGTGATTGGGTCTCTGACAGAGTGGCTAAGTCTTCTGCGTCAATTCCGTACATGCATGATCGCCACTGTGTGATGTTCTGATTGGATATGGGTGGATTTTGCGTGGGTTGGAGAGCTTGATCTTCCTGTAAATCAAAGAGCATAGTAGAAGACGTTTCTGGGCGACAGCCTTCCTGCTCTTGCAATATAGCCTCCGGTATTTCAGGATTGTCGTCACGCACGACGTTCTTCTTGGTGCAATGCATGGTCAAAAGTTCTTCGACAGCACTCATAAGCAAAACGGCATCCTCGAACAGTACATCATCTTTGGCCGGCTCGATATTAGGGTCATAACTGCCGGACGGACAAATAATGTTCATCGTCATGAATGGGCCTTGAACCGCGGCAAGCGCATCGCTGGACTTTCGAAGTCTATCCCGAACTAGTGCCACTATCTTCTTTGGTGTTCCCCGAGTCGTTGAAACAGGCCTAGAATCAATCGAAATATACGCCCCGATATTAGCGATGTCTGCTGGTCTTGTGGATGTTGCCTTTGGTAGAAACGCATGAATCTCGTAGCCAGCTGTTTTTAGAACACTTGATTCGCATTGTGAAGCACAGTTCTTTCCTATCGTCTTGGTCACGGCATCCTTGACGCTGGCAGTGGCATTTGGCGCATAGCTGAAATTGGCTCCATCAGTCTTCCCTTTAAGAACACGAAATTGGAGCCGAACGCCTGGTCTTGCGAGTGCATACGATTGCATCATTCTTTTGACCTTCGCCAGATACGCCGACGAATGTTTCAGTGCAGTCTGTTTGCGCACAGGCAGCGACGAGAAGATGTCTGTAACCTTTACCGTGCTCCCAACTGGATGCGACGCTCGTTTCGTGCTAAAAGTGTTAAAATCTGCATTCGATAAAATATACGAATGGTTGACCTACGAAACAAGCTCGCCGTTCCTCCCATACTGCAATAAGACGGCGACTGGCTCGCCCTCCACTCTCGTATGCAGAGTCAGTGTGCCACTGATTTCAGCCATACTTGCCATCGCCTCGCCTCGAAAGCCAAGCCATTTCCCTCCGACTTCTTTCAAGTCATGGAAGTCACGAATCTTGCTAGTACAGTATCTTCGACACACTAACGCTCGGTCTTCAGCGGGTATTCCATGGCCATTGTCTTTCACTTGAATGGAATCGATAGTGTTGGAGCTGATGTCAATCCAGATTGCACTAGCTCGGGCATCAATAGCATTATCAATGAGCTCCTTGACGATCGAGGTAGGGTCAACGAGGACTTGCGAAGATCCCAATTGTCGGATTGTTGTTGGCGGGAGTGCTTTGATGCTCACGTTCTGACCCAGTGCGGCTGAAGTAATGTTGCTAGTCATGATCGGACATCATCCGCAAGGAATATCAGCTGGAACGAATATGAGTGAGTTGTATGAAGATGCATTTTTGGGACAAACTCGGTCCACTGTGTGGGCATAAAGTTGTTACTGCCTTTCTCAGCGAGGAAGGAACCACTATCCATTGAACGCGCCATGATCGCGGTGTCATGTGATATTGGCAACTACAAGAATCCCTAGACCAATTACGAAGTGCAATAGTGTCATCATGGTGACTTGCTACTTATCCGCCTCGAGCGTTAAGTTGCTTGCACCTGGAGAGACTCCAGGCGTGCGGGTAGCCCGATGGCGCAGAGCAAAAGATGCTCGAGAAGTGACCAATCAGAATGTGGCGTCGGGGGAAACCTAGCGTATGCAGGATTACACTTCATCCCGCCATGCTCTAAGTCTGACCTTCTTAAGCATCATACTTCGTCCAAGTTCAACAGACAATATCCTCCAAACCAATATCTTCCGGGCGTGATCATTCGGTATTCGAAGATGGCATATGATACAGACGCCGCGCGCTGGCGAGCACTTACAATTCGCGACGCCAATGCGAACAACCAGTTCGTCTATTCAGTCAAATCGACACGATGTTATTGCAGACCGACATGTCCAGCGCGCCTAGCACGTCGTGCCAACGTCGGATTCTTCAAGACTCCGGCAGAGGCTGAGGCCGCGGGGTTCCGTGCTTGTAAGAGGTGCAAGCCAAACAAGTTCATCACGAACGATCCACAGGAAACCGCCGTTATCAAGGCCTGCAAAATCATTGAGCAGGCAGTGGATGAAGATGACTTGAAGGCGGCCAGGCTACAAGATCTAGCGAAGAGTGTTGGTTTGACGCCACGATATCTCCACAAGATCTTCAAGGATAAGACGAACTTGACACCAAAGGAATACGCGAAGACGCAGATCGTAAGAAAACACCAAGGATCGAGTGAAGGGAGTCCTGCCACCCTGTCAGACATTCCCTCAATAACCGATCCTTTCGATCTGAGTGGGCTTGATTTTGTCGATCTGGACGATCTGGAGTTAGATCCTGCTATGTATCTGAATAACTCGGTCATGAACAGTGTAACCGAGCAGGCATGGCCGTCTCCACAAATGCAGGAACTCGATGTGAACACACAATTTTTGTATTGGAATGGTATCTATGAACCGGACATCTTAGCTCCGGTATCCTATGACGCCTTCAATAAGTCTGGCGTACAAATGGATGCGCTCCCCATAAGTGCCCCGACAGCACTAAATCTGGACGATCCATTCATACCTACGATGGCGACGAAAGCGAATCATGATACGGCGTGGCTTGAAAGCCAGACGTTGCAGGTCGGACAAATCCCGGATTCGATCGTGGAAACAAATCCGACTCCAACTAGCTAGCACAGCAAACTTGAATAGACTGAACCGTTGCTATATTCATATGCCGATGTATCCTCTCATGTGTTCTCCCTCCTTTCATGCCTTGTATCTTACATCCGAATCATCATTAACATTCGACATGAAGTTCTACGGTACGTCTCGACCTGGGCAGACTCCAACTGGTAGAACGGATACGAAGCAAGGCGGTCGATATCAAGAAGATAGTGGTCCTGTTTGCCTACTTTATTCTAGTTAGCCCTTGTCCGTGAGAGTTCATGCAAAAGTCTTGGTAGAAATGTTGCTTCTTCAGAGACCGAGTTATAAGCAGCGACGACAAAGCGCGTGGTCAAGCATATGTCGATACTAGCCACGGTAGCTAAGCCATACCTTTTCCGGCTCTTCCTATAAGATGTGATGGTCATAGAGAAATTCATCATTGAAGCTGCAGGGGAGAGTGCGAATGGAAAGAAAAGTCCGCCAACTTACGCAAAGGTTGACAAGCTGTGAGCAGATTGTGGTGAGCAATCAGAGGCATGGCGCGATATGACAGCGCATATGTGCCGATGTGGATTTACAGGTAGCAGCAAAAGCGCATGCCGCGAGGGTGTAAAAGCATCTTTGTTTACACTGGCAGTGTTGTGTGAGGAAGAAAGTCGGAAGACGAAAGATCTTAAGAAACAGAAAGTTAGCGAAATGGCTAGTTGGCACTAAGACCCTTCCGGTTAGCCCCTTCATACTTAAGGTTTCCTATGTCATTGACATTGTCATTCTCAGCATTTGAACTCAACACACGGTTCGTGTATAAGTTTGTTTGTAAAGTCCTATCTCTATCCCGGAAGTAGCTTGATCTCTTCTTCTCGCGGTTTTTTTCTTCTGCTCTTGCTGAAACTACGTCTCTTACTGTTCTCGCTGTCGAATTCCCGGACTAGAAGTCTTCATGCCAGAAGAGCAAATTACACACAATGATGAGTCGTTACCTATGATCTATCTGATATATACTGGCTTCTAACAGCATCATAGCCAAATTTGAGTACTGTGAAGCAACATTATGCAATTACTACTGCACAGCAATCAGTATTTCTGCTAATCTCGTTTAGGATACAATACCCGCCAAGGCCTCTACCTCCTTCGCTTTTACTGAAAACTTCCGCAGGATATACAATATATCGTATAGATCTGTTTTAGGCTTAATATGAATTTCTGTAGTGTTCCCTCTGATATGAAGTATCAACTAGAGGTAGGTCCATTAAATTGTTCGGAGAAGTCTCCTGAAACCGAGCGAGAGGGTTTGGAAAGACATGGTAAAATCTTTACGTCCAATGCAAACCTACTTATGATCATTGAAGCAATGTGCGCGAGTGTCTCTGTTTACACTATAAGGCTTTGAATCGTTACTCAAAGGTCGCCATTCCCGTAACGCTGTGGTTTCTTTTCCTAAACAAGGACTCTTATTTGCGCACGACGGGCATGTTATGAGTAGAAAAAGAGTCCTGGCCCATGTACCAGTGCCTCATAAACAATATTTAGAGCTACAGAAGTTTTCAACCAATGTAAAACAGGCAAGTTATTGACATTGATCTTTTCAGGTGCAAATTCATAATCGATTTATTAGTTTTCCAAGGGTATATCATGCACTGTTCAACCCCTACTCATACGTGCTGGTCGAGAAGTCCTCGTTTGTGTTCTCGTGTCTGTGTCAGAGACGCGCTGTTCAACACTCTACGAGATTTCTAATTCTAGATTCAAAGAGAAATTAAATCTATTTTGTACAATCCCAAATATTGATATTTACCGCAACCGAAGATTTAGTGTGCGGAATCATGCTATGGGTAATGTATGAAGCTCAACGTCAGATGCCATGGGATTTCCTTTGCGTAACATCTCAAATCATGATTGCGGGGATCATTCCCCCCGAGGGCGACACTCCCAAAGCATGACATGTTTTCGTTGTAGAGTATTGAGCCTTTTGGGATATATAAATAGTGAAGACCCGTGCCTTCACAGAACACCATCAGCAATCGAACTCCACGGCTTTCTTCATTCAACATTTATCATATCTACTCAATTCCACTCCAAGAAATTGACGATCACCATGCGCTTCACTGTTGTTGTTGCTTCTCTGATTGGCCTTGCGCCATTCGTCGCCGGCATTCCAGCTGAGGCTCGTCAAGAATCTGGACTTCCTCCACCGAACCCTGTCGTTGGAAGTGTTACCGAGTTCCTTTTTGTGAGCAATATTAGGGCTATAACTCCTCTCAACGTGCGATAGTAACTTATTTTGAAGGACAAATGCTCCTGGCATCCAAGTGGCACTCATGTGAGCCTTCAAACCGACTTGGGTAGCTGCAGACAATTCAACAACGAGCAAATCCGTTCCATCCGCTATTACATTGAGCCCAAGGGTTGCAAGAGTAAGGTTTCGCTCACATATATGCTTCCGGAGATGCTAATTGTTTACAGTTATCTTGTTTAAGGACAAGAACTGCCAAGACCAAAGCATCAAGTTTGAACCGATCCGCGGCCCAGAGGGAGAGAACGACTGCATGGCCCTTCCCAACTATCTCTGGAACTCTTATCAGATCGTTGATTGCGAGTTCGAGTAGTCTCGTAAAGGAATTTCTGCGCTATTGCAGGGCACTACTTAAGGTTGTTGGATGCTAAGATGCGTTCGTTGAACTGTACTTGTCAAGCAGAAACCTACAACCTTTGTCAATCAATCCATGCCATAGCACAGTAACTGAAGCTCTATGATTTGTGAAATAGCACGTGTATCTTGTACATCATGATCAGACATTCCTAAGAATGCCTTAACAGCATCGTGATAAACAGCCTCTTATGTGTTACGGATAAATGAGAGATAGGCGTATTCTCTTCGCATTGGCTTGCTTTGGTTTCCGATTTCTAAGTAGTAATGGAATAATCAATACATCATGCGGAATTATGGGCAGGCATTCTGTGAGGAAGAGCGGTCGGACAAGGTGAATGGTTTATAGGTCGTAGATGAAGAAATCTTAGAAATTATGAACAACTATCGGTAAAGGTAAGGACCCATTTACTATTATGGAGGGGGCTTGAAGGCCCAGAAGGTGAGCATGTCTTTAAACCTATTATTAGAGGTAGTCTGGACAGATTTGATGATTCGTCCGGAAGAGCAATCCCCAACAACCTTACTCGCTACGTGAAAAGGAAACGAGGCTTCAGCAATCCCGACAAACTTCATTTCATCCCGTGTGAAATATTCTAGGCTCTGTAAAATGCGATTTGCTGTCTGTTTGATCTCATTCGCTACATCTTTACTCCCTGGAGAATGGCCCTTTATCTGTATGTTCTCTTCTAGGCTTGGAAAGTCTCTTTTCAGTTGCAGTATTTCGGTGGCGCAGATAATCCAGAGAGCCCAAAAATGATTTAAACTTGTGGCTACGATGAAGTCCGTGAACCAGATTGAGATATGGCCATCCGGGTCTATTCTTTCCCAACATAGTGAATGTGGCGAGGTTGTCTGCAGATTCATGTACCATTGGTTCAGGTTACCGAGTATTCTGAGAAGGGCACGGCTGGCATCTTTAGCAACCGGAATCGCATAAGCCAAGTTGCGCTTGTCAACACTGCTTATCGTATCTAGAACCGTTGGAACCTCACTAGCTGTGCTTAGGAGGGTCTGAAAGGATGATGCAGGGACATTCCTAAACGGTTCTGATCTCCAAATTTTTGTAGAAAGGAAAGTAGAGGTTCGATTAAGCATGGCACTTGAGACCTACTCTGTTAGGACAACAAGATATATGGAGACGTCATGCGTACATACAAGAATTGGTCGCACTCCTACGAACAGTCTGTGCAGTACACCATTTGCGTACAATTCTGGTCTTCCGTGGTGAATTAGACTGGTGATGCCTTTCACGTGGACCATGTAGTTAGTTGGAGAGGTAGAGTGCAACAACTAGCATTAATAGTCAATAAAACTCGGAACCATCATCAAGTTTAATAGTACATTACCTCAGACAAGAGTAAGCACATGGTCGCAGCTACCAATTCATCACATAGCGAGGCGTTATAGCTACCTAGAGCTCTTTTCATGGCGCGCATCGCGGATGACTGCACTTCCAACGCAGTCGAGACTGGAGCCCGGCTCCTGGCATCATAAGCAACAATGGATTCTCCTAGGGCTCTTATACTGGATGAGACAAGATCAATGTACCCTTGTTCTCTGTCCAGTAACTGAGGGAGCACTTCTATCCATGAGCAACTCATCTGAGATACTGAAGCAGCTTTGAGGAAAGCATTGCTGGTAGGAACCAGATTCTGGACGCAAAGTGAAATAACGTCGCCTGATGGCCATGCTAATTGGCGACCTGGAGATGGGGATTTTACAACACTTTGCTTAGTGGAGTTGATTGGCTGCCTGGGTTTTCGGCGCCATTTCAAGCTGCCGTCATTGTCGGTAGGTTTCACTGAGCTAGATACTGTGGCTGGACGAAAGATCAGGTCAACATGATATCCTGGACAAAGAAGTTGTCTCAGAGAGCATTGGGAGCATGCCGGTTTCTTGCCATCACACTACAAAAATTAGCTTTCCAGACCATTAACAGATCGGAGAACTTTGTGCTCACACCAAGCTTCCGTTTCCGACATGCGTGACAAACTGATAGATTTCGGACCTTCATTCTCAAAGGATGAAAATATGTCTTAAGATGTAGTACTTACTTGCAAAGCTATATTAGCTTTCTTTTCAGTAGCAGCATAAGTCATTCATATAATTACCCGGGCGCATTACTGTCACTAATCTCCTTTAGGAGACAATATCCGCCAAGACCCCATATGCCTTGCTTTTGCAGATTTTGAGAATCAGCCTTGCGCGTAGCCATTTATAAAAGCGGAGATTGATTTTTCAACTAAAATTCTGAAGTAATGGAGGGCTATGTAAGTTCCAATCCCGAGTCGTTGGACTGCAAACAGTCTGGGATGAGCGCCCTCGTTGCAGAAATGCGCTCACGGTGTTCAGTTACTCTAATAAACTGCCTGCGAGGGTCATTGACTACATAAAGTAAGTCGATTTTTTCACTGGCAACTTCAAACTGTTCAATCAGAATGGGTGCAATTGATCGGCATCTACGATCTCGTCTCTTCACTTCCATTCTGATTACTGAGAATAATAGTCGTATCGCTAACAGCCACAAAGAAAGTCGTCAATCTTTCAAATTATGTTCGAAACAATGCATTCAGCCATATTCGTTACAGTTCTAGGAGCAATGCAGGCATACAAGGCCAACTGTCCATGAACGAATCTTGCCAAGCCGCAGTGCGAAAAACACACCGTCCAGGTTGACTTCATTCGTCAATGTATCAATTGCAGTATACGCCCACTGGAGTACGGCACCTAAGAGGGTAAAACATGTGCAATCTTACGAGTACCTAGAGGATAAGGAAATGAAATATTTCTCTAGAGTATGATGGACCAGAACTCAGATTCATTAGATTCACGACACTGTCTTACTGATTGTATAGCCATTTTTAAGTTGGGATGGTGCTGCAACTCTGATTCAATTCCAATTCACACAGTTCGCAATTGAGGAGAAGCCATAAGGTCCGAACTATCGACAGTCACTCTCCAATTCAAGGACGACGTTGGAGAGTTCGATAATTGTCTTACCATAGAAACAATCATCGCAGAATCTGTCAGTTATACGGAATATTATCGAAAAGATAGTGAAGCAAGATAAGCTTCCAAAAGGACTCACTATTGTAGTTGGACTGTCAATATAAAACTTAGTATATTCTGAAGCATTGATGTGTTTACAATATGTTCGTAAACAAATATTTATGGGCGAGTATGAGAAGGTGCTTTCAAGGATTCATCTTGTGGATTATTTGACACTTGTAATCGTAGGATCCAAACTACCACCAGCAGTCAACATATTCGTACGTTTCCTACAGCAGCATCTATGAGAGGTGGGAGTTTGAGATTAATGATACACTGTCACGAGTCTAGAGCAAGATGGACAACACACCACTTATTTCTGTTGAACCTCATATGTGCACACTCTCTTAACACATGGCTCAGAAGTCACACCTGATCTGCACAAGTGAATTAGGCAGATCAAGTTGGAGCGCATAGCTTGTTAGCTTTTCGAATCTAGTTTGGAAGTGCGAAGCAGTTGGTTGTGTTCCAAGATATCAGTACAAGATAACGCGACTGCAACCAGTGAAATCACCTCTTGACTTCCTGTATCAATTCAAATCTTCTATCCAACTTTTCTATCCTCTTTCTCTTCCGACGAATTGGACGTTTATCCAGCAACCTTTCACACCGCTACTACCCTACTACACTACTCCATTACTTTACTCCGTTCCTAACGAGGAAGTCTTTTCTATCACTACCTCTATATTCAGTCTCTTCTCTTTATCATCATCTTTCTTTCCTACTGCCTTCTTATATCACTACCTTTACTACTATCGACAGCACTAGCTCACTTCTATATCACCAGTACCTTCACCATTTATCCTCCCACCGTCTCTGTATCTCACGCCACCTCACCTTCTTGACTTTGAAGCTTGGCCACTACCATCACTTTATCACAAGTCAGCTTTCCTTAAAGTGATTCGAGCCTGCGAACACAACTTCCGATATCCATCGAGATCTCCTTCGTCGAGCTATTGGCCAACTTCACCATTCACGTAACCACAACTTCTCTCATATCTCCATCTTCGAAAGCGTTCCCGAACCCCACACATCGAGACAAATATAAACATCATCTGGAATACTCTCAGGTAGGGAAAATTCTCGTTCACATTCCTTATACTTTGAATATCACTAATCCAAAGCTTAGATGCCACCCAAGCTATGATGAACTCAACAGCTAATCAGGCCGGGCCTTCAAGTGCTGCATTAGAGGCTACCAATTTAGCAGTGCCGAGACGTCGGCCTAAAAGAACAGAGCGTGCGCTCGAACCAGACGAGGCACCTTGTAATGTCTATGAGGTTGCCAACGGAATTCGGGATGAGATCCCAGCCAAAGGGATCAGTCACGTAGAGCTATCAAAAAAGTTCGAAGCGAGCATGATCAACAAGAATGCCCGGCTATTTATTGAGTTGATAGCTGCTGTCAGTGTAGTACAGCCCGACGGATTACTACATCGTCATGAGCATCCACCACGAAAGGAAGATATCGAAAATATCAAAGAGAATATTCTAGTTCGATTCATTCCACCGGAAATTCCAGAGAATCGAGAAATCGTCATTACGTCGGTTAATTTGGCTCCTATGACAGTGTATGTATTCCGCTTCTATCTTGTCCTGAATCGCGCTAATCTTACATAGTACCTTTACGGAAGCACCCGAACTTATACGCAAGGAATTGGGGCTTCCGCGTGCTTTTTATCGCGCGCACTGGGAATACAGCAAGACCTTAAGCCGATATGTAGAAGAGCATACTGCTGCGAAGCACTGCGATCGGCCAGACTCTAAGCTGAGACCTGGCTCAGCTTTTCAATCAATTGGGGATTTCAATTTCCTCAAAGATTTAACCAGAGAAAGGGTGAACAGACATCTGATTTGGTTGAAGGCGTATCCACCTTCCTCATACGTCTCGACATTCGATAACTTCGGTAAGTAAGAATGTGTTTTCAAATGAATCTTGACTTATCATCAGTAGAACATGCCATGCAGCGTGCCGAGTTCTTCTACCACAAGAGCAAAAGAGTTGCTGAGCGAGTTCTCGTGGCAAAAATTAATACTAAAGATCTGACACCAGCGACTATCAAATGTCGCGTGAGACAAACAGTGACGGTGTTGGCAACACCGACATTGGCTGCAGAGGAAACTTCTGAAATTAAGGAATTCAATATTCCTATCTGGATACGAGCGGATAATCTGCCTTCGAAAACGTCTACTTTGACCATTGAAGAACTCCAAAACTCACGGGCAGATGTGTGGGTATCAGTCCACGAATTGAGATACTCTGATATGAAGGCAGACCCCACCTGTCGTGGCCATCCCGACGAATGGCTCGCGTGTGGGGAAATTCAAGAGAAATATGTTCAGAAGGTGATGCCTTACGACGGCAACAAACTCCACCGTCGCGAGCACCCAGGCGAGGTGGTCAAAAGTGCTAAAAGCACGGAGCGGTGGACGTGGAATTGGGAAAGGCAGTGGTGGAATTTAGAGAAGAATGAACAGACCAATGAGCGTTCGCAACAGCAGACGGAAGTCAAACCTTCAGCACATTCTACGATCGAAAAGCGCATGCACCCGGACGAGCCCGAGAAAGCAAGCAAGAGGCCCAGGCATACTGATGCCGATACCAACGATAAAAGCAGCGAGAATGAGAGCCATGCACCACCTCATTGCCGTACGTGCACATGCTCGTCAACTTGATGCATGAAATCAAATCATCAGCAAATGAGAGCGCAACTTTTGAAAGATATAACCAGAGAGGAATTTTGGGAATTTAGCTATTTAGGAATACTTTGCGAGTTCTCTTTTACTGCGATCATTCCTCAAACATGATCCTTGATTTGAAAGGGAGTCATCTTTGCTCTGGAGGGGATCCGGAGGGGTTTATTGCTTACGGGCAATATTCTGACCAATTTTTTCATAGTGCTTGGGTAGTTCTTGAGATTTTCAAAATATATTCTGAACTTGATCCACGCATTCTTGAGTGGTGAGAAAAGAAGCGAGAAAATCATCTCTATGCACATCGGCGAGGGCACCTTGCAAGCCATTCAATCGCCTTGGTTACTGTATTCAAACTCCTCCATACATCAAATCATACTAGGAATCAGATGTTGCGCGCCAACATATTGACCTGGACCGCAGCTCCGAAAGTACGAGGGAACTTGGCAGCCTGGCCAAGCCCGAGAATACGAGGCTTGAGAAGTGTCTATGGAAAGAACCATAGTAAGCTAATGCGATGGTGTCTCCATGGAGATATGGGCTATCGTGTAGCATCCCATAGCTGTTTTGATATGGAAATGATGCCTGGGGTCCGAGAAGTTCACCTCGCGTAAAAGCCAAAATGTTGGCCGTAGCCATTCCTTTCGATTGGATTCTTTCCGCGAAAAAACCATGAGTCTTCGCGGCGGAGATTTACCGAAATAATACTATTCGGGTCACATTGATTTAAGAGTCGTATCTGAAGCAACTATGGAGATTGCCACATGCGGGAAAATGGACAAACGTCGCGGAGCATATTGTACAATAATGCTCTTCTAGCTCTAACAATAAAAGTCAGGCATTAGGATAGTTAGTTTGAGGTGGATTACTCAATAAAGCCCGTTACCCGCTTCCGCTTCCGCTTCCCTTCCCTTCTGTCATGCCGTGCTATCTCCGCTTCACCATTATAATATCTTGTGGCTTTGTTCAGGTGCGAAGAATTTGCGGTGGTGATTGTGTTGGTGGCGGCGATTTCGACGGACATGTTCCGAGCTGGATGAAACCCCACAGTATCGGGCATTTACTAACACCTGGCCCGGAGCTCGTTGCTTCTGGTGAGTTCATGCTCTGGACTTGAGCACATATCAGTATTATCAAAGGAAATGAACGTGTGGATTGCAGCTCAAGTTCAACCAAAATATCAGAGCAATTGCCATTGAGGACTTTTGTTCATTTAGACGAATCACAATGCACACATCTAAAGAGCTCCTACAGGCGAATGTGCAATCGTCTAACTTCGAGCATGAATAATTCCCCGCTATCAAGAACATATCAATACTGTGTAGCATAGCGTAGCGAAGTCGGAAAGTCGGCAGTATCTATATCTTGAGAATTCCCTGTAGACGTTGTAGGACCATACACATTGCATGCAGCGAACATAGTATTGCGGAGTTTGTTTGATTCGGTGTGCGATGTGGTCGCATAACAATGCCTCTAACTTTGTCATCGGTATTATGCGACTCCCAAGCTCTAGGTTTCGGGCCATCGTAGGTTAGAGAGCGAGTAACTGGATTAAAATAAGAACGACCCTGAAATATTTTTTGGGTCAGGTCAAGTTTCAGGCATACGGAGCGATCACGCCGGATTGGTGGTGATTAAGCTGGTGGATGCAGCTGATTGGTCACGCTCAATGTTAGCATGACTAAATTAGGAAAAGACATTCGGGGAACAGTGCAGTCTGGCGACATGTAACAAGGAGATACTGTGGCTCCTTTACGATTTCTATGAGGAAACTTGATGAAAAGAAGCCAATAAGCAACTTTCAGTAGTCTTATTCTCCATGTCTATTTAACTTTGGACCAATTGAAGACCGCCTTTCTCTATCTTTCAATTCGCCTTTAGGGTCTCCGCATTGTTTCAAACACCACCGTAAGGGTACTGCCGTTATCCAGCCGCCATAGCCTGGTAATGTCCTTGAAACTCAGGAACTTTCTTTAATCTCTTAGCACTCGTGTCAATGGCCCGAGTCCTCTCTTCGGAGATGGTGATGCTCGCTACAGCGAAGGCCTCTTGCAACCCGTAGGCCCCGTTCGGCGTTTTACTGAGCGTGTTAATCATCTTTTGCCTGGGCCTGCCCTGGAAAAGTACCCTGAGCCTGGATCACGGCCTTGGGTATGGGGTGTATCAAACTGCAAGATCTCCGGATCGCTGGCGAACATCTCGATATATAACAGGCCCATCCTTTCCTGATGAATAGAATCAAACCAAGCCACAACAACAAATCCAAAACACGATCCTCACGTTTCTTTTTCTTCCATTTCTTCTCATAATTCCTCATTTATAGATTTACAGTCATCTTTCAAACATGCATTTTTCTACCGTAGCTACTGGCGCTGCCCTGGTCGGCAATTCTTTGGCTGCCTATACCCTCAAGGACAATTACATGGACGGTGATTTCTTCAGCAAATTCAACTTTGATACATTTGACGACCCCACCAAAGGTATGTGGTTCACTACTCTTTTGAGTCACCGTCGTTACTGAAAGAGATTAGGCGTATCGCAATATGTGGATCAAAGCACTGCGGGCAACAATGGATTGATCTCTCTAGAGAACAACCAAGCTACCATGCGTGTAGATGCCGTCACTCCAGGTGGTGATAAAAGAAGATCAATCCGTGTCACAAGCAAGGCATCCTATCAGCATGCTCTGATAGTTGCCGATGTTCAGCACATGCCCTCCGGCTGCGGAACCTGGCCGGCGTTCTGGACTGTAGGAGGTGACTGGCCAAATCAGGGTGAGATTGATATCATTGAGGGATTCAATAAGGAAGAATTCAACGCCGCCACTCTTCACACCAGCCAAGGATGCACTATCAAGGACGGACTTGGAAATGGAAATGGATTCAATGGAAAGGTCAAGACTTGGGACTGTTGGAACAAGAACCCCGACCAGTTTGAGAATGCTGGATGTGGTATCCAAGATCCGAACAAAAGCTCCTACGGCGAGGCTTTCAATTCCAACGGTGGTGGGGTCTATGCTATGAAGTGGACTGATTCCGATATAAGTGTATGGTTCTGGCCACGTGGAACCAACCCAGGAGATGCATTAGGTGATAGCCCTAATCCTGGTGGCTGGGGTACTGCCTCCGCTCAATTCACCGCCGAGACCTGCCCTATCAGCGAGAAGTTCAAGGATCATCGTATCGTTATCAACATTGCGCTCTGTGGTGATTTGGCCGGCGGTGCCTGGGGCGGGTCGGCATGCCAGACCCCTCAAGCTCCCACCTGCGCGGATTATGTCCTCGGGAACCCATCAGCAATGTCCGAGGCTTACTGGACCTTCAATGCTTTGAAGGTTTACCAGGACGCTGGGGCTCCTGCTGCAAAGGTCGCTGAAAACCTCGCCGCGGCCCCAAGCCCAACCAGCGAGGCCCAGATCACCAACACTCTTGCTCCCCAGGCCTCTGGCATCGGTGCAGCTGAGAACTTCCCTCGCGGATTCGAGTGGCCTCAGCCCGAAGAGCAGAACGCCGACCGCCTCGCTCGCCAGGCTCGTGAGGACCGCAAGAGCAACGCTAAGACTGCCACCGATGCCTGAACAATGTTCCAACGAATCAACGCCCATTGAAAAGAAGGATAGAGGATGAACACGATACTTTGGCCGGTTTCCGTTGTGTCAGTACGAAATCAATCCCTACGCTCTTCTGCACCTTTCCTTTGTCCCATTTTATCTTCATTGAGCATAAGCATAGCGGTGTCATATTGGGTTAGAATAAATAAACGCATGTACAGCCATATAGAAATAGAACGATTTATTCGATTGTACACTAGCTGTTCCTTCGTTACAATAATTTCATGTTTAATCACCACGTTGAACAAACATGGAGCGACAAGGCTTACCCCACAGTATGACCAAGACCCAGCTACTGTATTGAACCGTTCGGTAGAATGATATGCAGGCACGTCGGGATCGGTGATCGTCGGTAGTACCTAAATTGGAAAATGTAGATCACATCAAGCCATCGCTTCTGCCTCCACTAGTAACCAACACGTTCGATTTATTATACACAGGTGCAATCACACGGCTTGGGGAGAAACGTAACCTGCGCCTCTTTCACACTTCTGTAAAAGATAAATAGGTCCTTAGACATACTCGAGAAGCTAGATTCACGTGAATGAGATTTTCTGTTACACGCTTTTATGAAAGCGTCACAGCATAATCCGGCAAAATTGAAGAGACCATGAGTTATGGCAAAGCTAGAACAAAAAATAGACATGAATTTGGCGGACCGCGATAATATAAGACAAATAAATCCATCACATGGGATTCATCCACTGAATTGAACTGCAGCGAGCTTATAATCGTGGAAACACTCCCTCAAGACGTGCCTAGATTGATGTCAACAAACACGCAATTTCTTAACTGATTCAGTGAACCTACGAATCGGTGGGGGCTGGTTCTTCCTCCACTGCTCATCTAACCACGGCCCTCGTTCATCATCAGTTTCCGACTCAGTGACGGTCGGGGAAGCTTGCATAGTAGTGAACACATTGTTGGCAGAGTTGCTAGGAGTAGTTCGTCTCGGTGTGGATCTGGCGGAGGAAGCACCCGCACGTTGAGTTCTCGGCGGACTGATGGAGATGCGACCAAAACCGGAGATGAGATCATCTTTTTGGTACAGATCAGATCTAGTGACTTTATGCTTGGCTTTGAGGCGATTGATACCTACCGCTAGTGTCTTTGCGCTGGTTATTATGTTGTGAGGGAGTTGGGGTATGGTCTCTAGTAGAACGAGATTCGGAGGATAGGTGTAGGTGTGACCTTGTCCGAGGCGTCGAAGTCGGAGGTCGCAGTTGGGAAGGCTTGGAGACTGAAAGATTTTGTCAGTATGTTAATTTACATGCATAGTACAATTTGATCTCACCCTGACAAGCCTGTTTGCTCAAAATACGCCTGCCTGCTTCCAAGTCTCGGAGCTTCTGGCGCAAAGCAGCACGTTCTTCTGTTATTTCCTTGGATTCTGATGCAATAGCCTCTAATTGTTCGTTGCTCATCCCCGATACCAATGTTGGTGAAAATAACGAGGCGAGGTCGTGCACAAGACAGTTTTCAACTGCAAGTAGAGACACATTGTCAATGAAGACTGTGATTGCCGACTGCTTTCTATTAGAATGTTCCTAATCATTGTTTCGGATATACTTCTGGCTTCTTACACTATAATAAGCTTGCATCAAATTCATAATGTCTTCATTTGTCGGATCATCCGCAGACTGTGTCAAGAAAGACTCCGATCTCGGCCTGATTGGTTTTCCGAAAGAGAACGGCACGTCAGGTTGTGGTTTCGTTTCTTGAAGCCCTCGGCGCTGCCGCAACTCGCGAATTGTTCTTGAAAATCGCGGATCGTGTGTTGACGGTTCTCGATGTTGATAAGGAATAAGTAATTCTTCTAGTTTTTCCGAGAGCTCTTCTCGTTTCTTGTGAAGATGAGGTCCAACCTGCTCATACATGAGCCTTTGGTATGTCCAATCATCAGTTAGGGATTGTAAAGTATCTTCAACATAGGCTTCGACAGCTTCGAAAACCCGCTTGAGATGCATCCGAGCTATGTGCTCCCAAGGCTCTGAGTATTGTCGAAAAACGCCACCTATGACCCATGGGTTCAGGATCGCATCGAGACCAATCATGCGATTGTTGCGAACATGCATGCCGATGACGTCCTGTAGAAACTCGCCTCTACTGATGTATTGTGGATCCGCTATTGCCGCATCGTAGCTTGCGAGCTCGGTCGAAGGATCCTTCAAAGACACAGCATTCTCGTCTATCCCGTCTTCAATGATATTCCAGGTATGCCCTTTAAGTCGCATCACGTCTGCGAAAGCCATGCCGAGATTTTGGATCTCCGAACGTAGGCTCATTTCATTGATCTGCTCTTTGCTCGGGGGCCTGGTTCCATTCACTGCGTGACTGATTATGAATTGAAACCGTTCAGCCTTCTGTGTGAGATAGATTCTTTGTTGTTGTTGAGACTCTCGCGCATCACCAAGAGCCTTCAGGCGAGCATCAGTATTTGAGACAGCGTTTTCAATAGCGTTGACCAGCGAAGGCAGCTCATTTCGAATGTGTCGTAGCAGTATACTAGAGAGCCTTGATCGTAGAGCGTCAATACCGACATCACTCCGCGGTACTGTTGCCCAAATGCCCGAGTTGAAAAAGTCTCTCTCAGACTGATCGCGCTCAGCATTGGAGTGTTTGCTCTCAGGAGGGCTCCGATTCTTGACCGCGTGCCAGCCCAGTTGAAGACGTGTAAGCTCATTCTTGAGCAGCTTGACGAATCGCGCCTCGGTTGGTAATCCAACATACAGCGTATCCGGTTTGGTAATAATTCCGAGTGTTCGCTCAGCTTTCGGGTCGAATTCTTCGATGAAGCCAATGATTGCCTGTACCTCAGGGTCACTTCGAGCCGATACAACTGCGAGGATGATTGATTTATTGTCACTCATGTAACCTGCGACAAGTTTCTTGACTCTTTCCGCAACCTGGCGTTGATCGCCTTTCACTTTTTGGCCACCAACCTGTGACTGTATGACACCGGGAAGGTCGACTATCGTAAGCGATGGCAGATCAGGAGCTGCGAAATGAATTCGCAGAACATCATCAAAATGCAGAGGAGTTTCTGGATTATCACCAAATCCCATGCATTTGCGGGCCTTCTCTACGAGGGCAGAGAAGTCGAAGTCTTCCCGGGCAGAGAAGGATTTCTGAAACTTGGCGAGTTCGTGTTGTTGTGCTGGGGTTCGATTCTTCGCTGGGTTGATCGAGCAGGTGATTTTGATTTCAGTGTCTTTTCTGAGGACGACCTCGGTAGCGAAGGTCGTGCAGAGGCCCTCTTTCGTGGGAAAGCGAAGGTGTGTAAGACCTTCCAAGACAGAACTCTTTCCGGATGATTGGTCACCACAGACGATCAATTGTGGAAGACTGATCTCGTATTGATTGACACCTTGACTCCTAAGGTTGTCAATGGCGTCTAGTAATTCGATTTGCTCAACGGATTGGAGTTGCTCTAGAGAGTCGGGCTCAGGGACAATCCCCGGCATTGTTGCAATTAGTTGAAAGCTAAGCTTCTTTCAGCAAAGTGGCAGCGAAACAGAAAATGGTTTTTGGGGAGGAAAAAGAAAGGAGTTTGTACAAGTTTGTTCGGTTATGTTGCTGAGAGGGCCTGACTGCCTTATGAAATATAAGTACGCAATGCACTTACTCATAACCTATCTTCTCGGGAGGGAACCGGACGTTTAGCTTAAGATTGTGGCTTGCAAAATCCTGATAAAAAAAGAATGCTCTGAAACAGGAATCATGTCTATATGCGAACAGCCTAGCTCTCAAGCATACCAAGCCAGGGATGACAGCAGACCTGTCGATTGACAACGAGCTGTTTTCAGATCCCGCTGCCTTCTTGAAGCACTCACCTGTGGATCAGATGGCGAACGTGCATGACTACTCTAAAGCTAGTGCACCTCGGGTAGTCTCATTTGATGATTCGCGGATAAGGCTTTGTGAAGCGCGTAGCTATTGCCTTTTTTGATCCCACTATGTTGGCCTTGAAGGATCTTTCCAGGAGCTTGGACAGAAGGGAAAATGAGATCTTGGACGGGGAATAGAGGCATACAATTGAAACACTGTCGTAGAGTCACCAATCACCGCGTTCTATTCAAGTGCATAAGCAGGGGTGCCATGAGCGTGATGGTTACGCCTATGCATGGCAACCCACTGAAACTCTTCGTAATCTATGTAAAAACATTGTATTGCACGCAAGACGGAGTGATGAATTTAGTCTGAATAGTGCGATACAACATGTGCTCCACACTATCAAAGTTAATGTATTCTACTACACTTTTCTAATGGTGGAACATCCAACAGAACCTACCAAGCATGTATTCCAGCTCAGTAGCTTTATCTGCTAGCGTTTTTAGCATATTGAAGGACGAATACGAGGATGTATGGCCTCTTATATGTTGCAAAGAAGCCGATTAAGCTTAAAGTGGACATAATACTGACAGATGGACAGTCCGACGTGGTAATACACTGCGTTACCAACTTGCCCACTGCATCTCCTTGTGGAGAAAGTCCCAACAAACCTCACTCTCTAGATCACATATTGCACGAAATGTTCCTGCCCGTGCCTCGTCACGAACCACAGGCCTCCAAAACGCGGCCTGAAAACCATGCAGCATTTGAGGGACGATGCAGCTAAAACAGAACCGCCTTCTTTATCCGGGAATTCGATAAACTCTGATACATTGGTCAAGGCGCGTATTTGTATGCGTTTGTGCTCCCGTGGTGCATCCGCTCGTGGGATTGGGTGCGTAGATAATGCAGGCGTGCGGCACAGCAGCTGGGCAATTCTCGGGGAACGCGGGCGGGAACGGGAAGGCTGAGATCGTGGGGTCCGAAGCGCCACCTCGAGGCGCGTTACAAATGAATACATACTACACAGAGTTCGGGGGAAAGGAACGCGGGAGGTGATGGGGTAGTGAGAGAAGGTGGGCAGGCACATTGCACGATGGCGTTGGTTTGGAAACACATCTGCGACTTGATAAGGAGTATGTCACTATGGTATTGTTATACATTTATGCTTTTGGGATGGTGTAGTTAATCATGCGTGCTATGAACACAAGATCAAAGCTCATCATGGTCCTTCTTCGGCTCCTCGACTGGGATATCTGCAATGTTGATCTTGATGGGCTCTTCTTCGGCCACCTTTTCTTCCTTAGCCTCTGACTGTTGCTGAGCAATCAGCGACTCGGGAAGCTTCTCCTTCTTTCCTTCACCCATTCGGATGGCATCAACCCATTGCTCTACCTCCAAGGGTCCGAACGTAGATCCAGGGTACTTCTTATACCATGCACGCTTGCCGTGAGTAGCAATTAGGTGTACCGCATCCTCCCCGCCAAGTGCTAATTCGGTGCGAATCGAGGAAGCAAGCGGGTTAGAAGCTGGAACGCCAATGAATGGGAAGAGCTTGTCGCCGTGCTTCTTGTGAATGGACGCTAGGGAGTCCGTTACAGCGACAGCCGCCTCTGAGGTTTCCTCTTTGGGGAGGAGAGCAAGAATGCACGTTAAGCTCTTGTCATTGAGACAAGAAATCTGGAGCTCAGCTGTTTCAGAAACGACAGGTATGGTCGGCTTCGCCTCTTCGGTAGGAATGACAACGGGCTCTGGTGTGTCTTCATCCTTGAGGTTTGCATCAGGGGACTCCGAAGGCTTGATTGGCTCTTCAACGCTTTCCGAGGCTGCTGGTACTGGAGAAGCGTCGGTTGGTTTAACCGATGAAGATGACTTGGAGGCCTTTTTGCCATCTTTCTTGCCATCTTTCTTGCTGTCCTTCTTCGACTTCTTTCCCTTTGGAGGTGGGCAATCAGGGTTAGGGGTCGCAGCTTGTGATAGAAAGTCAACAATCGCGTCCTTTTTGACCTCTCCGTCGAAAGTGATAGGATCTTTCCCATCGCCCGGAATGAGAATCAGGGCGGGGAATTTGCTGATACCATATTTCTGGACAGCCTCCTGCTGATTGCTGCGAATCTGGGCAATGGGTATCAAGCCAGCGAAGTCGATAGCTACAGTCCTCAGGGTAGCACTGATCGCACCCTTATCACTGAATAGAATGGCCTTTGGTGCCTCGGCATTTTCTTGCAGCCACTCTCCCAAGTTCTTATCCGTAATTCGCTTCACGGTGTTCGGGATCTTGTCCTTAACAGCCTCAGCGATGCCCTTCGCATTGCGAGGGCCCTGGTAATCCTCCACTGTGGGCTTTCCTGGCTTCTTTCCAGGCCTAACAATCTTGAGGGTTGGGAATCCTTGGACACCCATTTGGCCGCAGAACGGTTTGTTTATCTCCTCGTCGCAGTTTACGGCTGCAACTTTAGCGATTCCGGCGAGCGACTTGGCGGCATTCTCGTATGCGGGTTTGAGGTTTTGGCAATGACCACACCATGGTGCATAGAACCTATTATGGCGTCACTAAAAGTAACTCATGTCGGATATGTGTCTGTAGCTTACTCGACAATCTAGTATGGTTGTCAGTTGGGGACTACAACGTCGAACACCGAGTAGAACTTACGGAAGTATAGTTGGATTTTGCAATCACTCGGTCGTAGTCCATACCATTCAGCTGGAGTACGGGCGAGTTTTTAGAATAGAAGCTTCCGGCGTGTGCACATAGTGCAAAGGAAGCTGCAGCAGCAGCAATCGAAGTCGAGCGTACCATGTCGTAGGATTAGCCGGCGAAAGAGTTATGGTGAAGAAGTACAAAGAATCCAGGCAGTGGTGTGTGAGAGATTGCTTAAGTAGAGGATCGGGTGTTCACATCATGGTTGTAGATTAACTACAAGAAAATGATGACAGGTTGTCCTTTACGTGAAGCTGTACCGGTAAGAGCTCCATGGGCGCGCATGGGCCTCACGCGCCTCAAATGGCAATGGCGGGGTGCAGCCAAAAGTGACAGGGATTCCTGGCGCGCCAAGATCTCCAGACAACGGTTACAACCGCATCGCATATCCCACCAGGCAGTTGTATTGTGTATACACACATACCTTAACCTCAATCCTCCTTAACACGCAATCGCCATGGCTGCATCCATTCCTGCGAAGCTCAAGGAGGCGCAAATCTCCCAGTTCGCTGCTCGCGCTGCGCAACTGGAGAAACACAAGCCCATCATTTCATACTGGCGTATGTCTGCCTCCGACGTCATCCCATGATGCGACAGCTCTAATCAGTCTATAGTGAGGTTCTACATGACCCAAAAGATAATAGGAAAAAACCTGCACGTCGGCGATGAGGAGGCCACCAAGTATACCGTGGACCTGATGGATAAGCTCGAGACTATGAAGGCCGAATACCCCACGGAAGATGCACTGTTGGATGAGGTTGCTGCATATGCCTACTGCGAACAGTTCGCGCTGCAGGTGTTTTCCAAGGGTGACAAAGAGATAAGGGAGAATAAGGTCACAAAGTTCGTATACTCGTCCGAATGATCTGCCGCCAATGAGAATCTGCTAACCAATGTACCCAGAGCGACTGCGGATACGTTTCTCGCCGCGTCCACCTTCTTCGAGACATTGACAATTTGGAAAAACCCATTGGAACCGGAGGTCCAAGCGAAGTTGAAGTACGCCAAATACCACGCCGCGCGCATTTTAAAAGCTATCAAGGCTGGAACCGACCCAAATGAATCCAATCCGAAGCAAGAAACACCAGCAGTGTCACCAGCCCCGCTGGATCCTAACGACCCTGAAGTACAACGTATCAGTGATGGAATTTCTCATCTTCCGACACAGCCATCACATCAACCCTATGTTGAATCCGCACCCAACACATCAGCTCAGCCTTCTCCAGCTTTGCCCGCACAAGGCGCAACCTCACCACCCACCCTTCCATCCGCACCCACAGGATACTCACAACCCAACCAGCAGCCTCGATTTTCTTCTCACGATGATGTTTCCCCAATATCGCAATCAATTCGTTCGCGTCAGGGTTCAGTCGCCTCTGCAGGTGGAGGATACTTCCCGCGTGTGGATGTCCCTACATTTACGGCAGATGCTGCTGCGCCATCTCTCCCTACCGCTCCTTCCTTGAACGAGGACCAGCCCATGACCAGCCCATTCGATAACTCTCTTCCTCAACCGCCTCAACCTCCGTCGGCGCCGCCATTGGCAGATCCTCAACAGTTCTACAACGCAGACCCATCTTCGCCCCCTGTACCGCAACCACCGCAGCAACCGTCATTTCAACCTCCGCCTAACTTCACTTCAACATCTCAACTTTCGCCCCAGAATCCTTATCAGCAACAAGCACAACCTCCACAAATACAACCATATCAGCAGCAATACGCTCAAGCTATTCCAGCTACGACACAAGCCAGTCATCAGGGTCCTCTCCGCACAGACGAAGAATCAGTGGCAGAAGCCCAAAAACATGCTAAATGGGCTATTTCGGCGCTCAACTTTGAGGATGTGAATACAGCAGTGAAAGAACTACGTACAGCTCTGAAAGCATTGGGAGCGAACTGAAGAATCGCGTACCATGGTTGGATTGCATATGATATGATGTTTGCGATTCCTTTTCAATTTCTCACCACGTCAAAGTATGTAATTGTATTCAAGCCCTGGTTTATACCCATATTGGATTGTATAGAAGCTACTTTAAACCTTAATGATATTGCAGCAAAGATTGCTGCATCAAAAACTTTATATTCATCTATACTCGTACGTCAAAAGTTACTACTGATATGGATTGCCAAGGATGTGTTATGTAATCCTAGATTGGCAGCTAGCTCGCCCCACATCATTGGAGCTTGTCCACACCGCAGACATCAACAACCACCGACAAACATCCTCATCGAGCAGGCTGCAGCATTGTTGCACCATGCATTTGCGTCCAACCTCTAGAAATCCGATACCTTGAACAGACACCCATTATGGCCCCCGTAACTCCCTTTAATTCCACGGAAATCACGGAAAAAGCCCGGCGCGACCTATTGCTCCTCCTCGAAGGTGTAAGGTAAAACACCCCCGACAGTTCATTACTTGTACTGATGTTTCCATTTTAGGTCCGAGGCAAGAAGAACTTGGTGCTCGAGAAAGCTCTTGCAGGACCTTTGAATCTACTTGTCAAATTTTCTACGCTGCAAGAGTATGGCGTTGATAAGCCATTCTTTCTGGAGAATGACAATGCCGATAGCTCGCAACGGAACGTGGTGTTCCTTGTCAGGGGCGAGAAAGCAAGTACTGTCGTTGCAGTCGCCGGTAAGTCTATTCCACTCATATGCCTGTAACGAGTATTGCGGGCACGTGCATTAACATGGCTCTCCTCGCCATAATGCATGTTTTCTTGGGATGTCAAAAGTAGGCTACACAGATAGCACCCACTCTGTGTAGTCAGTCTTATTCCCTAAATTGAATTTAGAAATCTAAAAAAACTCCAGCATGTGCTGAAGTCACCTTTTATCTCGCTACAGAAGGAGACTCTATTACAATATGCTAACATCAACATAGATCAAATCAAAAGAATACGCCGGGACAGCCAAATAGAGCACGAATTTTCCATCTTTTGGGTGCCGCGACGGACTGTTGTCTCTGATCAGCTGCTTGAAGAAGCAGGCGTGCTGGGAGAAGCTAGCGTTAGCGAATGGCCGTTGTTCTTCGTACCATTGGCCAATGATGTAATGTCGTTGGAACTGGATGACTCTGTGTCGGATCTCTATCTGGTACGTTTGAACGAAAATTAGACTTGTACTATTATCTAACACTTCGTTCAGCGAAAGGATCCGACGTCCATATACCTTGCTGCAAAGGCTCTGATGCAGCAGCAGCAGAAATATGGTCTTTTCCCTCGCATCATCGGCAAGGGCGATAATGCAAAACGGTTAGCAGACTTGCTTATTCGAATGCGAACCGAAGTTACAGCAGCTGGCGAAAGCAATAGCAACTCACATACCTCATTTTTGGGCTTGACGCCAAGCTCCACAATCGATAGTCTCATCATCGTTGATCGCGAGGTCGATTTTCCGACTGTCCTACTCACGCAGCTAACTTACGAAGGCTTGATAGATGAGGTTTTCAATATATCTGCAAACCAGATTGAGGTGGACTCGTCTGTAGTCGGCGGTGCTGCGCCCCAGCAAGGCCAGACAGGCTCTGCGTCAACAAGCATGAAGAGAAAGGTGAACGTCGACCCACACGATTCTCTCTACTCAGAGCTTGCCGACGCCAATTTTGCCATTGTTGGAAACCTCCTCAACAAAGTAGCCCGGCGGTTACAAAGCAGTACCGAGCGCAATCAATTGGCGGCCAAAACAACCGCGGAGCTTCGAGAATTTGTAGCTAAGCTTCCGGGATATCAAGCTGAACAAACAAGTCTTAAATTGCACACGTCTCTCGCCGAAGAGATCATCAAATTTACCCGCACAGACATGTTTACACGATCGCTCGAAGTCCAACAGAACATCATGTCTGGCGCAGATCCTTCGACTCAGCATGATCTGATATCAGAATTGATCGCTCGAGACGTACCTCTCCCAACAATACTCCGCCTCATCTGTCTGGAAAGCACCACAAACGCAGGCATGCGGCCCAAAGATCTAGAATTCTTCAAACGCGCCATCACTCAAGCCTACGGCCCTCAACACCTCCTCACACTATCTTCTCTCGAGCAGATGGGTCTACTCTCCCCAAGAGGCGGAGCAAGCCTCGGATTACCGGCAGCGAGACCAGGCTCCGTAACAAACTACACGCCTCTACGAAAGAGTTTACGATTATGGGACGACGACGTCAACGAGGCAGATCCAAACGATGTATCCTACGTCTTCTCAGGCTACGCCCCCCTGAGTGTCCGTCTCGTCCAATCTATCATCCAGAAGCAAACCCTCGCAAACCTCATTAAGCCGCCGTCCCACCCTAGCGCATCCGCATCAGCGAACCCTCTCGCACAAGGCCTACGCATCTTCGACGACGCCACGAAGTATATCCGCGGAGCTACATTCGACGAAACGCAGACCGGCGAAGAGAAAGCCGTCAAAGCAAGGAGCATGCTGAACGGCAACCACGGCGATGCTGCAAAGACGATTGTAGTGTTCTTCCTTGGCGGCGTGACGAGAGCTGAAATAGCAGCATTGAGATACCTAGCTCTTAAGCTGAAGCAGAGCGGGGGTGAAGGCCGGGGAAGCAGAATTATTATCGCGACGACGGGTGTAATCCGGGGTGAAGATCTTGTTGGTTCTGCTATCGAGAAGGGAAGATTTCAGTATTAGATTATAGGTTGCAATGTATGTGAATAGTCATATCATGAAAGTCCCATATACGAGGCATGGGCTTTTTTGGAAACATCATAGGTGCACCTTAACAATGCGCATAGTGCGGATATTAGTGTTGTGGCTAGGTTTATTTCCTCGATATAACGATGGAGACGTTGTGGCTGTGGCCACGCACGAACTACAAAGACTATGAAGCACGCACGTTCCGAAGGATTCAAACCGTTCTACTCGCGATAAAAGAAAATTCCCACACCGCTAGAGATCTCGATGCTGACGATCTCAGCTCTGCTGAAAAGATAAATTCTGGGTAGTTATAGGTATAGTAGATGTTGACCCGTGAAGCTGTGTTGCGACTATCCGAGACAGGAAGTTATTCGAAGATTTAGAAATGAAGGCCCACATATCAATGCAGGGTTGTCCAGCTCCTCTTCATCATCAACATAAATTGAGGTTTTCAGTAGATTATATCTTGCGAGAAAGCAAAAGAGTTGAAATTGATTATAACATGAACGTTTCACTTTAATTGTATCATATTTATTCGCCAAACGCTGGAAATCTGCAAGGCGTAGACAGCCACATGGTGGAGAGGTTAAGCTTCTAGTGAGGTCGCGATGCGGCTGAGTTGTCAGACACTAGCAAGGACGCAGATCAGGCATCCTCTCACAATTGGCTGCAAGGCGGCTAGGAAAAGGGCCCCCAAACATTCCCCTCCTATTTTTGAATCACGAAAAATACTGTGCTGCACTTTATTAATACAGCATTTCGCCTGGTGGAAGCTACGACGGATCACGAACTCAGGTACAGGCGACTGTAGACTGTAATTCGGGAATGTCTTCACTCAGTTATAACATCAGACCTCTTGGTTTCAACTCTCAATGTATAGACTTTGGTGAATGGATCGCGATTCTCACTCTTTGTCTTGCGCCATTGATTGTACACATTGTTTCTGGAGCGCCTCCGCCGTCAATTCTATCCCATACTCTCCCTCAATGGCACGACAACTTATGCCACTACAATCCAACGTCCATTGTTTGGCGATATGCAGCTATTGCCGACCGACGCATTCGTGCTACACACTGGACACATATCGACCTTGCAGCTAGCAATGCTATCTTCTGGACAGAAAGAGGATGGGATGGGGGTGAGGAGATGATCGCTACAGCCGCTCCACATTGTCTACGCCACCCGGATCACTCTTATGTGCGCATTTTCTCCCTCACATCGCTCAGGACCCTCGTCACAACACTACAAGGCTTGGCGGCACTGTATACGCTCATAGGATCTCTCTTGGGATTGAGGGTCAACTGGATTGGACTGATGGGTGTGGATATGATATTCTATCCCCTGGCCGTTCTGGGTCTACTACGACTCTGGGCAGGCCTATGGCTTACCGACGATTTCGAGTACGGCTTAGCAGAGCAGAGTACCAAGCGATATCCACTCCGGAGTCTGTCTTCCTCAAAGACATTTGGTATCGAGACTCCGATTACGAGCTCATATGAAGCCCTCGACCCCTTCTTATCGACGCCCTCCCGTCCTTCGGAATTCAAATCCCCTAATCGCTCGATCCCCAGCATTGTCTTCCGGCTTTTTTTCGTCCTGCTTGTCGCTGCATTCACCGCGCTTGTCGTCGTATTTCTAACTCCGATGAGTATGTCAGAAAATATATCCTTCTCGGTGACCTCATTCCTCGTCGGCATATTCTACCTCTTCTTCCTCCTCATATCAGTCGTACTGTACGCCATTTACTTCATCCGCGGTAGAACTACTTCAACACTCATCCCATGTATCTCAAGCCTATGGTACAAAATTTACACCGCCGTACTCTTCGGCCTCATGGTCGTCTTAATCGTGATCGCAAGCGTCGAGACAGGCAAACTTCCCAACGGCCAATACGCAAGCGTCAAGATGGCAGTTCCGTTGAAATGCAATGAATTCTCCAACTGGGCTACTTTTTCGAGCTTGTCCAATTACTACATTGCCTCTCCTGTTGTACAGGAGGGTCGCAAAGTACCTGCGTATCCGTTGCCGGGAGCGGGATCTCCAAAGAACTTTACGGGTCTGACGGCGGGGGATACTTCGGGGATTGGAGAGAATGATACGTTGTTGGATGACCGGTATTTGTTGTATAATCTCACAGGATTCTGCGTGGGGAATTTTCAAGAGGCGAAACGGAAATGAGGGATGGAGATGGAGTGATGTCGGATGGAAAACTGCAGTTTTTAAATACGAACAGCCCATTTCAAAGCAGTGCTGGGCGAATTGATGGATGATGATATCTACGTTCGATAAGTGTAAACAAGGGTCAAGACGACGAGCTGCCAAAAGCCGACCGTACGGGGTCAGTAAGATCGCATGTTGCGACTAGAATGCCGAGCCAGGGCGTATCATGAGCGATACCGGCGAGCTTTATGAACTAGCAATTTCTCACAATCTTATCCAGCGCGTGGGATTGTCATTCCACTTCTATCAAAAGTGGCACATCTCCATCGAACGATTTGCTTGAAGAAGATAGCAGTTTCATCCTGCTGAATTAATGGACTTACAACAGAGTAAAATCATACAATTTAACAATACAACATCCATGATTCTCCACGCTAGTTATGTATGTCCTGCATCCACTCCATGAAGCTCGCGCAGTACCCACACAAGTTGCGATAACCATTAACAACATGCCTTGCGCAAGTCAAATCCCGCGCATGAGCGGATGTCGTCTAATCTAGGCCAGAGTCCGCGCCATTCTCCCCCTCACGTCATGATCAGGTACGAAGCACCTGAGGCGAGCCGCACGGCACCTAGGCTGGGGTAATACGAATACGAGAAACTTGTGAAGAAAGTCCACGTTGGGGTGATCGTATTACCCCAGGATTAATAGAATCGTTCACACGCTCTCAATGAAGGGGAACATCACAGGACTACTCGACTCAAGTGTTGTCTTTACGTAAAAGTGTCAAGGAGTACGAATTGTGAAGCAGAACAAGCGAACCGGATCTCGACTATAGCAATTGTGTAATGCTATAAAATCCTTTCGCTTGCAAAAACATCGGTCTATTTTTGCGCTAATTCAAGTTGTGGAATGCGCGTCAACAATTATTAGTTGATATGCCTGGTTCTTAGTTTATGTCCAGGGCAGGATCCGAAGGCTCTGGCGACTCTGGCGACTCTAAGTCCTCCACACAGCGTGGCTCATGCTCGAGATAAGTCGCGAATTGGTGTATCTGAGCCGTCGCCAAGGTGAATTGGATTAACTGACCCCGCGTGCACGCCTGCTAGTTCAAACTTGAGGCTCAGATATGGCGTCTACAGCGTGAAGGCAAACTAGTCTAATCTTTGGCTGGACGCCTATTCGCTGCTCTCGACAAAGAAAGGTCCGGCCCGATGTTGGGGCGATCATGCAGCGCGTCAAAACTATTTTGCCACTACACTTCTACTGGTTTCAAGCTGTTCTTAATTTCCAGCCATGAATTTTGCTAGACTAAACTTCAGTCTGTCTAGTCCTATCTAAGTCCATCAAGCAGGTCCAGTTTTTCTGGAAGGCCTTCGAACGTTCTTGGTCAATTTTCCGAGCCACGTTCAGGTACTCCCCACGGGGCCAATCACTGCCGAGTCATGCCTTCTGCAAACCTTCTCCAAATGGACCGTCTATGTCTTCTTGCTCCGATATGATCAACTTAGGCTATCGTTTTAGTCCATGTTATCTTTCTTCGGTCACTTGGCTTCGGTGAATCTATGGAGAACGGGTTTCCCCGCCTTCATGGCCCCCCTGTCGCGACGAGGATGTGTTCCGATACCAAACCAACAGAGAAACCTTCCGACCGTCCGGCTTTTGCTGATCCAAGACCTGGATGATAAGGCTATCATAAATACCTTGCCATCGCCTCTTCATTCTGTTCATCCCTGGCATCGTGTCTTTCGAATTTTAAATTCGTTTGCCAGTACGAGACCTTGACCTCCAATATGGCGCAAGACCAGTCTGCTGTCCCAAAGGACATGAAGCATGATGTCGAACAAATACCTACCAACAATGATATCTCTCAAGGTCAGGTCGACGAGAAGGGAGATGTCTATCGCGACACCGCTCTGAGCCAACAGTACGGTCGCACTCAGCGTGGTCTTACTCCAAGACACGTTCAATTGATGGCTATTGGTAAGAGTTTTGTGATACATGCGGTAGAGGAAGATACTAACGGTGATCTCAGGTGGAGCAATTGGTGTCGGACTTTGGGTACGTTCCGCAATCTTATTTTCAGAATGAATCCCACATATCGCCGCTCGGGTTTATCTTTACACTGGCTAACTTTCACAAGGTCGGCATTGGCAGTGTTCTCAGTCGAGCGGGACCGCTCAACCTTCTCCTCGGATATATCTTCTGGGGTCTATTTTTCGTCTGGCCTCTTTTCCTCTGCGTTGGTGAAATGTGCACGTGGCTTCCCATCCGCGGGTCTATTTTCGAGCTCGCGTCTCGTTGGGTTGATCCCGCTTTTGGCTTTACAATGGGTTGGACATACTTCTTTGCCGGGTAAGATGGCTCCCTTGAGCCGCATTTGACTTTGCTAACGATTCTGGAATGCAGAGTGATGCTTGTTTGCGTGGAATACTCAGCGGTTGCAGCCGTTATGCAATACTGGGATGCGGATACCAATCCAGCGGCCTGGATAGCCATGGCTATGGCAGTGTGCATCTTCCTCAACGTTGTCGCGGTCAAATGGTTCGGAGAATCAGAGTTTATCATGGCATCCACTAAGGTCTTCCTATTGGTCATGCTCGTATTGATCACTTTCATAACGATGGTTGGCGGCAATCCCAAGGGCGATCGATATGGCTTCCGTTCATGGACAGACGGCAATTATATGCACTCGTATCACGCGGAAGGCGCCGAAGGCAAATTCCTTGGATTCTGGTCCGTTGTCATTTACGCTGGTTTCACCATTACCGGCCCCGACATGATTGCATTGGCCGCTGGCGAAATTCAGAACCCTCGACGAACCATCCCTCGCGTGTCAAAGTTCATTTTCTGGCGATTGGTCGGCTTCTACGTTATTGGTGTACTTGCCGTTGGCATCATTTGCTCGTCGACTGATCCAGGTCTCCTTGGAGCTATCAAGGAAGGAAAGTCTGGTGCTGCTGCCAGTCCGTGGGTCATTGGTATCCAGAACTTGGGCATTGGTGTGTTGCCGCATATCATCAATGCGCTCATTATGTTGTCTGGATGGTCCTGCGGAAACGCATATCTTTATTCGTCCAGCCGAACCCTATATGGTCTTGCCCGAGGTATGCTTGAATGATGATCGTGGAATAAGTACAAAGCTGACAAATTAACAGATGGACAAGCGCCAAAGTTCCTCATGAAGTGCACCAAATCAGGTGTCCCCATCTACTCCGTCCTTACCGTCTCTCTCATCTCATGCATCACTTTCTTGGTCTCTAGCAACTCCGCCGTGGAGGTGTTCCTCTGGTTTGTTGATCTCACCACGACTGCGTTGATCGCGACATATGTGTTGATGCTCATCACCTACCTTTGCTGGTGGCGCGCTCGCAAGGCGCAAGGCCTGACCAACGACATGCTCATCTACGCCGCTCCATTGACACCCTGGGCTCCTATGGTCGCTCTGGTTTTTGGATGCTGCGCTTTGCTGTTCGTTGGTTTCGATGTCTTCAAGCCATTCAGCGTTCGTGGCTTCGTCACCTCTTATTTCGCGATCGCTTTCTGCCTCTTCATGTTCCTTGTTGGTCGCATCAAGTATTGGCGCGAGGGCAAGGGCGGCTTCGTTAGCCCCAAGACCGCGGACCTGTACACTGGAAAGGCAGAGATTGATGCAGAGTGCAGACACTGGGAAGAGGGTGGTATTGAGAACGTTGAGAGGGCGCGTTTGGCAGAGATGCCATTCTGGAGGCGCCAATGGGAGAAGATTTGGTAGAAAGGTTGCACACGAGATGGCTCTTTTGTCATCCGACTAGATTATATCAAAGCATGTCCTTTGATTCAATTTACTGACATTATTCAAACAACCACTCTGAGCCAAATTGTCTGTGCTATTAATACCAATCGCCTGCGTAGCTACACCACGATAAATCTCACAATGATCCATGCCAACTTTCAGTTCAAAAGCAACGATAATTTTTTAACGTCTTAGGATGATTTTTGCATTCCTCTCTAAACGGATTAATTAATTGGCTTTTGGAGGCCCTTTCCGTGGTTCAATGACCTTTGCACCCGTGCTGTCTTCGATCCGACGGATAATGCAATCCATGGGCATCATGTACGAGACGCGACTACCAGGGTTGCAACCCAACCCGGAGCCCAGTATTTGTGGGTTCTTAACGCGCTCGTTGAGAAACACCCAACATCCAGAGTCGAATGGACTTAGAAACGTATACGGATCCTTAGTCTCGGCATTATTAGTCTTTTCGACTACGATGCTGTGGCACAAAACTGGGATCCCGGGGGTTTTGTCCTTACTGCATTTCCCACGTAGGTTCTTGCTGTTGAGCACTGAGACAGCTGCAGATACCACACCCTGCCTCCAGGTTGACGTTCGGCCATACTGGACGACGTTGTAGTTGGTTCGGGGTTCAAGACTGCAGTACTCAGAGATCAAATTCTCGTAGTTCTCCCCCGATTCCGGTATATCCGTGCAAGGTTGTATATGACGGTCAAATTGGATCAAACCCCAGTCTAGTACCCATGGGTATTGAGTGACCTCTCCTGGGACAAATGACTCTTTCCATCGTCGCACGAATTGCTCATTCATGGATGTTGTAAGCTCGGCCTCATATATCTGACCGACGTTCCGCATCAAAGATGACACGGTGCCGAGCTCCCGACGAAGCTGGACTAAATTATAGGAATTCTCTATAATAATCTCTTGTCTTCGTTCGCCCCATGCCCTGATTTCATCCTCATTGTCAACGAGATATTTGGTGCTCTCTATGCGGCCTTCAAGCTCTTGAACCTTCAAATTATGATCAAAATCGGACGGACTTACAACAGGTAGTAGTCTGGGTCGATCTGTGATGTGCTCCTTGAAACCATCGCTGTTGGTGAATTCTTCTTCCCCGGTAAGGACCTCTTTGGGTAGAACATGCTGATTTGTGAGTGCAAAGTGGCCTAGATCCCGTCCATCTTTCTCTAATTTAACAAAACCACCAACAACGCCTGAATTTGGGTGCCCTGAAATTCCGCATGATGCTCCCATTTGGATGGCACATTCGTAGTCGTCCGTTGGAATCGTTTTATCTCCGGTTAATTTTACATCATCCTCACCGCTATCCAAGTGTTTCATGTATTTCAACTCGATATCGATATGAGGGGGGATGTGGTCGCGGAGAAAAGGGATCGTCTCGATCCACCAAGGCCAGTCATTCGCATCGTCTGCAGAAATGAAAACCGTAGGTCGCTTTTCGGATCCCCGAAGTATGAAGTCTATCGATAGCCAATTGTGCGGGCTGATGGTGTCCACCAGTAAGGGTATATTGAGTTCCCACCACTGCAGTAGATCTGTATCCGTAGATCGTATTGGAAAAGTTGAATCGTCTACAATATATTGCCCGTTAGCGTAAAGCTCCACTGCAAGCTCAATACCTCGTGATTGCAAGAGATTTTTGATGTCCCTTACAGCCTGAACTCTAGATGCTTCATCATCCCGTTGCGCGCCTACGATTATGAAAATCGTAGGTTTCCGATCTGACTCCGGTACACCCATATTTGAGCGGGTGCAAATCATAACTCCTGATGCTGCATCAACCTGATTATTTATTAGAATTGCCCAAATTTCCCTCTGTAGGTCTGGGTAGTCTGACCAATCCAAGTCAGTATGTATAACAGGTAAGGCAGGTAATATAGGCCATCCGGTCCGGTAGGACAAACGTGTATCAATGTCTGAAACCATACTTCCTTTGGTGGTCGTAATTTGAGAAGTGGGTTGATAATTATAAGCTGTCGTGCTGGTCTTCAAAAAGAAAAACTGTGCGAGTAGGGTATGTAGCTACATATCCATTTGTCGTGCCTTTTATTCGAAATAATAAGAATGATCTGGTGTTGTTAATAACATGAATAATGCTTTCGTATGTAATAATTTTCTTGTCCCATAGTTCATTGCGTAGCATAGGCCTAGAAAACAAAGAATGTTAAGTTGAGCATTGTAAATCTGAACGTGATTGTGTATAAAATCTTTTGAATCTATAATCACAGGACAGAACTTGAAGACTACAACGCGTTGACTCGTGGTAGTAGTTCGTACTTAATATAGAATCTATCTCGATCATAGTTGTTACGTCTTAGTTTGTTTCGAAACAAATCAGTCACCGTCGAGCCACAAGTCTAACACCAAGGCCGCATTTACTCTTTTCATAACCAATTACTTAAATAAGACACTTGGGCATTTTTCTCCATCTATTGTAGTGCAACTCTGACGCGATATTCGGAATCATGAGGCCAACAGATTAACAGAACACTGGCGCAATGATGAGTATAATCTACATAGCTTTCACTATCTAATTTTGAGCACACACACCGTGGTCTAGTCCATTACCTAGACATGCAGGTAAGACAGTGAGGGACCACTAAGTGATTGTCGTTCTCCAATCACATTAGCTCGCAACGTCTACTGCGACGTGCGTGTCCTGTGCTTCCGTGCGAGTGAATTGACGCGGCGTACCGCACTAGTCAATTTGAAGTTAGATAGCATAGCCTCAAGAATTAGTATATGACCAGGCCATTTCCCATGTACTTAATGGTCAAAACCCACCCAGCAACGGTCAATCATTGAGACTCCCTGTTGTCTTACTTCGTGGAGAAATATGGATTTGTTTGGTTTGTTTCGGAGCAAGCCAATTGCCCCGGAAAAAGTACCGACAGACACCGTTATCCCTCTCCACCATCTAGATGATACATACATCAATGCGGCGATTTGTCTTGATTTTTCCATGATATTTGATGATGTGCTCGACGACGAAAAATTGATTGGCGCATTCGAGCGACTGCTGGAACGACCTGGATGGCGAAGGTTGGGTGCGAGATTGAGGCGAAACGTGAGCATATCCCACTAATCAATTTCATTGCTGTAACTAAGTAAAACCATTTGTAGAGCAAAGGAAAGCTAGAGTATCATGTCCCGGAAAAATACACTACGGAACGCCCGTGTGTAAATTTCACAAAAGCTACACATGATATGTCTATCTCGCAACATCCTATGGGGGCCAAGATACCTCGCCCCACTGCGAAACCAGAGGTTCTGCACAGAGCAGCGGAGATCCTCCCACTACTGCTCCCTGCACATCGTAATACCAGTATCAATGATTGGATATATACCGACCGCGCACAGCTCAGTGTTCACGTCGTTGCATTCAATGATGCCACGGTTGTCACACTTTCATGGCTCCATACGCTACTCGATGCCATGGGTCGAAACATGCTTTTACGAGCATGGACGGCTATGCTTGAAGGGCGTGACGAAGATGTTCCTGAGTTCTATGGCTACGACTTCGACCCTCTGGCAAATCTCGGAAAACAGGAAATGCGCGAGCATGAGAATTCATCACCTGTGGAAGAGTACGTACTTAAAGACAGGAGACTTAGCTTATGGGGAATGCTTCGTTTCGTATTCAATCTCTTCTGGGAAACAACTTTCTATCCTGTCGAGGATGGGCGAACAGTTATCATTCCCAATACTTTCTTTCGGAAGCTTAGAGCCCAGGCAGTCGAGGATTTGGCGACCGCGCCGACCGACACTCTCATGATGAACTTTTCTGATCCAGCGAATCCCAAGCCATTCCTCTCCGATGGGGATATTCTCTGCGCCTGGTGGCTACGCCTTTTCCTTTCATGCCAGCCTTGGATCGACCCCTCGAGAACAATAGACATATCCAATGTCTTTGGTATGCGGAACCTCCTCACTCAGACGGAACCACAGCTACTTCCCGATGGTGTAGCATTCATTGGGAATTGCGTAACTGCAGTTCACTCATTTTTCACTTTCCAAGAAATCCTTACGCTACCACTCGGCCATATTGCGACGCGCATCCGAAGGGACCTTGTGAAACAGACCACGCGTCCGCAAATCAACGCCTCAATGCAAGCCAATCGGGAAGCTCTCGCGAAAGGCGGTGCAGCGCTGTATGGATCTGGAGACATGATCATGGCCAATTTCTCAAATTGGTCGAAGGGAAAAATGTTTGAAACGAACTTCGAATCGGCAGTCAAGAGTTCTCATGGGAAGGACAAAACAAAAGGAAGGCCCACAGCTCTCATGGTAGAAGCGTTTCTGAAAGGGTTTAGTATTCGGAATTCTGGCGCATGTGTAGGGAAGGATGCGGATGGGAACTATTGGGTTTCGGCGGCTCTACGGCCAGAGGCATGGGATAATGTGAGGAAAGCACTTGAGGGATTAAGTTAGACGAAAAGCGTTGTCTGACTTCCATGGAAGTCGAGTATAATCGCTTAAACAGAGCACAATTGACGGTCTTGCAATGCAACGACTAGAGTACCAGAATATCATCACAATTCAACGCAGCTTCTCATCTCCCAACCCGATTAACAGAGCTATAGACAGCTTTTGGATTTTCTCAAGTGTGTTAAGCATGACGAGCGCGTCTCGGGGATTTCGTTTCCCACATCAGAACCGGAGAGCACGTAGATCTCGATATACAATAGTCCCCTAGAAAGTACGCCTGACAAGGATAGTAATGTATCTGCCCAGGACTTTCCCTCAATGCCTCAGTCTCTTTCTAGACATTTACTCTACTGAGAATATATCACAGCACACTGTGTAACCACAACGTTGTTTCTAGAAGGAGGGAAGTGGTTTTCCGTGCACAGGGATCAAGACAACAGCACTATGTCCTGCTATTTAGCCTGTACTGCGCACAGGTACGAACGTCATGGTCCCACCTCCGCATTTCAAGTGGGGTTGTAGCAAAAGAGCTATTAGGAGCAGATCCGTATTCGCACTGATGTTCATGTGTTAGTCCCAAGTTCATTGCTTAGCTAGCATTAAGCTCGCGCTACGGAAGAATTCGAGTACAATACGTTCGTTCAGTCTTCCTTCATCTGTCGATCATCTACTTACATGGTGTGGTATCGGTACATCATAAACCCGCAAATTGTTGCGCTCGGCGGCCAGGCTCAATGAACGTCATATAAGATGCAGATGAAGAGACAAGGGCTTGCCGGGAGGCAGATTTTACCTTCTTCACTTTCACGAAGGTTCATTCCAAGATGATTTTCCGAGCTTTGCTCGCTCTGGCAACCTTCGTGCCACCGTCCCTTTGCAATTATACAATTTCCCTGACCAGCACGAATGGTATAACCATCTCTGATGGAAACAAGACTGTCGTCAACAATGCAGCAATCCTTTCCGGAACCCAAAATACTACTGTGTCGGCCTTGAAGAACGCAACGCAAGGTCTTACGTACGAATTGATCACTCCTACCGTTGCTAAAGTCCAATTGAACACCACTGCCAACTTCCACGGTGCGCGATTCACAGCGGAACCGGATACACATTTCTTTGGTGTTTGGGAGTACCCGTTCAATTACCAAATAACAAACAAGAACGTTTCCTTTGATCTGAAAGGTGTCGGCAACAATGTCGGAATCAATTGGGTGAATGCGCGTGCTCCGTTCTTTCTCACATCTGCCGGGTATGGCGTGTACACCGATACACTGAAGATGGGGTCTTATGACTTCACAACTCCCGGCGAGGCTCAATTCATATTCAACACGAGTAGTCTGCTGTACTACATCATCCTCCCCAAGGAACAAGGAGATATCAAGAGCATAATCGAGCAGTACACCGAATTATCAAGTAGGAGCGAGATCCCGTCAACTTCAGGTCTAGGCCCAACGTTCTGGTCGGACGACTTTACCCAAGACTTCCATGGCTCCGTTTCAAACGCTGAGGAGAACATCTACGATGTAGTAAATCACCTCTACTATAACCAAATTCGTGCGACATCATCATTCGCGGACCGTCCATACGGCACGGGAAATCGGTCTTGGGGTAACTTCGATTTCGACCCGAAGTTCTATCCCAATGTAGAAGTCTTCCTCAAGAATTTGACAGATTGGGGATTCGACTTCCAGGTCTGGATCGCAAACCGCGCACAGTTGGGCACAGAGTTATACAATAAGAGTCTGGCGGAAGGGTGGCAGTATCCTCTCGATCTGCCTCCGCTTGGCGCCTTGGGCGCGGCATTGGATCTGTCGATCCCAGAAGCGTACCAATATTTCGAAAAGAAGCTTGAATACTTCGCATCAATTGGCGTCAAAGGGTACAAAATTGATCGAGGCGAGGAAGGCGAGATGCCGGACTATGTACAAAACGAACAAATGGCATTGTTCTTACAGCTCGCCTACGACTCCATGGTACAGAAGCACGGAGCGACGAAGTTCCACAACTTCGCACGTAGTGCAGTCGATCGGTCGCGCTCGGTCACGCATATCTGGAATGGAGACAGCCATGCCAATTTCACTGGCTTGGCATACTCGGTCGCATCCGGTATTCGATCCGGACTGATCGCTTTTGGTATCTGGGGCTCGGATACTGGTGGGTATACCCGAGAGGGGACGTTGACGCCGACTGAGGAGGTTTGGGCGAGATGGATGTGGTTCTCTGCTTTCTCTCCCGTCTATGAACTCATGCTTGGAACGAATCATACTCCATGGTACGAGCCGTATACGCAGCAAACCGTCGACGTCTTGAAGCAAACGGCAAATCTCCATGCTGATCTTACACCATACATCAAAAGCTATGCCTACGTGAACAGCAAGACCGGAGTTCCAATCATCCGGGCTCTCTTCCTTGAGGCGCCCGAAGACTCCGCGACATGGGAAGTACCAGACGCATACTTCTTCGGATCCGAATTTATTGTCGCTCCCATAGTCACTTCAGGTGGATCTCGAAGTGTTTACTTCCCTAAAGGTCCATCGAAGAGGTACATCGAGTATTTCAACAAGACGTCTATTCACGCAGCCGGAACGACTGCCAATGTCAGCCTTCCTGTAACTTCGATTCCAGTATATGTCAAAGAGGGCGCTATTATCACGCGAGGAGACATCTTTCAAGGCAATGCAAAGTGGGTGGAGGATTGGCAAGCATTCCTTTTCATTGAGGTGTTCCCAAGTTGGGATGTTCCTGAATCAAGATTCACGTACTACAGTGGAGAGGGCAACGAAGGTAAAGCAGTGGAGATTGTCCTCGCTACGAACAAAGAAGACAGGACAGTAAAGGTTGTGTATGGGGATCTTGGTGTTGAGGCAGCGGTCCTATGGCAGCTAAAATCAGGCCCCAAAGAGGTCAACTTGAATAGGGGCGGTGGTTACACAACACTTACGGATGTGGAGCTCTTGTTCTAGAAATGGAAAGTAGCACGTTCCGTAGTACAAAGTAATTACTTATTGCAATAGTGTAGTAATTTCATAGCGAGAGATTAATCCAATTATCTTCCTAATTTCCCGCAACGCCATGTACGCTAGTTAGCCCCAATACTTGCACGCAAAGCGGTGAAACAGATGTCCCTTCTTCTCGATGACACTCCAAGGAGCACCACACTCCCAACAAAATTCGAATCGACACTTGAGGCAAACCATCCGATCACAACCCTCGCTCTTTTCGATCCACCATCCACAAAGAGCATTGGGACACCTTTTCCCGACCTCTTGGACCGTCGCCTCGCCTTTCCGTTCTTGCTCTCGATTCAGCCTTGCTCTTTGCAAGTTTCTCTGCTCAAGGGCTTTGTCCATGTCGACTTGTTGCATCCAGTTGGCGATGGCAATGGCAGGTGTGGGCGAATTAAGTAGGGCTTCGAACTCAGGACACGACAGGCCTGCATGGTATGGTGGTGAAGGATGATTGATACAGTATACATGAGCACATGCGGTACAGACGAAAGTCGGATGATCCGTCAAAGGAAAAGGTTGTATCTGGCCACTTGAACATTGAGGTGAAAGACACCAAAAGAAGGCATCAATTTTGTAGAGGGCAGATCTAGTGATCAGCTCATCATATCTGCATTTGAGAATATCTGTTGTCAGTCACCGTCAACATAATTCGCACTTGCAGACTGCAACAAAGGCTGGGCATGCTTACCGCTCAAACGTCGCTAGATTGGCGAAAAATCGCACGTCTTCCCAATCCATGTGTTCGTTACATTCTGGGCACACCACATTTTCAGACCCTTTGTCGTCTATGCAGATCTCGATCCATTGTTCGACGCAAGTCCTGCACGCGGTAGGCGCGTGCGTACATCTACGTGTACATTGGCGGACAGAGAATTGATTTAGGGGTTTTGCCTCATTACAAACTCTGCATATAGGCTTGGGTAGCTCGACTGGAACATTGGGGTGATGGTAGAAAGGATCCCAATTGTCCTTGGGCGGCGGTGATGGAACCGAGTAAGAGCTTGGGCTAGGCAGCTGATCGTCGGCCTGTGCCTCAGGTATGCAGATAGTAGGTGGAGTAGGAAGCTCTTTGTTGAGAGTCGGCGGTGGCAGTATACTTTGTGAAGCATTGATCTGCTGCATAGGTGGGCGCATTGGCCGGGGTAGCGCGCTTTGATCGATTGGTCTCCTTGCAAACCCGATTTCATCCTCCCACCGCCTGAGGTTATCTTCCGTTAACTTGCTCTTTCCAAGCTCGGTGCGTCGCCTAGATGATACTCTTGTGTAGTCTTCATCGTTATCGGGAAGTCGAACATGAGGCTTCGGACAGATGCTGAGGAGACCGCAGACGGGGAGACTGCCCCATAGGCTCCCAGATCTAGGTCGCTTTTGGCGCTGGTAAGGGTGTATATCCAGATCTGCTACTGAATTTCGCCGGATGGCAAAGTTGTTAGGAAGTGGCTGGCGTTGGAAGATCGGTTGGGCAAGAGCGAGAGTATTGTGAGAAGGGGTCCGGGGCAAGCCTATATCGTCCCGGACAACCTTCTTAGCAGTTTCGGCATATGGCCGTTGAGTACTTGTCACTGACGGCGCTGTTCTGGTGTATGTAGCCGCAGAACTTGCAAATACGGGAGCTGCAGGAGTAACCACGGATGCGCTAGGCTTGTCCATGGAAGAGGGTCTGTCTCCATTGGGAGATGTGATTGAGCTTGATAGAGGTCGTGAAAAATTCACGAATGCAGACCCGCTATCCCGTTTTCCGGACCTTGAAGGTGGCAATCGAGCACTATGCAAATCACGGTCCGTAGAAGGCCTGCTAGCTTCATGCGTCGTTAATGCCAGCGGGGCAGGTTGTTTGACAGGAGAAGGGTTTCGCACGATTCCAGTGGTGTCGATGTCAACCAGGCTGACTGAGTGCCGATGCGCTGCGAATGAAACTGGCTTTGCGAATTCGATACTCGCATTCCTATGATGATCGTGAGGATCGTTAACGAGTAATGGGCCTTCATCGCTTGCTTTAGTGAGCAAAGGTCGCTCCTCACTCCGCGATCTTGTTCTAACAAGCTGGGCAGGTCCTGGATCTCTTCCTCTGTCTCCAAGGGGTGACCATTCTTGGACCTTCTTCTTGCCATCCGCGATTAGTCCCAGAACGATCTGTGCTTTCCTGGAGTCTCTCTTCACAGATCTCGATTCCGTCTCATGGAAATGGAAGTTCCGTGTCAATAAGTCATCATCCTCGTCATCGTCGTAGTCATCTGAAGACCATCGATCCGCTTCCGAATGGTCGCTGTATTGGCTCGCATGTGTCTCACTTAGCAACAGACTGATCCTCTGGGTAAGAACGTCCATCGCCAGAAGCCACGGCTCCACTCTTCTGCCCAAGAAGCTGATAGAGTAGAAGAAGCTCAGGAGCAATGGTAAAGTAAGTAGGATCAAGAAAGGTGGGGTAGGGCAAGGTGCAATGGGAATCCCAGGTCTGAGCCGCGCCGGTCATGCGTTGTTACATGTTGACTGGATACGAGGAAGGAAGGTTGCGGCAAGGAAGCGCAGCCAACGGGACACCCGATGATTTTGTTTCACAATCTGCAGGATTTTGTCTTACAACATGCGCCTCCGATAATTTGTTATCGGCTCGAGCAATAGCTGCTTACTTTGTGTCACGTACAAGAGTGCCAATCGGTACACATTACCCCGCAGCTGAATACGACTGCAAATAGATCTTCTTGATAATTTATGTTTTGCATAAATGCGTAACACGAACATGCAGCTATGCAAACATATCATTTACTTACCCGCACACAAGACGGCCCTTCTAAAAGACGGCTGGCGAGTAGCGCGTCCCCGGTATCGAAGCAAATTTCTCTTTTGCCGGACGTTGTCAACCAGGATAATGGCAACGGCAACGACTTACCTCGCTTATATTGCAGCACCACAGCACCAATCACGTCACCTAGAGAGTGTCCGAATCAATCAGATAAAGAGGTTTATAGACTTACGCCCTTAATTACATACCGTGTCCTGGACGCCATACTTCTCCGTTTGTGAAGGGACACCAGATTCGCAATTGATCCAGACCGTCAGAGAACCCAAAACACCCTTCACAATGATCCCACCCTTCGCTGTCCCATGCAAGAAAATCTTTTGATGTACATGACGAGATAAACAAATCTCAAAGAAGTGATAACCGGGGTGGCAGCCCGGATTTAGGAAAAGGAAAAAGCGATAATGCTACGTACTTACCATATTGTGTTCAGTTCGTTCTCAGCCAAGACACATTATGCCTTCAGATGAAAATGTCAAGCTCGTGCCTTCGCAACTCGGGGTCGTCAAACTGCGGGTAAGCGGGTATCATTGCATCAGCAGACTGGACATAGGCATCGTTGTAGATGCGCCAGTAAGGGACGCGAACTTTGCGGGCGGGATGGAAAAGACCGGCCCACACGTAGTTCATGACCAGAGGAGTACCAACTGCGTTTCGAACAGCATCAATAGCTTCGATAATGCGATCGATAACATGCGGGCTGGTCTCGAATAAATTAGGCCAGAGGAGGTTGAGTAAATGAACCATCGCGTCTTCGCAGTCAAGACCAACGCAGCCGAGGGCAACATGTTTGACGACCGAGGCTGCAGTCTGACGATGGACTTGGTCGCGGTCGATGAGAGCATCTTCCAGAAGTGGTGTAATGGCATAGACATAATCTCTAGCCATTTCTCCAATGTACTCGAACATGAAAGACAATGCCTTGAGCACACCGTTCTGGACATTGAGCTCCGGAACACGATATTCGTTCATCAAAGCGGGCAAGACGGTAAACGGCGCGCAGGTCTCGGCAACAATACCAATGGCAACAGCAGTACAGACCCGAGACTGACGCTCTTGAACACGCAAATTATTAAGAAGCGTGGCAAGAACATCTTGGGGGCCGATTGCTTTTGCGATGTAGCCAAAGGTGTTATTGGCAGCACGTCGAATACCCTTTTTGTGGGCCTTGAGCATCTCAAGCAATTCGAAGCAGATTCGCATCCACTCACGTGGGGGCACGAAATCGGCACCTCGATCTGCAATTCGACCGACGAGATCAATCGTGTTCTCTTGAACCTTCTCATGTCGATTGCGGAGAATTGGTGTAAGACGAGGGAGCAGATCTTTGATAGGCGGTTGCATAGCATGAAGACCGACGACAGTGATAATGGAACGTAGAGCTCCTAGGATTGAGCCAAGAACTTCGGGGTATTCCTCACCAAGGTATTCGTAAAGTGCTTGAGCAAGCTTGATCAACTGAGGATCTTCGTCGCACTTGTTCATGGTAATTGTGATGCGCGAGATGAGATCAGCAGCTTGTTGACGAACTGTAGCCGACTTGTTGTTCAATCGGAAGAGAACGACTTGAACGATCTGTGGCAAGTAGGTCTTTGCACGCTCGCCGAGTGCGTTGATCACGGTGGCAAATCCATCAATGACCACAGGATCCTCGATAGTCTGGTCCTGGAAGGCTACGAGGACACCATCGATCAACTGTTCTTCAAGACGGGGGTCAACATCGTGCGCACCAAGTGTGCTAATGACTTTGTCGACAGTCTCTACAGTCATCTTTCGGTATGCTTCGCTCTCGTCTTTCATATTGTTAACAATGCGGCCGATAATGTCAGCGACACCTGACTTCTGGGCCAAGTCGACAGTGGTGTCAACAACTTGTCGATAGTTTCGCTTATCCAGTGCCATGCGGCGGACCCAGAAGTGCTTGAAGAACTCATTGAGAACATGGTCCTTCAGGTAGACAGGTGTGACACCTGCAGTTCCAGAACATTGTGAGACCACTTTCAACACAACCTTCTTCATTTCCTCATCGGGTGACTGAAACTCTCGGATAACAACGTCCATGACTTGCGAAGTATAATAGCTTGAATACTCTTCGTCCATAAGTGGGATAATAAATCCGATAGCCTTGAGGTAAGAGGCGAGGATTTTTCCGCGCTGGCGACGCGCATTCGTCCAAAGAGGGTTAAGAATTTCGTCAAAGGATTCAATACCGTAGGGGCTTGCTGCCTCTGCAAGAGCTGCCAGAGCCAAGGCAGTGACCATGCGCACCTTTGGCTGTTCATCGTTCAGACTCTCACCAACACATTCAACAAGGCCCTTCAAGTGCGGCAAGATTGCACAGCCCATGAGGATAGGAATTTGCTGCACAATCTTAACACCGGTGTGACGAGCATGCCAGGACTTCTTGCTCCTGCAAACAGCTCGGAGGAAGGGAAGAAGGGCCGGAATGCCGAGTGCGGAGGCAACAACTGCAAAGGCTCGAGCAGTAGTGTTACGCACGTATTCGTCGGCGTGGTCAAGGTCTGGACGCATGGTACTGATCATATGGGCGAGACCAGCAGCTTTACTAAGGTTAGAGATAATTTCGCGACCCTCGACACGTGCATAGTAGTCCTGGTCAATGAGAAGAGGTTCAATGACAACGAGAATCCTATGCACCCAAGGCCTCACTAGGTCGTCAAGCTTGTAGAGAACACGATCGATGACCTTGACAAGAAGATGGCGTTCCTGATCCTCCAAAGTGCGTTCCATCAATAGCGGAAGGATTTGGCTAAACAGTGCTTGCGCACCGAACTGTCTCGCATTATCGGTGAGCTGTCGTAGGGCAGTCTTTCGCATGGGAGGCGTTCCATTCTTGACCTTTAGGAGCAACCTCATGATCTTGCGCTCCTTCAACTGCTCGACGGATAGGTCGTTTTCGTCGACGTTGTCTACCAACTTGCCGAAATATTTCATATCCTCATTTTTGAAGAAAGCCAGGTCGCCGACACCAGGAATTTCAGTGGGCATTTGTTTTCCCAAGAGTTCACTGTTGCCACCGGATTCAGGAATCATGTAGCCCTGATAGCCTGCGGGAAGCTGGGGAATACCTATCGGCTTACGAACAGGTGTGTATCCCTCTGGAGGCTCAAGAATCTTGTATCCCTCTGATGGAAGCATCAGATCAAGTTGTTCATCCGAAAGTGGTGCGTTGCGAGCAGATATATCGGTGCCGAATCCGAATGGCACAGAGGGATGAGCAACATCACCAGCGGCGGGTGCCGCAGAGGTAGTACCGGCAGGAGGGGCCGTTGCAGTGTCCCAACGAGAGCGAACGGGAGCTTGAGCAGGAACATCGGCTGGCGCATCAGTCATAGGAGTATCAGGCGCAGGTGTGGTCTCCCATCGAGAACTCTTGGGCTTCTTCGATTCGGGCTCCTTCACTTCAGGCTCAGGCTCGGGCTCGGCATCTGGAAGTGCTTCGACCTCCTCTTCCTTTGCTGGCTCCTCTATTTCTACAGCTGCTCCCCAACGTCGCTTGCGCTTGGACTTCTTCTCCATGGGTGGAGTCTTATCGCCATCTACGGTGGGAGCAGCTGCGGCGCCGTCCTTCAGAGTAGGGACGTGGTCAAGTACTTCGTTTCCGTTCTGACCGTTGCGCTCGCGATCTTCGATGATTTTGCGCACACGTTGCTCTTCACGTTCGATCTCGCGCGCTTTCATCCTCTCCTGGTATGACTGGTCCTCGCCGTCGAGATTGCGATCGAAGCGTCGGCGCTGGTATTCAGTCTCGCGGGATGCGATCTGCGCCTGCTCCTCGCGGGAGGTAAGAATATCCGCCTCTTCGGTGGCGCCATGCGCAAACTCGTTCATCATCTCCTTGGTCGCGGTGTATTGGCCTACAAGGCGACGGCCGTTCACTTCAGCAGCGTCATCCATGTCATCGTCATCCTGGACCGCGATCGACGTGTTGTATCCCGCGTATTTATCGTTTCCATTGCTGTAGAGCTCGGTATCCAACGCTTGGGTCAAAGACTGCTTGGTAGAAGGGCGTTGATCGCCGGTGGAAGACTTGTTGCCCGCCCTGCGCTTCGCGGAGGTGCCGGCTGGGTGAAGTTAAGTATCGCTATACTTCTCAAAGTGATAAAGGTGAAAGGTGAAAGAAAGGTGAAGCTTACCGTCAGACATGATGGATTGATACTATGCCTTTGCTGCACTTCGTGGCGCGGGTTGAAGCAGTCTTGCGATACGATCTGCAGGCGTGGCAAGTGTTGTTTTGGAGGTCGTCGAGATGATCGCAGGAGGTGTTTAGAAAGTTTGGAGATGCTCCAGAGCTTGGCGGCGAAAGTAGGTGCACGGACGATAACTGCGTCGGTCTATTATAAATCCATCCGACCACAGATGGTCTATTCCGTACCATTCCTAAAGCGGTTCTTGCGTTGCCTTCACTTGAAACTCCATCGACGAAGTCATATAATAATGCATCAAGATTGATTTCCCATCCTCCGAGGATCAGTGTACATTACCTGAGAAAACTAATCAATATTTTGATCCTGTTGAATTCAAGGTAGCGAATTGTGCTTAGTGGATGCGATCAATTATGTTATTAGTTCCAAGTTGATACTGACAGGTGTAAGTATACCTCTCAATTATCAAATTCATTCATGTGCTGACATTCTGCCTTCATCAGATAGCTCCAGTAGCTATGGGGGACTTTGATGTACCAGGACCGTTTCCAAACGCCCAAAAGGTCAACTACAACGTGATGGCAACAGCAATGCCTCGTTCAGAGTCTATAATCAGCTCACCTAACCAACTCATCTAGTGCAGCTGAAGCATTTTCAGACTTCATACAAAATAAATAGAGATATTACAAGTTCCCCTAAGTTGAGTATTGAGTAAAAGTAGCTCTCTATATAGCTGCAGCACTTTTGGTTTCCACAAAGCTAAGGGGATTTTACGAATGCTAGCGATCAGAACAATAATGGATCAGGTACTTGATGACACAAAAGACGAAAGAGTAATGAAACGTAGCAAGCCCAGATTATCTCCAAACATCACTACGTCGGTATCTGAGTACTACATAAGGCACAGAAGCACAGGATTGATAGATAGCGTACTCACAGGATACAAAGATGAAGACTGGTCGGCTACCAGAAGGCTCTCAGCGAGAAATACTTTGAAATAAGCTCAAAGCGCAAGGATGTTCGTAATGCAACGGGAGCCCGCCCAGGAGCAATGAATACCCTGCATAAGATCCGTCTGAAGCACCTTCTATGAATTCCCTGGATAGGCTTAGCGTCTTGAACATATGAACAACATCGAATTACATGAATCCACAATCAGGGCTCGAACAGAGTTCTGATGATTTGATCGCTGTGATAGTGTATCTGTAGTTATCCTTTGCATACCTTTTACGTAAAGGCCAGGCAGACAGCTGGAGTTGCGGTGGACTACGTGCTACAACAATGGGAAGTTCGCCCAAAGGGGATCAGAAGAGAAATCAGGAGCCCGACCCTTCCTGTCGATGTAACATCCGTACCGTATTTTTCACATGACTATAATTAATGTTGTTCCTTCATTGGCGCTGCAAGTTAACTAATTCAAAGGCAATTTGACAGAAGCATTCCTAGCTACACTAATCTAGGAACTCGCTTACTGTTGAGGAATGATGATGCGAGATCGCTATAAACGGACCGCTTCTACTCGTAATATCACACACAACATTATATGTCAAACCCTAGTCATACCGTCCATCTGGTCTAGTTTCGGAAGTTCAGCTTGTTATAGAAAGTTGGATAGAAACATAGCTTTGAACCAATGTATGTTTTCTCAGCCATTGTTCTGCTTTAGAGTGTTCAACATCGCAACATCCAGCGCCCTATTTCCGCTATAGTCATATCATAAAAGTCAGATTCAAGTGACTGCTAGCATTTCATTACATTTTAGCTCAATTTCCAAAAGGATAGTCCACTGCGAGGGCAAAGCGTGGAAGCTGCTCTCGCCAGTCCACTAGTCCGTGAAGCCGGTAAATACTGACCTTCCAGACAGAGTTACATGAAATGCAGAGGAAGAAAATCTCAGCCCCATTCGCAATCATCTCACACCGTACATTATCCGGCTTGAAGGGATAATAATGTGATGATGGATGCGAGATCAAAGTGTATATAAAGCAGTAGCTTGTCCCTCTTTTCAAGTCATTGTATTCCAAAGATTCTCTGAACAAGTCCTCCTTCAGTTTACAGTATAACCACACCATACGCCAATCTTCGACCCACCGCTCATTTATCAAAATGAAGACCTTCATCATTGCTCCAATCCTGGCCATGCTCGCCACCAGCGTCATCGCCGACAACTGCAAGCAGGTACGAGACAAGTGCTTTCCTGCTATCAATGTAGAGCAAGAACCGAAGTGGCTAACTCGAGGTAGGGATTGAAGTACTGTGGTTCTTCGCTCCTGAAGAAGGGTAAGTTTGTACCGTCAAAACTACCTATGGGGCGTTGGCATGCAACTGACTGTACCTTTGTGGTATTGCAGGAGACTACAGGGAACAGATTGATCAGGCCTTAGCTGTCGCTGGTCACGCGTCTTGGGATGGCACCAATGTATTGTTTGATTGCCTCGGCGGTCCCAGCGGTGCTATTAAGTTTATCAAGGGCTGCGAAGGTGGCTGCAAGGATAACGGCAAAAACAAGAACGACGCTTGCAAGTGATTCTAAGGCACGGTATAGTCCTAGATGGTGGTGTGGGACGTAAGCAACTTCAGGGCAGCATAATGTAGCGTAGCAGGATAGATGAAGCTGTTCGGGGATAACTTGTATGGGGAAAAGCACTGGGCAGAACATAGATAGTTCGATTAGGGCTGCCGAGAGAGATAGAGGCATTATCCACCTACCGACAGAGGTCCATCGACAGAGGCAAATATCTATTTATCCTACCTATCCACCGATTGCAGGCCGTGCCTGTGATGTTCCCCACTATAGAGGCGTCTATACGCGACAATGTGCATATGTACTGTTGAAATACAGAATCTATCTCATGCATTGCAGGCTCTGAACGCCCAGGTTTCTGTCCATTCACTGGCATCACTTGAATTGACCTGTGATCTCCTATAAACCAGAACTGACTACAGGCATAAACATCTCAATGCATTCATTTCTAACCTACTCGAAACTTCTTGGGTGACGATACAACATCTAATCTTGTTTACCAGGCACTATAGCTAGCGAGTAGCAGGAGCACCATGACGTGGAGGCAGGTTTCCTCTAAGATGCTTTAATGATAGACTTTTGCTGGAGTACGCGAAGGCTACAAAACGCCCTTCTCTTCTCTGCTGAATCATAGATAGACCATTGCATAGACATTGCACCCGTGCTCCAATGGAAACATTAGCTTTGCTCCTGTGCAAGCTTCACCGGCCTGTGTATGAATAGAAAGCTGCGGTTTTGAAGTAGATCATGTATCAATCATTCTTGCTTCCCATCACACGGTTCATACCCTCTGGTTTCTGGCAGTGAATTCCGAATAAGTTGAATGGCCGATAACCCACTTGTTTGGGGGGACGTCAATGGAAGCGCCTTATTCGATCATACCGAGATCCGCTTCACAGGCTTTTCGCACTTGTAACAGTCAGAGAACAGAAGTCGCATGACAGTTCTGAAATGCAGCCCGAGATCGTAACTCTCACGGTTTGGATATGGCCGACTTAAATCCAAGGAGAGTCCGCACTCGCGGCAGTGTCTTGTTATGAAGTCGACCACTACCGCCGGATCATTGTTCTCTTGTCTTTGCCGTATCATCTGCATGAACAGCTGCGCCCCATTTATAAAGGTTCTGAACGTAGGCGCTTCGCACCCCGGAAAAGAGCTCCTTCGTGCGCCTGTCGACTTATTGTGACACCAAGGTCCGATGAGTAGCTGCCAGAGTCCTGTACAGTGGAAAAGGTAATGAAATACCAATTGTTGGTTCACTTGGAGGATTTTAAGTTGAATTTTACGGATCAATAATCGACCAGGCCCAATCGAAAGTAGGATATCTCCCATCTGGTCAGCATCCTCGAAAACGAATGTTGCATGCTTGTAGAGAGAAGGCAGAGCCTCGAACTACGTAGCTCTGGAAGCCATCAATAGTCCAATCGATGACGACTGGGGCAGGCGCATCAACTCCGTGCCATTGGGTTGGCCGCGGAGACCTTTGAATTTGACATGATGGGTGCATTCAAAGACGTATTCATATATCATCTCACGAAGTTCGAGCGGAAGGTTGAAGAGTGAGGGTGCGGCGGCTTTAGCTTGTGACTGGAGAATTTGGGGATACTGACAGTCGCTATATGAGACTTTATTCTGATAGAAGACATGATCACTTACCCTTCTCTTCGTTTGATACCAGCGGTATTCGTCTCTCGCGACTATGTTCTCATATTCTATCATGTTGATTGGCGGCACCCTGAAAACCAATGGCCGAGAACAAATTTGAGCACACGAGGAGCATTCTTTATGTCGACAACCTATTCCTGTCATCTTTCCTTCGTCTGTTTAGACAATTTGATCAATCAAAATTCGAGATGTAGCGTGTCATACACTGGTACGAGCCCGACAAGAGAGGTATGGATGAAGAAACGAAGGATACGTGGTATGAATGGACAGTGGGTAACTCAAATATTGAGATTGAATGTGGAATGAAAGAAATATCACGAATACATTGATGACGCGTAGCTTTGTTTGTGGAGTAAGAAGGTGTCATGTTAACTGACTTATTCGCTGTTTCTTGGTTCGAAGCTATGGTAGTTGCAATGGCTCCAATTAACAGAACAAAAACAGATCAACAGCGCCACCATATCTGAATCCCCTTATATCTATCCCGGTGCTTATCCAAGGTCTAGAATAACTGTATAAAATTCAAAGCAGTCAATTTCAAATCTCCAGAATCCAAAGAGGACGATGTTGAGGACGAAGGGAGACCGATGTCCAATGATAACCGAGACCCAGCCGGCCAATCTCCACACCATCTCCGAACATCAAGCTCCATACTCAATTCACGTCCACCACAACGCGCATTCAACAGCCGCACAGCACACCCTCAAAACCACCACTCGACGCGTCAAATCCCACCTCCAAAACCCTCACATCCTCTCCAATGGCCGATCCATCGCCAAACCCCCCTCCCACGGCGGAGCCCACCCTCAACGGCGAGCCCACCCCAACAACCACAGCACCAGACCTCTCATCCGCACCACCAACCCTCCCCGCCGCAGACATCGAAATGAAAGACTCACCCGAAGTCCAGCAACCCCCAACACCCCACAACCAAACGCCGCAACCTCCCTCCCAGGCGGCGCTCACCCCGCAACCTGCGCCCGTCCAGACCTCAACATCTGCGCGGAACTCTCCCCATCCTAGTTCTGGTCCGCAGGCTCCTCCCACGCATGCGATTCCCCATGGCAGTCCTACGAGGGTTTATCTGAACCAGAATGTCACGCCGCATTTGTTGGAGGCTATGAAGCATTTGATTACGATTGAGTAAGTTTGGATTCGACACGAAATGCGCAAATGTGAAGAGGAAGATTGCTGATTCGTGTGTTTCAGGCCTGAGAAGCCGTTGAAGTGGCTCAGCGAATTTCTCGCGCAGAAGAGTTTGGAGATTGAAGGGCCGTGAGAGGATTGAACGATATAGCATGCATGAGAATATTTCAGAAGTACTACTGGAGCCAGCGGAACGTTGGTTCTAGACTGGTAGGTCGGAGCACAGAGAGAAGCTTTGCTGGGAGTGGATGAAGCAGTATCAAAGTGGACGCACGGCGGAAGGGCAGCGTCTATACATGGGCGCGTACGAGGTCACTGCAAAAGAGATACCCAATGATTGTAGGGAAACGATAAAAGTCACATTTCTTCACGATACAAATAAACACGAGCATTGAAAAGTCAGGGTATGGTGCTTTTATTCATTCCAGCCATGGGCATCCGTTAAGATATAAGTGGCGCTAAAAGCAGGCCAACATCCGTAACCGTGAACTCCATCCAAGCGGTCATCCTCCATCCACTCGAATATCCACAACCTAGTTCGCTGTTTATGCGACGAGGGTGGAGGCGGTGGCGCTCTCGTACCTCCAGGTGGGGGGGAGGACACCGACGGTCTTGTAGTAACGGGAGAGACGGTGGATACGGGACTCAATCAAAATGAGGCGGCTACAAATCGTTAGTTGGTTTCCTTCCGGGTTTTCATAGGATTGACGTACAACTTGGAGTCCTTGTCCTTGCGGTTGGTCGACAAATGCTTGCGGACGGCGACGGCCTTCTTGCTGTGATGGTTGTTAGTGAAGGTCTAGAGATATTCTCAATCTTATACGTACATAAGCATGTAGAGGTCCTCAGGGAGCTGGGGAGCGAGGCCTAAATAGTGCTCTCTGTCAGCTTTGAACTAACAAGAGGCAAGTTTATATAGCGCGACAGATGTCCAATTCAATGGCAGAGCTGCTGACGACTTGCGCTTCAAATGGGGTAAATTATCGTACCGTGGCTCTTCAAGATCTGTGGGCGTTCGTTAGCGAAAATGTCCCATTTCATCCCAATTTTTCAATGTTAACTTACGCGGAGGATCTTGTTACCGGTGACGACCTTGACCTGGGCAACACCGTGGCTGTCACGGAGGACAACACCGATCTGGGAGGGAGTAGCACCCTTCTTGGCCAACTTGCAGATGTGCTCAACAACGGCCTCGGGGGTGGTCTTGAGCCACGACGCGGGCTGGCGAGAGAAAGGGATGGCAGAGGACGATATGCCCTTTCCGTTGGAGTGAAGACGACTGTGGCATTTCGATTAGCATTGATAGAACGGCGCATTCGAAGGGTAATACATACCCCATGGCGAATAAATTTGCTGGAGGTTAGTTGATGAGGACGTGGATAGAGAAGTCTTGAAGTTCTCGGGTGCGATGGAATTCTGAGTGGTTTGTGGGCGAAAACGCACAGACCAGTCTTGGCGGATATCCTGGCCATAAATTTTCGAAATCGAGACGTGACCTCATCTCTTCATCAACAGCAACTTCAAAAGGTACGTTTAACGCTCCCCTCTGTTTTATTTGTTTTATCGTTTGCAATGATGAATTTTTCCAATACATACAATATTTCTGGTACCTCTTATGTCAGCCTCTGCTTGCAGGGGCAATGATCTAAACGGACATCTGACACAACTTCTTCGCATATTCTTTGTTATTCATTGACTTTCGCGATGCATTGCTGACCTGTCAGTAGATTTTAGAGTTTCTCGCTGTCTTTCACGGCCTCGAGGCATACCATTCGCTGGAAGGGCGTCGTCGGAGAACGGGGTTTGGAGAAGATGAATTGAGATCGCTTCATTGACTTGGACGGGTTCTGAAGTCGACATGGGACTGTCGCATGCTCGAAGTGTCGCATGTCTTGCCAGCGCTGGCTGATATGTGATGAAATCTCTTCAGCAATTCGGACCCGACCTCGTCTTGTCGCCTGCCTTCCCTCACTCTTTCTATCTCCCGTTAGAATTTTAGCATATGATACCCCATTTTGCCATACGCCTCTTTACGTAGCTGATAGATTCAATGTCATATTATCTTACGAGTACACCAAAGTCTTCTTGTACACATCTTGCCATCAATCTGTCCAGCGAGTTGTTCCCTCTTGTGAAATGGTGCACTTGAGCTCTACGACTTCATCCACTTTAACATTCTTCAGCTGTGGTGATATCACTTTTATCATCATAGCATTGCTTCGTTCTATCACCATTATCAAATTCTGTCTCCCAGCTCATGATTTTCGCCAGATCGTTAATGTGTGGTAAATACGTTCCTGGGGCGTGCTTCCCTTACCCATAGCAACTTTACCGTGATTTCTTCTACACCGCGACTGCACGAAGACATCAGACCTTCAAGGGACCACAGCATACAAGCATGATCTCTCGCAATCAGGCTTTCAAGACTCTGCAATGAGATACCTCCACTCTTCTGCCTCCTGATGCTCGAAGCCCTCTGTCAGCCGTGCAAGATATTGCGATGCCCTACGCGATGGCGTGTAAAGGGGCCCATGAGGAACTTGATGAAGGGAATCTGTATTTGAGGGCAACCGTGCGCTACTTTGTACATGTACAGTCCAAGTCCAAAAAGTTAAATCAGCGGCAAGGCTATTCGCAGGACGACCGGGAGAAGAGCATATGTATCGTTGGCTGTCAAGCCGTTAGGCAACGCCTGTACGCATCCACATCCACGACCTTGATCTGTGGATGAAATGAGGCCCCCAAACTATCTCTTTCTACAAATTAAAAGAATAGGTGGATGATTCCAACGTTGTCGGGCCACGTCAACGCATCATGAAGGTTTCGTGCCCATGTACTTGGACGGATGAGGTGACGATGTTTACGATACAACGTCGAGATACTTGGATTGAGGTGGAATGATCTGGTTTGATATGCGAGTTCAGGTGTTCGAACGTACTACTCCGTACGTTTGTTGTGTTTACGATACTGTGGGTATGGTGTGTACTGTCACATGGCGATGATGATGACGCTACCTGGTATGGGGCTCGCCCTTTGTATGGGGTAGGTAATATACAATCGCCGCATACGTACTGACCTAACCTTTCAGAACAGAGAGCTGGACAGCAGGCGCAATTGTCATCAACAATAATAGCGAAAAAGGACATGCCTAGGTAATTAAGGCGATTAGGGGTCTCAAGCTCGTGCGAACAGCATTAGGATCGACGTATGGGCCGGAGAAAGCGATGTGTGTGACAAGAACAGTGTAGGCTTGTGAGAGGGAAAACTGGGCCGAGGTACGGAGAATCGAAAGAGGAAGAATTGGGCTGGAGTTGCCATTTCCAATCCATCATTAGTCCAGATCCATCCCATCTGTCCAATCACAGGCCACGATAAAGACAACGGGAACGGATCCGACCGAGGAAGAAAGAAAGGAAGGAACGATGGCGAAAGATTCATCATACACAGCATCCATCCCATTCCACCTACAGGCAGGTGACTGCCATCTTCTGCCTCGTGTAATAGACAAAACTTCTCTTTATCATTAATTCACAGATCTCAACTTCACCTTTTTTTCTTCTTCTTCTTCTTCTTCTAATCTGGACTACTGCAGCCAAACGTGTCTGTTCGCACTTCTTTGTTGGATCGTTTGAGGCACAATAAATCCGAGATTCGGTCAACCCCGCAAACTCGCTTGTCGCTACTCGTACAAGTGCAGCCAACCAGCCAACTTAATTTGCCCTTGAGGGAATCCCCCAGCCGAGCCTCCCCCCAGCGCAGCGCCAGTCCCAGCAACGCCAGTGCCAGTGCCAGTCATAGGCCGTGGCCATATCTACCATCCAAGCCCTTGACCTGTCCGGCCTACCTTTTCCTCTGCCCTTCCCTTGACGTCGACACCCATCCCAACTGCTGTTCCACTTCACATCCATCATCGCAAGTTCGCGTCGCATACACAGTACCAACTAGAACTACACGAAAACCCCTTTAAATCGCCTTGCGCAGGCGCGGTTAGCCATTACCATGGCCTCCGGATCACCACCAAAGCCCTGGGAGACCAGTGGAGGCCAAACCAGTGCCTCGGTTGGTATGTATTCTCATTTCCCGGCATCGCCCAAACTTCCAACCCCGACCCATCGCCGCGACCCTCCAGACTGACATTGATACAGGCCTCACTGGTTCATCTAGCGCTGCTGCGGTACCCACAGCATCGGGAGCGGCACCGCCTCCGTTACCTGAACTGCCAAACGCCCTCAACTCCGTGGCAAACCGCAATGCCACCAACTACTCCACAATGAACGCAAATCGATACGGTTCGCCCTACAGCAGTGGCTATGGAGGCTACAACTCATATTCATCCCCCTACTCGCGGTTAGGTGGCGGCGCCTACGGATCGATGTACGGCGGAGGTTTGGGCGGCATGTACGGAGGCATGGGAGGTATGGGAGGCATGGGGATGGGGATGGGAATGGGTGGCATGTACGGGGGAATGGGCATGCCCGGCGATCCCAACAACCAAAGCCTTACACAGTCCTTCGGCCAGAGCACACAGGCGACCTTCCAGCTGATTGAAGGCATCGTTGGCGCATTTGGTGGATTCGCGCAGATGCTAGAGAGCACATACATGGCGACACACTCGTCCTTCTTTGGTAAGCACCCAATAATCGTGACGTATTGATTCCAGACGTGCTAACGGTAGGCAGCGATGGTATCTGTGGCCGAGCAGTTCGGAAACCTACGACAGACTCTCGGTTCAGTCCTCGGCATCTTCACAATTATGCGATGGATACGGACCGCCATTGCAAAACTCACAGGACGACCCCTACCCGCGTCTTCGGGTGAGCTCACACCAGCAAACTTCGCGGCTTTCTCCGGGCGCAACCCGGACGGCAGCCCCAACCCAAGACCGTCGCGAAAGCCATTCATCATGTTCATGTTGGCTGTCTTCGGTCTCCCCTACTTGATGGGCAAACTCATCAAGGCCCTCGCAAGGACACACGAGGAGGAAGAGAAGAAGAGGATGTTGGAGAACCCACAGGCATACGGCGAACAGCTCGACCCGAACAAGCTCGAGTTTTGCCGATTGCTATACGATTTCACCCCTGATACAAACATGAACTCTGTACAGGGTCTTGACCTTGCAGTCAAGAAGGGCGACATGGTTGCTGTTCTCAGCAAGACAGACCCAATGGGCAACGCATCAGAGTGGTGGCGATGCCGCGCACGAGATGGCAGGATGGGCTATCTCCCAGGTGTCTATCTGGAAGTAATCCAGCGACGACAACCTGCCGCTATCACTAGCGGCAGCCAGGCCGGCAGCCCTGCCGGCAGCAGAACCCAAACCATGACAAACACCAGTTTGGCCAACAGCCAAGCGGCAACACTTGTAAACGCAAAGCAGCCCGAGAAGGCCCCCGAGGTGAAGGGCAAGGCGGGTGACATGGGAGTCGAGAGCTTTCAGAAGGGCGCGTTCTACTCATGAGTTTTCATAACCATCTTTACATCATCCACGGCGTACCTTTTTCTTTCTTGTGATATACTTGGGGGCTTTTCATTCACTGTCATCATTTTCGATGGGCTATTTTCTATGTAGGATTCTGGACAAAAGCTTCGCTATGGCGTGCGCATTTGCGACGGGTGCTCGGCGGACAACGCACCTTTGGTACATAACCAATCAATCGATGAGAATTGACATACCAACGACATGCTCTTTGATACTGTTTGTACATGTATGAGTGAAATATGAGATTCTTTACCTTAACAGACCGTAATCATAATCACGTGTGAATACTTTTTGGGAAATAAATCCATGGGTCGACAGTCTTGGAATTGACTGACGTTCGCTGGCCTATGTTCCTCTAAGCTCGGGAGCTCCATCGCCTACCAAGCAAGGAACCTCCAGTGTACGACCACTGCATCCTATTTTAAGATTATACTTTTCGCAGGGCCATATTGGACTACATATTTCGACATCCTCCTGTTCTATCCTTTCTAGCGGATTGCGATTGTAATCTCGTTTGTTTGTGCCTACTTGATTGAGTGTTCCCCGCTATCGACGTGGTTCGCCGTCTGTTCGCCAGGCTTGCACCTCCACACCACCTACCTATCTCTACGTCTGCCTTAAATCAAGCCCAAAGAGCGAGCCAGCGACTGCCAATTCTACCCACGAGTTCAAGATACCTCTCCGCTTCTATACCCACCTGGCGACTATCACGGAACATAAACCCTCGAGGCAGGAAAGCTCGAAGGAAAGGCAGCAAAGATGTTTGCGACGAAGCGGTTACAAAAGGTATGTTGGAAGCTATACCCTGCCCTGTAGATTCGTTTTTAAGTCTTGTAGAGCTTACAGACTGACTCTGTGATCCCTAGGAACTGATCAAGGTACGATATACATCTGCGCCATACTCCTGCTCTAGTCGAGTCCTCGGTCTCCCGTTACCTCCTCATCGACGTTCTACGATTCCTCCACAACACACAATGTCTTGTATATGGTTCGATTTGGCTAACTGTGGCATGGACAGTTGAACGAGAAATTACCCCCAGGAATAACCCTCGTCAAGGCCGACGACCTGAAAGAATGGCTCATGGACATCCAAGTCATGGACGACAACCCAATCTACAAGGATGAAACCTATAGATTGAAATTTACTTTCAGCGGCAACTACCCCATCGAGGTACACTTCCCCTTTCTATGTAGTAACATCTATCCCAAAGACATTCGCTGATTCGGACAATACAATCCAGGCTCCAGAAGTCGTCTTCACACCCGTCCAAACGCCCTCACGGCCGATTCCCCTACACCCACACATCTACAGCAACGGTATCATCTGTCTCGACATGCTTGCCCGGGAAGGTTGGTCACCGGTGCACAACGTGGAGAGCGTGTGTGTCAGCCTGCAATCCATGTTGACAAGCAACACGAAGCGCGAGAGACCAGAGGGAGATGACAAGTTCGTCAAGTACAACACCAGGAGGCCGAAAGACATTAACTTCGTCTTTCACGACAACGGTGTGTAAGGCTGATCACGAAGGTACGATGGCACACCTGCTGTGATGGCGCGCGCGATAACAGCGGATGGGGGACATGCAGATCAAGAGCAATAAAGAGGCACTAACGAATTCATGTGGAGTTTGGGTACTGCTGTACATTTCTCCTTTTGCATGGTGGGAATCATGGCGTTTCATGTGATGTTTTATAGGGTCGTAGCATACATATCTTGTCGATAGAGAGACTCCATGGCTTATTACAACGATTTCCCTTATACCCAACTAGATACCCAACATATATGTGATGAATTGCTGGCATGACATGGATCACTTATCAGATAGCGAGCGCATAATTCAGTTTCGATGAGCATTAGGATTTTGACATATGCAGACATAAAGAAAGCATTATTTGGCCCCTCCAGTTGCATACACGTCCAAACTAAACGGTTCGAGGCGAAAGGCGGGGCACGAATATTCGAATCCTCACATCTGACAGCCCTTTGAACGCCATTGACCGGCTCAACAAGATCTCTCGAAACGTTGAAACCGTTGCAGAAGAATTCACTAGTCCAATCCTCGGGAGGCGAAGTGTATGAAAAGAATTTCTTGCAGGCGCTTGCGCTACAACTACGGCTCCGGCAGTCCTGCCCTACCACTCCTACCCTTTCCCCTCGGCCTGGGTTAACTTAGTCGCCGGGCTGAAGCGCCAAGATTTCGTTGGATTTTTCGCGCTATCCTCACAAAAAGTTCGCCCACTTCGCCCACCGCCTTCAACCCTCCATCCTCCCCCACAACACTCTCTCTCAATCAGTCCTTTTCACACAACGACATCATGAGTGACGAAGTTTACGAGGGTGCCATTGGCATCGATCTTGGTACGTTTCTCTGGAATCAGAATGACAATATTTTTTTGTTGTTCTGGTCCGCCGGAATTTTTCGATCATCATCGCTAACGAGCACAAATAGGCACAACCTACTCTTGCGTTGCCAACTACGAGGGCACCAATGTCGAGATCAGTACGAATCCCCTTTCCTTTGCGACAATGCGAATCGCCTTTGGCTAATTTTTTCTCCCCGTTTTACAGTCGCCAACGAGCAGGGTAGCTTCACCACCCCTTCATTCGTTTCTTTCACCAGCGAGGAGCGCTTGATCGGTGAGGCCGCAAAGAACCAAGCCGCCATGAACCCCGAGAACACCGTTTTCGATGTCAAGTAAGACCGCCTACAACTGCATGGAAAATTTTTCGAGCGACATTGGTGCTGACTTTTGTAGGCGATTGATTGGTCGCAGGTTCGACGACGAGACCGTCAAGAAGGACGTTCAGTCGTGGCCCTTCAAGGTCGTCGACCAGGGCGGCAACCCCGTCGTCGAGGTTGAGTACTTGGGTGAGACCAAGACTTTCTCCCCCCAGGAGATCTCCGCCATGGTCCTCGTCAAGGTACGTTCTTTTTCCCTCTCAAATTCCGCCCCCCCAAAAGTTACCCCGCGCAACGGACCGGACACTGACATAAAGAAAATTTAGATGAAGGAAGTTGCCGAGACCAAGCTCGGAAAGAAGGTTGAGAAGGCAGTCATCACCGTCCCCGCCTACTTCAACGACAACCAGCGTCAGGCTACCAAGGACGCCGGTGCCATCGCCGGCCTCAACGTCCTCCGTATCATCAACGAGCCCACCGCCGCTGCCATCGCCTACGGTCTCGGTTCCGGCAAGTCTGAGAAGGAGAGGAACGTCCTCATCTACGACTTGGGTGGTGGTACTTTCGATGTCTCCCTCCTCCACATCCAGGGCGGTGTCTTCACCGTCAAGGCTACTGCCGGAGAGTAAGTCTTTTTTTGATAACAACGCAAAATAGGATTCATAACTGACACACTTCAGCACCCATTTGGGTGGCCAAGACTTCGATACCAACCTCCTTGATCATTTCAAGAAGGAGTTCCAGAAGAAGACCAAGAAGGGTGAGTAATTTTTCCTGTCTCCGGTTTTTCACTGCCTTCAGACATGCACTGCCAATGCGATGTCTGGACACCCAATACTTCATTTTATGGACTACAACTCCCTTTGGAACCATTTCGTTGCTTTACAGCATAAGAAGGTGGAGCGAACAAAAGGAGTTGTGCAGTTTCTGCAAAGTTCGAGATGTTGTATCTGCTCATCTCATTATGCGGACTACAACTATCCTTGCAACCATTTCTCTCTGCTTTAGAGCATAAGAGCTTGGGGGCGACCACAGGGAGCTATGCAGTTTCTGCGAGGTCCGAGATGTTGCAATCATCTGCATATCTCATGACATGCTTACTTTACAAATTCTAACTGGAACACAGACCTCTCCAGCGATGCTCGTGCCCTTCGCCGTCTCCGAACTGCTTGCGAGCGTGCCAAGCGTACTCTCTCCAACGCTACCCAGACCACCGTTGAGATCGACTCTCTCTTCGATGGCGAGGACTTCAACTCCAACATCACCCGTGCCCGTTTCGAGGACTTGAACGCCAAGGCCTTCAACGGCACCATCCAGCCCGTCGAGCAGGTCCTCAAGGATGCCTCTCTCGACAAGTCCAAGGTTGACGAGATCGTCCTCGTTGGTGGCTCCACCCGTATCCCCAGGATACAGAAGCTCCTTTCCGACTTCTTCAACGGCAAGAAGCTCGAGAAGAGCATCAACCCCGATGAGGCCGTCGCCTACGGTGCTGCCGTCCAGGCCGGTATCCTCTCCGGAAGGGCCACCTCCGCCGACACCGCTGACCTTTTGCTCCTCGATGTCGTCCCTCTCTCCCTCGGTGTCGCCATGGAGGGTAACATCTTCGCTCCCGTCGTTCCCCGTGGTTCTACCGTCCCTACTTTGAAGAAGAGGTTCGTATTTTCCAGTTTATCAATCTGCTTAATCCCCAAGCCCGATTTTGTCCAATGGGTTTAGAGGCTAACAACCATTTCAGGACTTTCACCACTGTCCAGGACTCCCAGACCACCGTTCAGTTCCCCGTCTACCAGGGTGAGCGTGTCAACTGCGAGGACAACACCTCTCTCGGAGAGTTCACTCTTGCTCCCATCCCTCCCATGAAGGCTGGTGATGCCGTCCTCGAGGTCGTCTTCGAGGTCGATGTCAACGGTATCCTCAAGGTCACCGCCACCGAGAAGACCTCCGGCCGCAGCGCCAACATCACCATCTCCAACTCCGTTGGTAAGCTCTCATCCACTGAGATCGAGGACATGATCAACGGTAAGTCTAAATGAATGACCCACTACACATCTGGGCTGTGACTAACGACGCAACAGACGCCGCCAAGTTCAAGACCAGCGACGAGGCCTTCAGCAAGAAGTTCGAGTCCAGGCAGCAGCTTGAGACCTACATCTCCCGCGTTGAGGAGATGGTCTCCGACCCCACCACCTCCATCAGGCTCAAGCGTGGCCAGAAGGAGAAGATCGAGTCCGCTCTCAGCGACGCCATGGCCCAGCTCGAGATCGAGGACGCCCCCGCCGAGGACCTCAAGAAGAAGGAGCTCGCTCTCAAGAGGGTCGTCACCAAGGCCTTCGCCACCCGCTAAATGTCTTCCATCCAATTCAAATGTTTGGTGCGGGTTGCGGCTGGTGCTGGTTGGTTGCTAAGTGAATGCCCGAGGGGTTTTGCGTTTTCTCAGGCGTGAAATGGGACACAAAAAAACTGGTGTAGTTTTACAAAATGAACGCCGCCGGGGTAGTGCTGGATTGTCAATGATTCCCTTTTGCGGCATTTTTCGATAGACTTGGAGCTCAAATATTCTCTCTCTCTCTCTCTCTCATTCTCGTCCCTCTCCTTATGTGGTCATGTCTTTTCCTTTTTTCCTCTTTCCTCGGAAACGTTTATCCTACTTCCAGCACGAGGTCGACAAAAAACGGCAAGCAGAACGATACTTATTCACGAAGCAAAATGAGTTACAATCCTGTCTTCTTTTGAGGAAAACAAAAAACACTTGGTCTTTTGTAATGTCTGGGTGAATTCGAGCGGAGGTGGAAGGAGATGAGGGTTCAAACATCCTGTAGTTAGTGTAGCCAGACGCAAGACTGCAGTCCGCCGCCAAAGAACGACTATGAATGACGGAAAGAAAACAAAGAATGCGATGACGAGGGGGGAAAGAATGAAAAGCTTTTTTACAATCAAGGTCTTTGGTTACTTGTGATGTGTTGTCTTCGTGTCAAACTCTTGTTCATGGATGGATAAATCATTCACTCAATGATTCGCTCTATCAAGTCTAAAACCTCACTGACTAGTATACCCTTCCCACCATTCAAATCACTGCGCCCGACACTCCTAATACAACCATCTTAACAACCCATCACGACTACCACTCAACCGTCTAACCGTTTGAATGAACCCCTTCCCCTTCCCCGTGTACACGAACGCGCACACATATCCATCCCACTCCCGCCAACCTCCTCCGCACTACGTGTTCCACAGCTACCCTCTTCCCCCAAACGACACAGAAGTCCGGGAAGACTGATTGGTTCGGTCTGCGTGGTAGCCTAGGTGATTGCATCTCGTATATTCTTAGCCTGCGTGCCGTTCGGCATTGGATAAGTGTTTCATGGTGGCGAGTTCGATTCTTCCTTGCGTCAGTGAGGGGAGAGGGTGTTGAGGATATTGAGGAGTATTGAGGAGGATGGGGTACTGTCTGCACGCAGTGCAATATAAGGTCATATGGATGATGTATACATTTGATCGCACAAGAGGTAACTCATTCTTTTCTTTGGTGAAAGACTCTACAAGCGGATTCTGGTTGTTGACATTCTGTGCATTTTATTCGTTGTATTTAGCGTTAGTTGGCAATAGTCTATGTTAATATCATGACCACCAGCCGGGACTGACAGTTTCCGTCTATGTGAAAAGCCTGAGCGGCTTGCCAGGAAGATACACACCCGGATCATTAAAATGCAGCCCCATATCCAACTCCGCAATAGCATCCAGCTCCCTCTGCTCCAGATCAAACCCCACGACATCCAGATTCTCCGCCATCCTGTCCGTGCGATTACTCTTCGGGATCACACAGATACCTCGCTGCGTCGCCCAGCGCAGCAGAACCTGTCCCACAGACCTGTTATACTTCCTCGCAAGATCGATAATCAAGGGTTGCTCGAACAGCGACGGCGTCTGCGCCGCCTTCGTAGGGAAAGTCTTCGGCAGCTCGAGGAACGACTGCGGTCCGAATGACGAGTACCCCGTCACCAACATGCCCTGGTCTTTACAGAAATCAACCAAGTTGCGCTGCACGAGGTAGGGGTGGTGTTCTATACACACACCCGCGTTAGCATTTCGCGCCGTCACCAAAGAAATAGAGATTCTGCCAGTCAATCTTACCAATCTGAAGCATACACGGATTCACCTTCGCGTACGTGAAGATATCGAGAATAGCCTGCGAATTGAAATTCGACACACCGATGTTCCTGACGAGTCCCGTTGCGTGCACGGCTTCCAGGGCTTCCCATGTGTCGCGGATGGGCGTGCGCTCGAGGCGGACCTGTGAGTGCCCGTCGTAGTACCAGCCCTGGAAAGACACGGGTTAGAGGGATTGTAAGGGGAGGGGTGGGAAACGTACGCGCGTGCAGGAAGGGTTGTATTCTAAGGCGACGGGGAAGTGGATTAGGTAGAGGTCGATGTACGAGAGTCCCCAGTCGGCGACTTGTTGTTTTGCGACTTCGATGGCGCGGTCTCTGGGGTATGGTTAGTACACCGTAAAAGATGTATGTACATGGGTATATGGGGGTGATATGGACTGACTTCTTGTGGCAGGTGTTCCACAGTTTCGTTGTCACGAAGATGTCCTTGCGTTCGACGAGACCTTCGTCGATGGCTCGACGAATACCTTCTCCTGCTTCCTTCTCGTTGCCGTAATCGTATGCTCCGTCAAAGAGACGATATCCAGCTTTTATAGCCTGTCATTAAAGTCAGTGGAGTTGTTGTAACGACGTTGGATGGACTACATACATTGTACACCAAGTCCGCAGCAGCTTCTGGGGCTACTTTCCACAAGCCGAATCCGACCTGGGGGATCTTCTGGCCGGAGCCAGGGAGAGTGAGGTATGGAGTGTTAGGAGACATTGTGTTCGATGAAGGACAGACTGAGAATCGTACTTTGAGCAGTTGAATGTTCTAAGTCAAGGTCCTTATACTCTACATCGCCCTGAACCATTCAAGCAAACATGAATTGACAAGTACATAGCCCCGCGTTAGCTACCCCCTAACCATGTCACAATGCCCTCAAGTCTGGACCGTCACTGGCACTCCATCCAGCCTCAACATCGGCTCCAGCGCTTACAGCATCCTCTCGACTTATATCCCCTCGATCCAGCCATCCCATGCGCTCAAGCGCTTAAATCTACCCCGTAAAGCTCAATCCCCACCGGTTCCGAGACCCATAATCCGGGGCGATCACACATGCCAATGTTGCAGTCGCCGCTTGTGGATGCCAGTATGGTGTCTCGTCCGCTTGGCTTGCAATGTAATGCTAGGGCGCTCGGCACGAGTTTGGGCATAAAAACTCGGCACGAGAGTTTAGTGCAAGAGAGTCAGTCTAGTACGACAACGACAGTTCACCTAGTTTAGTGTGATGCCCACCACCCAACAAGGGTTCTCCACAGTGTTTGGGGATCGATCGCACATGCATGCGTTTTACTTTTTGCTGACAAACGTATGAAGAAGAATTTCGGATCGTAGTACAGTGGTCTTGGTTAAATAAATATCAAGGATTCAGGACCTGTCATTTTGTTTCTCCCCCAACGGTTATTACTTTTCGTCAAAGTACGCGAAGGGACAAAACAAAACAATTATTGCAGCTTTTAGAAATAACGACAACATGACTTCCATCAAAGGACAGACTGCCCTGATTGTACGCTATTCCTTCCCCAGCTTCTGGCTGTGGCGTTAAATTATTGCAAACTGACATTGTTTCCGCAGACAGGCGCATCGATGGGCATCGGTGAAGCGATCGCCCTTAAGCTCGCTGAGCACGGTGTAAACCTCGCTCTGGTTTCAAGGAGCAAGGTGAGTAGACCATAATCGCGAGAGTTAGGTTTTAAACTAAAGCGCATCGTACAGGACAAACTTGAGTCTGTACGCAAGTCGATTGCCGACAAAGGGTTCGGAGTCAAGATATCGGTTCACGCGGTCGACATCCAGAACTACGTAGATGTCGACAAGGCCGTAGCGGATGCGATCTCACAGCTTGGTGAAATCGACATCCTCATCAACAACGTAGGTTTTATCCGCAAACAAGTTGTGCAGCATAAGAAGCAGAGCTAAAATGTATGTGACTCCAGGCCGGACTCGCCCTCGGAGCCCCCGCAAGGTTCTGGGAACTTCCCATCGAGCAAATCGACCAGATGGCCGGCACAAACATCAACGGTATAATGTACATGAGCCACTCCATCATCCGCCGCAGCATGTGGCCGCGTAAAAAGGGCGTCATCATCAACGTATCCTCCGTCACGGGTCTCGAATGCCCGCCCTTCGATGGCGAAGCTGTATATCACGCTTCCAAAGCGTTCCTCGAGGGTTTCAGCAATAGTTTGCGCATGGAGACTTCCGGCGCGAACATCAAGGTTTTGACCCTCCGGCCTGGCTGTGTGGTGACGAATTTTCATCTCCAGAGAGTTAAGTACGATCAGAGTGCAATGGATGAGTTTTTGCAGGGTTATGAACCGCTGGTCGCGGAGGATTTGGCGGATACGGTTGTGTATATGCTGAGTCTGCCGGAGAGGATCTCGATCAAGGGGTTGGATTGCGTGCCTACGGCTCAGAGAGCGTTAACGCGGTTTGATCGGGAGTGGAACTCGCGTCAGGAGAAGAAGGATTGAGTAGTTCGGAGAATCTATGTATAGAAATAGAATAAAACAACTTTGTCAATTTTGTATTCAACAACGTAGTTGTAAGTGAAATGCTCAGTAAGGAGATTCTCGACATAGAGAACATGAGAGCCGTGCGAAGCTAGATCGTAGAATCCATGACTTGCAACACGTTTATTCAATGAAATGCCATGAACATCAGTAGTAGAATGAAACAGAGCTGCATCACGCGGGCGAGGAAACTCCAGGTTTGATTGTGTGCTAGACTTCAATACTCAGAGGCTTCAAGAAGCGCAACCTTTGTCAATGACAAGACGATGCCATCGCCACTACCAATTTTCCATGGAATGCCAATATCATGCATGAAATGCAAAAACGGCGGTTACAGATGCTGTTGCTGGAAATCCTTTGCGCGACTTGCATTGTACGAGATAGCATCGTGCGCATAATGATGAGCACTCAACCTGACAAAAACAATCACTGACGCCTAGGATTGCCCATATAGGACACAAGTAGCGACTATATTCCCCGGTTAGCACCAAAGATCGCTTCACTACTCCATTCGAATTAAGCTCAATCTTTGGCAATCGAACATGCCCCACGGGGCAGTGTGCGAGCTGTGGGGTTGGTGAGGGGGAGTCCATGGCTTTGGCTTGGAATCGTCCAGACTATTTTAGCCCGCACCATTTTTGAGCGCTTTCATGCTCTGTTAGAAGTCTAGACAGACAGAGCCCATGGTTTGTATTTCTTATATTAAGTACTGGATTGAATCCTTCAGAAACACCAGGACTTCACTCAACAGTTTCTGAACAATCGCAACGCACTTCTATCTGTTGTAATACAAGATTGTGCACGTCTGCATCCACCGTACCCAACACTCACCGCCAAAATGAGATTGCTACGAACGCGTCGGTATGGCTTCATCAGGCCAGGAAACTTCGTGGTTAGCTGCGTCGCGGTTGCTGCGGGTTTTGGTATGCTTGTAAGTTTGCAATTCGGATGAAGTATGCGCACTGCGTGTATCAAGGAGACATGACTGACGCAAGCTCACAGCTTCTTGGGTATGATCAAGGTGTAATGGCTGGCCTTATTGGCTCCGAAGGAACTCCCTTCAGCAATACATTTGACAATCCGGACGCGACATCTCTTGGATTGATGGTGGGTAAGTATTCTTTTCGTAAACCATTGTCGAGGCGAGCGAGAATCTCAAGCTAATTGATGCAGCTATCTACGAAATTGGCTGCTTCGCTGGAGCAGTCTTCTCATTCATCTGGGGTGAGACGTTTAGCCGACGCACCTGCATCTTCATTGGAGTGTTTATAATGTGCATTGGTGCAACCCTACAGACTGTGGCTCATTCTATGCCACAACTGATTGCAGGCCGTATCATAACTGGGTTGGTATGTCAAGTTTCAATCCAAGTCGTAGAGCCATGAATCTGATTAGGAGTGACAGGGAAACGGCCTCAACTTTTCTGCAATTCCCACTTGGGCATCTGAGATCTCGGGCCATGAGGACAGAGGAAGAGTGGCAGCTTTTAATGGATGGCTGATCATTTGGGGTGTCGTTATTGCTTACTGGTATGTGGCATTCGCGAGGAAACTGACGACAATTACTGAAGTTCTACAGGGTGGACTATGGCTGCGCAACGTACACAACGGACATGCAATTCCGGTTTCCCATCGGTAAGTCTCGGACAAGCTCTCCATAGAAGAATTGTTGAATACTGACATTGCTGCTTAGCTTTGCAGATGCTATTCGGTTTGATCATGGCGGCCATGGTAATTTGTAAGTCTTGGTCTGCATTCAGATATACCGGCATACATACTAACATTACTGCTTTTCTTCATAGTCTTGCCCGAATCTCCACGATGGCTCATTTCCAGAGGATACGATACGGAAGCGAGGGAGGTCTTGGAATGGATCACTCCACGGGTCAAAAACACGAGCGAAGCGCAGCACGCCACAACCGTCGAGGCCATGCATCAGAACATTATAGTTACCCGCGAAGCTGAAAGAGCGGCCGAAGGAGAGTTCTCTTATGCAGAGTTGCTTCATGGCGGGGAAATGCAGAACTGGAGACGTATGGCGCTTTGCGCAGGTGTCATGGCTTGCCAACAATTGAGCGGGTAGGTGATACTTCATCTAGTTGTGAGAACATTGCTGACCTGTTATGTTAAAACAGCATCAATCTCCTCACATACTACATTTCATACGTCCTCGAAAACTCGGTCGGTCTAGACAGACACACATCACTCCTCATGGGGGGCTTCAACGGTCTTGAATATTTAGTGGCATCTGCGATCCCTATCTGGACCATTGAAAAGTTCGGCCGCCGTAAGCTTCTTCTTTTCAGCGCATCTGGACAAACGATTTCGATGACAATCCTTGCCGGAGCGATCTGGTACGTTACAAACAGACCCGACGGAAGTGCTAGCTACGGAATGGGAATTCTGGCTGTCTTTTGTTTCTTTCTGTTCAACACATGCTACGCACAAGGATTCCTGGCCATTCCATTCTTCTACCCTGCGGAAATTACAACTCTGCGGACTCGAAGCAAGGGTGTCTCGATATCGGTGATGAGCAACTGGCTTTTCACTTTCTTGGTAGTCATGATCACGCCAATCTGCACGGCGAGCATCGGTTGGAAGTAAGTGTCTCGCTATGACTGATATTGGCCAATTCGCTGACAAAACAACTTTAGAACATATGTTATCTTCGCCGTACTGAATATCTCCTTCATCCCGTTCATCTACTTCTTCTTCCCAGAAACCGCAGGCTTGTCTCTCGAGGCTCTCGACTCTGTCTTCGACCACTCAGGGCGAGTCACCCGCGGCGTTCTCGATAAACAGCACCGGAAGCAGATGTTGGCGATTTCTTCGACAGCCGCGGTTGAAGAAAGGACCCAGGAGATTCACAACCTCAAGACAATGGCAAGCGCTGAGGTCGAGTGTACGGAAACAGCCTAAGTATCAAGTAAAGATGGTCCGCAAAGGCTGATTTGTTTGATTGAGAGGCCATGCTGAAGGTGCAGTGAATACGATGGAGGTAAAAGCAAAATGTCGGTAGACTATTTTTTAGAAGGTTGTTTTGGGATATGTAGCAGTGGCGATTTAGTTGACTGATACATTTGGGGTGGAAATCTGTGTCAATAGGATTCATATCATTTAAACGCAATCTAGTGTTCTTCTTGTGATTTATGCTTCTTTAGTGTCGACAACCTTTATGGTGCCACCGTATTTCCGTATTCCATCACCGTTGCCAATTGGCCAACATGTGTTCGTCACCTTAGTACGCCGGCGCTATACTGAACCTAGCTATAAATCCAACAAGTGGAAAAGTAGTGAACGGGACCCATCCCTCATTAGGGTTGAGAAGATTCCGCCTCGAATTTTAGAGCATTTCAAATTGAAGACTTGATCGGATTCGCATTACTATAAGTGCAATTAGCGCAGAAGCCGCATCGATCAACATGGCAAGTCGTTACGCTTCGGCTGGTATCGAAGCGAATTCACTTCTGCATCATACAATTTCGATGGTGAGTTTGTATATAAGCGAAGTATTTCCTCTCCGAATTATACCACTCCCGATCCAGGGCATTTGGATATAATTCGTTAAACGAGTTTGATCTCTCACTTGAATGCTGCATTTTATGTCGTCTGCAATATCTCTTTACGATCGAGTTGAGACCTGCTTACCCTCACGGCATCTCAAGGAATAGTATAGTACCATGAAATCGAGATAAACTGTTTCAGATGTCTAATAAATGCACTACAAAACAACGCTCTTACTTTGAGAAGTTGACATTCAAAATTTAAGAAGACAGTTTCAGTCTACCGTGGACTGAATCGTAAGAAGTGACCATTGAAAGCGACCATCTCCTATGAACGGGACCGGGTGCTCTAAGTCTTCTGATATCAGAGTTAACGAAGGTGGGAGTTGAGTCCTTCTTGAATTATCGAATAATCCCCGACTAGGAAGTGTTGGGAGAACGGAGCCGAAATGTACTGAACACTTTCGTCGCCGTCGATGTGGTAAGGAAACTTCTGCAGTGTTCATCAGCGCAACTAGTAATCGGCAGAATATACGACTGCCTCGGACACGCTATCTGGTGCCAGTTCTTGCTTCTGGGAGAGGAATCAGTTGTGAATGTCGCCAGAACATAGTGTTGAGCATGTATTGCATGCCAGTGATTATGGTGATTTATAATTGGATGTAGTGAGCTAGGTGGGCCAGCTGGTATCAAAAGCATTCATTGAAAGTCACGATTGATTGAAGAAACATTTATGAATGTAGTGAGTTTTGATTGGCATTTCTATGCTATGATAAAAACTCAGTGGCTGTGAAAGTTGAATTGGTAGTACCAGTTATACTACCAAGACCAAAACTGGTTATGAAGACCCCATGAAAGCTGATAAAAATGCAGATGATAAGTGTGTTGAAGGACCCGATGATGCTGTGGAAGAAGGGGCCATAGGTAGGCGTTCAGAATCTCTGAAGACCATGCTGAGGATTCTACTCATTCTGACGGCCAAATTGACCGACGAGAACAAGGCAGAAGACGAAGTACAGCTGGTATAGCTGTTCGAGCTCGAGTTGGTGTCTCTGCATGGCCATCTCGCGATGGTGCAGATAGGCGCGCTCAAGGGCACGGAAGTGCTCCTTGAGGCGGAAACGTCGCTGAAGTCGATCCGAGTAGCGGATCCGAACAATTCGCTGCGGTCGAGGACCGAGTGGAGAAGAAGAGCGACTGGATCGGCTTCGGAGAGAAGGCGAGCCAGAGACGGATCCGGGGGAAGAAGAACGAGTGGCACGGCGTTGGCGAAGAGAGCCAGTGTCACTTCGTGGAGAAGATGAGCGAGAGGTACGGCGTTGTGGAGACGACGGATAGGCGATGTGGCGCTGCGGAGTTGGAGAGAGAGTGAAGCAGCGCTGAGGAAATGGGCCAGGAGGGGGCCTGGGATGAAGGTTGGGCTCGAAAACACCGCTGTAGCCGGCGTAATTGCCGACCTCGACACTCTCGACGACATCGTCGAACTCGATGTAGTCGTCATAAACGTCGAATCCGTCGAAGTCCCTGTAGCCGCGGGAACCGTTGTAGTTGAAAGGGTCCATTGTGAGAGATGAGTTGAAGGAGGTGTTGATCCGGCAACAGCTCTCTTTGGTATTTGTTGAAAAAAAAACTGACCAGCAGTTTGAATGGATACGAAAGTGATGAAGAGGTCTCAGAGAGTGTATGGTGAGGGTTGAAGATTGGGGATTGAGGAAGATTGAGTCCGAAGCGGTTTATATACCAAAGGCAATCTAATTGTCACTTGGATTGAACAATAGTAAGTTGGTAGCATCTATTCATTCTATTGAGTATCTATCTGCTCGTCTTTAGTATTGAAGATAATAGGAAGACAATAGGAAGAGAGTAACAATCCCTAGCTGTGGCCATCGGCGACTCGTGATTGGCTTCCCGGCCTTTTAAGTGTTTCAGAGTTCAGATGATGCCTAGAGAGCGTCTCTGCCTGCCTGAGTCTTGCCCCGAGCGTAATTAGTTTTGTCTTCGTTGGTTATCACTTGTTTTAGATCCCCAGCCTCCTCCTCGATCGCGTTAGGCTCATTCGAAGGAGCCTCAACTGGCACGTGATCTCGAACCACAAGCCAAGTTGGATAAACAGCGAGTCCTTGTGAATAGTCAGAATATTGTGCGAAATGTTGGTGATCGGATCATACCTAGTAGAATGGTGTTCACAGCAAGCGGAACCCTACCGCCCTTCCACTTCCGCGTATTCAGACCGAAAGAGACAGCTTGAGAAAACGACTCCTGCCCTCTCAAGATTCCCGAAAAGCGAGTAAGTTCGGAAATGTTGTCGGTCTTGGTGGCCAGCAGATAATAAAGCCAGTTCTGGAGTGCCTGTCTAGAGAAGTCCCACAGCAACAGAACGAAGAATCCCTCAACGAAACCTTCGTCTTCCCAGTCCATAGCCGGTTTTGTGCGAGTATACTTTTCCTGAATGACCCAGCCGTATACCCATGCAATAATGTGCCACACTACCACATAGTAGAAGCCCCACGTGATGCGTTGCTTCACAGGGAATCTTTTGGAATCTAGCCACATGCTCATGATTTGCGAGGATAGGAGAGTTCCGAAGTTTTGGACAAATCCAATCAAGGCGCGGGCTCGGATGCCGAAGTAGTACGCCTGAAAGTTGCCTGGAGAAAACCGTGTCAGCGTCTAGAAGACTCACTCACTATTTGGAAAATAAACACATACCATTGTATTGATTGAAATAGGCGGCCCAGAAGACAGGAAGAAGCAGCAGAACTTCTTTGCGCTTAGAGACTTCCCACAGGGCACGCAGTTCAGCTCTAGTAGACTTCTCGGCGCGAATGATCACCTTTGTACCATCCGATCTCTGGACCTTCTCGGGTGGGGAAAGCGCCAGTGCAATAGGGACAGACAGACACTGTAGAGCGATGAACACAAGATACGTCTGATATCCGACAGCGCCCTTCTTCTTTGCTGCAGCATCGTTGTTGAGAGCAAGAACGATAGCGCCTCCAACCAAAGGTCCTCCAGTACGGAACCACAGCCAAATGTTCATGTACTTTCCGCGTTTTCCGGGTTCTGGATATCCTAATGCCACCGCACCCTCAGAAACCCAGAACAGTCCTGCTGAAATACCGCATGCAACGGCCCCTACGAGCACGAACCAAATGTTCCCAAATCGATTGTTGGTGTAAAGTCCAGCAGAATAGATAGGATAGCCAACAGCACCGAGGACGAGAGTCCAAGCCAGACCAATTCGATTGGCGATTGGTCCACCAAACAAGCAGAACAATCCCATCAGTCCAAACACCAGAGCATTTGCAGCGTTAATGAGGAACGGTTCTTGTGCACCACCTGCGCCCAATTGATTCAATGCGTTCCATAGGCCAGGTGCAGTGAATCCGACACTTCCAATAATGAAAGCATTGAAAAACGTCGTCCGGTACCATTTCCTCTTGATCGGGACGTCGTCGGTCGAAGGGTTCCTGGATGGGAGCGAGGCATCGCTGGTGACTGCGACCTTCGTGTTGATCGGATCAGACATGATGAGCGGCGGTGGTGACAAGGTAAACCAGATGACTGCTCGCGAAACAGCATGTCCGTAGAGCCACGCTCTTTATATGAACTATGAACATATCTATCGTTTCATTTGAATCCTTGGCGGGTAGCATGCAGATGTTACGATGCAAAGTAAAATTTCTCGTTGCAAATGAAGAATTGCTGCAAGTGTGATACAGTTCTCCGATGTCGTGATTGACAAGAGTGGATATGATGTGCATTTCGGTGTTCACGCTTGTCGGTAGTAGGAAGGAATTAGCCCGGAGGACGCCTAATGTGGAATCTCATCGCCGCTCGAGATGGATTCAATGACAACAACAATCGTGTTTCTTCTATGTCGCATTATGTTTGCTCCGCTGTTATTGACTGATGTCTACTTCTGTTCGTGTTAATGGGGACTGCAGGAATCAAAAGAAGGTGACACAACAACCAGCGCACGAGGACACAATACGGAATGTTCCTGTATGATCAAGAGACTTCGTGAAGATTAGAGCAATACATTGATGCTCCGTTGCACTACTGCTCTTGCAACAATGGTCCAAAATGCAAGTGCTGCGAAAGAGAGCAAGAAGAGTAAACGATTGGGATGATATACAGCGAGAGGAGAGCAGTAATACTTGTAGGACTAATCCTCTCCCCATGGCAATCAGCAGGGGCGGTCATATTAGAGTTGAGCGCTGGCGTTCGGTCGATCCTCTGACACAAGCTTATCATGAGCTTGAGCTGTCATAAAGATCGTACGAGTGCAGCTGCAGCTGCCATGCCTTTAAGATGCCATCCCATTGAGCTATTTCGAATTCTTGGTTCACATGCGCACCATTGGCCCTGAAGACATATGCTAACACTGGTGACATTGCGCGTCCTGTCAATTTCAAACTTTAAACGGCGTGTAGCTCAAACTGACAGCGATCTGTGCCTGCATGCACCCTGATGATCGTGATGCAGTTCACTCTTAGGTCCCTTCAAAGGAACACTTGAGATCAGGCACATCCCTGTAGCAGTCCGCCAATAGGCGCAGCCGGTGCATCTGATAACTGTAGCCATGGCCATTGAGCACAATCTCAAGACACGTTGTCAAGCACACTTGGTGCAGATCAGAATTTTGGAAGTCCAGTCTCGACAGTTGATCGGCGTTGATGAGGCTGAAACCGTTTGTTGAATAAAATAGAGGCTATCGGCGGCTTCCGACGAGGTTCATAATTGCCTCAGGGTCGAAATACTTGCTCGATTTGAAGATTTTCAGCTGTGAAGTTCTTACACCGATCAGAATTGTACCATCCACTGCGCCTTCTTACCCCTGAGAGATTGGAGATTCTTGGAAGCATCGTGTTGTTACGAGACCTTGTCGATTTCGGTTTACCTTCCCCCAGAATGGATTCAACCCACGTGGGAAAAGCAACGTTGATAGCACATGACAGTGCACCATTGATTGGCCGGGCGAGGATTGCCACATTCATCAGATGCCGGGCCATGGCGACATAGACGAAAGTATAAAAGAGGACTAGCGAGTGAAAGGAGGGGAATGTATGGCTAATCGGCTACGCTAGGCGAATTGTTCTCATGATAGTGTCTGGCCTTAAAAGCTTATCACACGTGAAAATGACGACCTCCGAGAATCAGCCCTTTACCGATGCCTTGTCTCTGGCTCTCGAATTTTCTTCCACCACGGTGGCAACTGGATTAGGCATGCTTCCCTTTTCCCTCAAAGTGTTGGGAAAGAACCCCCTTTCTAAGCTGATATGAACTCTTAGCTATTGTTAGTGGAATGTAGTCATTCAAGACACTAACGTTTGCTGTAAGGAAGCACGTGGATGGCCCTGTCGAGAATCGAGATATTCTCGTATCCGACCAATCGACTGAGCAATTGTCAGAAATACCTGCAGAAATTCTGAAATTTTGCAGCCAGTATGTATTGCACCATACAAGGCTTGTCGTCAACCTCGAGACAAAAAGGGGCACGCGCATCGCGTCGGCTCACGGAAGGCCGCATTTCGGTGCTTCTCAGTTGCCCCACGCCACTAGTCCCTCAATGCTATAGAAGACGGCAAATAACTCTTCCCAGGAAGATAAACGACGTCCATAATGGTGGGGAATATTCATGAGCAAAGGCAGGCAAGGCAATCCACTTGATATATACAGCGATATCCTAGGAGAGAAAACCTCGAGGTCTATCTGTATCTCCCTTCCAGTCTCCCCCAAGAGAAATATGATATCAGCTTGTTCAACTCTCTGGAACGTGACGTATCTATGGCATACCTGCCGAGGAATCAGCGCATTGTCTCCACAGAATGGCCGGACCATGGCCTAGCTTCGTGCGGCTTTAACCTAGAACACTGTCGAAATGCAAAATGTCACTCCACGTTTTCGTCAGGGGTCTTCTCCAATACGATCTTATATCTGGCACGCATATTCGTTTAAAGAAGCAGGGGAATGTCTTGGAACCTTCCTGTAGAAGGAAGCTGGGCTTTTTGTGGCAGTTTCATGAAGTTCGGTAGGAACCGTACAGGTTTGAAGTGATAGTTTAAACACAGGACGCAAGAGAGCCCAAACTTGCCACAGACACCCACTCAACAATAACAAATACTCCTCGTGCGAGCGCACATTCGAAGTTCATATATCTATAATCTCACTATACTCTCTCAATAACTTACTCGTACACTCACTAAAGTCATCATCCTTATCAGAACGACTCAGTTCTATCCCCAGCCTCCGGTTGGAAGTTCAGTCGCTTCCACACTTGTAGTCGACACTTAGCGAGACGACCCCTGCCCGGTTTAGTGGGCGATCAAAGGCGTCAAAGCGGGTCCTTAGTCCTGCGGGACCCCTACACTGGAGTGCTCTGGAGTGTCTGGGTGTCTGGGGATCTGCCCCGTTCGCAAATTCCACTGACTGTTTAACCCCTGCGGTGCCCTCCAGGGCTTCGACTTCTCCTTCTTCAGCCTCCCTCAATGTCGATCCTTCAGCCAGAGTCTGGCATTTGGTACAGCCTATGTTGGCTCGTTGTGATCGCAAGGCTCGCATCAAGAAAACTACACTTGGGATCATGGCGGAGATTACAGGTGGACGATTATCTGATCGTCGTGGCTATGGTATGAACCAGCACCATGTTCGAATTCATGAAGAAGTAACTAACAGTATGAAGCTGACGGACACGATTCTCATGGCCGTTATGGAAGTCATTACACACACTAGCAGCAACTTGATTGCTCCCGGCGAGGATGTCTCTGCTTTCACTGAGCGGGAAATCCAAGACCGCATCTACGGGTCCAAATTAGTTCTCGTCTCGGAGCAGATGCAAATCATCACTATCTGGCTTGTGAAAGCATGTCTACTGCTCATGTACTATCGCATGACGTAAGTGTTGCGATTCTCAACACTGGAGCATTTCTGACCAGTGCTTAGACTGCTGTTGCCATCGCATAAGATAGTCATTGCTACTGCTGCTTATGTTGCAATTGGATTTGTAAGTATCTTCCGCGCAACGTCAGTCATGCAAAAAGGGTTCTCACAGTTCACAGGTCGTTATGGAAATTCTCTATCTTGGCGTATGGTGTCGCCCATTCTCACAGTACTGGGCTGTGCCGCCATCGAACGGTATGTTGCTTGCGCCTGCTTCCAAAACGTTGAAACTCATCGTCTTTGCCTAGAACAATGTTCCGCGGCAACCAACCACTTGATAACCAACTCGGTTCTCAACATATCTTCCGATATAATCATCATCTTCATCCCCATGCCCTTGCTTTTCAAGGTCAAGCTCCCACTGAAGAACAAGGCTATCCTGATCATGTTGTTCCTGATTGGAACATTTACGGTAACAAATGCCTGGCTGAGATGGCAACGAACTTTTAGCTGACAGAAATTAGATTGTGGCTGCAGCACTAAACAAATACTACTCTTTCACGAACCCCTTCGGCAATGAATGGACGATTTGGTACCTGCGCGAATCTTATACAGCACTCCTTTGCGCGAACCTACCCCTCACGTACCCACTCGTACAACGCATATTCAAGCTCAAGAACTGGAGCTACCAATCCTACGGCGGACGCTATCCCTACGGACGAGGAACGACCCGCGGTACCATGCATGGCACGCACTCGAAATTCTCGGCTATTCGAAGCAAGCACCGTAATCAGCGCCTTCAATCCGTACCTAGTACCAATGACCGGAGTATACGGAGGACTGAGAGTGAGGAGCAGATCAATGATGGGAGGGGCATACCTCTGGAGATTTACCACAACACAGAAGTTACGGTACAATCGACCAGCAGAACCGAAATTGAGCCTCTGGAATACCCAAAGAACGTTGTAATCGTTGATTCGATCAGGAAGAGCGAGGAGAGCGATTCACACAAGAGCAGAGCATCAGCGAAATCCCCTGTATGATACCACTATTTTTATTAGACGCGATAATGCTTGTATAGACGAAAAGAGTAATACACATCTCGACGATCACACAATCCTTCTTCTGCAGTAAACGTATCTATGGGGCATAATATGACATGTTGATGCAATAAGCACGGTCCGACATGTCGCAATAAGAGCAATAATGACCAATGTCTTTCCAGAATTGCACTCCGTAAATGTGCAATTAGCGCCCTTTACTTGCAACTTCGACATTTCACGACAGATCTGTGCCTCGGCACTTTGTTATTGTCCCACTACATGCACTACGGGGGAACCAGTACCGCCCCCCGATTTTCGTCCGGTTGGGATTTTTGCCCTAGTTCACCGAAGAATCTCATATCAGGAACCATTCATCTAGATCATTTTAACTATGATTATGAAATCATTGACATGTTGTCTCGCTTTTTGCACCATGATTTGACTTACAAATGTGTTTTAATAGGTCGCCCATAATCGGAGAATTAACAAATCTAGTTTAGTCCAACAAGAACGGGTATAGTGTACACTGATTCCACCATCATTCCAAAGATTCCTTCGTATCTTTTCGTTTATTTCGTATATTGAGTGGAACAGAGTTGTTTGGAGAAAAGCCTTTAAATAATCCAAATACCCTCTCTGTAGGAGTATTGACCTTCTCCCAATTGACCTTACAATCATCGATACAACTTCCACCATGTCACAGAAACTTAACACACCAGTTGAGACGCCTTCTGGGCTCGTCTTTCCAAACCGACTAGTGAAAGTAAGAGCACCTTGTTAATTATTCGCATCATTAAGCTAAATAATTTCCAGGCAGCTATGGCAGAGGCTATGGCAGTAAACTCCGACCCCGGTGATAGATACATATCTGCATACACCAGCTGGGGCTCAGGTGGATGGGGAGGACTCCTAACAGGTACTATTAGCCTATAAATCTCATCTGCTTGCCTAACACATCACCAGGAAACGTTGAGGTTTCTACCATCTATAAAGGAAGTAATGATGCTATCACCTTCAAGCCAGATGCATCGCAGGCCACCAAGGATGCCTGGAAACGCTGGGCTCTTGCAGCACAACGTGAGGGCACACCCACAATTGTCCAACTCGTCCACCCTGGAAGACAAAGTCCCGCAAAGAGCGGCAACCGTGGATTCTTCGAACCATCTATTGCACCGTCGCCTATTCCCCTTAACATCGGCGATGGCCTACTCGAACGAGCACTGGCGAAATTTGCTTTCGGAACACCGAGGGAAATGACCGAAGCCGACATCCAAGAAGTTGTCCAGCAGTTTGCTGTCGCCGCTAAGTTCGCCTACGAGTCTGGATTCAAGGGTGTAGAGTTGCACGGTGCCCACGGATATCTCCTATCCGCATTCCTATCTCCCAAATCCAACGTCCGTACCGATGGCTACGGTGGCACAGCAGCGAAGCGCGCCCGCATCGTGATCGAAGTCATTCGCGCAGTTCGGAAACTGGTTCCCGCCTCGTTCACCGTCGGTATCAAGTTCAACAGTGCGGATGTCAGCGGCGCTGAAAATCTCGAAGAGTCTCTAGAGCAGGTCGGTCTCATCGCCAAGGAGCAGATCGACTTCCTTGAGATCAGTGGAGGATCTTACGAGAACCCTCGTATGGCGGCTGGTGATGATCCGAAGGCAGCACGGACAGCTAAGCGAGAAGCTTTCTTCTTGGACTACGCTCATGCTGTGAGAGAAAGATATCCCAATCTTCTTCTCATGGTCACTGGCGGCTTCAGAAGTCGGAAGGGAATGGAGGACGCACTTCAGAGTGGGGCGGTGGACCTCATCGGTGTGGGGAGACCCGCAGTGGTCTACCCGCATCTCCCGAAAGATGTGTTGCTGAATCTGGAGGTCAAGGATGAGGAGGCGACGGTGGATTTGCCTTTGGCGAAAGCCCCGTGGCTGCTCAGGATGGTGCCTATCAAGTTGGTTTCGATAGGCGCCGATACGGTATGTCCAAAATGGCTCAAGTAATTGAAGGATGATCTTTGTACTAATCGAATAATAGGTCTTCTACGTCAAGCAGATTATGGCTCTTGGTGATGGCAAGAAGCCGGAAGCTCCCCCAAAGCATTAAGGCTTTGTCACGTTCATGCATATCACATTTGCCTTATTTTTCTTTTGTTACTAGATTTAGCGAATGGCAACGCCGTAGTACATATTCGCGCATTTAGAAAAGCGCTTAGTTAATGGATATCACTTTTACTCCGAACTATATCTTTTAAGAATTAATTACTAAGCCGCTATCGTCTACCTTAGATAAAAAAATAGAGCCTAGTGGTGATACTGTATCGGGGGTTATTCATATCCCTCTGTTCGTAGATCCAAATCCTCTTGTCATTGTAAAAACTGTCGAGCTAGCATGACCAAGTTCGATAGCGAACCAATTCAATGGTCCTTACTTCCAGACACATGAACGTGTTCGGTGACAGAGTAGTAGGGATCGAAGCTGATCAGAGAATTCGGAATTCTGGGACAAGAAGTTCAAGAGGGACGGAAGTATTGTCAGAAACTTTTCTGCGACTCAAATAGTAAGTCTCCAACATTTGGTCTAAACATCAGTGGACAGGGGAATGTCGTTTATATGACAGTGGGAGTAAGATATAAATCCAAGTCATTTTATAATCTGTACAAGGACGAATTCAATGGGTGGCACTAATGTTGTGATACTTTGTCTGCCTGCTATCAAGCCATTATGGACTAAATTTACCTGCGAGATTGTCATCAATTCAATATTAGAGGATCTTTGCGACGATCGTGATTATTGCTTGACGTCATCTCCCTGCAGATGCTCCCACAGATGAAGACCTACAAAAATAAGCTCTTGATACACCCAGCTCAGAATGAAATGGTTTCGCAGCCGCATTTCTCAATGTTGAAATCTTGAGCTTGGATTCTGGGGGCCAAACCTATTGATCACGCATAGAATCTCGATTTCGTCATCATCACCCTTGACCTTGCGTCGCTGATCTACCTCAAAGAGGTCCAAAATGCAGCTCAATGAACGCCTTGCCACCGTCTTGATTGACCCTCTTCGTTTCTTAATGTCGATAAGCTTGGCCGTTGCAAATCCCATGCTACAATGATCGGAATATGCAAGGGTACGGGGGCTTAGAAGCTAAAACGCACTCTGCCATCCATGCGACAGTGAATTTCCATTCTTTAGCTCCGCCAATCATGTCACCGATGACCTCGTATACAGGACTCATCCCAACATGATACAAGAAATCGCCTTTTGCCTTATTTCTGCACCAGTGCTATCACCACGATGATGTCGACTACTTCTAGTGATTGTAGTTCCCATGCAAATGGCCATTCGACTTGAATCTCCACATTGAAGATTCTGCACGCTGTGGACGAGTATTTAGTTGCTTTATTGAATTCGCTGTCGACCATATTTATTCTTTCAAGATGAGTGACAAGATATTCTACGGAGTATGGATTAACTGGAGCCGAGGTCAACCGAATGGTTCCACCATAACGCTGTCAGCCTCTAATGCCAACGTCCTTGTTGCCTTTTTGGCTATATTCGTGTCTGTCTCTGGAGCGGCTTTGTGGAGGATATTGGCATTCACTCTTCATCAAAGACGAATCACCAGACACGAGAGAGACGGGATGCACTATCAACATCAGAACATCTTGCGCAATACACCTTCACCAGGTATCGCTTCCTGGCAGCTAATCTGGCTCATTCCGCCATGGTCCAAAGTTACCAGTCGGTCATTCCTACGGACATTTCCACTGATACTCGTTGCTCTCCTGAATCTATCGGTCTTCCTCACAGCCGGTATATTGGTAGCTGAGGTGACTCGAACCGCCGGTACTGATGTTCTCGTCAGGAGTGGGAGTTGTGGTACTTGGCTTCTGGGAGATACGGATCTGGTTCTTGGGCCCAGCACCAAGGTTTTGAACGACACCATATCTGCAGCAGCGTACGCAAGGGCCTGTTATGGTGGGCAATCGGAAACTCTGGAGTGTAATCAATACGTCAAGCAGGCATTGCCATTCACTACCGAATTAAAAAATCAAAGTGAAGCCTGCCCATTCGAGGATGGAATGTGTCTGATACGATCACCTGTGTACATTCTTGATACGGGAAACCTGTCATCTCACGAACACTTTGGTATAAACGCAAAGACACAAGATCGAGTCACATATCGCCGAAAGACAATTTGTGCTCCAATCAAAACGAAAGACTTCATTGACAGTTTCAATTGCACTGATGCAAAAAGAATTGATCGAGGTAGATTTAGTTGCTCTGAGGGCGACATCGTGGATTTGTTCAAATTTGTAAGTGAATTCTGGGTTTTCCTTTCCACATAATAAATAGAATGAGACTGACAGGCACCATATTAGGGGGACGTGGGGTACCATACAAACCCTCGTAGTAATTACACCCACGCGTACAATCGGCGCGCAGCCTCGGTTGGGTACGGCTATGCTCTGAGGTATCGATACTTAGGTTACATATTTGATTCACTTATGCTGATCAGAATTAGTTCAGTAGATTATAGCAGTGGTGATGGCGACGAGGTTAATGCGTGGCGACCCGTGCCCGCATTGCACCGAAACGATGGAGACATCTCCTTGATGTTTTTGTCAGCGAACGAGATTAAGTACTACGGTATGGTGAAAGATCCGATATTCCAGGCTACTACTGTGTCGAAATCGGCGCTGGATAACGGTAAAAATGTAACATTTTACGTCTCTGACTACTACGTGAATCCTCTCGCCTGCTTCGAGCAGAATCAAATCTGCAATCCGGCGAAGAACAAATGCACAGCGATGGATGCATATCAGACCGTGGTACACTCTGCCCAGAAAGACATCGACTTGAATCCGTTACAAATCAGCTTTGTGTCATTACTTTCTCTCGACCTCTGGCTTTCAACGATATCTCAGAATATTGGTGGGCGAGGCAATTATGCGCTTCGTGCCCAAGAACAAGTCAGGGAGCTTCTTTCCACGCCGATACCCCCTGATCAGTGGCAACAAGAGGTCAAATCCTGGTTTACAACTGGACTTGCAAAACTGCAAAGATATACTGTCGACCATGCAAGAGGGCCAGAGAACGTACTTGAAGGTACCTACATTGAAAAGCCCAACACTACAGAAGGGCATTACCTCTGTAACAATCAGATTGTCAAATCACCTCCTGGCTCTGGCACGATGTCATTCTCTACGCTGGGAGTGTCGATTGTCTTGGGCTTAGGAGGACTGCTCATCTTGACTCACACGATCCTTGACTATGTTGTGAGCAATTGTATCCAGGGCCGCTCTTACAGGTTAACTAGATGGGCTATGGATGAAAAGTTACAACTACAACGATTGGCCTTCGAGGGTGCAGGTCTTGGCCGTTGGAAGTCAGGGGTTCAGTCTGTTCCCGTTACGACAAAGAAACAAGACTTTATTATCGACGTATATGGTGAAAAGAACCATCCAACATTTTTCCAAAACATCGACGACATCGAGCTAGCAGTTAATCAGTCCGAAAGATCACTCACGTCCAGAGAGGGTTCGATACAGCTTGCTGAGCATCCAAGCAATCCACAAACTGATTGTTTGCCGATGTCTCCAGACGGTGATAGCATCAAGACGCAGTTCGCAGGTCATCTTAGCTTTACACCTGAGCCGGCTTCAATTGACTGGCCCTTCAGAGAGTCAGAGGAGCTCTCTACGGAGGGCGAATGAGCCTTTGCTTTGTGAAGACGTCATTGCGATCATTCCTTAATAGCCTTCAACTAATTATAATATCATATCTGCCAAATGTGGCAAAGTAGAGTTAGATGTTAAATAACCGTGCAATTGTGCCAGTACGGCAGATTTGCCATTTCGCCCGTCATCGTAACTTCAACTTAGTCTGCGAATAAGCACGTCCACTCATCATAGAGTACTTGAGCGTCCTTTACTTATCGACTGCTACATGTTCCCGATTCGTAATTGATGACGCTAACTATCCTCCGTGGTAGCAGAAATGGCTACACCAAAAAAAGAAATATAACTGAGTCATCGCTGTTACACAAGGTGGAGGCAGGAGAAATTCTTCGTACATCGCACCCCGTACACTCGATAACAGTTCTTCATTTCAAGCACTATGCACTTTAGACTGTCCAATTGGCAATGGACTTGCGCTTATTGTCGCCGTCATCACATGGAAGGCGAGCAGGTCTGGTTTGGTATGATCCGATCTTGAATTATTCTTATTGATGTTTTCTCATTCTCATATCAACAGTCTCTGAGTCATCCGCGCATTGCAAAGGGCCATGGACTGTATTTGTCGACCGCGAGTACTGTCCCCGGAAGCAGTGTCCGTGGTGCAAATCTGCTCCCCTGGTATATCCATTCCATCTTCATTGCCTGGGCACAATCAACCAATTTTGGGAAGGCCACGATATACTCGAGCGCGATGATTGGTGACTACGATGTGCCGAAGCCTTATCTTCCAGACCAACGTCTCAAGATCAGAGGCCCTTAAAGCCTAGGTTACTAGTCGAAGCTTTTCACGCGCTTTACGAAGAAATAATGGGTTTACTAGCCCCAGCGAAACCTTTGAGAACCTTGCTTGCAAGGGTGTATGGTCTTCCCCCCGAGCTTCAGGAATTGATATTTGGGTTTTCGCTAAATCAACCGGGAGGGTATTGGCTTTTCGACAAGGAAATCCTCACTGTGCTCAAAGCATTACATGCATGGCCGGAGAAGAGAAGCCGTCAGCTTTCATTAGGTGGGTCTCTGTTCGCGCGATGGGTCACATTTGGCTCGATGTCGTATCTTGCAGGCCTGTACGAGCATCATGTGCCAGGCTCTCTGAAAATCGAACCAAGTCAAGCAGAGTGGGACCGTATTGTTATTCATTGGAACGATTCTCGTATAGCTGGACTCGACCTCGTTAGGTCCGATATGGCACTGGTCACTACAGAAGGGCTTGACTCTGTTCAAATAATCCGTCGGCCGACGTGCGCAAACTTGTGGGTCACGATGCAAGTGGGTATTTAACGCATTTCTTCAATTTGATGAACTAGGCTGACGAGTCATAGGGTCTGTTTGTCTCTCGAATTGACCCATATAACGACTGTAGTCAGCGTTTCTTTTGGAACAGTTCTACCCCTTTGCTATGTAACGATTTTCCAGAGTTCCCTATCCTCGACTTATTCAGTACGGATAAAGACGCGAGCATTACTTGTCTGGCTTTGGAGGGGCTGAGTGGAGTGACGATTGGTCATTGCCAAGGCCGAATTGAAGCAATTTATCTACACAGAGATATCGAAGACAGCTCTCACATATATGGACAAGCACACAGCTTTGTCACGTGGACCCATTGTCCGTTTGACAGAGGAGAGACTATTGTGGGTATATGGCTGGTCCGTAACGGGGGAACTGGGTTAATCGTAAGTATTCCGACCTAGCGACTACAGCATTTTGATGATTACATAGATCAACACGACGTCGAAGGTCGCATGGTTATGCCCATACACTGACTGGCGCAATCCTTCATCAATCCGTCGTCTCGCATTACCCAGAACAAAGGTCATCTACCATACCTCTTGTATGCAGGGATTTGGGTCCATACCAGCGATCCCTCATCAACTAAGCACTCCTCGGGATTGCGGAGAGTGCAGCTTTCCAGATTTTCCACTTCTCCTTCGTGGGTATTGTCAGTATCACTGGACGTGTTCTATGGCATCTTTGGAAAACGTTCAAGCAGTTCGATCATGCCCAAGGGGGGGTATAGAGCTGAGATACAGTGGCTTTCGCCATTGTCTCGGTGACTTCAGACCTTGCGAAGCGACGGATTGGTGCGAGAATCCTGCCTATTTCAAGGTCACCTCCACAGCCCGCTTATGCTACAGGATCACTTTCTTCAAGGAGGGAGAAAAAGACGACGAATCTGGACTTTTGTTACTGGGCGGAAAGGAAGTTATTTTCTGGTCGCGCCAAGATGATTTGATCATTGAAGTTAAGGTCATCAATCAAGCTGAGCAAAGGGCAGAGTAGAGTGCGTAGAAAGTATTGCCTTCTCAGCACGCTTCTTCCAGCCCAGAAAGCCCAGTTGGAACCTGATAGTCGTGTATTTGGCAGGAGTCGTTTACAAGTGTCATGAATGTCTCGCTACTATTCTAGAACTGCCACCAATAGTCAGTAACTAGAATCAGGATCAAATCTACACAACAGTCTCGTACCCTACCTGTTCCATTTCGTGGATAGCATAGTTTCTCTACAGGTACGTTAGAAGGGGCATAAGCCGCTACTGGATCGGGGCATACTGTGCATTGGCGCATCAGTCCTTCAATACACCGCCTAGTTGGGTTGCAAATAAGTCTTTGCGTTGAGGACATGTCATTGGGACTATCACTTACATAACAATTGTTAATTGTAGCTGGTGCGTATGTCTCCAACTTTCTGTCTCTCATCTCTTTCGGCGTAGCGAGGGGATTTGCCAACGTTTCTCCCGCCTAGTTCTATTACTCGCGAACGCAAACAAACCGCCTGTTAAATGACTTTATTCATCGCCTGAAGTAGTTGTTTATCGGTCTACTGATCAAGTACAATGGTTTCAAGCTCGTTAGACTTCCAGGTATTGCAAGCGAACCATAATTTACCTACTGTCTGCGCCTTCTATGAGTTGGGGCCACAGCTTCTCCGAGAGATCTTACCGATCTCCGACAAGGCCATCCATCTAATCGCCCATATTGGAAAGCGGTCAGGCGGCTAACCACTTAGCTCGATCTGGTAGATCTCTAAATTGTGGGGCAGGCGGACATTGCCTGTGATATTCTCCGACATCAACATATCGCTCTCACTTAAAAGTCAATTCAGCCTCACAGATCACCACTTTTCCATCTTGGTTTTTTCTTCGTCTTCGTACAACTTCAAATCTTAACATGCCCGCTGCAGACTCATCAACCGCATCTATGGAACAATCACCTTCAAACCCCGAATCCGTGATATACAACGGTTCATGCCACTGCCACCGGTTCGAATTCAATGTCATAAACCCCTCTCTTACGGACCCCAGCACCCAGGTCATCGACTGCAATTGCAGTATTTGCACTCGAAATGGACATCTGTTGGTCCACGTTCCCGACGCGAACTTTTCGTTTTCAAAAGGCAGCCAGGAAGAACTAAGTGTAAGCAATATTGGAGCTCTACAAGAAAAGGGGTGCAGTGGACTAAGTAGGATACAGAAATACACATTCGGGTCGCATAAGATTGCGCATCACTTCTGTGAGATGACGTCCCCTTTCCAACACAATGACACCCGCACTGAACTATGATCTAATTCTAAATTCAGGTCCGACATGTGGAACAAGTTGCTTCGCGGCAAGCATAGATCCAAACTTTTTCTATGGTATCAAGGCAGTCAATGTGCGGACATTTGAAGGTGTGGATTTGAAAGCGTTAAATTTGAAGTTCATGGACGGGAAGAATGCGACAATACCATAAGCCATAAGCCATGGGTCACTGGGTCGGTAGTTGGGGGACTAGTGCGTTTGTTCGACGTTGTCGTATAAGTAGCGATTGGCGAGCACTTTATTTCGTCAACTTTCACACAATTTCTTTCTCGGATGTTCTCAAAACATCGAAATCCCGAATCAAAGATACCAAAAGAGTGGTGCCTCGAACGATGCCAATCCAAAACTCATGATTGATTGCTGGTACGCGTGTCGCGATCTCACAGCTCTGGAGTAGGAAAACAACATGGCCACAGCGATTCCTCGTTTTGCAAATAGCTCAGACAATGCATCATGGAAGTGTTCCCCTTCGTTCTTTGAGCCAAAAAACAAATCAAGCTCGCAAATATATGAGCCAATTTACGGAGGCGAGAATTGCGCGATCATGGGGTTTCTAGCCCTATGAGGATACCAATTGGTTCACGAATCGTTCAGAGATTATGATGTACACCATGCGACTAGCATGTGTAGAAGCAGCCTCCAGAAGACCACCGGACAATCTAAAGCAGATCTACAGGCTTTCAACATCCTACAATGTTCCAAATCGGCCCATTGTTCGTTCAATTGTCGTCCACCACTTCATGAGGAATGTTCTTTCGTCGAATCGTTCAAGAAAGATTCGCATGTGATCTGCTAGTTCTTTGATACCCGGCTGCGATTACATATACACCAAAGTAACTAGAACCCAGAGAGACAGTTGTGCTATTCATACACGCTTCGCAAGTGACCTATGATCCCACGTTTGGGATTTGAAAACCTTGATTAGGATTCAATTTTCCTGGGTACCAAACAATGGCCAAAGGCGACCCATGTTCCATTTGAGGTACATGAAACCAGCACGCCGGTGTTTCAAGGTGTTCGAATTCAAGTTGTACGCATTTCGAATTGCGAGATGTCATGAGAATGAGGTTGACCTTGCTGGCTACAACTTGTATGTGAACATATGACGTTTTTACTACTTTATTCAATGACTTCGCATACGCTACCTTTGCCGGCATTCCCTCCAACACGAACGAGTCGAAAAAGCAGGAGATCTTCTTCACGCCGGAGCTCGCGAAAAATTCAGGAATACAGGACCACGAATGTTACATGACTTTTACCTCTAGGCTTATGAAAAAGAGCAACGGAAATAAGATATCATGTCGATGAACCATTGAGTTGCAAAGAAACCCACAAATTCTGGGACAGAAATTCGACAGGTACAATGTCCTTTCGGTGCTAAAAAGATGCTCTGAAGATTGGCCGTGCTTGGTAGTCAGTATGCAATCTACAGAGAAGATTCAAAACAAATGTCAAGAGGAATGTCCATGTGATTTTCCCTGTCGAATCATAAAGAAGATATGCTCGTTTGTACGCAACGATGTTACTCGCACTTGGTTCATGACATGATCGATGATTGAATGCTGGACGAACAATCACATTTTCACACATGCATCACTCATTAGAGCACGAGATGTTCGGAAGCCCAGAGGATCCCCATGTATGACCGATGTATCATGACATGATCGTTCTTGGCAGGGTTTTGTTCAAGATGGGCAAAGTGAAACAACAGACGTGCGATGATTGATCACGAAGACTGCCAATCATTCAATAAGGGATTGCAAACATACTGACCCACGCCAGCCTGCCATAATAGCAGCCATGATGAGGTCATCCAACCCAACTATTGACGACACGGGGCTTCCCCAAGTTAAGAAAAGGAGCCCAAAGCGGCCTACCCAATACCAAATTGGCGAGGAACCAAACGAGGAACCTCCCAATCTTCAACCTGATGAGGAAGAATCCGATACTGGGCAAGTGGGAACTATATGTTCCTCCTGAAGTGTGGATGCGTCTTCCCCGATCCTGAAGAAGACCAGGTATACCTCTATGACGCCTGGAAGGAGGAGATGGACCATGGTGAGACAGGATACTTTCGTCGGTGCCTTCGCTGCTGCTTCATGGGCCAAACGTGCCACTCGGTATGTTTTCAGGTCCCTTTGTGACTGTTTGAGCCAATCTCTTAGATTTTTCTACATCATGAGGTTGAGCGCAAGTGAAAAGAAGCCTAGAACTGCTGATCTCGAGGTCGCTTTTCCATGCACCAGAAAAGTGTCTGGGGATGTTTCGCCAACCAATTCGATCGCATGATACAATCCATGTCTTCCGACAAATGAACACTCCGAATTACCGTGATGATTGTTCTTCATTGTTCTTCAATATGATTTCAAAACTCGTCTGTCAAAATTGTATGCTCGCAACCTGACGCTAGATTCGGTCGATGCCGCACGTTGGCATTTAAGCATTGCTACAAACCCAACATTGGTTTATTCGAGTTTACGTTTCACTCACCAGCTGCGTTTTCACGACGACACCAAACACTCTTGGCAAGTATTGAGTTGAACTGTCAATCAACAACTCATAAAATGGCATCATCGTTTACTGTATGACTTCGGAGGATCATGCTCGCCATGGATATGAATTTAACCAAGCGCTATATACCAGAATTCTGGAACCGTTTCTTCGAAAACCCTCCGACATTGAACGGCCTGTGGCAATTATGTTTGTCAAACCCGCGATAAACCAGTACGAAAGTCCATATGTCGAGTTGACATATTTGGATTATGCTTGCGGTTCACAATCGCGCAGGCCTGGTGAATTCCATCATGTTCACGCCTACCTTATGCCCAGAACATTCCCATTTACAAAGCCATGCGTGTTTTGACATATATCGTATCTCAACGATGTTAAACAAAGACTGCCTCTCACCATAGTCTAATGGCTGTTCTCGGCAGTGATTTGATTACGATACTTGGGTGTAAACTTCTTGCACTCAATCAGAGCCAATATGGTGTCCCTTGACCGAATATGAAGATAATGCGACTGCTATCTAAAGAGCTCCGAACATCTCTTGACAAATGCCAACACTTCCGATGATCCTGCGCTACAGCAATCTTGAAAATTTTATCTGCTCACCCCCCATGTCGCTTCAGTCGACGAAAATAAACAGGCAATGGATTTTCTGGCCGTCCTTGAGCCCTCCCCCGCAAGGTGCCTGATGAGCAAGGTTCTGCTCCAAAGTTTCTCGAGCAGTCAGGCTATGGGAGCTTCGAAACCCTCACTTGATAGTTAATGTATGTTGGAAATGCATTATACCTCGAACACCAATACTACTGGTTCTTAACCTCATTCATTACTGGAGAGCATTTCGAAGTCTTTCACTTGCACTTATCGGAAGAAATTTCGTAGATTTATGGAATTCTACATGGGTGTTAACCGATACGCGTGGTTTGCAACGACCCATGTGCGCCGCGAAAGAAAGACAACTCGAACATCAACAAAATGTTGCAATTCACGGTATCCTTAAATGTTTCGAAATCAAATCCATCATTGGAAATGTGCCGAATCTTCGAGTGACGATCGAATAGTCTGCCCGAGACCCACATAACTGTACCCCCCCATGAGAGAAGGCGAGAACCTTAAACAAATACTCACTCAAATCTATGAACTAAAAAGGGGAAACAGTAAGGCAAACATCGAGACCATGGGAAGAAGTCCGTGTCAAATGATAAATGGTATTTCTCTGACCCCTATGAATAACTGGAAAGAATGGCGATCGACAAAACCAAATTTCCCTTCTGTATCCTGCCTACGAACTCCGCCGCGCCGTACATTCAAGTCGTTGAACTGTTTTAGTAAGATTCACAAAAGCGGCCTTGCATGAGATCCAACTTGGTCTCTTTTCGAATCACCACCACTTCAGCAGCATGACGTAACCCAAACAAGAAAGTGCAATGAACGAATAAACAAGGAACAAACACAACTTCAAATGTGCGAGCTTCCGGGGTTTGCAAAAGCTCAAACTGCCGTCGCATGAGGACGTCGAAAATTTCATGCTAAATGCGCTTACCACCTAATAAGTGAGAAAAGAAAATGCCAATTTCACGTCCGAACTATGTCAGGCGTTCGAAAACAAGACGTCGTAAATGTTATGCGCGGATAGGGCAGATGAAGTCATTTTTGAGTCTGGAGGCGAGCGTCTCATGCTTGAAGTACAACTGCTCTGGAGGAAGGCTATATGAATATTGCTATCGAAAGATTCTAACATTCATTCTAATATATCTCCAGAAAGGCCATGAGGGAATTTCTTGATGCTTGCCACACATTACCTCGAGAGATAAGAAATACTACCTTAACAAATTTTCTCCTGCTCCTCAAAACTCAGAAAATGTCGTAGGGGCAGAATCTTCAACCGCTCACTGCTCTGTCGTGTATTGAAAAGAAAGCAATAACATATATGGACCCTCAGGGGCATGTCCGTCATCTCATCAGTAGTGATATTCGCTACTGCGGGCTTCTCAAAAAAAGATACAAAGCAATGGTGGTATGAAAGAATTCAGTATTTCGGGAAACAGACAATTCCACATATGTGCGGGCGGGTGGAGTCCCGCATCGCACAACGAAAGTACCGCCAATAATGAAAAAAAAATATGTCGATTACTCATTCTGATGAGAGTCTCGTCGCTACTCACTCATGTACCTATGAATTACAACTAGTCACGCTGGAAAAGCCATGTGCTTCTCTGCCAACAGAAAATGAACAGTTCACTACAATAAGAGCCAAAAAATCAAGCGATTCCTGGTTATGGGATTTCCGGTCATGTTGCCTATTGCACTGAGATAAATCCGGACTTAAGTCCAACATGTGCAAGCATGGAATCAAAGAGTAAAACTACAGGGTAGGTCTCATCTCGCATGAGAACGCCTCCAGAATACACCTGCATCAAAATTGGCTTCCTGGAGGTGTACGAAGACCGAGAGCTCTCGCATGTCTGGGTATACTTGATTCGCATACGATGTTAGACACCTCCCGGTGTCCGTAGCTTAGAGCTGCACAAACCAAAAATACAAGCCGGACCATAAATGAAAAGGATAAGAAGTTTCATTCCTTAACACTGATGACTGGTTTATCAGCTACTGTCTTTTTGACGTGCTCTGATCAAAAAGAATGAACGAAAGAATGAGAAAGATAAAATATTTCTTGAAGTTGGAATTCGAATTATACATGTCTCTCCTGTCTTTCAAATCAGATATCGAAATGTTTTATGCGATATTCGGCAATAACGACAAATACTGGACCTTCATGTGCGCTATACCTGTGTGTGAGCGTTCACTGAACGAAT